ACCACCACCACCACCACCACCACCACCACCACCACCACCACTACAATCACAACCACCACCACAACCAGAACCGATGACAACTCACTCGTCATCGCCACCACAGCGCCTGGAGCTCCCCTTGATGCCCATGGAGGGCCCATCTACAACAGCATCAGGTTTGAACGACGTCGTTGCCCGTGGTCAAGGCTGGATTCCAGGACGGTGGACTTACTGAAATCCCTCGCTCCCACCCCACTTGTCATCGACAAGGCCATCGCTGGCGTGGGCAAGCTACGTGTAGAATTCAACTACACGTGTGCTCAGATGATGCTTGCCAGCGGTTACAGAGTGGAGTTGAAGGTCGACAACGGCACATCGGTCGATGACTTCGACTATTGGTTGTGGTATTTCATCGATACCTACCTCGATGAGTTTGACGACGCGGCGGCCACGGCCATTAACGCCGGGATCCCTCGGATGGAGGCTAGAAGGAGTCCAGACGAGTTATGGGGGGAGGTCGCCGACTTGTTATTGGAAGGCCTAAAGGACGTTAAGATGCCCTGAGCATGGGGAGGGCATCATGCCAAATACTTGGCTTTGGTTTACATGGCGACGGAGTTCAACTTGTTATTATTGTGGTTGAACTGTTCAATACAGCCGGGGAGGTCACCAGCACAAACTACAGATCCTGGGCAGTGGCATGAAAATTTGCCCATGATGGGCGCCAGGCCCTCAAAGGGCTTGCACATTAGGTAGACGCGCGATGCACATAACATGCAGTGTTTACAGACTTTTTGTTTTCCTTTGGCTGCGTACTTCGAACCACGTGGAATGAAAGACTAATTACTACTGACAGAGTCATGGATCTTGACAGGAATGGTGCGTGTAGCTGGTTCCTCTGTCTCGCCCAGAGTTGTAAGGACCTGTAGTGTAAAACCACTTTATTGAACTACACAGTCTAAATCCTGTAGTAAAACCACTTTGTCGAACCATAGGCAGGAAGTGCAGCGGCAATGGGATGGTGTGTAGATCTCCAAAGTAAATACTTATAGTATGAAGGTAAGTGGCTGGTCCGCGCGTTGTCATATCGTCGTGTGGACGATTTTACTGGTTCCCCTTTTCTGCTCAGCCTTATCGTGAGATAAAAAATTTGGTACGGCAGAACCTAACCTCGTCGGTCTTTTTACTTGATAATGATAACGCGCTATTGGTGGATTTTCCACATTTCCAAGGGTTTGTTTGTACTTCTGGTACGCCTACCTTCAGGTTCAAGCGTCGTTGACAACATGACGTCCCAGTACTCGACGATCCATGGTGTTATAGTGAAATTACGACACCAGCTTCGAAATGCTGGCTTGTTCAACGGTCTCAAGAAGAATACCTGTAAGCACGAAGCCAGCTCTACAATTTTGGATGTCGGTAGGAACCTGTGTGTTTTCAGTCTAATAGAGTTTCCATGGTAGGGAGCAAAAGTCAAAATACCCAGTGTATTCACCCCAGGACAGGCAACAGAATGTATGATTTCAACCAACCTTTGCATTTCCGCAAACGGTTGGTTGCGATCTGGCGGATCGCGGCGACGCGATGCCATCGATGGCTCAGTGCTTGCCACGAGAGAGTTCTGGTTCGGATCTTACGGTTACGCCGTAAGTGATATAGGAGAACCAGGAAGTAATCATGCTTCAACGATCCGAGCCGGTCTGCCATCAGAATGTGCCGTTTTTGTATCGTGATCCTGTGCTGTGGCTCTACACTGTCGAGCCGATGCTGAAGAGTACAGTCCTTCCAGAAGAGAAGCCACGTTCGGATCAGTCTGCCGTAAAATGTCCACAGACGCTGTATAGAGGTCTCAGTTGTTGCGAGGCCAGTACCTATTGACTAGCACACTGGCCAGGGATCTCCCAGGTCCTCCCTCACCGTGTACTGATGACAATTATCGATTTTTGTGCCACGCTTCCCTCCGTTGCTTTACCTTCTTCGATTTGGTAATATATGGAACCTGTGAGCGTAGTCCTGATCGCTTTGCAATGGGTAGGCTTGCCGGCAGTAGATCCTGCAGTGTCTTTCCACCCATTGTCTTGGGACCTCGACGCCTCATTGCTTGATGATGCCTACCCAGTCTTTTGAAAGTTTCTGCCTTGACACACCTGGAAGTGTGAGGACCCCCTTCCTGATTCTTGCCCGAGTGGAGCCCTGCAGTCAATGAAAGTCGACGGCACCAGCGGCTCATCGTCTTGAGCAAGAGTCACATATGTCTGGCTAGTGATTCCATTGCATGGTACCGTTGCTGGCTGCTCTCCCCAGGGCTTTCGTGCGTCCGAGCAGCGATGAGGACCTGAAAAAGTCAATTTTCTTTTTGCAGATATTTGAGAGTGCTATAAAAGTCCTTGGATCTCCCTACACCTCTCGATTTTTCATACCTGACAATACTCTCTTGGTAGTTGTCTCTCTTGACCTGGTCTCCACACTTGAGTGAACCTATACTACCAGGTTAGCACCAGCACAATCCCATAACAGTCAGCCACAGTCCTTCAACCTCAGATCAATACATATAACCCACCCTTGAGACACTGCCATTTCTGTACACAATCAATCTGGGAAAGACGAACATGACGATTCCTTACGTAGATTTTCCACATATCACTGGGGCCACGAAATGCGAGCTAGACTCCGACTTACTCCAAATGATGGAGGGGAGCGTGCCAGCCTCATCGCGCGAAATTACAGCCAGCATAGGGACATCCTGGAACCCTGTACTCGGCGAATCATATATCAGGAAACCGCCCGCGACAGAAGAAAAGCAGACGACATCACGCGCAGGAGCGGTCTTCCCGGAGCGCCAGCCAGGGGAAGATGAGGCGGTCGGCCTCCTTAAGGTCTTCATGCCCAGTCAACGTGCATTGTGGCTGGATGGAACCTATGCGGCACACTGCCTGGAGGGCCTCCCATACCCTCTCAACGACCCCATTTTCGTGGGGAAGTACGTCAAGCCCATATTCGACGACAACAGACGGCAGTCAGGAGAGAAAGGCGTTGATGCCATATTTGGATGCGAGAAACTCGCCCGCAGCATTGTCGGCATGGTTGCCTCTGTCGACAAAGAGTTCGCCAAGGTGCAACAATGGTACGCCAATGATGACCTTAAGGGGGAAGTTCCCTCGATCGAGGAGCGTCCTGCGGTCGAGAAGCTCTCCCAACTCATCGCCAACCTTGCCAACGTTGGAGAGGTGGAGGACGCCACCGCCAGCGAAGATGAGTTCGGCAAAGGAAAGAGGAAGGTTTCCAAGGACAAGGCCAAGGCCAAGCCGAAGTTTTTGACATATGACCGCCCTTCTGATTTTACCCGTGTAAGGAAAGCATGCGCAGTGACGCGGAGGGCGTATGACCAGGTCGTCCACAGAGACAGCAAGCCTTGTAGTCATCTACGATTTCGCAAGGCTTTGGCTGAGGCGAGGGCTACGAGAAGATTGGAAGAGATGGCCCTGGGAGTCGTAGCAGCACCGTTGCCGCAGGTCAGGAGGAGCGTAGTATCTCTGCCCAGTGTTCAAGCAGCTATGAAGAATGAAGCTGAGCTAGTCTTTGGTGCCGATGATGATACTGGCGGTGATGGACATACGAAGGTCTTGTTGGGTTGGTAAAAAGTGAGGCTAAAGTGGCATTGTCGTGGCGGCGTCGCGGTGTAATTTTTGGCTACACATCCGGTACCCTGTGAGTCTTGTTGATATGAGCTTTGTATGATAGGAAAGGCAATCTCGATGGCAGAAGCCTAGTTATTTGTCGAAGGTAGTCGAAAGAGACTTTTCGTTCTTGAGAAAAGTGATAGGCAAGAACACAAGATAGTTTGGTGACCACCTTGTATTCGTCTGGACAAATGTGGTCATGTTGAAATGCTCGAACGTATTCATTTGATCCGCTCAAATGACCTTCTCGGCTCTACGGCTCTACCATCTCCTTCTCAAAAACGGTGAAAGACTCACTTTTTGTCAGATGGTACCCGTGCGGATCGTGTCACCTCGACGTCCCAAGCACAAGGCTATTTGGATGCAAGAAGGGTCCGCCATTCTACCTCTTTAATTGAATGCGCACCTGCTTAGGCGATATTCCACAATATTGGCGCACAGTTTCGTGCCTTTGTGATCTACGGCTCCTGCAGTGCATCACAACCCATCACGCACACTCGAGTAGTTTCGGCGCCTCTTTCACCTTCCAAGCGCCATGCTCTCCATCTCAGACACCATGTCAAAGGTCCGTCGGTAGTGATGGGACGTATCGGACCGTACATGGCGAGCCTCATTCCGCTCAACGCGCACGTATATCTGTTCTTGTGTCTGGGCCGAGCGGTTGACTTGGGTTCTAGCTGATTCTCTCCCGTACACTTCAACTTTAACTTTCCTCTTCACCTCTGACCTGTACCAGGTTTCGACGACAACTCTTGATTGGACTGTAAAGATCTAGTCAGTACTTCGACTAGTGGTTGGCGTGGTCTCAAATGGCACCTGGTTCCTCATGATGATAAGAAGATGTCGTCCGACTACCCCTCATGTCTTGACGCGTTTTGGTTGCAAGATGAGCATCTTCAATGTGCTTGTGTTGTCGTGCTTTGTTGACAGTTTCTCGCTTTCGGATCGTGCAGAGTCTTCCATCTGGGAGTTTGTCAAGGTAGGTCACAGTTGGTGAGAGCCGGACTGGGGAGCAAGTCATAGTTGCCCTGCTGCAAGACATAGGGATCTGGTTATCAGCTTGAAGTGTAATGGAACGTCTGCCAAACATGAGCACATGAGATGGGCAACTCTCTGAAGAAGTTTTCGTGTTATGCAATGATAGAAGAATGCGTTGACTTTATACTCGGCGGTGGCTAACATTGACCTCCGCATCTGATGCATGCGAGTTAGCCTCACAGTCCTGAACATCTCCCCTCGCATGGCGGTGATGAGGTACCACTGCTGATAAGGATTGAGAGGAAACCAGATCATGAGGTTTTGTGGCATAAAGCGAGATGCAGTCACTTAACGCGTGTGAAATGGACTGCAATCGACGCGACAACGTGAACAAGACGAAGGCAGACAAGCAACTCTGGACACAGAGGGCCGACTTTTGCATTCACGAGTTCACAGCTGTGAAGACATATGTGAGGATGTGAGGAATGACGGTCGGATTACGAGTTCGGAGTATCTTTGATCCGAGTTTCTGTCCAGGACTCGAGTTCACAGCTGTGAATACTTCTTGGCTGTACATTGCCCGGCCTTCAGTCGATACAGATTGCAACCATCGTTTATTTCATCATCTTATGGCTTCGCATCCTGTGTTCCCTTTCAGGGCGCACTGGTTTCGTATGCTTGAAGAAGATCGATTGTCTAATTTTCCCCCTCTTTGACCATCACATTGCCGTCCTGGTTAGGGACCACTGCCATGTCGAAGGAGCTTGTCACCACTAAACATAAGAGCAGCACCCCGGACACTGTACAAGATGGGGATCGGACGCTGCATGATGAAGCTCACATCATTCCTAGCACCAGCGTCTCGAGCAGGCCGGTCACTCGTCATAACCACATTTGGGATGGAAGAACATCGTCAGATAGGGCACTCATCGCTTTAGATAGGGACCTGGATGCCTTGCCGAAGTCTTCAACGCCTCATCCTATCAACGACGACAGTGGTCTGAGAGATTCCCCGTTTCTTGCGGCGACAATAAAAGCGGCTCCATACCACCCGGGATCTGACCCTTTAAGACTACAAGATCGGCAGGTATTCATTCAAGCGATTACGAGGATTTTGGATCTTGCAAGCGCCAAGTCGAACCTTGCTACCTTTTATTCGACAAGATTTGAGTGGGATCAGGATCATCGAGGCTTCACCCTTTCTAGAGTGATCAGCTTGTCCAACCAGGCTTTGCTTCGAGCGCATTTCAAATCGAACGCAGGACGGACGACCCCCCAGTCCATACCGTCAACCACAGAGCCCTCTGGTACGAGTCAAAGCAAATCTGCAACGACCAGGTCTCGCTCAAGTCCCGTGAACAACCGCAAGAAGCAGCGGAAAAGCGTTCATCAGAAATCTGGCGGCAACGACGACGGAGAGGAAGGACAAAGCGTCAAGCGCCCACGACGTGGCGACGAAGGCGCTCGTGCCGATGTCCGCCGGATGGCCTGTCCATTCAATAAATACGACAACATGCTATTTGGTGGAGATTCTCCCGATAGCTCATATCATATCTGTGCAACCTTCAGCTGTGAAGACATCGGGGATCTCAAGTGAGAAGCATCATGAGCTGGTGGAGACCTCCTGTGCTAACAATGGCTAGACAACACTTCAAGCGGAAGCACTATCTAGGACATCATTGTTTCCGATGTTGTCGGCGCTTCCCCTCAGAGGCAATGGTTGCGGCACACTTGCGAGAGGACCCCGTATGCGATATCCAAGATCCCCCGCTACATCTCGAGAGGATCGGGACGGTTCTGAGAGAGGAACTTGACCTCGATCGCAAGAACTCTCAAGGTACAGATCCAATCTGGTTTTGGCATAAATTATACGATGCTTTCTTTCCCGGCGCCTCGTCTCGACGCCCTGTCAGCCCCTGTGAGATTGAATAACCAATTTGCCTCTGCCCAGAACCATGCTTACAAGGTTCACAGTCTACGAGGGACCGGCTAAAGAGCATATTATTCGCTTTGGCCTGTTCTCCGAGCAAGTACGGGAAGATGTGTTGCAGGCCGTCCAGCAGCGTCTAGGCTTGGTTCATGTCTCTGCGTGGAGTGACCAACTCCGAGTCCTTCAGGAGGTGGAGCAGGAGATAAATCAGCTATACCTGCAGGACGTCGCGAGAAGATCTATGCCTCATCTCGGACAACGTGAACCAGAAGCCGCTGATAGACTCGCAACAATACCTACGATACCTAGTCATGCGCGAACAACGTCTTCAACATCAGCAATGCTACCTCTACCAGGGGAGGTTGCAGCCTCCGAACCCAGGGCAAGGGACACTCCACTGACTCAGGCCATGAACAATGGTCATGGGGTGACTTTCATTACCAACTCGTCGCCTCCAATCCTCCTCCCAACTCCGGCGACTGATCCCGTTGCTCTGGGTACCTTGGAGACAGGCGGCCCATCAGGACTTCCAGTCGTCGCCGGAGGTTTGCTATTCGACGATCCCAATCTTGACATGGAAGGAGGGTACCAATTGCTCGGCGATGAGGACCTGAGCGTTTCGATGGTGTTGCCCTTCGACATGGAGTATAATTGGGCTCAGGAAACCGATGCCACGTTAGACCCTATTTTTGAGCAATCTGGCAATGCACACTTGGGCAATGAGAGTACATGATAGGACCATGCCCGGGTTATGGACATACGACACATAGCTCAACCGCCTATCCGGAGCCGACATGCATACTTGATGGCGTCTGTGAATGGAATATATTTCTTTGATGCTCGGTGACCGGTTTGGGACGACGACCAATTATACCGAGATCTTCTGTACCGAGAGGTCAGGAGTCTGAGTTGGGATAGCCGCATTTGATGGATATTATCTATTCCATACAGTACTTTGTACAAGAATCCAACAGACTCGCTATCAGCAAGTCCAGACTCCGACTTCACCATTTCGTCTGCCTTCAATGAGATAGCCATCCTTTAGCCTGACGCGCTCCACGATGCTGGTCTTTGCCCCGGCCATTCGATCTTCGTCGCTGAGGTTGGCGCCAGCGCCACAATCCCATTGCTTGCCGTCCCCTTTATCGTAGACTTTCACCACGTCTTCGCCTGCCGCGCAGACAATGTGACGAGTGTCGAACATCATGCTTGTGATAGGGGAATCATAGCCATAAGCATCGGATATAGTTCCTGTTCGGAGGTCCCACATCTATCGCGGTGTCAGCAATGGTCAAAGATGCATATTAGCAAGGACAGACTTACCCTGACACTCCTGTCCACACTGGCAGTCACGAGATGCGTATCATCAAACTGCAGACATGTCACAGGTCCCGTATGACCAACGAGACTTCTGTGGACTTGTCCACTCCTGAGATCCCATAATCGAACCATCCCATCAGCAGTGCCACAAGCTAGAGCTGCGTCGAAACACTGAAGAGCCCCTACAAAGTCTGCGCTCGAGTCGGTGGCTCGTCCCGTCGGACGCCACTGTGACTCTGTGCTGCCTATAGTCGAACTCGCTTGGGCGGCGGCCCACAAAACATCAAGAGTCTGTACGCATCTGCCTTTCACCAGATCCCATTGTCGAAGAGTCTTGTCCGCAGAGCCAGAGACCAGAGTATCGCCACGGAGGTGCAAGGCCGTGACCTCGCCGATGTGAGCTTCGAGGACAAACAACGGGCATTCGTCCATAGCGCCAGGAGGTGGTGCAGGGGGAGCATCTTCATCTTCATTGCCGAAGCCAAGGCCGTCGTCTTCAGCATCTTCTCCCTTCTTTCCGTCTCCGTTCCCGACTTGGCGTTCGTAGGGTTCGTATTGTGCGCGACTGAGATCCCAGAGCCTGATCGTGGCATCGAGACCACCCGTCGCGACGATGTTATCCTCGACCTGCAGACACCGGACAGAAGCAGTATGGCCCTCCAAGAATCCCATGCATCGACCCAGGTTCAAATCCCATACTCGTACCGTATCATCGAGCGCTGCGCTAACCATTGTGCCAAATGGTTGATCAAAGTCTAGAGCTGTTATAGTATCATTGTGTGCGGGGATCGTCTTGATATGCGATCCTGGTTCCAAGTGTTCGTGAAGAACAGGCATAGATTTTCGTCTCGCATATGTCGGTTTCCGCTTGGTCTTCGGAGATTTGATGGCCGCAGTTGAGGGGAGTTTTTCGTATATCGACTGTGACATGAACGATGCATCCATGGCCTCCGATTCTGGTGTGATGGGTCTCGGGACATTGGTAGTATCGTCGGACGGCTCTAATGCCCCTTGTTCCTCAAGCTCCTCTTGTACGTCCTCTATCTTATTGTCGAGCTCTAGTAGTTCGTGCTCCACCTCTGCCTCCTCATTTTCAAGGCCAGCAAGTCGGTCAAGCACAATCTTCCGCATGTTCTGAAGGTTTGCAATCTTGTTGTCGATGTCCCGGATCTCGGTTGTGGACATGTTCTTCCTTATGGCCATCATTTCGAGTCTATGGTTGACGGTATTTCGTTTCTTCTTCAAGTTTTGTATTGTTGGGGGACCATCTTCTTCAATATCCCCGGCGCCTAGTAGCTTATGCTGTTTTGAACCCCTCCGACGGTGTCCTTTCCGGTGCTCACTTTCAGTCTCAGGCAATGACGCCTGGAAGCCCTGGAACAACGAGTATGAATTATCAGTATCTTCAGGGATTTGTTGTAACTGTTCATCCGGGATATAAGTGAGGGCTCGATGTGCAATTTCGCTGGTGGATAGCTTTGCCCTGACCAGTTCTGAAGGAGCCTGTTGCGAGAAAGAAAGGACACCTCGTTGTAGGGCAGGTCGACGCATCTGCCGCGAGATGCTCGTCATCGCATTGGGGTAATGAGTGGAAGACGTGTCTCCCATAAGATGATTTGCAGTTGCCGTGACCTTGCGGCCAAAAGCCTCGAGTTGGCGCGTCTATGAACCGACGTCAGCTTTACACCGTAAGACAGTAGCAGACACCTCACATCGAGAACTGCACCGAGGACTCCTTCATCCCCGTCACCCATTCTTCGTGACTGCGAAGCATTGCGACTGTGTGACCGCGAGCCGGCCATTCAGCTCCTGGTTTATCCTGACAATGGGTTGTTGCTATACGGTGGTCTATTCTTCGATGGCTGCAACGATATTAGTATAGCAGTGAGTTGGGTCCGCCGCACTTTGAGGCTCTTCCGAATGATGGAGCTTGCAGCAAGTAGTTAGACAAGATGTGGAGGCAAGATCCTGGTTGGGGTTTACCTAAGCTTGCAGCAGCCGAATCGGCGGGGAGTCACTAACTTAAGGCCTTCTCCGAAATACTCCCACGTCAGTTCAGATGTCGATTCAATAATTCTACGGGAAACATGGGTCTGTCATTGCTGCATACAGGGAGTTTGCTATCCTTGATATACCCTTCCTGAAATACTGTCATATGTAATATGGCCTGATATAACATATCTATTCTTGCCTTCTCGAGCTACGCCATCGTTTCTCTTTTCCACGAGCAAGACCTGATTTCGCGCAGCAACAATCGATGCTTGACTTCGACATGGACACGGCTCTAGATCTGTCCGATGCCTCGAAGGCTCTGGATCTTGATAACATTCGTTTCCAGTTGATGTCAGTCTATGAATCTTGGTTGATACGCGTATGTTGACTTGTTTGCAGCCGGCTCGAGGATACCATCACATTCCATCTCATTGAAAGAGTGCAGTTTCCTCTGAATGCGACCATCTACGATCTTACTGCTCTACCAATTCCTACCACGAATTTCGCACTTCCTCCAAACATCTCCCTCCTGGACTATCTCCTATCCGAGACGGAACGTCTGCATTCAACAGTCCGTCGTTACGATGCCCCAGACGAGTATCCCTTCTTCCCACAAGTCTTACAGCGACCCATGCTCCAAGCCATAAAATACCCCAGAATCCTTCATGACAATGATGTCAACGTCAACCAGATGATCAAAGAGAAGTACATCAAGGAAGTTCTGCCGGAAGCTTGTCGAAATTTTGGACGTGAAGATCGTGGAGAGACGAAGGAGAATTATGGTAGTGCGGCCACCTGTGATGTGGCTTGTCTGCAGGCTTTGAGCAGACGGATACATTTCGGCAAGTTTGTTGCCGAGAGCAAGTTCCAACAAGAGACCGACAGATTTGCGAAGCTTATCAAAGCTGAAGACCGCGTGGGCATTGATATCGCCATCACGAATGCGAAGGTCGAGCAACAGGTGCTCGAGCGACTGCGACTGAAAGCCAAGACCTATGGAAAGGACCCCTCCCTCAACTCGAACGGCACTGTCGGCGGCGACGAAAAGATAAATGTGGAGGCCGTTGTGAAGATGTACGCCCAGGTGGTCATTCCTCTGACCAAAGTGGTCGAAGTCGAATACCTCATGCAAAGACTCAAGGGCACTCAGTGGGAATGAGGTCGAGCCAGCAAGATTTTATAAAATATCTCTCACTCTCATGCTTGAGGCTTGAGATACTCCGCAATATTCTCAACGGCGGCCTTGAATTTGTCGGCCGAGATTAGGATGGCATGGCCTTGGGGCTTGATTCCGAGCTCTTGGAATGCTCGTTTGGAATCTGAATGTCCGTCATCTTGCTTGGTGGAATAATCATACCCGCCCTGGCAGATGGCATGGCGGTGCAGAACCTCGTCCTCCGGATGGAAGAACATTGTCTCGAAGGAGCCGCCAGCAGCCTTATTCTTCTTCTTCGGCCGATCATCTTCAGCATCGAGCTTGGAGGCAACCTCGGTGTATGTCTTGGAAAGAATGAGATAGTGCGAGAAATTGTATGGCTCCTTATCCTCAATTGCCCATTGTATCTCTTCCTGGAGCATGGTGTACATTGGTGGAACGACCTCCGACGGGACATTGATCAGGCGTTCTGTGAGGATCAAGCCAATCTCTGGAATGTTGGGTCGAGATAGAAGTTCGACGATGGGGGCGAGTTCAGGTTTCGACTTGGATTTGGATAGCAGGTACTGAATGATCTTGCCTATGTAAGGCTTGTCCTGCTCATTGTCAGCGCAGACCCAGCCGAATCGTCTTTAGAGTATTTATACCTTGTGCTGTTGAAGATTCAGTACCGACAAGAAGGCATATGCATCGGTTTCATTGCCATCCACCTTGACCGTGGACCCGAGTGTTGGTTGCGATAGAATGAGGTCTGTCAAGGCGGAGAGGTCGAACATCTGAGCGTCTACGTCGAACAGCTGCTGCAAGAGTGTCTTGATCCCATGAAAGTCGACTTCCGGTTGAGGATCGAACCACTCGAAGTCTACGTTGAGTACATCAAAGTCCTGTGGTCGTGTCAGCAGAAATGGCGTAGGTAGAACTTCAATTGCAACCAACCTCGTCGTCACCGCTTTCATCGTCCATAACGGTGTCCTTGTCGACGACCTTGTCGCCGAGCTCTTTCCGTTTGCTCATTTCGTGCCTGGAAGTTGAGGTCTGCTGGGCTGAGATGACGTTGTCTACACCGATGGAAGAGCTGCAACACCGTCTGCAAGGCACATGTAAATCTGGGAAACTTTTTTATGCGGGGAAAAGAGTCACTTGAACTGCACTCCACAAAAATTTCTCGTTGCCCTGAGCCCCTCTGCAGCGTTACCGAGATATATTTTCCGCACTCACGCGCCCAACTTCCTCGAATCTTTCGCTGGGGTCATTCCTCTCGATCTCCCAGTCGCAATGGCTGTCAATGGCGAAGCAGATGGCGACGTGGTCAATGTACCCGCCCAGACATTCGACACGATCCTCGTCCTCGACTTTGGGTAGGCTCAACCCCTACCCCTGTTTGTCTTTTCGAGTACTTACGAGACCCTCAAGATCGCAATATTCGCATTTGATAACGCGACGACTTCGAGAGTTGAATGTCTACTCTGAGATGCTACCATGTACACAAAAGATTGCTGATCTGCATTTCCGACCTAAAGGCATCATACTGTCCGGCGGACCCTATTCTGTCTACGAAGATGGTGCACCGCACGTTGATCCTGCAGCCTTTGATCTGGGTGTCCCTATCCTGGGTATCTGCTACGGCTTACAAGAAATCGCTTGGCATAACGGGAAAAACGTGGTTGCGGGCGAGAAGAGAGAATATGGTCATGCATACCTCAAGATCGAAAGACATCAAGGCAAGGAAGAGCATATTGATCGCCTGTTTGAGGGCATCCAGGACGATGTTGAGGTGTGGATGAGTCATGGTGACAAGCTGTCCAAGCTGCCAGAAGGCTTCCATCCCATCGCGAGCACAGCAAATGCTCCGTTTGCAGGTATCGCAAGCACAGATAAGCCATACTTTGGGATTCAGTTCCATCCAGAGGTGACTCATACACCTCGAGGCAAGGAGATCTTGGGCAACTTCGCTGTCAAAATCTGCAAAGCGCGACAAGATTGGACCATGGAGAAGTTCGTGGACCAAGAGATCGAGCGCATTCGGGCAATGGTTGGACCCAAGGGCCAAGTCATTGGTGCCGTTTCTGGCGGCGTGGATTCTACAGTCGCCGCCAAATTGATGCAAGAAGCTATCGGTGACCGATTTCATGCCGTTTTGGTCGACAATGGCGTTCTCAGACTCGACGAAGCTAAGACCGTGAAAGAGACCCTGACTCAGCACCTCGGCATCAATCTCACTGTGATCGACGCAAGCGACCTGTTCCTCGGCAAGCTAAAAGGTGTCTCAGATCCAGAAACGAAGCGCAAAATCATTGGAAATACCTTCATTGAGGTATTCCAGGACAAGGCCAAAGCCATCGCTGAAGCTGCTGCCAACTCTTCGAGGGCTGGCGAGATCGAGTGGCTTCTGCAGGGCACTCTCTACCCCGACGTGATCGAGAGCATATCCTTCAAAGGACCTTCTGCAACCATCAAGACACATCACAATGTTGGTGGTCTGTTGAAGGGTATGCATCTGAAGCTCATTGAGCCTCTGAGAGAGCTTTTCAAGGATGAGGTGAGAGCATTAGGTACGAACTTGGGCATTCCGGAACATCTCGTCTGGAGGCATCCATTCCCGGGTCCAGGTCTCGCGATCCGCATTCTTGGTGAAATCAACGAGGGCCAGCTCAAGATTGCCCGACACGCGGACAAAATCTTCATTGACGAAATCGAGGCAGCTGGTTTGTACAGAAAGATCTCTCAAGCTTTTGCAGCTCTGTTACCGGTCAAAGCAGTCGGAGTCATGGGAGACAAGAGAGTGCACGCTCAAGTTATCGCCCTGCGTGCCGTGGAGACGACGGACTTCATGACGGCTGACTGGTTCCCCTTCGATGGCGAGTTCCTGAAGAGAGTGAGCAGACGTATCGTGAATGAGGTCGACGGAGTGTGCCGAGTGCTGTACGACGTTACCAGTAAGCCTCCTGGTACCATTGAGATGGAGTAGTGTTATGAGATTCCGGCCTTGGCCATATATCAGCATGATCTAAGAAGATACCGGGAGAAGGGCTGGAGTATGCATATTGTTACTGGACACGGAACTGTCGATAGAAGGACTCAAGATACCATGATTTGATAGATGTTTTATCCTGCAAAGGACTGTTCTTTCAAACATTGTCTCTAAACTTCACCGGAGGAAAGATCTTCGGGCGACCAGTCGATCGATAGCGTTGTATTCGATAACGGCCCTGGAAACTTTGAACTTGTCGTGTTTCTTCTGTGGCATTGCCTTGAGCAATCTACGAGGTAAGACTTTGACTTTGCAGTGCAGTCGCATTGCAATATAGATCATGCAAAACAAGCACATCAGTGGGTTTCACTGACCATGACGGTGGTAGATCCTCAACGCTACGCAGAAATACGACTGCGGCTATGACCCAGGCTGGAGCCTTCAGGGCAGAGACCTTTCGTTGACACGAAGTCAATCGTCTCAAGAGAAATCTGAAGCACTCGCTCCGGTGTGCGCAAGTATAGACTTACCACTTTCATCAAATTGTGGCATAGAGTCGTTGGCGACATCAGACTCTAATCTTGCGTGCTCTGGCGTGCCTGGCTAAAGTGGACCATGGCCAACCTCGCAGACCAATTGCCTTCGACTAATCTCTCGAAGCACTTCCTGATCAGGTTGACTTCTCCAGGAAGACGATACCTGAGGTATACAACAAGCTTTACACTTCCCAATCGAACCAAAATCCTACGTGTCGAGCTCCCGGTGAAACAGTGATGATGCTGGAATTTTCTGTTGGATGCGCTATGCCTCTTCAGAGCAGAACAGCCGTGATTCTCGACGGAAATGAAGGTAGGTGGGGAATACGAATCCATATCCGGGGCAAACGATGAAGATGTCAGCGTTCCGCCGCTCGCCACGGCATTGTGCAATCGAGAGTGGAGAGCTCCGCTCTTGGAGCAGGAGTATATGACTTCTTCCAGGCCCCTCACCGACTTAATCACCCTCATTGTCACTAAGGTACAACCAGCGCTCTTCAACACCAAAGGCATACAACAAAATCATGGCTCCTCATGCTGAAGACCCTGTGCGAGTGACATACGAGCCGCAATCCCGCATTACACTGAAGTCGATATCTGGTTCGGCTCGAACAAAGCAGGACGGCAACTTGGAAGATAAACAAAGTCCCTTAGCCGAGCACTACGAGCCTGGACGCACCCCAGCTGAACATCATGATGACTATCAGTTTGACGAGCTTCGTCCTTCGTTCCCGGATGTGCATTGGGATGCATTGAGAGAAGTCCCTTACGAGGACAAAGGTATACGTGGCGACCCACGTTTCAGCAATCTACTCGATGCAGCAGATGATGTATTCGATTATGGACCAAAGATCGGAACTGAGTTGACTGGGGTTAACCTCGCTCAACTCAACGAGGCTCAGAAGTGCGATCTGGCAAGACTGATCGCAACACGCGGGGTGGTCTTCTTCCGCAACCAAGACAAATTTGACGTTGACTCTCAGAGAGAACTGGGGAAGTTTTGGGGGACTCTGCACAAGCACGCCACCACAGGCGTTCCAAAACAGGGTGGTTTGGACGATGTGCACGTTATCTACACGACCGAGCAGTCTGCAGATCAAAGGGCACTCTTCACTCCCACTTTCCTATGGCATTCAGATGTGCGCCCTCCCCTCTGTCAACGGAAACAATATGCTGACAGAATCCACAGGTAACATACGAAGTGCAACCACCATCATACACATCCTTGAAGGTTCTCACGGGGCCTCCTCGTGGTGGAGGTGGCGACACTCTATGGTGCTCACACTACGCTATCTACGATGTGTTATCGGCTCCGATGCAGAAGTATCTAGAGGGCCTCACAGCATTGCACTCTGCTGATATGCAGGCCCAAGGTTCAAGGGAAGCAGGACGGCCTGTTCGTCGGGAGCCCGTCACGACCGAGCACCCCTTGATTCGAGTCAATCCTGTTACAGGCTGGAAATCTCTGTTTTTCGCCCCAGGGTTTGTGACGAAGATTGTCGGTATACCTAAGGCTGAAAGTGACGCCATTATCCGTTATCTCAACGAATTACTTACTACGACTCAAGAAGCCCATGTCCGCTTTCAATGGGGCAAGAATGATGTTGCTATCTGGGATAATAGGGTGACTACACATACCGCCACATTTGGCTTTGCACCTCATAGGCGGCATACGGTTCGCGTAGCCGCGACAGCTGAAAAGCCTTACTTCGACCCTGCCGGGAAGTCTCAGGAGGAAGAATACAATAGGAGATGGGACTTGCCGCAGACGAACAAGGATGGGTCAGGAAGGTCCAACTACAACGATTGAATGACTAAAACATGAAATTTGAGGCCGGAGTCTGCTGGGTATCTCTGGGAACATTCTATGAACTTAAAGCTAGGGAAAAAAGGCAGGTAGGTATCGATCGGTTTGCTTCCTAGCAACATTCGATCACGGCTTGGCGAGACCGACTCCCCATGCACCGGGTGTCTACCTGGTGCCTTCTCATGTCTGTGCTTCATTCCCCTACGCAACTTACCGTCTGTCACACGCCAGCTGCAATGCCATGTCTGGCCCCAGCGTCGTGGAGTACGCTCGGTTTCACGGCCTCGCAATCGATCACACCGCCGAAGACGTCCTCGCCTACCTCACCAAGCTTACCACTGATTTCGACCCCATAAAAAATGACCAATCTCTACCAGAACCAGACTTCTCGGCATTCGAGCATGATTTACAGGAGCCGAAGCTGCAGCTGAGTCGAGACGCCAGTACACTGCTGGTCGAGAGCATCAAAGATCCCGGCCATGACATTGATTGGAACAGGGTGCTTCCCAAGCGCCACCGAATAAGAGACCTCAAGCTCGAGGAGCCGCTACTTGCTACAGATCATGAGACAGACGTGCGAAGTTTCAGAAAAAGTGCCTTGCGAGCTCGTGATGTTGATGTCCTATTGGCTCAAATTGCTTCGGACAAATGCCCTTACAATGATGCCTTCAAGGATGAGTGGGAGGACATTGTCTCCAGTCGAAGTCTCAAGATTGTGGAGGAGCAATTGAAGCAAGAGAAGGTGCACACGACGAGAGAAGCTTTGGTGCACTTGTCAGAGGCATTGAGAGATGACTCGACCATTCAGGAGAGAGAAGAGGCTATGATACAGGATCTTTCAACCCTTAAGGTAGTCTTGTTTTATTCTTGTTGAGTAATTTGTGACAGGTTCAGCAGCGCTCAAAGAGACCATCGACACCGCTCTCTCCTCTAGAGGAAGGCTCCCGAATCAATAGCCCGTCTACGACCTCTGAGTTCCCTACTGGAGCATGCTCGCAAGAGATGGAAAAGAGATATTCGGAGGATGTGAAAAGAATGGACAGGAATGTGAGCTCTCACACAGAAAATTTCTCGGAGAAGACGGTGCCTGAGATCCCCGTCGAAGGCGCAGGACATGATGTGAAGAAGTTACCAGTTCCAAGCCTGAGAGAAGTCAGGATCGGCGGATCTAACAACGTTTCACGGTCTGATCTGCTTGCTGGCCTTCTTGATGATTTGGTTTCGAACTCTGGTTCCTCCCCGGCCCTGCACAGGGAGGGTAGACTTGACTGGTCGCCATTCCCGGCGTTGTTGTTGAAGACAGACACCAACGAGTGGATCGAAGATACTGGGCGTGCTGAAGAAGCCGTCAGGCCTCCACAGGGCGTCATCAAAAGCGAAAAAATGCTCTGGAAGCAGCCAGGTCTTCGACTCCTGGACTCAAACGACGAGAGTGACGATGAGATGGAAGAGGACATAGACCTGGGGAGGGCAATGTCGTCCCCTCCTCAATCACGTGTTCCGCAGAAAAGAACCGCATCCAATGGCGAAGTGACTTCAAGATTGACTGCGACCATTTCGCCGACACGGGAGAAGATGGATATTGACAATGTTCCTGGTAATACACGGAGATCAATGACCAGCACGCGCCCACTGTTACCACCGAATGCATTGAAAGTCTCAGTCAAGCCGCCGACATGGCAAGAAAAGCAAGAAAGCAGTGATGAGACGGCATTCAAGGAGAGCCACATAACGAAAAGTACTTTTTCGGCATCCGGATCCATCGCCACATTCTTAGATCTTCGTGGCAAGAAGTTCAAGAGGACGCAGCCACCGAAGCAAGCTTGCAAAGACGAGATCTCCAGTGATCCCATCCGAACCACGCAATCTGCGGGTGGAGATCTTCAACGATCACCCATCATCGAGGCAACTGGTGCCATTGTCGCTTCAGGAACTGTTCAGGTACCAGCAACGCCATACAACAAACCTCTACAACTGGCACAAGACACCAGACAATCGGTGAAGGCACTAATCGGACCCAGAGCTATAGTACTCGATACGGCCATGCTTCGAACACAGCGTCCACTGATATCCTATCTGGAACACCATGGGGACGGCTTGCTCACAATGATATTTCGCGACCTGAGCGCGGGCGAGATAGGCAAGCCTGGGGCTCTATCCGACGCGCCTGATATCATCCTCAATCCTCGTACAGCACTCTTCTGTACCCATTTCCAAGCATTGAATCAGAAGAACTTACCTGGTCAGAGCAAGTCCACCAAACAAGCTATGGTGCAAAGCAAAATTCTCAAGCTGACACAAATTTACGACCACCTGTTTGTGTTGGTCACAATGCCCGCAAACGGAGATGGACTTCTTCCAGCCTCTCAAGACACGATTGCCAGCTTCACGGGGTTCTGTTCAGGTCAATGTATCCAGGGTACACGTATTGTCAGTCCTATTTGGATACCAGGGGCGATGCCTCTGTCAGCGACGAGTCCCAATCTTTACAGCTGTACATGGGACTTGCTATGTCGGCAAGCTTTTCCAGTCAGCGATCCCATTCGCGACGCGCCAGCTTCAGCGGGAAATGTCTTGTTGATACACGATGAGACGCTCTGGGAGTTATTTCTGCGAAAGACGGGGTTGAATCCCATGGCAGCACAGGTTGTGTTTGTAATGCTGAAAAGGCCAGATGGACACGACTTTCAAGCTGAGCAAGGCTGGGGGTTGAGAAGATTGGTACAGATGAGGCCTATAGAAAGACTGGATATGTTCGCTGAGATACTCGGCAGACGAATGGTAGAAAGATTGAGCATGGTGCTTGCTACGATGCACAATTGAGCCGAACTCTGAGAGGCAGACGCAGTGCACGGTAGCCGTGGACAGCCTGGAGACCAGATCGAGATCAGGCTAGTGAGGCTCAATCGTACAATGTTAAAGAGACGTAAGCTATAGGTCTACGGTATGCGATGGAGATTAGAGGAAGATGGTACATTCTTCAGATCCACTTGCACGAGGCTGTCGTAAGGCTCGCAAGCAATGACGTACAAATGTCACCGGCGGGTTTCTCACTGCCATAATGTGCTGAACTTTCGTGTACAACAGTGCGTGTCAATCTCGTTTATTTCTTAGCAACCTACGACCCCACGTCTCTTCGCCTCGCCTCGTCTCCCACCTACGGACCATTTTGAGTGATTGGGTGCTTGCCGGTGAGTTGGCTAGTGGCTGCTCCGGTCAACATCCTTGGTCACCCTGGCTCCTCCGCTCCGAGGCGTCACCAGGTCTCGCAACACCTTTTCCTTCTTTCGCTACCTCTTCCCAAACACCCATCGTCGAGCTCGTGAAAGTCTCCTCGGATTTCGACACGAATATATACCACGTATCACCTCTAAAGCGCAGTATCGTATCTACCAGGCGATCGTCCGCAGGCAGCAGAGAAAACGAGAGAAAAAAGACGCAGGACGTGGGCTGGTCCCATTTCTACAACGGAGGAAGAGCCGCATCCTCCGGTTACTCTATGGAAAGCACCATGCTGGTGCACGAGTCTCGACAGGGACCCAAAAAACCGACCAGATGACAAGCTATGGCCAAGCCGGCGCAAAGGTGCCTGGCTCAAGGCGGGAGAAGGTGCGCGGATATCTCAGAGCGGCGAACGAGTTGAGGCAGATATACCAAGACACGTTGTCTCAGAAGATGCAGGACAGTGAAAACGAGGGGCCCATGCCTGGTGACTATCCCGGGGACGTTGCCAGGAGCGGAAATGAGGAACTGGTGCTGTTTCCTAGTTACGCCAGGAAGCATACGCAGCGGAGCACCACTACCGCCGACGTCGGCAGATACCCCCCCGGCACAAACGAATCAATAGAGGCGCCACATAGCAGCGGAGACTCTGACTATTGGAAGAGGGAATGGGAAAAGTATGAAGATGCCAATGCTATCGTGGACGTCGATGTTCGAGGATGGATATACTCTCCGCAGTCCGGTCCATTGAACAGGAAGAACCGCCTTCTCTTGGCTGTGGCGCGAAGGCTGAGCGGCGTGTATGCTCTACCGACCAGTCCGACAGTGTCACGCGCGTCTAGCCAGGCACCTGTGGATCGAGTGCGGATTGAGGACAGCCCAACGAGCTATGAAGATGAACTTGCGGCAAAGGAAGCTGAAAACATCACACGTCGTGGTCAGCTGGAGGCCGAAGCTGCGGTCCGAGGGAGTTATAGTACTTCGGATCGAGGACGGCATGGTTTGGACAGTCCTGCAGCAAGTAGGACTTCTTCACCAACAAGAACGAATACCAATGTTTCCACCGACAGCGAGGAGTACGATCCGGGTATTCAGTCACTGAAGAAGCGCCAATCGTGGAATGAGCCTGCCAACATGAGTCGAGAACAGATGGCTGCTGCAAACGAGCTACTATTGACAAGACTGAAACCTTTCATGTCGACGCCGCTTGTCCAGTCGCCGGTCACCGTGTTCTTCTTCAACGATGACAAATCGGCCTCGAAAACCGTGACGACGGATGACGCTGGACACTTCAATCTACGAGCTGCTCTCGACTTTGTACCATCCCAGGTTAGGGTCCTGGCATCGGAGAAGTTGTCTGCTACGTCAGATGTCATCATTACAGAGAATAAGGGTGTCAGTCTGATCAGTGACATTGACGATACGATCAAGCACTCGGCCATCGCGAGTGGCGCCAGAGAGATCTTCAAGAACACGTTCATACGTGAATTGAGCGACCTCACTATTCAAGGTGTCAAGGAGTGGTATACCAGGCTGTCCAGTATGGGAGTCAAACTGCATTACGTGTCCAACTCTCCGTGGCAGTTATATCCTCTTTTGCTCAATTACTTCAAGCTCGCTGGATTACCTCTTGGCTCCTTTCACTTGAAGCAGTATTCGGGAATGCTGCAAGGGATCTTCGAACCTGCGGCTGAAAGAAAGAGAGGATCAATCAACAGGCTGATGAAGGACTTTCCCGACCGAAAGTTCATCTTGGTGGGAGACAGTGGAGAGGCTGACCTTGAAGTCTACACTGATCTCGTGCTTGACTATCCTAGGAGAATACTCGGTGTCTTCATCAGAGATGTGACAACACCTCCTAAGAAGGGGTTCTTTGACCAGTCGCTACCAAACTCTCTGCCTGACTCTTTGATATCCGCGAAAGACGGGAGTCATCTCAGTCGATCACCAGACATTATTGATGATAGCAACAAGAAACCTGCAATGCCCACGAGGCCGAAACCTGAGCATAAAGCCAAGTCTGTGCCCGCGCCGGATGAAGATCTGATTGACTTTACAGACGAGCCAGAACCAAAGACTGGTCGAAGACCTTCGCACGTCGACGACATGCGTCAGCTGGAACGTAATGGAAAGTCGCAGCCCCCAACGAAACCGGCCAAGCCATCCAGTTTACGAAACTTTTCCTCTCAATCGACCTCGCCTACGAATCACGACAGATTTACACACTCTGACACTGAGACTCAAGACTCTGGCAAGAAGAAAAAGAAGCCACCACCGCCTCCTGCACCTCGACGTGGTGCCATCGCTGATCAAGGGAAGCCCACAGATCTAACCATGAAACCACTCTCCCGACCACCCTTTTCATCCACTCGCCAGAATCAGACTCAACCACATCTGGCCACTTCATCCACTCAAAAGCCTGCCAAACCTCAAATGACGCGCACTGATACTTCGACCAGCACGGCGTCCCGCGACGATGCTGGCTACGTTGCGTCTGCTCGTCGGCAAATTGCGACAGCCTACAATGCTCTACCCACCATACGATCATCGTCCCCATCACGACCAGCAGATCAGACAGGTATCAGTGGCGACGTTCGGCCTGCTCCGCCTCCAATGCGACGAGGATTGTCATCTTACCCTGCTGCAGCAGCTCGTTGGGCGACTGGGGCAACGGGCGGCGACCCTGCTGCCGGAGGAGATGGAGGTGCGCCTGGGGGGTCTTATGACAAGAAGCTGGAGATTTGGAAGAAGAGGTGGGCGAGAGCCGAGGAAATTATGAACCAGCGTGGTGTTGTGCTGAGATCGTGGAGAGTCGGGAGTGATGTTATGGACGAGTGTGTGCAGTTGGTCAAGAAGGAGCTGGAAAAGAGTCAACCGAAATGAGATGTAACAAAGGATATGAAGTCATGAATCAAGCTTGAGATACACTACTTTTCCCGCAGATTGTGAATATGAAGACGAAGAAATCATCTACTCTGGTTGATCTACTTCTAGTAAGTGCAGCACGTGTCTCATGCCCGTACAAGTCTTAGCCAGGAACAGCCGAAGCAGCCCGCATGCATTTGTATCAAAATTCCCCTTAGGCGGCCATGGCGTTGCTTATGGGGTATTGGTTGTGGGCCTCAGTTACCTGTATCCACAGTATGAAATCGAAGGTCTGAGTCGGTGAATGACTTCAGCGGTGATGTCACCTTTGGCACTGTTCGAATGATGAGCACACAAAACACAAAAACCCACCCTGTCGCACTGGCAGTGCATACCTTACCCAAATACTTCCAAAGCTTTTACAACGAAACTCCTCAAGTCATATCTACTATACCCAATCTCTATCATCAAACAATCAAATCCAATACAGTGAAGATGTCAGGAAACTCCAGCGTCGGCAACTCCCAGGTCTACGAGGCGGGCGACCAACGTCCCGACCCTCAACAAGGCGAGGACCACAGCAACGCATATGAGGAAGGAAAGGAGAACTCTCACCAGGCCAATGATTCGAGTGAGTGACACCTTCCCCGTGTACTGCAATGCAGTCGCTGGTTGGGAGTGGTTGTGCAAGTGACTAATTTGTTCTGGCAGAGGACCAACGCAGTATCGGCAACCGTCTCGCGGCTGCAGGCCCCCAAAACGACAGCTCCTCAGGCAAGGCCCTGAGCGCCGAGGACAAGGCTGCTAGAGAGGATCCCACACTGCCGGCCAAGATGCATGGCAACGAGCCTTCGAAAGGCGCGAAGATCGACAAAGAGATTGAGGATGAAGAGGCGGAAATTATCGCGAAGAAGGACGCCGCCAAGGCACAGTCAAAGAAGCACTAAAAGAACAATATCTACAGGTATCTCACACCTACATCTCTACGGGAAATGAACGAGGGGTAGCCGAAAGGAAGGACGAGCGAGATACTGGCACACTGGACATGTTGAACAGGGCGTCCGAGTGTTAAAAAAATGTGGCACAATATGCCCGACTGCAGCATAGTACTGCATTCCATCGACGGAAAACCTCGAGATGATCATTGCCGGTAAACAAAATCAAGGCACATGGTCAAAAGTCCAAACTCGAGTTGACGTTCACTTCTATCATTATGTAAACTGTCTTTTCGTGCTGCTAAGACAGATCGCCTCAATCTGTTCTCGTTTGGCGCCCAACGTGGAACTGAGTGGCAGGGCCTGTTTTGGATGTGCGAGTTCCTGGCCTGCCCCATCCACTGGATCAAGCGCAGGCAATGCTGAATGGCGGCCCATCGTAAGGACCGCATTTCGAGGCTCTCAGAGATGCTGGCGATGGGTCCAGGTGACCTGATTTGGCCATGTAGCATAGGTCTTATTCGATCCTCTTGAGAATAACCATAGCTTGCCCTCTAGGCTACTGGTAGTAAAGTCCCCGACCCGGCCCGACGTTGTTTGCTCGTCGACGGGCAGTTTCGTCTTGGGGTATCATTCGATCTCGTACTCATTTCTTTGAGCTGCTTTTCCTCCGTTCCGTTTCTCACCGCCCCAACGTCAATTGCGCAACATCGTCCCTAGCAGCACCTACTTTGTCGGCGACATCATACAAACTCCTCTGCACCTCGCCAAAAACATATCGCAGCAGCTGTATTTGGTGGTCTCCTTCGCTCATTGCACTCCCGTCGCGGTCACCATAGGCAAGTCGTTCATTCAGCTCACGCTCTCGCCCAATCACCTTGCCTTCCAAGCTCTGCACGAAATCTTCGATCTCGCCTAGTAATTGGCGATTGTCGCGAATCGTATCTTGCATTTCGTCCGCGCGGGTATTGAACAATTCAATCAGACTCTTTGGCCCTTGAATATCTTCCGTGTCTTCGCCGGGTAATTGTATAGTATGGCCCTGGGCACTTCCGCCACGGACGCTTCCCTTCAGGGTCTGCGGGTTGTTCCACCATCCACTTAGCCCGGCACCACCGTACATGCTGCCGCCGGTGAGACTTTCATTCTGTGTGTGTCCTGTTTGATACTGTCTCGGCATCTTTAATCTGTCGATCGCTCGGAAGACGCATTTTGCCTCGAGTTCTCCTTTCTTCACATCGCCGTCTCTTGCGGCTAGAATGGCTTCTGCGTCGTTACCCAGCCCTGCTTCTACTTCGTCGAGCTTCTGCGTAACGAATTCCACACCATTGGGTAGTGTTTGTCCCGCCGCAGTGACTGCAGGAAGAAGGTCTGATACTTCTGAGGCGAGTCTGATTTGGTTGAAGATCAGCGTGTCGACAGCCTCGATTTCCTTCTGTAAGTCGGGCGTCAATTGGTCGTACTTGGTGGTTGAGCGTAAGTGTGCTAGATCTATCTGTGGTTGGGAGGATGTTCCGGGAGCGGCGTTCGTTGATGCATTTGCACCTGGTTGAGCTGTACTCTGGGCGCTATAGAGTGTTGTCAGCTTGGACTGGCAAGGCGCAAATTTGGTACATGAACCAGCCTTGCGGCATTGAAAGTACTTACAATAATGAGGAACCTTGATTCGCCGGCGCGCTCGTGCTCATACCCAGATTGAGCGTGGGCTTGGACGTAGATGTTCCGAAGTTGAATGCCATCTTGTCCACTGGTGCAGCCTGGCAGGCTGATACGGACAAGAGAAGACTGGCCTAGGGTGAGGACGGGCGCAGTATGATGTTGACGTTCAAAAATCGGAGTCGCGCAGCGCGGTCAAAGTTGCGCTCGTAGCCCTATGGTTGGCCCTGCACTGAGTGTACTTCCCCGCATAAGAACTTTTGCACAAATCCCAGGAACTACATTGTTTCTTCCTCAAGTTTCACGAACAAAGGTCACTTCTTTCAGTGACTGTACCTTCGTTTCATGAATGTTTTCTTGATTAAGTGGATCATTTAAATCTAGTACAGGATGTCACGCTTCAGATTCTCGAGTGTATATGGCTGCCAGTCGCTTTTTTGTGCAGCGAAATGAAATCTACTACGTTCCAGCCGAAATGCGTGGCTACAACCTCGACAACCCAGGAAGGGCAGAAAGCGGAGGACAGTCTGGGTGTGACAAAGAATGTCCATGAAAGCCATTTCAAAAGTGTACAATGGTGCGACAACATAGACGATTGAATACCTCATGACTAATGCACATCAGGACTTCGGATGGCACGAGCCTGATCGCCTGTCCGGCAGACAACTCGATTCAGACTTTTATCGTGTAAGTCATTGAGCTGCTCGTAACTCTATGTCAGATACTGACATTCAACAGGCCTCCAGAATTGCTCGAGGAGATTGGTCAGCCACACTCTCTGTCCCCATACTGCAGCATACCGTCGACCGAGCCCGTCAATGCGGTTGTGGGATACCCGCACTTCAGCCTTGAAGATCCATCCACTGCGCTCGTCTTGTCGTCAATGAGGGATCATCCAATTCGATTGAATTCGGCTCTTACTGGACACCTCGGTGCATCTTATCCGCTGGTCAATCCGATGACCGAGGCTTACATTTGTCCACACTCGCTTCTTTCCACTCCTCAGGGCGATCGCTTTGTGGCTGGCTCTGAGTCCCTGATATCCGTCTTTGATCTGTCTCGTCCAGGTCAGGAACCGATCTCCACAGTACCGACTGGACCGAAGAGACGAACCGGTACTGACTACAGCGCTGCTGTGAACATGCGAGGCATTGTTTCGGCATTGGCCGTCGACCCTGCGACTGGCATTCTGGCTGCTGGCACATATGGTAGACAAGTTGGACTATACGATGCCATGGGTCAAGGAGAGTGTGTTGGCGTATTTTCCGTCCAGGGCACCACGTCTGATGGTCGAATTGGAGGTAGCGGAGTTACCCAAGTCACTTGGAGTCCCTGTGGAAGATACTTGTACATCGCTGAAAGAAAGAGTGATGGAGTTGTCGTCTATGATATTCGCAAGACGGGACAATTACTTGCTTGGCTTGAAGGTCGCAAAGCCCAGACAAATCAACGACTGGGTGTCGACTTGGTAAGGACTGACGACCAAGGCGGCCATGAAATATGGGCTGGCGGCCTTGATGGATTTGTCAGGATGTGGAAAGATCCTCACCAAAGCGAGGGTCCGGTCTCTGCGAGTTTCGAGTTCAAAGCCCATGATGGTGAGAAACGTTTTTCACGTTTTGATGAGGTTAATGCTGACTAAATGATAGATGTGGTGTCCGGCGTTGTGGCTCATCGTGGTGGTGGCGTGCTTGCTACTGCCTCCGGCCAACGTCACTTCGTGTCTGGGCTTGACGAAGAACATCCATCTGGTCTGGCTGTAGATAACAGCTTGAAGATCTGGACACTAGAGACGGATGGATCTTGATTATTGGCGGCTTACATCGTCTTCTTCATGAAGTATAGTAATCGGCACAAGCAGCATTGATCTCTGTCTTGTCCACAGGCGTCGCTGGCGAACTCCCGTTGCCAAATATCTCAATCTGATTCTCACTATACTTGGGCCATCCCAGATTAGCTGGTCCGTTCACTGGGTCCCGAGCAAACGCAAGGTACAGATCCTGCATGGCCTCGCTCGTCGACTGTTCGAACGCCGTTCCAGGTCCCCGAAAGTCGCCGTAAGTGCCAAAGATCATCGGTAGCTCACTGGAGTGGTATGGGCCCATCCACCAGTATGGAGAGATGTTTGTGAAATTGCCAAGGTACATGAAGCGGTATGTCGTTTGGTTGATACTATTACGATATTCGGCCTCGTACACCGCCGGACAGCGGAATTGCAGTGTCACCTGTAGTACTGCTGTCGCATTGGGAGCAGTATCGTATGGGTAAGGCGGTAGAGCGACAAGAGAAGTACCGTCCATCTGGATACGAGGTTAGCATGAAATGAAGTGCGGCCTACGAGGAGGACACATACGTTATGACCAAGGATCTTGGGTACTTTGGCAAAGTGACCGTCTACATATGCTTGACTGGAGTTGACGAAAGTGGTGATGTTATCAGGCTTGGATTGAAAAGAGAAGACTGGTGTCTGGTCCGCATCAACTCGATACTGAATCAGAGACTCAATGTCGGTCTGGGGGACGGTGCGCAAGCACGCTGTCATGTTGGCAGCACTACCTGTACAGCCGAAGGCTTCGGCAATATAGGTGAAGTTTTGGAACAGGGTGTCGGTGTAGCCGCTAGAGACGCCCCAGGTGGCCCCCGAATCTTGGATGAAACCTGTGACAATCGGATCGTTGGGCCACGCAAGGCTTTGCTGACCGGTCATCCCAGCACCAGCGGACTGTCCCCACATGACCATGCGTGTCGGGTCTCCGCCGAAAGCCGCGATATTGTCACGAATCCATTCGGTTGCTAAGCGCACATCCCAGAAGCCAAGCGCTGCAGAACCATTTCCAAACGGCCCATTGGGATTACCGAAAAAATTCAGTCGATACTGAAGGGATACCACGATATGTGCCTGTGTGCGTTGCACCCACTTCTGAGGATTTTGATAAGGCACAGTGGAGCCACCGGTCGTATCGCCGCCACCATATATCCAGATGAAGACGGGAAGTTGGGCCTCGGTAGGATTCAGGGGAGCCCAGATACTCACAGAAAGGCAGTCATCACCATCGTCACCCCAGATGAAGAACTCGCGGATGATTTTATTGTAGACGGAAGGAGTAGTTGCTTCGTATTGAGGACAATTCGGGCCGAAGTTGGTCGCATCGATATCAGTCGTGGTTGCATTAGCTGGCAATGCCTGGGGCAGTGCGAATCTCAGGTTGCCGACGGGACTTTGAGCAAAGGGCACACCAAGCCAATGTCGCACCAATGGAGCGGTCTCATTTATGCCGCCGTGGACTTGGATGGGTCAGCATGGTCTGAACTGCTTCGCGGAGCTAAGCAGGCTCAACACTGACCAAGTCCGTTTGTTGTCTGTATGGTCAGGTTAGTGGCGGCCGCAGTGCGTCTTGATGCGGGCGCAGCAAGGAGAGACGGCAACGTTGCCAACACCATAAAGATGGTGGATTTGAGATTAGGTTTCATGGTAATGGAGCAAGCAAATCACTGGTGCGTCAACGTGGAAGCTTGATCACAAGACCTGATACATGTTGCATCTCTCCCCAGGGGAGTCGCCTCTTTATGTATCTGGTCACCCGTCCCAAAGACCCCCTCCGCATGAGAGGAAGCTGCCGATCATGAGTAGATGCAGCGAGGCATAATTCCTCGGTTGTGGTGGTTTGGACAAGTGGAGGTGACGGACAGACTCCACCAAATCGCGACCAGAGTTTGTCCTGGGAGGACTTGACCAATCTTGCAGTGTCGCTGTGCAGGAAGAGGTTAATCCTTTGCTGATATTGGGAGATGTAAGAAGCTGCAGGTTCGCGGGGGAAAGTGTCACCAGGTTGCTGTAGTCTGTGGGGATCCCATACTCCGTACTCAATCCCCGCAATCCACTGCCGTCCTTTCCGGATGCTCAGGTGTCTCGGGCTGAGAGTGTACAGCTTGTTATTTCCCTGTTACAAGATCACCCTTTCAAGAGCTGTTGATGCTGCGACGATGACAATATCCCCACGAAATCTCCAAAAAAAGACTTGGCCTATTGTCGGATGTTCCATTGGCTGTATTTCAACTTCGTTCCATCTGATGTTTGCATACTCATATCACCATTTGGGGCTGGCAAACTTGGTGCTGTAAGTTTACTCGTCGTTTGCTTCAACAGATCTCTGTTTGAGGTGGCCTCCAGAAGCATTGGGTCCTGTGAAGAATGCAGGTAAACACATGCGTTTTCCCTTTGCTGTCAACGGGCGTCTCCGCGTCCTCTTTAAATACTCGACTTGTTGTTTTCAATACTTATAAAGGACGCCATTGCATTCAACTTATTGAGGAGTCTGAAGAACTTCATGCGGTATGACAACGGTGTGCTTCGCTGTTAAGTTCTTGCTGGGTAATGGTGCATATCGTTTCGCGCGCTGGTCAACACCATGGCACCTTCCCGTCTTCAATGCCATCGCTTAGTCGTCGGCGGCGCCGAGCAATTCAATTAACTGCATCTTCTCCAGCCAAGTGTCGTCTTATCCCTTTGATCTCTTTCTCTATCTTTTTTAAAAACTTGATCGCATCACCAATCCTCACCTTTCTTTGTTTGATCAAAGCGACACTGCCGTCCAGGCCTTGAGCCTCTCTCGACGGTCAAACGGCCTCAATGCCTTGTTACAAGCCGCAATCTGAGGCCTGGTCTTCAAGGTCATTGTACTGAATTTTCCGTGACGTCGACCACTCGAGTCGAGACCGGTGAAGACTGATTCAAAGGCGCAGATCCATTGGTGAGTCGGTCTCATGCCTTACCATGATCTTCTAACAATGACCTACAGACAACAAGAATCCCCAGCATGGATCGGGATACCCTCCCACCGCGGTTGGGCAACTTACTCGCAACCGCAAGCAAGAGATGGATTCCAAATAACCAAAAGATAATCATATCAACGCGGCAATTGTCGCCAGGCCCGCCAGCGCGAATCGACACTGCTCACAATACCATGTGTTGGGAGACGAAGCTGCCTCCGCTCCGCCGCTGCCCTCAACACTTCACTGGCGACGAACCGGTCTGACGATAGGAAGAGTGCATGAGAACTCACTGTCACAGCAACATACACTCCCACCAGACCTGTGGCAGCGTGGTGGCAGTCAAGCCTCCGAATGGGCTTTGTTCGGGTGACAATGGGTCGCCACATTTGGTCCGGTATAGACTCACCGGCTGCTTCGTCGTCGCCAGTGCTTGCCGGTGCAATAGGGTGCGGCGGTTACTGTCGGTCGACTTCACTTACCAGTCACTCTTCACTGCCTCAAACCCTGGGTATATAAAATTACCGCTTCGATAAAATGAAGTGAACGGACTGCCTGTGACGAAGCCAACTACCTGAGACCGATTCACCTGCCGTGCTCCTTACTACTCTCGACACTGAACGATTTCGAATCCTCCTTCCTTCAATACATCAATTCTCTACAACAGCTCTTTGTTACCGTCGAGGAAATTATCATCACCAACAAGATGTCTTCTCACCCAGCGCTCTACACGCAATTTTCCTACCACGACAACGACGAGATGCTCCAGCAGCGAGATGCGAGGCTACGAGCAACCCTCATTCGGGAGTCAGCCAAGGCGATACCGGCAGAAGAGCGAGGAGTGACCGAATGGACCGGTGTCAAGCTTGAGCACCTTCCAACCTCAACACAGCTGATGTCTGAGGAGCACGACTCGGAGACTATTTTCCAGGACGCACTTGTAGCCCGTACCTATCACGACGTCCTCCTTCCGAACAAAGAGCCACAAGACTCGACTATTCCTACCGATGACACAATCCTCCGCGCACATGTAAAGGTTCTCTTCAAAGCGTTCAAGTCGGTCCCGGAAGATGCGGAAGAGGGCGATGAGGAGGCAGACAAGACAAAGCGACCATTCGTCAATCAGGTCCATGACAACCATCTTGCCGAATCACTCTGCTGGAAGATACTTGAGACTTGTATCTACCGCTCGAAGAAAGACCAGAACCTCGTGGAAGCATGGGAGCCGGGCAAGATGAAGGGCAAGAAGACTAACTTTACCTTTGCCGAGCGCTTCGATAAGGTCGTCCAAACCATGGCAGAGTCCAAGTCCATCTGCAAGCACCTCTTTGACGTCGATTACATGTACAAGATCATCGACGATCCAGTCACCGCTATCAAGAGAGTCATCGCAAACAAGAGACTGAATGGCAAAAAGGCTGAGCTCATGAAACTGGGAAAAGGGGTCTCGGAAGAAGATGGGAAGAAGACATCTAAACGCGTGTTCGAGCACGACGAGGAGGATGAAATTGCTTCTGATGGTCGTCCTGCGAAGATTCGTCGCCGTGCTGTTGCGAGCTCTTCAGCAATCGGTCAAGCACAATCCGGGTTTGGTCATACCGCATACTCACAATCTCATTCAATCAGTCCAGCCAGCTACGCTCCACCAATGCAGGGCATCCCTCGAAGCGATCCAGGCAACTATTACAACATCACACCGCCGCGTCAGAGATCTGAACATCAAAGCCTGAGCATGCCGACTTCCTATCCTGCTCAGACACAAACTCCATCATCTCGAGGCCTCGGAATCTCTGGTTTCGATGCACCTCGTATGGCAACACAGTCAGCCCGACAAGTCCAACAACCATTGGCAAGCTATTCGTCTGGGTATGCCGGTCTTTCCGCTTACGTACCTCCACATCAGCCCCAGTCTCACACACGATCCACACCATCTTTGACTGCTTCGGGTAGCAGTACACCGTCCAACCACGGCGCAATGCAACAATGGCCCATTGCAGCTCAAGCAGCCAGCAGCCCCCGTCCTTACTACCAGGGAACCGGTATGAATACAAATCCTCAAGAGACTGGTGAGTTCCTCAAGGTGGAAAACGACAATCAGCAAGTGTGGACTGCTCCAGCCATCTCTACTCCACACCATGCCGGACTCGGATGGGCGGATTATCAGAAAGGTGATGGTGACGATACGCAACAATTCAATGATGATGGATACAACTACGCGGTACTTGCAGAGGAAACGAATGGTCCTGGATACACAGAGGACCAGCCATGATTAAGACCATGAAACCGATGAGTATAGTCAAGACTTGAGGGTTCATCAACGAGACTGAAGTACAAATACACCTTTACGACCATCATGACGCGACAGAGATACCCTAATCTGTAACAACATTTCTTTTTCCTTTTCTCTCCACTCTCCACACCGATGCAGGAAATCGGGCTGGTTGAGTTGTTTTACGGCATTGTCTCGGAGGACTTGAACAGGAGAGTGGTTAATCACATTGGATGTGGATATGACGGCATGGTGAACTTGGAGTTGGTTACGAAGTTGGGAGGTTTTTGTGTAGGAGTTTATCGATTTTATGACGGAAACGACAGTGCAACAAAGGCTGAGTCGGCACCAAATGAGCACTACACGTCTGTACGAAAGGAGACAGTTGACCAAGAAAGTAGAATGTGACAACATCCTTTTGCCTGTGTTCCTTTCACTTCGATCTACGAAGTGAATGATCGCCCTTTGGGGTCACTATCAACCCTTCTTCCCGCCACCCTGGTCGAAACTCAGACTATACCCCCCTCCCTCACCCTGTTGCATCTTGAAATTATCTGTACTCAGACCGAATGGCTTTAGAATCCCGTTGCCCAGGTCCTTCAACTTACCCATCATCTCGCCTACCTCTTTATCCTTTGCCGCATTGACGCGCGGCGGTAAAGACACCAGCGCTTGCCGGACGGTTTTCTGATCCGATGCCGGTAAAGTATTGAAGTATGCGGATGTGCTGAGGGTTTTGTAGTCTTCTAGGGCGGCGGAGAGAGTGGACCAGGTTTGCGGCTGTTGTGACGAGCGTGCGCGAGCACGACGTAATAAGAGTTTCGTGCGGATGCGGTGGATGTCGGATTTGCGTGTGTCGGAGAGATTGAGTGCAGCGAGGGCAGCCTGGGTGTCCTTCTCGTCGGCGTCGGAGGGCAGTTCGACTACTTTATCATCTTCCCCATCTTCTTCTTTCGTCGCTGGGGAAGGTCGCTCAGGCTCAGAGTCAGACTCTGTGTCCGAATTCAGCGGATGGTGCGTGCCGTTGCTGGTCTTCTTCGTGGTATTGGTACTGCCATTCTTTGTCTTCCTGGATTTGGGTTTGTCCTTCGGTTTCGTAGGCAACTCTCGTTCCAGCCCGTTTAGACCCTTTTCGCAACTGTCCACCACTTCTTTCCACTGCTCCAGTTTCAGATGACATGCTGCGATGTTACTTTGGAGCACCGCCATTTCGTAGTCCAAATAGCTCGGTAATTCTGCAAGAGCGCGATCATAAGTCCCGATGGCGGAGGAGTAGTCTGCTTTGGCAAATTGTGTGTTCGCTTCGCTTTTAAGGTCATTCGACGACGAGAGCATGCGGGTTTCCTCGTCTGGTGGGAAGCGTGCGGAGTGGAAGGATGCGATTGATGAGGCTGAGGAGCGTCGACTCCATGATGGTGGTTGAGGGGTCACATCTGTGGGTGCAGACTGTGCAGGCGGTTTTACACGATCTGGTCGAGTCTTGGGTCCGCTAGCTTTGGAGGACATGGTTTGCGTTGAGTTGCACTGGTATGCGCGAGGTCGGACTCGGAGAAACGACGTAAGTTAAATGTTTGGTGATGTTCAGAAATGGACAAGGACCCCTCCCCTGGAGATCTCCGAAAGATCTGCCAGTGGAAGAAGGCTATTTCCTTCGTAAGCGAGCGAGAACCAAGATTTCGGGGTAAAGACGATGCGAGTCGATGCAGGGTTCTTTTGTAAGTGCCTGGTCATAGATCTTTTTGGTTGAGTTACGACCCTAGATTTCCTTCCCTTTCCTTCCTGTCGCCCGTTGGGACCACTTGCACATTTCACCATGGGCCCAATGTCGCCCACGTCGGCGGGCAGGAATGAGTACGTTCCGCTGACCCCCAACCTGTTTTAAGAGTATCTGGCTGACCCGACATGCTGCAGCTTCCCACCCGTTCGAGCCTGCATTTTCGACATGGACGGACTCCTGATAGACTCCGAAGATGCTTATACTGTTGTTACGAACACAATTCTACACGAAAATGGACGCCCCGATCTCCCATGGAACATCAAGGCGCAACTACAAGGTCGACCAGGTCCCGCTGCGGGGAAGATCTTCCATACTTGGGCTCAACTGCCCATTTCTCATGAGCAGTTTTTGAAGAGACAGGTCGAATTACAAGCCGAGGCGTTCAAGCACTGCAAACCTCTTCCAGGCGTGGAGAAGCTGTTGCGCCGATTGCAGAATGCTCACACCGAATCGTCCTATAGCGGCGCCGCGAGCCCGGCAGGTGCGACCCAAGTCCAGTTGGCGTTAGCGACGAGTTCTGCCGCTAGGAACTACGAGATCAAGACGAAGACACTGAAAGGCCTGTTCAATATATTTCCTGATAGACACAAGATACTGGGAGACGACTCTCGGATACCCACAGGACGCGGGAAACCGCTTCCAGACATATACCTGTTAGCCTTGGAGGCGATCAACGAATCAATCATTTCAGACGCAGGGGGCGAAAGACCCATAGAGCCAAATGAGTGCCTCGTCTTCGAGGATAGCGTGCCTGGGGTTGAGGCAGGTCGCAGAGCAGGCATGAGAGTCGTTTGGTGTCCACATCCTGGCTTGTTGGGCGTATACAGAGGTAGGGAACAAGAGGTCCTCGCAGGCCAAACAGGTGAGCACAAAGAAGATGATGTGGAACATGCCGGCGGGATCCCCTTGGCAGGAAGTCCAGGTCACGTCGGCGAGATCGGCGATGGCTGGGGCGAGATGCTCCAGACACTGGAAGACTTCGATTATGCTAAATATGGCATCAGCCTTTCCGATGCTCGATATACTTCAGAGAACGGGCAGTCGGCCGTAGAGGGAACAACAGATAAAGAGCTGGAAGAGATGACAGCGATGGCCGATGGCAAGACACATGCACCAGAAGAACCTTCGCCCTCAGTCACACCTGTTCCGCATCTATCATAATCTTTGTTTGTCAGTATGGTCATGTCTTGAAGACCGCTTGGACGGTGTTTATCAGGCAACATAAAAAGTGTATTCAATCTTCAGCCCGAAGCAAGGGCGTCTCTTCTGTTGTCGTCTGCCCGCCATTAGGAGTGGCTTGTGCCATCCGCGACTGCAAGTCTTCCTTTTCTCTTCGGGTGTGTACCCACTCAAAATACATGCCCATAATGAGCAAGGTGCCCTGTAAGCAGCCAGTGACCAGATAGACACCCCACGCGCTCCACCCCTCACTGCCGAGTCTTGCAGCCAGACTTGCAGCCCACACGAAGCTGCCAGGCGTCTGTATCAACATCATTGGTATACTCAAACTCCCAACCCTCTTGAGCATGAAAGTTGTATATATCTGAGGGAAATACTGGATCGACGCGAGAACGGTCGAAAGGATCCCCAAGAAATTGGCCCAGCCTTGCGAGTGTTGTGGACGGGCATAAACGAAGTAGAAGCTCAGGATGGCGATGATTATAGCGTGCACAACCGAGATGACGGTCACAGTAATGGCGGTACGGTATGAGGGAGCGAGTTCATCTTTCGGCGGATCGTCTTGGTCGTCGGTCAGTGGGTTGGTGGTTCGAGGGAAGAAGATGAGGAATAGAAGGAGGCTGCGAGGTGGCAGTCAGTAGCTGGCATTCAAGGGGTGTACAGAGAGCGCAAGGGTAGCCACGCTTACATGATGGTGAAGCACGTCCATTGCACGCCCACTTGCGCAACGCCCAACAGTCCCGCCAGACACGCAAACTCATCGACCTCGCGACAGCATGCGATGTCGGTTCGGGATCTGGGTAGTACGAGGATGTTTGCGAATGCGCAGGTGCCGCTCGTCGTGCCTAGCAAGACAAAGTAAGGCGATAGACCGTAGCTGCTGCGGAGGCGGATGATGCGAAGGTGCTGAGGGAGGTAGGAGATCAGGATGCCCAAGAGGATGAAGCTATGGCAGAGTTAGGTTAGTCCAAACAGGAGTGCAATGCAGAGGACGGTTGCTCAACGTACATGCTGAGGCCGAAATTGCCATAGCTAGGCTTTGAGATCTCTTCGCATCGTGGATCCATCCTGACGGGAAGCACCTCGGTGTTCGGTTGGTCGAGCAGACCTTGAAGTCTACGAAGAGGTCGGCATGTTGTTGCGTTGAGAGGAAGGAACTGACAAGGAAGAGGCAGGTGCGCTGGTCGACAACAATAGTTGCCGTTCCTGGTCAAGTGAGACGCCTGGGGCCTCGTCGGAGAATTGGGGGAAATGATGTCACTGTCGTCCAGGGGTCACAGCCTGATGCATCACAAACTTGCACAAGGCTGAAGGGAAAGATCTGAAGTATTTTCGATGATCAAGGACGATTGGCACCGTCCTTGTGTCTATTATCATTATTCCCAAAAGCCTGGAGCAACGCCGTGCTCTGAGTGGTGCATATAGTACAGTTCGTGCCAAAATTACCAACAGCACGCTAAGTGTCCTCTAGAAATCTTTTTGGGCATACTTCGACTTCATCCTCAACTTTTTGCCGTACTTTAAGCTTGTCAGCAATTGCTTGAATGGAGGATGCACCCAGGGACAAGGACTCACCTTGAACAAGATGAAAGGGATTGGAATAAACGCGATGCTGATGAACGCAAGCGTGGAACTAGCCCAGCCTAGAAAGGTCGTCAGAAAGCTGTGTCGGTAGAAAGAGGACATATCGAAAGACTTGTGCCTTCATGGCACAGATCTTCGAGAGGAGAATTACTCACCAACACCCAATTGATCATACATTCCCGTGGCAAACAAGGGAAACGCTGCTCCCCATGACGACCGCAGAAAGTCGTTGCCAGCCAACACGCTCGCGGCATACATAGGATATGCATCCGTAAGGTAATTGAGTACCGAGTTGAAAAGTAGAAAAGCGCCAATAGAAAAGAAGCTGCTGCCGATGATTGGCATGATCCAATGGATGTCAGGTCGTGAGGACCAGCCGAACCAGAACAGACAGATTGGGATACAGAACCCTCCGACGAAGGAAGGCGGCAAACGCCATTCCGGTTGAAGTTCGCCCTTTTCGTTGAACTTGGGCTCAATGTATTTCCGCTGGTACCAGGAAAAGGGTCCAATAACAACGAAGGCGCCAATCAAGATGCCCAAGAATGCTAGGCCTTCCGTCCCCAGAGTGAATCCGTAAATGTCGATGAAAACAATCGGAAAGCTTTCGAACCAAATGTATAACAAGCCGTAAATCAAGGCGATATAGAGGTTCAGCAGGAGAACCATGGGTTCGGTAAAGCAGAGAGTGAAAGGACGAACAAGTACCATCATGACAATCTCGCGTCCAGTCATTTGTTCGCCAATAAGCTGGGGCTCACAGATCAATTTGTCGTTGCTGGTCAATCTTCTGAGGCGCATGGTTCGTCGGTACAGGATGTTGGCAGAAGACGTCTCTGGAAGGAGGAAAAGGAGCAAGACAAGCGTGAAGCTGGAAAGCCATTGAAGCTCCCATATAGTCCATTTCCATCCTTTCGCTTCCGCAGCGAAGCCACCGATTAGAGGTCCCATCGTCGGGCCAAGTATAGCGCCGATGCCCCAAACGGCCATACCATAAGTCCGCTTAGCTGGGGTATACATATCTGCGATTGTCGCACCACCAGTGGCTAGTGATGGGGAGCCCACAAAGCCGGTGATGAATCGGAAGGCGAGGAGCATGCCAAAATTCGTGGCCAATGCGGTGGGGACTTGCAGAACCACAAAGAGCGCAAGTGTACCGATGTATATCGGGCTTCGTCCGAATTGAGGTACCTCGGACATAGGACTCCATAGCATAGGTCCAACACCATAGCCTAGCACGAACAGAGTGAGTCCAAGAGTCGCTGCGACGCGGCTGACACCGAAAACCTTGCTGACGTCCTCGATACCAGCGGTGTAGATAGCGCTGCCAATGTAGACCGAGAAAGTGAGTAAACAGACTTCGAAAGTAACCCAGACTTTCTTCGACGTGCTCCAGTTTTGTGGATTGTCCGGGTCCTCGGGACCATACCAGTCGACTATATCAGCATTGCGTCCTTTCTCAATGTCAACTTTTGTATTGCTAAAGGTGTTGACCAGATCGTTATTGTCATTGTCGACAGTCGTCGTGGAAGAGTCAGCCGGTGAGCCTCGTCTTGGATGATTCGAATTATGGTCAGTTGACGGGGCATTTGTATCCTCCTCAGAGACACCGGTGTCCAGTTGCTCTTTTTCCTGTGCTGAAGGTGGCTCCGTACTGCCGTGCATCGCCATGTTGGCAGACTTTTCGGCATTCACATATTTCTGCCATATTGATGGATCACGCTCCTCGGGATACTGTAGGATTTTTCTGCCAGTTGCTAGTCGTAAAAGCTGGCCAGCCACCGTATCTCGAAAGAGTTCCGTCATACTGTGGGCGGTCCCTCGATGCCGATAATAACGAAGCAGTAGATGTCACAACGTGAGAAGGCCAGAAAATTCACAACAGCCATATATGTTGGACATGCATTACAAAGTACCAACCTTTAAAGACGTCACTGACCTCTAGGGCGTCATGATAATGGAATATTTCTCGGCGGCCCGCGAAAAGATAGAATGCATGCATGCAAACCTAATCTGAGCGGCTCCAACTAGCCTGACAGTGGATCTGAACATCTGCATCAAGGCTTTGAAGATCGTGTTGAATCGGCGTATGAAAGAACCGAGTTGTTCATGCGATAGAGAGAAGTGCTGAATATCGAAAAGTCTATGACGCGGATTGTGGAGATTTGGTGGCAGACTGACTGATAGTGACTGATCTATCAATGGCAGCCTCTCACGTGACTCGGAGGATTATTGAAGATGGTACCGAGTCCTGATTGTCGCCTCCAAAGACGGTGGTCATGCCTTGCAGGCCTACCTTAAGTAGGATTAACATCGGCTGTGATGATCAGGAGTCGTAGGGATCGATCAAATGGGACACCGGAGACAATGGAACCCCTTCTGTTTGGGTAGTTGCAACCTCTGTCCTGTCAGCATGCACGCTGCTCTTGTTCCAGGAAAGTGCTTACTGGACTGCGCGTTCCCGTACATAAAATAACCTGAGCCATACTGGGGAGGCCTTTTGAGAGAGTACACGTGGACTAGCCACGTCGAGTTCCGGAAGCTACTGACTCCCATAGCGGGTGAAGGGAACTCGAGATGCGCTCCCAGCTCGGAGTCTTGATGTCGTTGGGAGCGTTTGTTGCGCTTGCTTTGGATGTTTGTGTGGGTCGTAGGCGTTGCAACACATTGCGGAAGAAGACTTATCAACATCCCATTTCCACGATTGAAGCATGAATGCATCTTTCATGGATGCGATCACAAATGCATGCCTTCATGGTCGTTGCCATTCTCATCCTCGACCAATCGTTCCATCATCTGTTGTTGTAATTGGGCTTCAGTCAGTCGGCCTCCTGCGCCTTGCGTGGGTGCTGCTGGCGCGTCGTTTGTGGTCGTTGCCGCCGAGCTGCCATTAACCTTCCCCTCACTGTCTGCCTCATGCCACCTGCCACCTCGTCTCTCCACCTCCTGCTTCAATAGCTCGATCCTCTCTTTCTGACGGTTGATCACGATGACATTCTCATGGATTGCCTCCGAGCAGTCTTTGTCACCCTCCTGTCTCGTCGCCTCAAGTAAAGATGTGTCTGATGTGATAGTGTCAATGTATTCTTGAAGTTGTGCATTTGACCTCTCAAGGTGTGAAATGGAATTCTGGATTTCATGCGCTTTCGAGTAGAGGTTCTCGACAGGAAGGTCTTGTATGGCAAGAGCGAACTGCTCTGCAGGTATGGGTTGCGCCCCGTTAGACATTGAAGAGGGTTTTCCGGATAATTCCCTGGTATTCACGAAATGGAGTAGGCCAGACTGGGCAGGAGATGTGTAGATGCAGCATTCGAGTCCGCAGGAGGAATTGTTGACTACGATGACCTGTGTGACAGGCATAGTACTTACGTATGCGGGGAAGAGGCGGCACAGATCAGTAAATCTTCTACTCCACTCAAACAGCCTCGCGTTGACTCTATCCGGACCACATGATCATATTCTTACAGAACTTACAACGCGTTTCCGTACTCGTATCTAGGAGAATTGGACTCCAGTGTTTTCATAGTGAAACCTGGGAGCTGCTTGGCCATGTCTAGAATCAAGCCCTCCAGCCTTGGACAAACTCGTGCAGTCGATCAATCACCACTCCAAAGACGGCGTTGACGCTGTCCGCCAACACCTGGTCTAACAATCTTACAGCTTCTTCTTCGCTGACATCGAGATGGAATCGCTCCCGTACTTTAGCAACAGCACCACCCATTCCTCCCATTTGCTCCTCCACCAGTCGGATATCTTGAACCGAAGACTGGACCATCAGACTGAACAGGTTGAGGATCAGAGAGCTTGATTTCCGTAATGTAGAATAGGCTGTAAAGCAATACTGCTTGAATTGAGCATACTGCGGAGACATGGTGCCCCCAAGACCTTCCACCATCTCCTTGCAGAGCTTGATGAGCGGAGCGAACGGCTTTGGATCACGCCCAAGAATGAAGCCGAAATCAATGTGGAAAAAATGCCCGGACGGTTGCAGCAGAAGGTTGTCAAGATGCCGATCGCCAACACCCAGGATATACGTGATGACACAGTAGCCAGCACAGGACCTGATGTACGTATCCATGGTGTCTTTGCGGACGCCGAGCGGACCTGTTTCATCGGGGTTGTTGGCCTTCAGGTAGGCCAGCACAGAACCTTTGTATTTGGCAGAGACGGCTGAAATTGCGGTCGATTGGATAAATTGGACTGCACCTGCTGTTGGCGAGGTTGCCAGAATACGATATGGAGTGAGCTTCAAGTCCAGATTCTCCTTTAGCAACAAATTGTTCATCAGCTCGATGATTTGGATGACCAGTTGATCTTGCCGGAGGTCATCCCCCGTTTTGAAGATCATGGGATACTTCCCCTGTGCTTGCGAGCGCGCCTGTGTGGCAACCTCGTTGTCTCTTGAGGTAGCGATCTTGAAGTTGAGAAACAATGGAGATAGCGACGACTTGAAGACATTCGCTTCTTCAGGGTAAACGCCGCAGACTTCGATCTCTGGATCCAGTGGTAGCGGGATTGGTGGTTCAATCTTCAACAGCTCATTCTTTGGATCAGCGAGATACTTCTTAAGTACCTCAATCTTCTGAATGCGGTTGCTCCGGCTGAAGCGAACCTCCTTGCTGATTCTTGAGAGCACAGCAATCATCTCGGCCTGTCTCAATAGTGTTTTGCGTTGTTCCGGGGCCCGAGCTTCTAACTCCAACATGAAATAGTATTCCACTCGTGCAAACAGTTTGCGGTTGATTGCATTTGTATCAGGACCCTGGTCGTCGCATTCGACCATCAGATACCAGTGGAGATAGTTTCCAAGTTTGAAGTTGTTCGCAGCACGGTCGATGAGGAATTTGGCCAGTGACGAGTGTGGTAGGCCTTCCTCCTTGGTTTCATAATCCTCGAACTTCAGTGCTTGTACGAGTTGAAGGAGGTATAACAGTAGCTCTGCATCGCCCGCTTGTCGAAGTCGATCGACCGCATATGCCCGAACGACAGGACTGTCGTAGGTGGGTCCAAGGAGCTCAAGAGCCGAGTCAACATCGATCTTGGCCCACCGTGGGATCAACTCAGCCATTTGCCTGGCTTCACTTGGATTGCTCCAATCTGTTGCCTTTACAACTTTAGTGAGGGCTCGTTTGTCGCGACTCAAATGACGTCTGAACGTCCAAACAACATCCTTCTCTTGTGGGGTCAATTCTTGCGTGGGTCCGTACGAAAGAATCTCGTTCAGCTCGTCTCGCAATTTTGCATTCGGCTTCTGATCAACGTCGTACAAAGCATTTCGGTCGCTACGCACCAGGCGCCTATGCTTCGTTTCGCAAGGATTCTCTCGCTGGAATTGTTCGGGGTCGAAGATCTGAACGACGGGATAGTCCTCGTCATCAACCACGTTGTTACCATTGGCGATACCAGGACCATAGCGAACTTCGGGCGTAGGGGGTTTTCCACCGAGTAAAGAGGATGAAAGAGTGCTCTGAAATTCTCTCATCATCCTCGAAGGTTCATATTCGTGGTCTTCGAAGACGACGGGAAAGTCCCATCGCGGAAAATCGACATACAACGTGAAGTGCTCTTCGTCGTCTGATTCTTCCTCAGACTCACTCTCGTCGGCTGTCCCGTTACTGCCATTCTGAGTTCCGACTTCCTTCACCCTCATCTTGGCGGCTTTTCTTTTCGAAGCTTTGTGCATGCTCGGGCGTTTCCTGGCCGCCTCTTCAACCTCTCGTGCCTTTTTTCCCACATTCTGAAACACGAGTTGATCAAGCCAATCGTTCTGTGGGATTTCGTTCATCTCGTGCTTTTTGAAAAGTTGCTCGAGTCTTTCTAGTTCTTCTTCCTCTGGAACCATGGGTGGCGGCTCCTCATTCCGTTTTCGCCTCTTTTGTCGAGGTACATGTGGAGTGGTGGAAGAGAGATGGCCATCGGCAGCCTTTCTACGATGAACCTTACATTTTTGTCGTCCTCTTCTCAAAGCCCCCTCATTGTCGAAGAGTGGAATAGTGGTGCCGCCGAAGGGCACGGTATGACTGATGCTACCATTCTGCGGACAGGGAGAGAGGTCCCAGATGGTGATGGCAATCTGAGAGGATACCGGACAGTCTTTGATCAAGATTGGAAGTTCCAGCCACTTATTCCAGGTGCGGTTGGCTTTGAAGAAGATGTGAGGCGTCTGTACTGACACGCCGAATGGTTTCGACTCAGCCCATAATTGAGCAGTAACAAAAAGTTCTGAAGTTGGACTCTGCACAGATCCAATGTGCCGTATCTCCGGGTGCTTCAACAAGACGGTATATGGTGTGGTGGTCTGCTTGCCTTCTAGTGTATTGATCCTTACACATACAGGGAATTCAAGCTGCCGAGAAGTCGCAAAAGTATAGGTGTCCATGGCTGGACTCAGAGGGACTGCATTCTCATCATAACCGAGTCAACATCTTCACAACGCCTGGGATTCGATATGACAGATGAATCAATGTGTCAAGTGATTGAAGATGATGGATATGAAGTCGGGCTGCCTGATCCGTCTTAGCACCACTTTCATCAAATGAAACGCGCCAAGCCCCAGATCGCGTCAAACGTCACTCGCGGGAAAATGAGCGCGTTCCGTTCTATGCGCTGCTTGCACTACATCGTCCAACAGGTCACACCTGACATGACCAGCGTCAAACGAATTAGAGCACGAATCTGACCATATCACGCTCTGGGAGGTGATCCAAAACGACTTCACATTCTTTGAGCGCCTGAACATTCATCAAGCGCCTCCATCAGGCTGGGTCTTCATACAATTCCCGCCGGCACGTCCGACCCTTTATCGGCTATGTGTTGAAAATGGCACGTCTGAACACACAAGCAGCATCTCCTGATTCGGAAAGTCAAGGGCTCTCAAGCTCACCGAATCGAGATACTCCTCGTACTTCCGACCCCCCTTCGTCCCCTGCGCAACCCTCAGACTCGGACAAAGAGAACCACACGCGCTCGTCCACATCCGGGAGGGGGAAACGAGTCAGAAATACCGCGCTGATGCCGGAGAGTCGTGGCGCCGAGTCCAGCCATGCTCAGAAGCGGAGGAGAATAAGTGCTGAGGAACCGCAGAGTACAGCGCGTACCCACAAATTCTATGATCCCGATCAAGATCCTGAAGAGCGGAGGTTGGTCCGAAAGGGCCTACGTAGTCTCTTCGCCGAACTACATGACTCGAAGACAGAATTTCTGAAGCCGGAATCGAAAGGACTGGAAGACACTTTGCGCAAAGCAGATGAATTGTTCAAGAATGTCAAGCAAACATCCGAAGCGACTATCGATTCTCGATTATTGGTTGAGGCTGCCGATTTGTCATTCAGAAAGATCAACAACTTGGCCCTCGGTGACGGATCGACGGGAATAGACGTCGACGACTTTGTCACAAAATGTATTGGGTTCATGAAACGAGGAGATGAACCTGAACAGCGCAATCACAACGAACCTCCGAGTACACAAACGCAGCGGCGACGCCGTCGTCAAGGCGAAGATCTGGAAGATGGCGACGAGGGGGACACCATGAACTGGGAGTATCTGGGCAAAAATGCTTGTTTTCTCTACAACGCCCGTCCTTGCCTGACGGGATTCCTTCTCGGTCCACTGTCAGTTCAGAAGAAAGTGCGTCAACAGACACAACGCAAAGCTCGAGAAGCTCGCACGCAAGATACACAGGCTCTTCGTCCAGTTGAGCTTAACGATGAAGATCTGGAGAAGCAAGAGTCGGCAAGTCTTACTGTAATCTGTACAGAGATCGCGCGACTACTCGAGACTGCCATTTCCAGAGGAGAAAAAGTAGTCGAAAAGGAGTTTGAGGAGGCTGGGGATGATATTTCCGATGAGGAAGCCGGAGAAATCCTTCGTCGCCACAGCATGGCTGATAATGGTTGTTTGCCGCTTTTCAACTTTTGCGTCAATCCTAAGTCGTTTGGGCAGACTGTGGAGAACATGTTCTACGTCAGCTTCTTGATCAAGGAAGGGAAGGTCGGATTGGATTTCGACAGTCATGGTCTCCCTACCCTCGGTATTGCAGCAACTCGTACAATGGCTGAGCGACAAGAGACGAAACGAAATCAAGCAGTATTCACCCTCGACTATGATGTCTGGGAGGACATTGTAAAAAGCTTCGGAATTACAAAGAGCATCATTCCTCATCGTTCGGAGGAGAATTATGATGATGGCATAATTGATTATGCTCGTGGGGAAGACAATGCTGCTAGGGAGGTCGAAGAAGATGAGGAATCTGATGCATATGCATAGTTCTGTCTGGATGATACTGCGTGCTGCGTCAACACTGTTTCTCTTCTGGTTTATGAAAGCATGAAGCGACGGTGTTTCCTATGGGTGGTATGAGCGGGTTTGGTTCTGCACTGTGCGATTCAAAGTGTTGCAACAATTGAATGACATTTCTATTTGACAGACTGCATATCTTCAATCGAATGCAAATGGTCATCGAGACCGAGTCACCATTCCAACACGGCGACGTGTGAATCCGAGTGATGATTTAACAGCGCACTCTAGTAACAGCACTGATCATTGAGACAGGTCTTCATCCCATCACATCATGTTGCCATGAGACATGAGAAAGCTGTTTCTTCTTCACCCGTTCGAGTCATAATGTCTCGTCCCAACAGCGTAAGTGATCCAGCCAGACATTCCCCATGTGGTCGCATTTCAAATCGCCTTCGCCACCCTTACGGTACATAAGTTGAGCGAGCATCCGGTTTTCAGGCAAGACCAGACATACTTCTGCACCACTCAAAGAACTATATATACATACTGGTGGCGGTACCATTGAAATGCCAGGTCGAACGCCCACATCACCGTCTGCAACTGGCGTTCACATGAAGTCGATGCTGATGGCAATTAGGAAATGCAGAAAATAAAGAAACATTAGCTCATATGGATGCTGGTTGATCATCCTAGAGCTTGTGGTCTGGCTGCCACAGGAGAAGAACCATATCGTGCGCTTCCTCCGGGTCATGGACATCTTGTGCTTAAAACTGGACGCGTCAGGAATGGGGCTTCGACACATCGAGTCTGATGCTGACGCCTCTTCGCATGCTGACGAGAGAAACCACCTTCCCATTCTAAGGACGCGGAGGCCACCTTCCCGGATGGATCAACCTGCAACCATGGATTTTGGGCCATCGGCACCCCGCTGGTGTCAGATTGCCATCTGCCACTGTCGTTGGTGCCACCAACAAACCGAAATCTGCACATGAACAATTCCATCAATCAGAGCAGAAGACCGTCAAAGCCTAGGGAGCATTTCCTTACTACAAAAGTCGAGATCGCCGACACCGTCTCAATGCTCTCTCTCAAGCAGAGCCTCGTCCCTCCTCCTTTTTTGAAGGTCTGCCTGCATCTGTTAGATGACCATGGGCGATTCATGCTGTCTCTATGAGGAAGATAGGTTGAAAACCTGCCTTGTACATGGGATCGGGAACAGAACAAAAAGTTGGAGTCACCATAAGGACAAGCCAATACAAGCCTAGCAGTTCCGCTCTGCCTCGCTTCGCGGAGAGGGAACATGGAGAAGGGCTACTACATCACCCACATTGGGATGCTTTATTGGATCCCTCGGCCGCTAGCTGGCCTAGTCCATCGAGCGAGAGGATGTTCCGCCTCATTGAAGCGGTCTTTGCTATTATCTTCCATGCCTGCACGAAGATGATCACCGATACCTGTGTCGCGTCTGTCCTGCTCTGGGATCGTGATGCTATCGAGTGAGACCCTCTCTACTCTTATCTGTGTCGCTGACGAATTGGGGTTTCCTGCTTCTCCGGGTCAGATCTCCACCATGTCATCTCGCAAGTAGACAGGCTGATAGCGGACGTCGCCGTGGCAATTGTGGTCCATTCATACCCGCTCAGTGCCTATCAGGTATCCAAAGATACGGGCACGAAAAACGCCCATGAGCGTCGAAATGAGGTCGTTCGGGTTCTTTTGAGTGATGCCGAAATATGGTCCACTCAAGATATGGGTATTCATGCATTGCCATTGGCAGATCCTTTATGGTTTTGGGGCGCAACCACCAACCTATTCCTGACGACGGAAGTACGCGGCGAGACGGGTATCGCTTTACTTCCTGACTTGCACTTGGCCTCGAGTCAGAGTCACCTGCAAATCCACACAGAGGCTGTGCTGCGTCAACAGCGAAGCCTTGTCTGAACCTATGGGGTCACTCCTTGCACAAAAAGACTGGGCCAGTTGCATCCAGGGCCAGAAAGGGTGTTGCCATGGTCGAATGGAGAACTGAAAGGACAGTTGTGCCAAGATAAATAGGACGAGATGCTCGTGGCGCACATATGATACTTGGAGGGCCGGGAGTGCATGTAAGCTTAGTTGATAGGCAGGAGCAGAATTCTTCTTTCATTCGAGTCTTCATATCATCTATATTTCTCATAAGCCAGCTCTTCGCGATGTCTTTTCTCGACTAGATTGACGACGGGCGGATCATACACATCCTCTGACGCCGAGTCCCCAAGCAGGACTTGCTTCTCGTGCTTCTGCGCTTCCTCTTTAGTCATCAGGACTAGATCTGCCATAGGCAGCTTAATCATTTTCTGCCCTTCTTTCAAATACGCATCTTCCACTCGAAAGCCTTCAGCAGGCTTGCGCCATCTGATCAGGGCAAGGCGGTTTCCAAGCCCAGAAACCACGCTCTTACCCCGGAAGACCTCTTCCACCAGGTACGCCACATCGTCTCGACTGACTGGTACCCGCAGGCCGACGGCCTCTTGACCGGGCGTGGAGCGCACAAGGCGTTCTTCCAAGCCCTGCAAGGCTGAGAGTATGCCATCATACATTCTCTCCCGCCCTTTCTCGCCGACCCGATAGTCCATCGGATATCCAGCAATGCTGCAAATGACGTGGTTCGCGACCGTATACCCAAATACAGCGGGCATCGTTCCCAGAACAGGCAGAATTCTGACCCGAAACTCGGGAAGAACACCGAGTTTGTCCACGTTCCCTTTTTCTACCTCTTCATCTGCGATGGGAAGTAGCTCAGCTTTGCCCTCTCCTGGCTTTTCAGTCGAGAAGACGACAGGAATGCCGTCCTTAATTCCTTTGACCCGCAGTCTCCGCCGCGTGGACTTGGACAAGGGATCTTCGATACTGGTCGAAATATCTCCGACCTGTATCCGTGTCGGATCACTTTTGCAACCCGCACCCATAGCGCTTATCACTTTAATGCTTCGTAGCGCACAATATTGCAACAATGAGACCTTGGTATCGATGTTGTCGATCGCGTCGACCACAAAATCCGGCTCTGAGCGATCTTCCTCGTCTTGAAGTTCGTAGTCCCAAACTCCAAGTAGTGCCTCCGTCGACTGTGAGCTCAGCAGCTCATTTCGGCAGTCTATCCTGGCCCACGGACATATTTGTTCCAGTCTCTTTCTTATGCAGTGCACTTTCGGAGTACCGACGTCCGCCAGGGTAGCTAGGGCGTGTCTGTTCAGACTGCTCAACGTGACCTGGTCGAAGTCGATGATTCGTAAACGCGACACGCCGCTTCGAGCAAGTGCTGCTACGCAGTGACTTCCCACACCGCCGAGTCCGACGACCACGACAAAAGCATTGCGCAGCTTCGCTAAGCCTTCGTCTTTCAGGAAGACCCTGTTCCGTGCGAGTTGTTCTAGTATGAGTTCTTCGTCGTAGTGACCCTTCCGTGCTTTCGCGGCGATGTTTGCGGATCTCTCGTCCTCTTTATTTGTTATGCTCTCGCGCATGGCGCCGCCATACTCCGTCAGCTGCGTCGCATGGTGCTTGCGTGATAGGTCTGGTATTGAGGCTTTGAGCTCTTCGGTCGCTCTCCGACGTTGAATTGCTGTCGCTGTGAAAATGACTGATGTAGCCGCGAGGGCTCCGAGAGCTGCGGCCAGCCCGAGCTGGAATGTCGTGGAGGAGTGTCGTTGAAGCCATTGGGACATGGCTGGCTAGTTGCGATAGCAAAACGAGCTTCCGCCGGTATTCGCGCTGACGGTGTTTTCCAAGCGCAGCCACCACGGCTCTAGCTTTTGATTATTGCATCGGCCAAGATCTCCTTTGTGTCCTGTTCCATGCAGGAGTACCTGCTCATGACCTGTTCGCACAGTGGCATGAGGCTGCATGCATGATCTTATTTTGTCGGTTATCAATCCGGAATCCGAAAATCAGCAAGTCTGCCGAGCGCATGTGCTCCGGCGTAGTAAGATAAGATAAGATAAGAGGCACTACAATTTCTCAGGGCTCTTCAGGCGGCAGAGCCCTAAACTTTAGCTGAATGTCTGCGATGGATATCCTACTATCATCGCCTTAATCTTCAATACGTCCCATTCATTAGAGTAGATGCAAAAGTCCTCCGATACACTGGGTGGCCGCCATGTCGTATCCAGGGAGAATGCCCAGTTATATCACCCTCTCCCGGTCCGAGCGGACCGCAAGCTACTTCATGTGCCTCTTGTGTCACAATCTTATACTTGCCAGTAGTACCTCATTTGTATCCTCCTACCAGTAGGGTAAGGTTACCAGACCTGATATGCCGAAAATGAACAGCCGGATACTTAGTATCCGAAAGGACTGATAGGGTAGACGGGTCGCGGGTCCCGGGTCTTATCAACGTCTGAAGTGTTATCGGGATAGTCAGTGTCCTGGAGTGTGACATGGTGCTACTACAAAACTTGATATCCGGTGAAAAGTTTCGAAGCACAGGGGTATTCTGGACCAGAGCGCATTGTAAATCGTAGAAATAAGCTATGAAGATGGATGTCTCTCCAAAATCTCGAAAGGCAAATCCCCGCAACAATTTTTCCGCAATCTGCTCATGCGACACTTCGTCCACCTGACAACAACCCTTGACTACAGATCAAGCTCACTCCTAGACCACGTACCTGCATGGCCGCATACCTAACTCTCTCTTCCTACCACACATCACGCTTTGACGACCTCGCCCGGCGCAGTGTCCGCCCTGTTACCCTGATCGTAACAAGGGCAGCCGAGCCGAGCGAAACTCGATTGCTAACAACATCTCACCATGGCGCGAAATTCAGAAAAGGCGCAGTCCATGCTCTTTCGATTCCGAGCCGCTCAAGCTGCAGAATCAGGACTCCTACCCAGTTCCTCATTACGCAGACCCAAAGCGCCCAGCACAGTCACCACAATTCCGCTATGCGAAAAATGGCGTGGTCAGATCCTGAAGGAAGTGTCGCGCAAAGTGACCAAGATTCAAGACGAAAGCCTGTCGGATTTCCAAGTCAGAGATCTAAATGACGAGATCAACAAACTCATGAAAGAGAAATGGGGTTGGGAGCGCAGGATAAGAGAGCTGGGAGGGCCGAATTATATGCGTGGAGGTGGTACGGTATTTGACGATCAAGGACGAGAAGTTCCTGGTGGTGGGAAAGGATACAGATATTTTGGCAGAGCGCGAGAGCTACCTGGTGTGAAGGAGATGTTCGAGCGTGCCGCGAAGAGAAAAGTCCACGGTGACGAAGAAGAAACCACACCGGGGCAAAATATCAATCGCAAGAACCTGGACGCGAAGTATTTTGGGTTCGGCTTGGACGAAGAGGACGGATCATTGCTAAAATATGAGCGGAGAAAAGAGAAAGAGGCAACCGAGAGAGTAGCGACGTTGGCCGAGGCAGAAGATGACGCTGATGCGGACTGGGAGCCTTTGCCGGGCGATGCTGGTGATGGCGTGAGGTGGCGGCTTCCAACGCTCGAAGAAGTGCAGGATGAACTTGTGGACAGGAGGAGGAGACAATTGCTTGACAGACTGGTATGAACTCGTTGAAGCCGATCAATTCAGCGCGAGGATTACACCACGAATGGTACATGTAAGCTAGGGTCTAAGTGTCGCCGCAACGGTTGTCTAATGCTGGTCCTCTCTTTGAAATGCCTGATAACAAAGCTCAGACCGACCAGTTGGCACTGCCCAGCAAGACGACGCGACATAAAAACTCTCGACACCACGGTGGCGCTCGCACATCATCCTACATGTTACTTGCATTGTCCAAGCCTGCGGACTTTGAAGCGCTTGGGGCTGGTCGAAAGTACACTCCCTCGGCTCGGACCTGCCGTCGGCCTATACCGCCAACAGTACTCCTTGCTCTTCTTTAGTCGGTTCTCAACAATAGATGTACTCGTAAGCCTGGGTCTTTGTGGAAGCATCAACCTTGACACCGAGCTCGATAGTCGCGGACAGGAAAGAATTGGTTGTTTCGTCCATCATCTCCATGGATCCGGCAATCTCTTGGACGCCACTGTTTGCGCCATTCAGAACGTTCATGGCCGCAGTATTGATGATGACCTTGATATCACGGTTTCCGGAACCACTGGTTGACTGACCGAGGCATGTGAAGATCACATCGACATTCTTGCTTCCTTTGTTGCCGCCAATGAAATTGAGAACGCTTTGGCAGGCGCTGGAGAGGTAGAAAGGGTCGGGCGCATATTCGACGTTGATGTTGGCAAGATATATTCCTCCACAATTGGGATTGATGATGCTGGGATTGATGTTGAGTTGGAGCTGATCGACAGTGGCGCTGGTAGCATTGCGCTTGACAAGTCCATGGGCAGTGTCGTGCAGATTGGGAGCCTGACCTCGAGCCCTGGGCAGCACTGCCAATGCCCATGTGGAAACAGTGGAAGTCAGGAGGACAAGCAGGAGGATAATTGCGGTCATCTTCAACTATCTCAGTAGCGTTGTTGGAAGAAGGTCTTGAGGTACGAGTGGCCTCACATGCGAAGATTTGAGGTATTTTCAGGTCCACCAAAGGCAGGTTTCTGAATGTAAGATGGAAGCAATATTGATGTGTAAAGGTCCAGAGGACGCGGAGCACTGTTGGTATGGGAGGAGACTGCCTGTAAAGGGAGTCGGTGTTTCCCGAAACCTCTGCTGGTACTCCTTCCAGATTCAAGAAATCTGCGATTTCTTCGGTCCTCAACCTTTGCCGTTATGTTGCGAGATCTTTTCAAGCGTTTTCTCGACCTGGACATGATGTGCCCAGTCGGTATTTCAGGTGACCATCTCTAAGAGAACATTCATTCGTGGTATCTTCGGACTGTTCTTCTTGCTCCAGTGACAACCCTCCCAAAGTCCTTTTTCACGTCGGACAATTGCTCGCTCTGTGTTTCTTGACGGGAGACACACTGTTATATCGAAAGATTCTCGATTTCAAGGTAAAGATCTCGCATCGCTTACGACGACACCATCAGCTGATCAGTTCGCCATCATTGGCTCAAGACTTCTGCGGTCCGGTTTGCTCAACTCATCAGCTACCATCGATCCTGCAGCTAGCCTTTTCTCGACCACTCACAAGATCGCAATCATGCATTGAACCGTGCAAACATGCTCCTCTCTAGGCGGAAGCAAAAGATCAAGCCCGGATCCGCAACATTGGTCCAGGTCAGCGAGCGGGAACCACATTCCCTACCTGCTGGCAATCAGAACCTGCTGATCATCGCATACCCAAAATAGCAGAAAAAGTGAAGAGACCCTTGATGAGCTTCCACATCGATCCCACGGAAGCAACATATACCGATGCCGCATCGAGAGGCTTCATGCGTCACCAGGGAATCATGTGTGTGTCCATTTTAGGCACCGTCGTTCCCTGGAAGTCTTGCCCGTGTACAGGAACGTTTCTTGTATTCATTACCGTTGTTAGAGATACATCGCTCGGATCACTTGTGCTACTATGGGCCTCTCTTGAGGCAGAAGCCTGCCGTGCTCATTGGGCTGTCGTTGAGGCAGTAGTACTCTCGGAGCAGCTCATGAGAAGCAAATTAGGAGCAGACAGATGCCTCACGTCTGTAGGTAGGTCGTAGAATCTGTACGCAGAATCAATAGATGCCTATGTCGACGATACCAGCGTACCCCTACGGTACTGTATCTATATCAAGTGCTTATCGGTGATATAGGGGCGTGATTATCTCCAGGCTAGGTACCCCTTTTTCCCGCCTCAGAATACTTTACTCCATATGGAACTTTAAGACATGTCAAAGGCTCTTAGCCATTAACGTTACTTACTGCTCAATTGCACCATCTCATTAACCAACCTTCAAACATGCTGCGATTGCAGATGGAGGGCTACACCCAATATTGGACATGTTGTTGCGGACCTATCGACGCTCTCGCAAGCGCAGGCTGCTCTGGGTGGCATTCTACCTGACCCTCGCAGCACTCACCTTCGACGTCCTCACCATCCTCAAACAATACCGCGAATTCTCTCGAAACCTCGTCTCCCATACCTTCACCGAGCCATCGACTCTGCCATCGCCAATACAGAACCAGAAGATCTTCATATGCGCTCAATTCTGGACGAGCGCACAAGTCATTCAAGACCGATGGGGCCAGGCACTACTTGATCTAATTGGAGTCTTGGGCAAGCAAAACGTCTACGTGAGCATATATGAGAGCGGAAGCCTAGACAACACGAAAGATATACTACGGGAACTGGAAAAAGTCCTGGTGGAAAACAACATCCCGCGATCAGTCATACTCGATCCGACCACGCATGAAGACGAGGTCAATGCAGGTCCGTTAGACGAGCAGGGCACACCACGCTCGGGATGGATTCAAACCACCACCGTCGGAGTGGGCAAGGAAATGCGCCGGATCCCATACCTTGCTCGCCTCCGCAACAAATCTTTGAAACCTCTCTTCGACATGCACTCCCAAGGTCAAGACTATGACAAGATCCTGTTTCTCAACGACGTCGTCTTCCGCCCCAGCGACGTGTTGTCTCTGCTCGCCACGAACCAAGGCTCCTTCTCCGCCGCGTGTGCGATGGACTTCCACTACCCACCAGCCTATTACGATACTTTCGCTCTACGCGACAGCGAAGGCTACGGCAGTATCATGACTTCCTTCCCATACTTCCGCAGCCCAGACTCACGCGAGGCCATGCTACAAGGTCGCGCGACGAAAGTCCAATCCTGCTGGAATGGCATGATCGCCATGGACACAGGGTCCTTCTACGAGGGCCTGCGCTTCCGTGCATTGCCAGATAGTTTGGCGTCCAAGCATCTCGAGGCCAGCGAGTGTTGCCTCATCCACACGGACATGACGGCCATGAACCTCGCCGGAAACGGCATTTACATGAACCCGTCTGTCCGAGTGGGCTACACGGTCGACGCGTATAACTTGACGCATGCCGGGCCAGAGAAGACATTCGTCTCCTCGACGCAGTATGTGGAAGGAGTATGGCTGAACCGCATCAGGCGCACTGTCCTGCCGACGGTGCCGAAGGTAATGAAAGAAATCGACAGGAAAATCGCTCGGTGGAAGAAGGAAGGCGAGAACTCGCTTGAGAAGCGCGAGGAGACTGGTCAATTGTGCATTATTGATGAACAGCACATCTTGATCTGGAATGGGTGGAAGCATGTCTAGACTCTGGAAAGGCGGGGTGACCCGCTCGGACACACGATAAACATACCAGGAAACATAGAATGCGTGCTTGCGACCTTTTGGGAGCCGGCATTCAGGAAGTTTCTAGCGCTACCCAAAGGTCTCACCAGAATTGAACATCACTTTCCGAGCACTTGCAGTGGGCTAGTTCTTCATAAGTGAGGCGTGTTCCCTTTCGTCTCGGTCGCAGGTATTCAGAGATAAAAAAGCCTGACACTCGCTTCGAACCCCCACCGTCAGCGAGGTGTGCGCTGACTTTGACCCTCTGGCCCTCCTAATTGCCACGTCGCGCTTTATAGGCCCTTGTGGACACGTCCGGTCATCGAATAACAGTCGTCCAAAAAGGGTCGACTTGGTTTCAGCACACCTCTAACAGGATCGGTTGTTGCCAGATTGTTCCGATGCGAATTTGTCCATAACCAAATTCTAACATCGAACCGTCGCGTCAAACACGTTCCTTTTCAGTGGCGCCTGGGCAGACGGTTTTGATGTTTCGTTCACGCAGCATCTAGAGCGGCGGTGCTCGTGTAAGACTTCAGTATTGTGTCAAACGATGATACTCTTCGTCAAGCGATTCTTCACCAACGTCCCAGTCCGGCTCCGTCTCGTCCACAGTACCAGGCGGTTTTTCTTGACGTGCTAAGGTAGCCTGACCTTGGGCCACCACTGTGACATTTTCACCTTCACCCTTCTGTATCCAGACATTCCATCTATCGAGCGTGGCACCCATCGATGGTTTGTACTGAGGCTCCGAGGGCTTACACGCGATGGTTATGGTCTCGTTGACGAAGATGGGCAACAAATTCTTGTAGGAGAATTCTGTGACCGCAAGACGGTAAGGCTTGAGTTCGGTGTAGAGTCCGTGACCTTTTCGGAGTACTTCCAGCATGAGTACCGCGGTGAGCGGGCCATGGACAAGCAGGTTTGGAATTCCGTACTCCTGCCGGGTGAAGTCAGGATCGACATGAATTCTGTGATCATTGCTGGTGAGAGCGCTGAATCTGAAAAGCAATGCTGCCGTGGGTTTCATGGTCTGAGCATCAAAGGGATCACATGGTGGCTGTATCCTGCGAAGAGTGTCGAGAGACCGGAGGCTGGATGGGATATTTCGCAAGAAGCAAAGGTGCTTGTCCTCTTTGATGATGGGTTTTCTACCCCGCTTGGGCCGTAGGTTGGTAGAGCCCGGAATATTTTCAGCCTCGTGGTACGTTTTGGTCAAGGTAACGAAGACTTTGGAATCCTTGTCGGCGGGATTGCCAACGACCCGTACACTCCTAACTCGTTCAAGCGTATATATCAATGGTGAGCGGGAGGGGTGTATGAATGCTTCGTTAAACACCATAAAGCCACCGGCCCATACGCGGAGTTTCCACTCGTCGCCAGGTGCGTACCGACGGTCGCCTCCATCAGCGCAAAGATCACTTTCTCTCAGAAATTCAGTGAATGATACCTGTTGGAATCCAGGATGTACGGCGCCCTTCTGTGGAGCTAATGCAAGGTGATTGCTAAGGACCTGAAAGAAGCCGTCGATATTGTATGTATCCCATGTACCTTGCGGTGGTTTCAGACTGAGGCCCTTGAGAAAGTCGAAAGGTGTCGCGAAGCGTGACTGGCTCTTCGAGGAACTATATCTGGCCCATCTCCGCCAGAATTGACGATGGAACGGTTTGAAATGGCCCAGAGAGTGTCTCATAACCAAAAGATGCGGTGCATGCGGAGGAATGAAATTGCTGCCAGGATGATGACAGCGGAAAGCCGAGGACAGGAGGTTTCGAAGATGAGAACCCTTCCAAATCTTCGTAGAGCTGGAGCAATAATTGATGTAGAAGTTGCAAGACCTGCCTCTGTACTAAATACTGTGGGAGGCATAACCGAGGTGAATTCACGAGTCACGTGCCATCGCGCATAATGCGACGCGTCTCAGTACAACTTCATCTTTCCAAACAATCAACAAACATAGACAGTCCATTAGGTACAGCGGATGGTAGACCACCCTGTCCGTCGTTCTCATCTGCAATGACACCATGTCTACGACAAGGCCACCTCTCCGTGACTTGCAAAATACAAAGACTCCAACGAGACAAGAACCATCAACACCGCATGCCATCCGCGCGCTTCAGCAACGAAGCGGCGCGAACACTCGAACAATCCGCAAAAGAAGGGCTTACAGCGATACAGTACGGCGCGACTCGGCTCGAGACATATTGAGACAGCTTGCAAAGATCACTGCGCCTCTGACTAGAAAGACTATACGGACTCCAGCCACTGCCCGAGGCAAAGAGAATCAAGACCCGCTGAGGAACGGCACCCTCAATGACGAAGCCGAAGGAAGGGCATATAAGAGACCCCGACTCGTTATCGAAGGGGACGATAGCTTCGAAGATGTATCTCCACCTTACTATGAGGAGCAAGAAGACGACGATAGCGAACTGCCCGTCGCTCCCACACCTTCCCAACTCGATGACCCCACGATCACTTTCAGATCGATTGATTTTGCCGCCACTGCACGCTCCGACTCGCACAGAACGAATCAGCGACAGTCTTTTCTCGCACATGACCATGAAAGCGTGGACGAGCAGGATGACGAGCCTACTATTCTCACTGAACTTGGTCGTAGAGCAATCAGCGAAGAGCCAACAGGCCGCTTGTCGCGCTACAGCTTCGGAAGCATACGAATGAGCGACTTTGGATCAGAACTTGAGGTCAGAAGAGAATCTGATTTTCTTCAGAGGCAGACACAGAAAATATCGCCTGGAGATAGGGTACCCCAATATGACTATGAGCCTCTTGACTTTGGTGGGGAAACGGAACACTTGGAAGCTTTGAGGAAATCACTTTCACCAATCCCAGCTGATGAGAGCGTGCTTAGCATGTCGCCCGTTGATGTCAGCTTCCAGCTGGAATTTGCCGAACAGGGTGCGGCGTTCAGTCATGCTCTTGCCGGTCGACCGGAGATTGTCCAGCATTCAGCTCCTGTCGAGGTTTCGGAGCTGGCGCACGACGAATCGTTGGTGAACATGACAGCCGCTCTTGAAACTTCTCCCGAGCGCGACCCGACGCTTGAGCTCGGCCAAGCAGGCACAACATCCCAGCGCCGTCCTAAGAAGCTGAAGATGACTAGGCACGGAACAAGAGTGCCGTCACTGCCTAGGAGCCTTATAAAGAGAGTGGCGATTGACGCCCAGGCTAGACTTGGGAACCGCAAACCCAGACTAGGACAAGAGCACATGCAAGCCCTCGAACAAGCTACCGAGTGGTTCTTCGAACAGATCGGCGAAGATTTGGAAGTGTATTCGAATCACGCCCGTCGCAAAAAGCGCATCGATCGTAGCGACGTACATATGTTGATGCGACGCCAAAGAGTGCTTCAAAATGACGGGGAACTCCAGAAGGCTGCTCGGGAGCTGCTCCCAGATGAGGTTTTGGCGGATTTTGACGAAGATGAGGTATAGCCTATTGCCATCACCAATTTGTCACATGGCGGACTCTCCTTGCACGATCCACCGGTGCTTTTTTGAGGAGCATCCACATCATGAGCGCCGTGGCAGCGGATAACGAGTACCTAACGACTGATGAGTAATGAATTTCACCTGCAAGCGTTGGGTTGGCTTACCATGTAAATATGTACTGAACATGATTATTTCTGAGGTTGACCTCTGCTGCTCTCCCAATTGGGATTCCTTTGGCTTCTCGATCGTAACTGACCAGAAGGTCTGGTGTCATGGTCTCTTCGATCCATATAGGCTCCGCGCCTGTGACGCTCGCCATCTGCACGACGTCCGGGAAATAGAATTTGCCCTGTTCTGGGACGTTATTAGGCGTGAACATGTTCTTTTTCCAAGGTTCTCTGAGCAGGCCAGAGACCGTGATCTCGCCTCGAGGAAGCGAGGAAGGATGTCTGTCTTGCTGAAACTTCTTCTCCCGGCTGATCCAGCCTCTGTTGATGAGTATTGTGCTACCACCTTCTCGCTCGAGAGGAGTGATAACCATGAATCCATCTTTTCCATCCTGCGTTCGGGGGCCTATCAGCATTTCTTTGTCGTGCCGAAACTTCCCGGTTGCATACACCCTTCTGTAATCAAACTCATGAATGGCTTCTGGGTCGATTCGTGGAGGAAGCGGTAACGGCGGGCGTACAAGTCGATCCTCGAACCTTGCGACCAACTTTGTTTTCCAATCCAGTCTCTGAACCTGCCATGTCCCTAGACAGAACGCTGTGAACGGTATGACAGCGAGCACCGCGATCCCAAGCTTCGAGTGCTTCTTGCCCACGGACACTAGTCTAGCAGGAGCATCGACTATCGAGACGAAATCAGGATTGTCGCCGCTGGGTGGTGAGTTGCCCGTAGAAGCATGACGACGAGGTCTTGTTCGTTGGACATGGAAAGGCTTTCGAGGTCGAAAGAACACTGCGCGCAGCACCCCTATGTCATGTTTGGCCATGCTGCGAGGGCATATGCAAATGATGGATGGTCGTTGGTAAGAATGTAGACTGCGGCTTTGCATTGAAAATACTCCGAGGTCGTCCCAACCCATCATATGTCATCCCGCATATCGCAGCCTTGACCCTCTCTCTGTGATCAACGCAAACACCACTGGCTTTCTCATTATCTCGCCAAATATATGTCCTACAACATGTTCCACGAAGGCGACCTCCAGAGTGGTGTGGCATTGGCCCTTCAACAGTCCAAAGCTGTACTGTGTTTCGTACAAGGTTTGACTATCTCTGTCACAGTCCGCATCACAGCTGACAATACGCAGACCAGTCGGAAACCAGTAAAGAGTGGGAGGATGTCTTGAAAGAGCCGCAGGTCAGACGACTCCATCCTATACTTCGTGTATTTTCTGACGTTGCACAGATCGCTACGGCCGTCACTGGCCAGACGATTGCCTTGCGACTTGAGGCAGGCTCACAAGAAGCCGGCTTCCTCTCACCCATATGCCCAATCAACAGTACCCCGGCAATCATTGTGATAAAGTACGACTCCGACGCTCCTGAACGCGTCTACGAAGTTAACGAGAGCAGGAATGCACAGCTACAACAAAACCTCCAGTCCGCAGAAATCTCTGTTGCTGACTTGAAAGGACGATTGAAGGCCGCATTCGACATACAAGATGCAGGGGTTGAGACAGTCGCTGAGTTTGGGTACGTGCTTGACTGTACATCGTAGAGTCATTGCTGACTCGAATGCAGCGCCGCGGTCGCAGAAGACGAGCAAACCTCCGGAGGCGTACCAGAGTATCTGGCCCTCCAGCCAGCTCCTGGACAGATGCGACTACCTAATAATGCCTACGATGCCCTCCGCAACCATACCCAGAAACTGCTAGACGAAGGCACGCCACCCTCTAAAGTGTTTCAGACACAATTGTCATTGCTGGACAATATACCCATCTTCCACGATGAGACCAAGCGCCTCCGAGGCGGTGCCCGATCAGAACTCTCCGAATATGCTCGGTCACGTCTACTACGCCTACCGGCCGTTGGACTTCGGATACCCGGCCAGGCAAAGTCTTCCAGCGCACCTCCAGCACAATTTCGCCCATCCCAAGCCGCGCAGCCGTCATCGCCTGCTCCTGCCACGACTATATCCAGCAGCAATGCCGTACCAGCTGCACGTCCTTCAAACAACGCAGCAACTCCACCACCGGACCACGCCACTTCCGAGAAACAAAAAGCCCAAAGATCAGAGTACATCAAGATGCAACGTGAACGCGAACAAAAACAGCGGGAAGAACGAGAACGGATCAAGGCGCAGATCAAAGCCGACCGCGAAGAACGCCGACGTCTAGACGAAATCCGAAAACAAGGCGAGACAGCAGCAGCACAGTCATCAACGTCTGCAGGTTCAGCACAATCCAAATCACGAAGTACAGAGATCAGAGTTCAAGTCCGCACCTTCGACGGCAGCACTCTCCGCTCTACATTCCAACCATCATCAACTCTATCCAAGGACATCCGTCCGTGGATTGACTCCAACTCCAACACCACAGCGCCATATAATCTCAAAATCATCCTGACACCCTTACCGAACCGGGACATCGAGGCCGGCGAAGAAGAGCAAGAGCTCAGCGCGCTTGGCGTGGTAGGCAGCTGCACCCTCGTCATGGTCCCGGTTAAAGGATACGTCGAATCATACACGGGTTCCGCGTCCGGGGGCCTCCTTGGCGCCGCCGTGAACGGAGGGTACAATCTCGTCAGTGGGACAGCTGGGATGGTATTTGGCGGCGTGAAGAGTCTTTTGGGATATACTCAGGACAACGCTGCCACGGCCAGCACCTCTGGTAGTGGTTCTACGCAAGACACTCAAAACCCAGCACCGTCGAACGCTGCGAAGAATGTGCGTGTCCGCACACTGGCCGATCAACGTGCGGAAGACGCGAAGCGTGATCAACAGTTCTACAATGGGAATCAGTTGAATTTTGAGCCGAGGGATGATGACAAGAGAGACTAGGGACGTTTGTGGGGTGCTGTTTTCGATGATGGAGATGCAGACTATGGGGGGGGAACGGCGCTGTTTTCACCTTCAGTATTACATGTGGCAGATCAGGAGTGAAGATATGTTCTAGCACCCGCACTCTGTTGTGCAGCTGTTGTCCATAGCCTCGGGAGTGTAGAATTTCTCCAATACCACAAACGGCAGGATATCGCCATGATTCGCCTTGACGTGTCGTATACACACTGAAACGGGTCCTTCATGCAGCACATTTCTATATTATAGTAGCTCTCTCACACTGACTGGGTAATCCCTCGCCCGTAGTACCCGTACCATCTCAGCTTGGTTACTTATCGCGATCATGTCACTCAGGCTCTCGATGCGGCACCAGCAGTCACAGCGGTAGCTGAGGTAGTGGTGCGTGGCACAGTCAGCAACGTAGTCGGCGTCGGTTTCCCAAACGGTAGAAAAAGCTTGGAGACCTTTGTAATCCAGCTGCCGATTTGCCTACCGTCACTCCGGCCGTACATGCCAGGAGACGAACCGCCCTCGTCGGTAGCGGTGGCAACTGGTGTGGAGTGCTGCTCGCTCACTACGAGAACCGCAGCGTGCGACGCAAGAGGATTTTTGAGGCTTATCGTAGTGCTCGACTCGGCAATCTTCGTTGTTCTCAGTGGAGTAGGAGCGTGTTTCGACAATGTAGTATCCTTGTGGGTCGACGTGCTGCCTGGCTCGGCGTCGAGTGAAGGGGAAGGGCGGTGCGAGGAAGCGGGACTCTTGTGGCTCGATGTACTGCTCTTCTTGGGTCCCACTATTTTGCCGGTTGACACAATTGACGCAAAACCAGGGTGCGACGGAGCAGGGTTCTTAAAGATCGACGTACTGCTTGGCTTGTCACCTTTCGTACTGCTAGATAGGATTGGTGATGAGAGCGCAAAGCCCGACAGCGGAGACGTGGATACCGTTATACTGCTCGAATTGGCGCCTTGTGTTCTGTCGCTAGCCACCATCGAGGAGAAGTTGAGCGTCATCGAAGCAAGTGTCGGTGCAGGTGAGAAAACGGACGCTTGCAGAGGAGCACTCGTGATTGAAGAGGAAGAAAGGCCGAGCACGGTTGAACTCGCTGCCAGCACAGATGTGGTGGATAGTGCGACAGTTACCGCAGGAAGACTGCTGCTTGCATAACTTGCGACCATAGACGAGAAGTTGAAGGTGGTCGGATCAATCGTAGGTGTAGGCGTGGATACTGGCATCGTGGTTTGTGGCTGACTGTTGGTGCTGTAAGTTGTTGTTATTATTGATGAGAAGCTGGGCGTCGAAGAAGCATTCATCGGCACGGGCACTGTGCTTGTTGCTGAAATGGTCACATAGCTTGTAATAGCAGCAGCGGTATCAGTCGAAATCAGTGCAGGCAGAGTGCTCAAGCTGTCATTCCGCGCGGGACCAGTCACAGTGATCGTAATCCAGGTGTCTGTCATGGTAGGTGTAACATAGACCGTAGTAGTGAAAACAGAAGTGCAGGGATCTCCCAACTCGGGCAGATCGGTCGACAAGGTCGTTGCGTTGGAGGCTTGTCGTCTAGCAGGTAAGATAGGTGGGCCAGCGACTTGTGGTCCACCACTGAGACATGTCCAAATTCCGGTATAGGAGATCGACGGGGTCGGTACAGGCGCGTTGGTTGTTACTATGACTGTAGTCTGCGTATACAGCGTCGTGGTCAAATTGCTGGTTATGGTAGTGGTTGTAGATGGGGTTGTGACCAGCGGCATTTTGGAAGTAGCCATAGAGAGTTGTGAAAGCGTGATGTTAGACGGCGACTGAGTTGATGACGGCAGCAATGGCTGGTAGACCGAGATCGTGGTGTAGACAACCGATGTGGGAAGTGATGCTGCTTGCGTCTGCAAAGATGTAGCAGAGAGGGCAGAGGTCAAATTTGGTGGGATACTGAAAGTCGGCCATGCTGAGACAGATGAAGACTCTGGAGACTGTCCAATACTAGTTGTTGCCTCCGAAGACTTGATGCCCATAGAAAAGCTTGGTGTATTTGGCACGCTTGTAGATTGCAGAGCATCCGGAGACTGCGTACTCTCGACGACCGTCCCATTTTCAAGTACAGGAATCACTGCAGACACGAAAGACGGAGGTGTCGCAGGTGGAACCCCACCGTCGGCAACTGAAAACATCCCAGATATTGGTAGAGCGGGAGTTATTGTGGAACTCGGCTCCAGTATCGTAAGAATGTCGGAACCCAATGCAGCATTCGTGGGTTCTGCACTCGGTATTATAGTACTTGGATCTGTAATCGTTGTTATGCCAGGTCCAAACGGTGCTGGCACAGGTTCGACGCCATCAGGTTGTATGACCGCACCGTAGGCTGTGAAGATACCCAGCAGGGCGGCGGCAAAGAAGAAACGCATCGAAACGGACATTCTGCTGCCGTGCTGCCGCTCAAGTCTGTAGCTTGACGCAGAGGAGCCCATGCCGAATAACGGTGCCAGTCTTGAGGATCTGCGGAATCAGACTGTTGCGTCCAGACGCCGACGAGATGGGACTGGGTGAACGACTTCTGCTTTTCGGGCTTTCCAGAGCTAGAATCCGGTCTCGAGACGTCTATGTGGTAGAATATGGCTTGAGGCCGTGCGCGAGCAATGTTGCAAGAAGGTGAAAAGAGTGAGAGATAGAGGAAAAGAAGGTCGACCTCCGTAGGTTTTGGAAGGGTTAGAGGAGAAACGGGGCTCTTTTAAAGAGAGGTCTTGTATGCCATCGATAGTCCCTGTATCCGTGAATTGCCAGTGGCAAGCGAACAAACGCCAGAGAAGACTGTCATCAGAGTCCCGGTCATCGTCACTTGTGTCAAATTGTGGTCCAAGCAGTCCTGCTGATGTTACCGCCGATGCGCGCCTTCACGACACCGGAAGGTATTGGCTCAGCAGCCTTTCGTCGCCGCTCTCTAAAGTATGTGCCCTAGGTAGATTCGAGCACAACACGATGCGAACTCCTGCCGAAGCCTCAGAGGAACAGAAGGACACCGAGTAGCAACATGGCGAGGAGTGCAGACCAGCTTGTCAAGTCTAACCGAGCGGTATCGTTCTGGTACACAACCACGGTGGTTTCCGCATTTCCTCCATTTCCACCACCCGAGCCAGAACCACCGCCTTCGCCGGGACCACCCTCATAAGGGTTGCCAGCGGGGCCCCAAGTATAGTAATAACCTGTCCACGTCTGACAATTGACACTAACTCCGCGGTCGTCAAAGCATCTCTGCCTCTTTCCAAGCGGATTCAATGCCAGCGGCGCGATCGTGATCACTGGTGGCAATAGTGGCGCTGTTTGAGTGACAGGAATAGTGATGGTGTGATGATTCTTCGACTGAGTCGTTAATTGGGATGGTGTTAATGATGGTGTTGCTGGACTCAGTTCGTTTGAAGACGACATGATGGTGACGGCCAAATTGAGAAGCGCGTGTATGAAGATTACCACGATGAAGCACCGCATGTCGAATGATCTGGAGCTTTTGGTTCACGAGAAAAGATATTGACCCTGCTTTCAATGAGGTCCGAGAGCTGCATCTTGTCCGCGCAGATCAGAATCGAGCTTAAATTTTTCGAGCTGCAAAATTCGCCAAAACCAAGTGAATTGATTTGTGTGACCGAGCATTTCGGGCATCAATCGAGTGACAATAGACCTTGACCATTCGCATAGGTCTGTGTATGCAAGGCGGCCAGGCGTGGCGGAACATGATTGGTTGCCTCGAGTTATCTCTTTCAGGCCTGATGGAAATCAGTCAACATCAACCCGAGCCCTCTTCTTACCCCTATCATCAGATCCCGCTTCTTCCAAACCATACCTCTTCTTACTTTCACCACCACTCCTGCCTGAAGCCTCTCCGATCAAAGTATCAATACCGAACGGATCATCTTTGTCCTTCTCAAACTGTACAGGTCCTGCCTCTCGTTCGGCGACATCAGCACCTTTAAACCCCTCCTTAGCTCTGCCGAGGGTTTCGAAACGGCTGGATTTCTGGATCTTGCCCATTGCTTCATCCGCATCACCTTCATCATCCTCGTCCTGGTTCGCTGTAGGCCGGTATATGCTGTTGATCGCGTCATGCGCGGCAAAGAGAGGCTTATCATAGTGTTGGTCCTCGTTAAATCCCGTATCGAAGCCCGATGTCTGGTTGAACAGCCGCGAGTCATACATCGTCTCCTTGTTTTGGGTCGGTTTTGCCAGACCGAGGGCTACCTTCTCAGATATATCACGATTCTGTTCTCGAGCCATCATCTGAATCCGTTTTTCCGTACCCATCCTGCTTTGTCGGAGTTGTCGTTCGTTCTCTTGTCTTCGTTCTTGTCGTGCCCGCTCTCGCTCTTTGGTCGCCTCTTCCTCGCTACCTGACCTCGAATCGTAAGACGAACCAGAATCTGACCGCGACCGCCGTCTTGAATCCGAATCTCTTCTGCCACCAGCAGCAGCCTGCCTCTCCTCTCTCGCTTTGCGTGCCATCTCCCGGAGATGCTCCTCCTTGGCCAACTTCTCTTTCTCTGCAAGTTTCTGTTGCATCTGTCCGCGGAGTTTGACCTCTTCACGAGCATGTCGGTCAGCCGTAAATAGAGCTTCTGCGAACTGTGCGAACTTGTCGTTGATGGTCACATCTTCTAGGCCACGTCCTTGTGCAGCCAACCGCTTGTCCAGAGCAACAGTAAAACCCTTGGGATTCTTCCAGTTGGAGACTGTAGGCGGAATCTTCCATGCTTCCTGATCTTCCGCTGTTAATTTACGAGGAGGCGAGTGCATGACTGGCGGAGGAGGGCTGGGTGGTCCGCGAGGGATCTTCTTGTGTTTGAACTTGGGAGGCTCCATAGGATCTTCCTGTCGCTTAACGATCTTGAATATCCGATCGTTCTTCTTCGAGGTATCTCCCATCTGGTTTGCAGGGGTGTATCGCACAAACGTAGGCTCTTCTCGGTTGACGCCTTTGACATTCTTGGGCTTCTGTGCGGCCACCGCACCAGAAACCAGTTTTTCAAGGGCCAACTTCGTCTTCTCCGCAGTAGCTTCTACTTCCTCCTGACTTGGTCTGTCTAGGCTCAGGTCACCGGCATCGGCGCGCTGTCGAAGCGGTATTAAATCCTTGAAACTGGAATGTATGATTCGGTTTTCGCTGTGGCCTTGTCTGGCGATAGCATCGTACTTCACTTTGCCTTCTGCATCAACCTGGATAGCGAGTGCGTTCGAGGTTGAGGCTGTTCCTTTTCGTCCCATGTCGAGAGGATATTGTGCGACAGGAATTTCCGGAAAGGCGCCTCCATCGCCAAAGTCTTCGGCGTTTCGAGGTCTCCATCCTGATCGCTGTCCGTATGGAGGAGGACCAGCACGCTGTCGAAAGACACAATTAGTATGCTGCCCATATTCCATATCTGGGCCACTAACCTTTAGGACGATTTGAGATTCATCGATAACTCCAGGACCGACAATTCGAGGACCTTTCGCTTGCGCATGAATGGGCACTTCTTCGTGCTCGCCAGTATATTTGGGCTTGGGTAAGGAGGCGAAGAGACCGGTCGCCATGGTTGTGGAGATTGTGTTGTTGTTTCTCTTGAGAATCTCAAAAATATGTACCGTCCTCGTAGGGAGTGTTGAAGAAATGATGCAAACTCGATACTGCGCTATAAGTCGCTAAATCTGACCGAATCATCTCTACGGTGAAGCTTATTGCTGAAACGGACATTCGCGGCAATTGGTGCGCCGGAAACTGCTCCAACTTCCCCGACTATCAGAAATTGCGGGAGCATGTCCGACCCGGCGGCTGAAAGTGAACTTCAACACTCTTAGTTGTTGGTACCTTCGATTCTTCAGACTCACCACATCGCTCCGACTATCTCAGAAGGGTGGAACAACATGGCGCCCTCGCTGTTATCAAGGACCATCCAAGGCGTTACCGTGACTGGTGTTGCATCGGTTGGCGCATTCTACGTATGGACGAAGCACTGCCAAATGACACCGCTGGACCGATTTACGCCAGCTACAGAGCCACTCTTTCGAAGTGAATGGTACAAGAAATTCAACCCGCTGCAGAACCCGACAACACACGATGAGTGCATAAGGCGAATCCCGTTGTTCAAGCTACGGCCAGAGCTGGTCGAGGATGCGCAGAAAGGAGGGTCGAAGTTGGTCGAGGCTTTCAGTCAGGGAATCTGGGGTGGTCCAGGTAAGCTTCTGTCTTTGCTCGTCACTTGTCCTGTCGATGTGGTTCTCGTTCCTGCCGGCGATCGTGAAGAACGTGGTTCAGCTACCGTTGACCGCTGAACCGGCATTGCAAAGAACACCTGGCACGTGACACCTTTCTCCTTTGGTGTCCTATCGACATGGGCAGAGTTTCTGGCAGGATATGAGCTGACTGCCTCTGCAGGTTATACCATTCAACGTTTATACTTGCAGCGGAAATACCGCAACGACACCACAACGGCGCATCAACTCTGGACGCCGGAAGACTTGAAGACTTCGACGTACGACAAGGGTACTGAAATCACAGATCACTTCGTCGTGTTGGACAAAACACCAAGCTCGATTCTCATCCGTTGTGGTGATTCACCGCTACATAATCCTGACACCAATCGACCGAGCGACGGCCTGTTCGAGATCAGTGCCACTACCGACTTGAACCAGGGATTTGCCGAGTTCAGGCTCAAGAGTATCTTCTATCAAGGCGAGGGCGAGGTACCAGACAAGACGCAACAGCCCATGACGGGATACGTGCTCTATCTACACACGCTCTACACGAAGCTGTGGATGGAGAGTGCTATGAGTCGTATCAAGCAATGACCAATTTTGGGAACGTTCAGATGCAGCACTTAGCGAGCCAATGCACATTTTGGAAGTTTCTAGTTCATATTGTGGTCTGTCTGATGCGCTTCACTGATTGAGAATGTTGTACAGCTCTGATAGTCCGACTTTCGAAGAGGACTTTGCTTTCTCCAAGCCTAGTCCATCATTCAAGCTCTGAATGTAAGCAATACCAATCAAGCTATCCAAGCAGCTCGGTCACCAATCATCCGTCAGCCCGCCGAGTAATCGCCGATGGTCGTCTCATCATCATAGTGTCCATGATCATTTCGCGTAGCTTTACTTGCTTTCGAATTTCTCATGAAGAATGGCGCACGTAGTAGTAGTATCCGCTGGTCTGATGACGCTCCCAATGTCCTGCTGGAAAGTCGCCCTTCATCGTGTCACCGTACTCCCTCAATGTCCAACTACCATCCAACTCCTTGCACCAGAACTGTGGGCTAGAGCCTGGCTTGTATGGCGCAAGCATAGTCGGTTGGGATTGACTTGCAGCCATGTGAGCCATGTAGATTGCATTCTGAGCCTGGATCTCTGCGCTGGTGGAACCGACGAAGTAAGCTGGTGCGTTCGGCATTTGTGCGAGGGCGGCATTGGCGGCTACAGCTGCGGCGGCTTGAGCAGGTGCTGCGGTCTGAGTCCACGGGGCATAGGAGGCGTACGGGATCGAGTTTGGTGCTGCATGATACGGTGAGTAACCATAACCATACATTGGGTATGCGGACGCTGAAGCAGGGGCGGTGGGATAAGGATAACAGGTGTAGGGTGTCGAACCGTAACTTGTTGGAGGGCTGGTGCCATAGTAGAGACCGTTGAGGTAATAACCTGCTGGGGAGGACGAGCTACCCTGGAGTGAGATGTGAGTAAGGTGTAGGTGATGGTGAGACTGAATACTTACTTGAAAGTAGTACATGGCTTGCTGTGCAGGTTGGTTCGATTGATAGACAGGAGCTGGTGGATGAATTCCCTGTTGCGCGCCGTCGTAAGCAGATACGTATAGAAAGGTTCGTGGCCAGTCAGCTGGATTTTCCCAGTGGCCGGATTGCGTATTATTCAAGGCAGAAGGGTAAGGATTTTGATAGGTGTAGTAATTTGGCATGTTGAGTGTGAGGTGTTCGCAGGAAGACAGCAAGATGAGACGAAGTTGAGTGTATGTAACGGCGGAAGAGGAAAAGATGAGCAAGTTGGATTGGAAGGGAATTAGGATGGAGTGTATAGGTCAGTAGATGTTTTTGTGTGGTGGCAGAATGGACAAGGCAAGTGACGGCTTGTTTTCACTTGCGACTTACAGTTCGTCGGTCTTCGTAGAATTGGACGTCGTCGTCGAGGAAGATGTATTCTTTTTGGACGGGTTCGCTGGCGAGCATCATCGGCCGATTCCACCAGCTACCACAGGAGAAACACATGATGATTGGAGGACACTTGATAAGGATGGTTGGTGCGAAGAGAGAAAAGGTGGTTTGGTGTTGTGAGAAAAGTCAAGCAAGAGTTGAAGATGATAGAACCCAGGACGCAGGCAGGCAGAATGCGTAAGGGTGGAATTCATGAGACTTCTGGCAATTGTTGTGAAGACAATATCAGGTCTTGTCCTCCATTCTCTCCAATATCTTATTCATTTCGAGCCGCTCAATGCAGTTCGAGTCGAACTCAGTCCTCGCTGCTCGATTCAAAAGTCAGCCAGCTCGAATCCTCCCGCATCCAACAACGTCTGCTTCGGACCATCGCAACTTCAATTCACCCATTCACCATCAGTTGATGGGTCGCCCAGTTCCTGCATTGAGATACAAAATATGAAGCAAGTTACAAGTTCAACTTACTCAACGGACAAGCTATCCACATGGTCTGGCAAGAATCCATCGCTGTCACGACATAAGCAACCGCCCTCGCAAGGCCTACACCTGTCCGCGGCCGACGCAGACCACGACATGACGGTCAATCCTGAGTACGTAAATGAGGATCCAAGAGATGGGAAACAAACAGCTACCCGTATGTGGAAGAAGTGAGTGTCCAACATGTCTCCCAGGAAGGTATGCCGACTGTGCCGACGTCGTACGTTATTACGTCAAATGTCAGCCTCGGACTTCCAACATATCTCTTCCTTTTCGAGTGCATACTTGACATCGCCGTTGAGTAGAAGAACTCTGCGGACGCTGGCGTCTACCTGTGGCTGGGAGGTGTCATTGAAGGCCATGTGTCCTCTTGTTGCACAGCCTGATGTGGAGCGTAAGGGCATGGCTGCCTGCTCTTTCACGCGCCGCCTCCTGGTTCAGCCTCAGCCTTGTGGCCGTGAGACATCATCTTGTCCTTGCGCCTCCTCCTCTTGCTCGCTGCTGAATACTGGGACGTTGGGTTCATCATCTGGTTGAACTGCAATCACGATATGAATCTTCAACCTGCAGAACGACCTGGTCGATCACCGCCTCGTTTTACAATAGACCTTTCTCTCAATCCCGAAGACCGTTACAAAGCCCTTGCCCGGGAATACAAGACACAAATCCAAGGCTTGACCACTCTTTTTGACGATCTCCTGCAGGATGTCGGCCTTCCAACCTCTTATCACGGCTCAATAAACCGAATTGCGCGTTTACTTCTTAGACGTGTAAAATCCCCAATCGAAACGGCAGAATTGCGTGGGATTGCTGAAGTCGCTGGTGTCCCGATGTACCTACTCGTGTCCTTCAATACGATCCTGGATCTTTTGATGGGTTGCACCTCTGGGGCCGTCAAGACGCTGGAACAAGGTCAGAGGGGAAGTGAAGCAAAGTTGTTGCATTTTCGAACCCTTGATTGGACAATGGATCCTCTTCGCTCAGTCGTTGTGCAGCTTGACTTCGTTCGAACCGAATTGGCAGATCCGTCTCGAGTGGTTGCGCGCAGCATCACATACGTCGGCTTTGTTGGTGTCCTTACAGGTGTTCGTCCGAATCTGAGTATATCCCTGAACTTCCGGGCAGTGCACAATGCAAACACCAAGCGTGGGCAGTTCAACTTCTACTTTCACCATCTATTGGTCCTTCTTGGCTATCGGCAATCGATTTCAAGTATCTTGAGAAGCTATACGCTACCTGCAGATGGTCAAAACGCGCATGCCAAAGACTTGGCGGAAATATCCACAGAGCTGGCACTACGGCATACGACTGCGGCCTATCTGGTCTTCTGCGATGGCCGTTCGGCCATTGTAATGGAAAAGGACTACGACAGTGGCCCGATCCGACAATCTGACAATTTTATTGCGGCCACGAATAATGATGAGGTCGCACATGAGTCTGTATCGTACGCAGCAACTCCTGTAGCAACTGAAGTTGCTGCTGGGACTTCACACGTTGCAGCTGGATTAAAAGAGCTCCTTGAAGAGTCTCGGGAACGTCTCAATTGTATCACTTCAAGGTGGAAATCTTGCGTTCGGAGAGCCCAGCAAGAATCAAAACGACGAGGAGCGTCTGATTCCGGTCAAGTCGAGGCTCATACCACAATCACACCAGCAGAGACCATAAACTGGGTATCGGCATATCCTACCACAAACGAACAAACCCATTATGCCACCGTCCTAGACCCAACTACTGGTGAGGTTGTATGGACTCTCGTTTATCCCAGCCCGTACGAACAGGAAACGTAAACTCAGAGACCGCGAAGGATGCTTTGTGATCCATGTCAACTTTAAAGTTCCGACCTGGCCACACTACGGATGGATGTCTTGCACGACGGACTAGTTCGTGGCTGCGTGTGGCTGGATTGACATCACATTCGTGCTGGAGACCCAGGCCGTTCGATCCCATAAGCACCCTAAGACATGGAACGCAGACACGTGTTCGGGCCAGCATCCATCTACACATTGTTTGCACGGATCTGGGTTTCCCGCTTGTAGCAGGATGTTTGATGCATTTCCGAACGATTGGAGCACCGGTCCTCAGGATGCCCTGCCATGCGGTCGCTAGGGATGCTTGCCATGTGTGTACATGACGAACAGAAGAATGAATCCAGTACGAAAAGAGAGCATCCTCAGATAGACGAGAACGTGCCTGATGATCACCTATCACACCATTGACAGTCTTGAGGTGCGTGCGATCCCGGATCACCTTTGATGTCCGACAAGATCTATTATTGCCACACACGATACCATGGCAACAAGCTTTCATTGATTCGAGTCGGCAAATGTTCAGCATCTGCTTAGTTCCGGACCTTCCTAACGCTACTAGAAAAATATGCATGTCCTCAGCGTCGGCCGGGGAAGAAATAGAGTGTATCCTTAGTCTGGACCGCACCAATGACCTCGGTCTGAAATGGACAACGGCGATGCAGCTGGGTGTTTTCTATGTCTCCCCTTGCCATCGCCAAGCTTGATTCATCGAATGGCTGAAGGCCGAAAAGTGTGGCCATAAATGCCCAAAGTCATGACCGTCATAGAGTTGAAATCAAGCACCACTCAGATATCAGCCCCGAAATCTCCACAGTCAAAGTGCATTTTCCTGTCTCCAAAGATGGACTCCACTCATATCAGGCTATATTTCAATGTCTCCAAGATGGGACATGGCATCTGCCCCATTGAATGCATTTCTTCATGATTCAGCTCTACTGTTATAGGTAACTGACGCGAATCCAATCGGAAGACTATGGTAGTTGTCAGCAAGACAGATACAGTCCCTTCCACCGCTAGTTGCTTAGCCAAGCTGAATCTACACCTGAAAACCCGCCGAGGAAGTCTTGGTGAACATGTGCCAAGGGGCTGCTGCTTACTCAACACCGGATTTCACTCACGGACTTTCTGGTGAGTAGCATTACTAGATTCTTCAACGACACGGCACGGCATGGAGACTACTTCCACCCTCTCCAACTTGCCGGAAGTACCAAGGTTGCAAGACTACTCCGGCTCTCCTTTGCTATTGACTGGCACGACTGGGTAAGTAAAGCCTAAGATATCAGGGGGCAGAGGCGTCTTGTACAATTTAGGTTCCGGGATTTGGGCAAAGTGCGTGCGCTAGATAAATATGTATGATTTCATTATCAGGCCAGACAAGGCTGCTTGTGTCAAGGGTCAAGCGAGGCTACTTAGCACAGGCTAGGGATAATGGACCTCCGGGAAACCGACTACGCCAGCGCAGGGCTGAATGGACTCCCAACAGGATAATCATACGGGTTCGACAGACGCATATCAGGCGTTCCGCTCTCGTTCTTTATCAAATCAACAACCATACTTTCATCCTGGCCAAGAAACCAAAATGTATCAGCCTCTTGGGAGACTTCAGATGAGGCTGGGGGTGGCCACAAATCGGGGAGAAAAGAGCGGACCACAATCATGGCCGATCATCTCCTCCACTTTCGTGCTTCATGATACACTATGCACGATCCCTTCACGAACCCTTGTACTGTGCGACCAAAATAGCTGACGACCAAACGTCCTGCCATGCTGCGGCTCCATTTTATCATGGTCAGGACTGGTCATGACTTCGTCGTGCATTGCTTGCCTCTCACCCTTGGCTGGCAGTCATGCCATTTCTACATCCCAGCATTTCAAAGAGCAAATCCCATGTTGGCTTCCGTGGCGAAAAAGACGGGGTTTGCAGGTATCCGTCGAGCAGATCTACGGGTTTGTATCTGTTTGTATATAGATTGTTGGGTCCTGCCTCGCATTCCTTCACTTCACTCTCTGTCGCACGCAGCAAACGTCCCTTCCTTGCATTCACTGAGTCGAACGCGCAACTTCTTGCCTTTGCGACTCGAGACCAATTCGATCATTTTACTATTTCTTTCTCGGAGGGCAGACTGCTACTAATAACCGTCGTTCATACACCGTTGTCCATGATGATCAACATGTTTATCTCGTTTTTACTATTGGCGCTTCCTTTACTCACACAAGCGGCACCTGGCCGAGGACCATGGGGCGCTTCACATCACGCTTTCCCCGGTGGTTCATCGCCGTACGCACCCTTCCCAGGGAAATACAATGCCACTTACCCTCCTTGCACAAACGCCACAATGAAGGTCCGAAAGGACTTTGACACGATGGCACCGCTGGAGCGCAAAGCCTACACGGACGCCATCAAATGTCTCATGACCAAGCCGTCCCAGCTGGACCAGACGTTATACCCGGCAGCCATCAATCGCTACTTCGACTATGCCGTCATCCACACCAACCTCACTCAAGTGGTCCATATCTCAGCTTTTTTCCTGACGTGGCACCGATACTATCTCCACCTATTCGAGCAAGACCTAGCCAACCAGTGCGGCTACACTGGCGCCTTCCCATACTGGAATTGGCCAGCCACTGCGGACAACCTGACCGGCAGCGCCATTTTTGATGGATCCGAATACTCCATGTCGGGCAATGGATTGTACACAAACAACGACTCTATCGTCCTCTCTCCGTTCTTCTCCATTCCCCATGGCTCAGGCGGCGGGTGCGTCACATCCGGCCCCTTCGCCAATATGACCACTACCTTGCAACCCGTGTCCATCGACGTACTGATCACTGGCGCACCGTTGCCGAACAACACCTTCGCAAAGAACGAGTCCTGCTTGACACGTGATCTCAACACATACGTCGCAAAGCGGTACACCAACACTTCGGCTTTGTACGAGTGTCTCGAGACGACCAATATGGCGGATTTCACAACGCAGATCAACGGCGTTATTGGGTCGACGGAGCTTGGGCTGCACTCCGGGGCACACTTCGTCCTCGGATCGCCTGGGTCGAATATTTTTGTCTCAGTGCAGGACCCAATCTGGTGGCCTCTGCACACCTTCTTGGACAATCTGTATACCTCATGGCAGATACGGCACCCGAATGTCTCGGACTCTGTCTACGGCACATTGACGGCCAATAATGCGCCACCTAGTGCCAACGGTACAATCAACACCCTCGAGCCAGGCTGGGGTTACTTTGACCAGACCAATTACACCATTGGCGACTTGATGAGCACAACATCCGGACCATTCTGCTACAGATATGATGTCGCGCTGTAACCATTGACAGTGGTCACTAGATGAACGAAAAGGGGTAACGGAAATTGTCGGTCCAATCATTGCACATACTCGCTCAAAGGGTTGCTGTATGAATACTTCGTCTTCCTTCAATCCCGCCTTCGGAAATGGAAGGGGCATATGCACGCATCATAGTAAAATGGCGTTGGGTACGCTGGGAAGACTGGCATCGAACAGGTCATGCGTCCAGCTGCCGGGGTGAGAGGGACATTAGCTCCTTAGACACTTATGTTGTTGACATGTCGTCGACATGTCTGCTCTGCTTCGGGTCAGAAGCCATTATTAATTAGCTCGGCTGGTAAAATAATGTTTATTCAGGTGACTCACTTTCTGGCATCTGCATTGACTTTGATTCTGCCTGGTTGATATGCATCACCTTTTCTTGGTACTTTCTCCCCACAAAATTCTGGCCTCGTCTGTCACACAGGACCCCGACCATCACTTTTGGCTGTTCATGTTCGTTGCCAACATCAGTCACCCCTGAGCCGAAACGGGTCCAGCATCCGCGAATCTAACTCCTTTGAACTTGACAAATAATGCGGAGGGCCGGGTGGCTTTTGGTGGTGGCGCCGATATACTATGCACGTCCTGCACGACCTGCATGAACTTGCATTGAGTACAGGTAAGTAAGACACCTGCAGAATCTACCGGGAAGTGTCGGTTTTGTTCGTGACAGGATCCATGAAAGGCTGGGGTGACGCCCGACGCGCCTGATCGACATGTATTGTAGACATGTCAGTATGGCACATATGCACGATATACCTTACTGCTTACTGACAGTATGTTGGAGTCTGGTTAGGTATGGAGGATAGTGCCTTGGCAACTATGGCAGCACTGGCAGCCTGAAGTATGTTATGTATGTATGCACCTACTGTACCCACAGTACTAGTACCTAGGTATAGTATGCATGCAAAGGCAGATATGGAACTGGACTCGAATGCATGCCAGCAGGGAGAGGAAGGACTGCATGCGCTAGAACAGGTAGGATCGTTGAAGGTGAGAAGTGTTCCCACAACGGAGGCAATGGACCGAGGACGAGCAGGATGGGGAGTGAGGGATGTCGTGGGCAAGTATATTGCTTGTCGCGGAATATCTACAGTATACACTGAGTAAGGTAGAGCCTTCGCCAGCGCAATGCCTCGAGACGCGTATGTCCAAACTGGCTTCACGGTAGGAATTCAAGACCAATGCTCTCAGTAATATTCAACCAGAGTCCTTTCATTGCCTTTTGGTCGTCCATTCATTTCTTTTTCTTCTTCGTCTTATCGTCGACAACCACCCATCTCCTGTCCACGCCTCGTCTGCCCACCTCCTTCTCCACAACATCACTGTGGTCGCCTTGCACCAGGACCTCCATCACTCCAGGCTTGCCACCTATCAGCTGTCCTACACTTGCACTGCCTGCACACTTCTTCTGCAACTCTGGGCCCAGAAGATGCGGATTGATGCCGAAGACCTCAAGACCTGAAATCCTGGTGACGACTTTCGTTCCCGTCCGCTTCTCCAGCACGATGTTCACGTGAGGAGGCGGACCGGACTTGGGCTTAAGGGCTGGATCGGGGTTATCTGGATCATATGTCTGTCCATTTCGTAGGAGGAGCCAATGTGGTAGGCAGAGATGTGAGTCGTCGAGAATGCGTTTAAGGAGGGCGTCGCGGGCGATTTCTCCTAATGCTAGCGTCCTTGTGTCACTGGCCGAAGGATTGGAAGATAGGATGTTGTTTGCGATGAATGGGTCGAGCTTGACGAATCGTGGAGAGGACGTGCCTGTCGATAGTGACGGGTTGTTCTCGAAGTACTTCTTCAGGAAGGCTGAGATCTGTGAGGAGGTGTAGTACGTGGTCTTCGACGGAATCAGGTCGGGAACAAGTTTGCTTGAAGCACGGTAGACTGTTTGTAAGGTGAGTTTTTGGCCCAAGGAAGGATCGCCGCCCCCATTGGATGTCGCCTGTCCGCCGTCATTCGGGGTAGCCGACGCGGTCTTCGGCTTTGGCAGCTTGTAAGGTGCGAAGGCCCTGACCTTTTCATCGTGGAAGTCGATATCCAAAATGACTGTTTCGCCACCATTTCTGTCTTTTGTCTTGACAAGGGCTGACTTGTCCAAGTGTTTAATGAACTTCTTGGTGTTCTTCCACGAGGTCTTTTTGATCGTGAAGTGCTGGTTCTGGAATTTGAGATGCGGCTGTATCATGTTCGCTATGACGAACGAAGGCTGCAGTGGGAAGTCCATGCCGTAGTGCGGAGGGTCACCGTCCTTTTTGGCGTTGTAGATAGCGTAGATGAACGCTTGCACAAAGGCTTCGTCGACCTCCGCAGTACTGGGTTCGTGTTCAGGCTCTCCTTCTTCGTGTACTCCGTTGAACCCTTTTCCTTCAGCACCACTTTGACCTGCGATGTTCGAAGACTCCAGGGCAACACCACCCTCTTGCGCATCATCTTCATCATCATCTTCGAGATCCAACTTTCCCACGCCTTCTTCGACGCCTTCTGGTGTCGGTTCCCAATCTTCTATCCTCTCCGGTGGAGCTCGTCCACCACTCCCAGTCTGGCTCCAGTTCCAGAGTTCATCACCTTCCCAATGGACACCTTCGACCGCTGCTCCTTTGCTTCCTTGCACGCGGCCGAGACTAGATATGTCAATCTTGCATATGCCCACCCATATCGGTACGCTGGGCTTTTCAAGTCCTGCGACAGCTATTACCGTTCCTTGTTTTGCACGCTCCGGCCATGGTGGACCACCAACAAGGCCGGGAGTCATCAAGTCCGCTCCCGTGCGGAGTTTCTCGACCACGAAGTCTGGTGTGTGCAGAAGTGGAACTATACCCGGGTTGTGCCACAGTGTGTATACCGTAGGGTAAAGCTTCGCATCTTTCCCATATTGTATCCATAATATTCTCTCCTCTTGTCCTGGATGCGCACCGACGTAAATTGTTCCGGAGACCAGAGTAGAGTTAGGGCCGGCATGTGTGGTAAAGCGTGCAGACAGACATGACTCGGGAACGAGAGAGGTCCGCACAGATGACAGGGCAGGAGTAGGATTGCTTGTGGGAGCCTGCCCGTCTGCGGTCGTAGTGGTAGGATCGATCTCTGCTAATGTTGGAACATGCACTTTGTAGTCTGCAATGATCTGGTCGGCGAGTTTTCGACGATCCGAGGACCGTAGAGGGGACAGGTTCTTGATCTGAGGCTTCTTCTTGAACATTTTCGATATTTGGATGTGGGAGTCGAGGGTTGAAGAGGGACAGGAAAGGCGTAGATGCGTGTTATTCAATAGCGGTGGTGTATATTATTGCCTTCGAGTTCGACGGTAGGCGACGCGCTGATGCAACAAGAAAACAATGTCTGCCTGCAGACACTTCCGAAGCCGGAATAAAATCAATGCTCAGGCAGATTTCCAACCGAGTTAAAGCAGAAATCGTGCAATGCAGCGAGGCTTGCTAATTTCTAGTTGGCCACCTTTTGAAGCATCGGGCAAACAGACGAAGTCTACGTCATTTCAAATAGAGGCATCTCACAGCGGAACTCAACTCAATTCAACCTCGACTCTGCGTGCTCGGAGTTTTCATTCTCAACAACTAAAAGAAAATGAACCGCGTCTTGTTGGTCAAGTAGAACAAGCCCTCTCTTTCGTCAACGGATCCTTTAAGAATCTGCATAGATACCTCTCTTGTTCTCCTTGGCCTCTTTCCACCAGTTGTCTGCAGTTGGTGGAACACCAGGCAAGGGGATGTGTTCTCTCAACTCCCGCTTCTTCGCCTGATCTATGCCTTCTTCCTTGTTTCTGGGTGCCATGGCTTTGTCGACGTCGAGTTGCTTGAATTCTGTCAATGACCCCATCACTCTGGGCAAGCCTAGTGGCAACTCATCGCCCTTGTCAACTTCCCAGAAATGATAGAGTTTTCCGTAAAGCTTGACCACTTCCTCCATGGCCTTGGTCTCCAGCTCGTCCCAGGCGTCTTTGCGGTGTCGATGAGACTCGGGATATGGGAGCACGAGCATACCAGACTTGACTTCGAACTCGTGAGAGTGCCCTTTGTCGAAGCAAAGATTAGCATTTCAGTACACATTCGGATAGCATGATAGATAGGTTCAATGGAATGGACGATTACTCACACAACTTTTGTTCCTCTGGATCAAGCTTGAGGTATCGTTCCTTCGGAATCATGTACTCGACACCAATGAGACGGGCATCTGGCTTGCACGAATCGTAGATCAAGCATTGCCGTAGATCTTATCACGAGAGTCAGATCATCGTCTTTCATGGATGGGATGGATGCCGTGAACACACCTTTCGCGACATGCGAGCAGAAGTGATGGGCACTAACCGTCCTCACCTCTCCACGCCGCGCTTCATCGGTATAGATGTGAAGTGCATGAAGATATTCACAGATGTTGTGAAGCGGCTTCATCTCCGGCTGCGTCATAGTCCCGACGTGTGTCTGAATACCCAGATAGAGAAGCCATGATTTGAGCCAGGCACTTGGGCTGAATTTGAGTAACCTGGCGGCAACGGTAGTGATGGCGGGACCTGCCTGATGTGCTATTGGGTGTTGCTCACTCATTGTGCAGGATCTCCGACTGTGATGGAAGTCTGCACAGTAATCGCTCTGCTTATAACAAAGGCAACGCTAGGACTAGTTGTCGCTGATGATGTGTTGATTGTTTGTGATCGAACCACTCGGGGGCTGATGTCATCGACGGATGTTGAAGACTTATATCGAGAATCAGCTGAAGACGTTGACACCACTCATCGCTTCCGCGTTCCATACGAACATTGCAAATTCAAAGAGAGGTTTCAGTCCTTAACGACATTATATTCCTGGCCCAGTCCCAACGGTGATGTTGGCCGGGACAATGAGCAAATACTGCTGCTTTGCTAGCGGATACCAATCCCGATAGACTTGCAAGGCTGAAGCATCCCCGCATGGCTCCCGTCACAAGGCTTTGGACCCCTAATCACACACCTAAATTACCCTCGGCTGCCCGCCCGAATACCCCGCCTCATGTTTTCCGTTAACGGAGGTGTTCAATCAAAGGGGCGGCTCATTTCGGCCAGCAGTCCGATAAAGTGAGGACAAGAAGTCGCTTAAGAGCAGAGCCGGGAACCGAAAGTGCTTCAGCTTCTGATCGTATCATTGAAGCAAGAGCGCGCAGCTACCAGCACAGAACAGGTTTCTCCAATAACAGAGCACTCACCACTATGGTTGGCCGACTCGAAGGAAAAGTTGCCGTTGTTACGGGCGGCGGCAGTGGCTTTGGGGCCGGCATTGCGAAGAAGTTCGCTCAAGAGGGCGCCAAAGTCCTGATTTGTGATCTCTCACAAGAAAACGGCACCAAGGTTGCAGAGTCCATTGGGGCCGAGTTCATCACAGCCAATGTCACCAAGCGTGGAGACTGGGAAACAATTCTGAAGACCTCCTTGGACAAATTTGGCGGCCTAGATATTGTTATCAACAATGCCGGTGCCACCTACAGCAACAAGCCAACGCACACGGTTACGGAGGACGACTTTGACTTGTGCTATAACGTCAATGTCAAAGGTGTCTACCTGTCCACCAGTGTCTTGCTGCCGTACTTCTTGGACAACAAACGACCAGGCGTCTTCGTCCAGATTGCTTCGACGGCCGGCATCAGGCCACGTCCGGGCTTGACCTGGTATAACTCGTCCAAGGCGGCCTGCAGCAATGCAACCAAGACCATGGCAGTGGAGTACGCGCCTAACAAGATCAGATTCAACGCTGTCTGTCCCGTAGTTGGCAGCACTGGGATGTATGTTGGATGCTTTGCTCGTTAGGTATGCAACGAGACACCATACTGACCTCTTTTAGGACACATCTGTTTATAGGAAAGCCGAATACAGAGGAGAATATGAAGTCTTTCACCGCCGCTGTACCCATGGGTCGAGGGTCGACGCCAGCTGATGTTGCCAATGCATGCTGTTATCTTGCTAGCGATGAGGCCGAATTCATCACAGGCGTGAATTTGGAGGTAGATGGTGGTCGGTGCGTGTAGGGAGGGCATTTGGACAGGAATCTCGGGCAAATTGATACTATGTATTCTTCATGTAGGATCAACCAATCCCACCGGAACACTTCAAGAGCGATGATGCCTCTTGGACATCACTCCATACCTGCTTTTCGTCGTTCCACGTTCGATTTCGCTGATGGGATTTGAGCAAAAGCAACGGACCCCTTCGTGCACCCCGAATGTGTCAATCGGGAATGTCAAAGCTAATCGTCAATGTTGGGTGTAAGTCGGACCATACGATTCCCATAAATTGAGGTACGGCTCAAGTGTATCACCACCACGGGTTGGTCACCGCGTGAGATCAACGTTGCAGCCGCTCCGATGCAAGAAGCCATATGTCAAATTGACGGCCGGCTGTCGACGTCAGAGAGTATCATCGTAAAGGATTTCCTGTTACCTCTGGGGGAAGTGCACAGAGCAAAACAAGATTTGCTGTTTTGAGGTCAAGCGCAGCGGAGGTCTTGAAGACGTCGTACAGGAAGGGGTGCGAATTTGATGCAGCTGCATGCTCATCAACAACGCCCACGTGTCTCTCTGAGAATTTGGCCTTGCTGGTGGGATTGTGGTTGGGTTTTCACTCTGACGACCTGATCTTAGACCCGAACTGTCATATGGCCAACACGGAAGTCACCACCTGTGCCTTTGTGGTCAGTCATCTCGTATACGAGTATCGCGACTTGGCCAATAGGCGCGTTATTGTGCATGTACGAGCATTATTGACCTGAACCGGCCAGTTTCTGCACTTTCCTGCGACCACTAATGAAGCAGTTGAGGGGCGTAGAAAGCAATGATTTCAGACTGCATCCATTCGAAGCAGCTTCTTGCAGTTCCAGAAGCCAGACAGCATTCCAGAAGTGCCATTGCTCAGACCTGATTGGCTTGGGCTGGTTACGCACTATCAGATTCCTCGGAATATTTCCGAACCACTCATTTAAGTCGATTCCCAGTTCGTCTCGATCGCATGTGCAATAGGTTCATTGGGATGGCGATCGTGTGTGGCGCGGGGGATCGAAACGCAATAGAGTCAGTCTGATCGAGACATCGTCAGAACTCAGGTGCGGACCGTCTACGGACATGTTAGACTGTTTAGACCACGCGCGTGCTTTGATATCAATATAGCCTGGTAGGAAAGTGAATGCAGGTACACATCAAAAGGGCTGTGGTGAATGACAGCAATACCCTCACACCCAACCTCGGTGGGCCGTACAAATGTGCATTGCGTATGATAAGTGGAATATTTGCAACTCCACAAGCTTGTCAGTCCGTCGATCGCGACCTGTTCTGTTGCGACTGATCAGAACAGGGCAGATCCAGTGACAGAGCATTGGTGTTTCGTACACCATACCCAAATGGACCACCAGTTCCTTCACACATGGGTGGAGGGGGCACGGATCTTTTGCACGCATCGATATGAGCCATTCCTGGACGGTTCCAAATGTGCAATGAGACGATCAGGCGGACACTTTGAATTGTTAGAATTGTTGAGTGGCATGGTTCTGAGAGATGCTTTTCTAGGTCACAACCTCATGTTCGACACCTTGCAGAGAGAAGTCATCGTTAGAACGATGATGGATGACCAGATTTCCGAGGTTCGTACTCGATACGAGGACACCGTACAAAGATACCGTAAAATACCTGGGGGCTTATTAGTCGTACCAGCCTGTGCATCGCTAGACTGACGTTGGTGCGTTGAGGGAAAAGGCTAAAGACCACTGGCTTCGGGCAGTCGGCATCCCTGGTCGTTGACCGCCAATCTCTTTCCCCCCCCCCAGGCTAGGGAGGCCTCCACGGCCGAAGTCCAAGCTTCGGGTCGCGAATTGAGGCAACGTTGGCTACCCAAACAAGAGGTTTGACAAGCCTTAGTTGTGGCCTGAGACTCTGGTTTCTTGCCTGAAAGCTGGGGCCCCCCGTCATCTGGACCCGTGGACTTCAAGCCATCCACAATTTTGAGCTCACACGGTCTTTGGGAAGCCTCCCGGTGATCCTGATCTTCGTTTCGGTGCTTCAAACCGTGGCCATGTCCTTGGGACCTGTCTGATGATCCGTCAACCACGTTGAAGGGTGTTGTTTTTCCCCCTCGCGTAACCAGCCGAATAATGCTCGATCTTGTTATTTTTTACGTACACTCCTTTTGATGTAGAGTCATACTGACTCATACACCTCTCGACCGCGTCTTTAGTCCTCAATGCACTTTCAACAAAGACTCAACGGCTACCTGCAGGATTTGATGTTACAGTGCGGAATCTGTGACGGGCCAATGTTGAATTCCAAGCGATGGGCAACCAGGGGTGGCACGTGTGTAACTGCTGGCCCGATGTCTTTGAGATTTCGGGCTTCTCTCTGTCTGTATGGTCAACATAATCCAGTAATGGTATTATTGCTCGGTCTGTGCTTCTTGATGCTTTCCCCTGACGTACTTGTAGGATCATGGCTTTTTACGGCGCGACTGACACATGGCCTTCATAGTGGCGTTCCGCGTCGTTTAACTTTCTGCTTCCAAGATAGTCTTTGAATTGAGGATTGGCAGTGATCAATATGTAACTTAGTGCTCGACGACATCATCGTACTCCTTGACAGGTATACACGGAGTTCCTGTACGATAATCGAGTAGCATATGCTCGCACGAGCTGTCCACTTTAGAAACCGAAATGACCTAGCGATGCATCCGGTTCTTGGTGATGGCTTCCTTTAGACTGGCATTAGCGTGCGTCGTAGGGGACTTTTTGGCAAGGGTGCCGTGGGCCTGAGAACGAGGATGAATGGACGGGGATGGCCTCCCGTGAGGTTGCGAGGATTTGTGGATAACGTTATTCGACATCTTGACATCTGCAATTCCCAAAAGAAGTTCATGGCGTCCATGCGCTGCAGGAAGCAGGCTGTAAACGAGGGAACGTGCACCTGAGAATCCTGGCCACTTGTGCGGAAGCGAGGAGGAGCCATCTGCACGGCCAGAACTACCGTCCAAGCCCTATACCGGGATTAGAAAGGTGTCAGAGCCAAAAGAAGTGCTCGGGTGGGTGTGAAGATTTGAGGGGATCACGGCCACTGCAGCGCCTACGCAGTCAAATCCATGCCGAAGTGGCTTTCGTACCACGCTTTATCGGCAGTGGGTTAGTTTCAGTCCCAGCTAGGGCACAGCCTAAGTCTTTTGTGGACATCGCACTGTGGTACCGAAGTTTAGTAGTAAGTTAGGTGGTCCTTTTAGGCGGGAGAGGGATGATAACAGGTGCTTGAAGTTGCGCTCCCTCTCAAGACAAGTCTGAGTGGCTGCGATCACTCTCGCTCCAGCTTCTCCTCTCTCACACCACACTTCTGCACCGTCTTCTCTTTCTATCTCCTTATAACTACCATTGCTTGAGGCCTATTTCTCTTGCGTGATATAACGTGTTTGACCTATTTTTGGCTTCTCTCAGCGTCGACATCATTATCTGGATTTGATCTGTTGTCAGATTGCAGGCAACCAAACAGGGCATTGGTGGATCTGACTTTGGATCATCCAGACGCAGATCAATCTGCACACTGGTTCTGCAATCTGCACGACAAAGCACAATACTCAACGTCACTCCCTTTTACGTTATCACCAGCGATACGACACATCCGTATTCAAGGCGCTGGAATACACCTGCCACAAATTACCTTTCGCTGGGACGAAGTGCGCGGAAAGAGTTGGCCTGGACATAACCACCATTCACCTCGTGCTGGACCATTGCGCGGAAAGATTGACGATCCTCTTAACCCCCGACTGCGGAAGAACCCTACCAACCCCAGGCTGCGGGCACAACAAGATATCAAATTCAGAATTCAGAGTTCTTGGTGTGGGCCCCGACATTGTTCGGTTGTGCCACTTGAAGTACAGAAAGCGGTGGAAGCAACAGTCAAGACTTGGGGCTGGTCGTTGCAAGTGGTTGGGTGACTCTCTGTCAAAGTCAACTTCGGCGACACATCATCGTCACGACTTGCAGCAAGGTGCAGGAATTGAACAAGTAAGTACTTTTCAGTGGTCCATGGTTTGTTGTGTTCGACATCATCGGTTGCCTTTTTCTCTACCCTGCACTTGCTCGCTGCAATGACCGGTCACTAGGACGCAGAGGGCAGGTATGTTGTTGTGATTGAAGATCGCCCACCAGGCAGTGGCAGCCCAAGAACAAAGTTTTCGCATCCGGCTACCAGTGTATCTTGCCCAAGCACAGGGTCACGGATATATTTAGGTTGAGACTCTGGCTTCCATGCATACTACATCTCTACTTTTCACTACATCCAAGCATTCAGTTTTCTGTCGTTCACAATGAAAAGATTACCTCCTATATCTGAGCTATCACTAACCAACCCTGGTGAAGGTTCCGGAGAAGGTTCCGAATCACGCCCACCTGATCGCCAACCTGAAAGGTCCGGCTCTCCAGGTGCTCACAACCTCCCGGGTCTCAGAGAGACTGTCGGGGCAGCATACACTGCCCAGCGTCCCTTGCGACCGCTGCCACCTCCTGCTAGACCGCTCTACGTCCCTGGCGACTCGCAGATCTACCTAGACGAACTGCCTGTCAGAACGTACAAAGTTGGTGGTCAACTCTACAACATGGCTGAACCACGAAACGAAACCAGAAACGAAGTTTCACGTTTGACGGTGGACAATAGAAGACTCACATACATTCTTCGAGTCGTTCAGCAACCAGAAAAAGCCCGAGCCTGTGGTGCAGGCGCCAAATGTGAGTAACCCCGAGACATCCAACTGCAATCACTCATCAATCTCTTTGAACAGCTTCCACCGACCGTAGACCAGTGGATCCTCCCCCGGTCGTACGATTGCAGGTCTACAATGGCAGCACCGATGTTACCATGCTTTACGATTCAACGTTCATGCTTTATGCGAGTTTAGAAGTTGCTCGACCAATTTCAAATGGGAAGATGCACAACCCCACCACGCTTGCCGTCTTGTCTGGTGTGGCCGTTGCAAGCGCCGCTTATTTGGAACGTCCTGAGCCAGCTGCCTACTTCATTTTCCCCGATCTTTCGGTCAGGCACGAGGGCTGGTATAGACTCAGATTCTCACTATTCGAGGGCGTCAAGCACGGATGTGATGCCGATCAAGATAATCCACTCCCGCGTCAAGTGCCGACGCTGACTCCAAGTGATCAATTGACGGGGCCAAATCGTGCCGAGAGCATGGCTAATCGGCTTGAGGTTCAATCTGAACCATTCCAGGTATACAGTGCTAAGAAATTCCCCGGATTGAATAGTAGCACGGACCTGAGCAAGCACATGTCCGACCAGGGTTGCAGGGTTCGTATCAGGAGGGACATCCGGCAGAGAAAGCGGCCACAGAAGGTAGAGCCGGAGGTGGAAGACACCCGCAGTTCCTATCAAGGAACCCCTCAGGTCTCTTATCGTACGATCGACCACTCACGATCAGCCAGTCGGGCCAGTTACAAGAGTGACATCGAGATGGACGCCGCAAGGAGAGCGTCCGTGGAAAGCATTTACGGCCGTCCAGCGATTCAAAGCCGTCAAGGTTCCATTGCCAGCATGCCAATGGCAAGTCCTTTGCTGTCCAGTATGACGCCAACAACGATAATGCCTCCTCCCTCCTATCATCAGCCACCTATGCAACGTCCATACCAGGAAGCTCCTTCTTCACCGGCATATATGCCCGCCCCAGCCCCCAAAGCACATCAGGCACCTCCTGTCATGCCGAGTCTGCCTCCACCGCACATGAGGCCCATCACACCAGACCACAGGAATGAGTTTACCCTACCACCTATGCTGTCCACAAATGGCTCATCCTCTGGATCTTTCCCAGCGAAGAACGGCTTCTCAGGATTGTACGATTTGCCAGCATCAGCTCCTGTCAAGCGGACACGCAGTCCGCACAACTACAACATGGATACCGCCATGAAAGCCGGTGCCCGACCCGACCAGCTGCCGATGCCAGCATATTCTTCCACCCCTCTCCGTGGGGTGGACGAACTGATCGAAGCAGACACCACTGAAGATGATGCCCAAGACAGAAATGATGCTGACGGTACGGTTCGGACCGAGCTACAGTATTCCATGGCGAATGGCGCCATGGGTAGTGTGCGGACTCTCAAGCCCGTATACCTACCTCACCGAGCACCGGAGAACTACTCACAACGGGTACATGAGAACTATTCTCAAAGAGCACCGGAAGACTACTCTCAACGAGCACCCCAGAACTACCCTAACTAAGCACCGGAGAACTAGACTTATGGATTCCTGGGTTGATGAGGCAGGAGGTTCTGTTGATTCTTCTTTATACACGTATGAAGAGGATTTGAGGGCGAGTGTGTTTGGAGTTTGGAAGGGTTATACAGAACCAACGCTACCAGTCGGTCATACTAATTCATTTCCCGAGAACGTGTTTTCTCGTTCCTCGGCTCAAGATGGTCTCAGGCCTCAGATAGCTACTTATCTCATACACTTGTCTATGGTGTCGCCGTGCTCTCAGTTCCTACTCTCTACATTCCAAGCCGAGCCCGCTTGGTTGTCGACCCATGCTTTCTGATGCTTCTATGCCTGAATATTAATCTTGACATCGACCTCGTAAACAGCCTTGTTGCCCCGGAGGACGTTTCTGAAGAACCATGCCTCGTATATCGACTCAGGGAAGGCACACGACTGGTCTATCGTGGTGGGTGCCCGGGTATGATCCGCCGCGAATCCGTCTTCCTCCAACTTGAACGTGACTTTGGTCCAGTCGCGGATCAGTCGTACCAAGTCGATGTCTTTGCACAGCGGCGCGTTCTCCCTCGAGCATATTGTGACGATCTCGTGTCTCGTATCGTATGGTGACTCACATTTAGTGGCGGGAGCATGGTGGATCAAGGTATATTTGACGCTCTTGTCGCTGATGAACCGGACCGTGATGGTCAGAGATATGCTTTCGGGATCTCGGGGCGTCTGTGGAGATGCAGCTGAATTCGATCTGATCTGTTCAGGGGTCTCGATGGCAGTAGGTTTCTTTGTGTCGTCCTGTGGAGCAGGATTCAGAGATGTCTGTTCACCGGTTTCGTTGGGAGACGGAGTACTGGTGTCCGTGCTGGTGTCGGCATTCGTGTTGCTGTCGGAAGAAACTGACGATCTTTGAGCAAACACGGTGGCATGCTCGGCGAGGAAGGCTTTGACGGTGGCGAGTTCTGCTTCGAGCTTGGCTTGGTTTGCTTCAAGGGTGGCTTGGTTCGCCTTGAGATTTTCCTGGTTCACCGCGAGGGTTGCTTGGCTCACTTCGAGATTTGCGTGGTTCTCCTCGAGGAATGCTTGGTTCGCCTCGAGATTTGCTTGGCTCGTCTCGATGGTGGTTTGCTTCAACTGAATGTGTGGGAATTTGTCGGAGACCAGGTTGAAGAGATTTTCGACCGAGGTTTGGATGTGCTGGATCTTGTAGTCGTTCTCTTTCGTGCTGATTGGTGCTGTGTCAGGTGCGGGCTTCTCTGGCGTGGTTGGAGGAGTCTTCCAGGTGTCGCTTGTTGGGGATAGTGTTTGCTTGGATGGAGAAGACATCGTTGCCTGAACAAATCGTGGTTTTCGAGGAGCTGGGGCGGGATGAGGGCAAGAGAGCGAGTTGCAAGAACAGAGATCACCCGCGCACGAAAACACGCGTGAAAGGACTGGACACCTCAATGATCGGGACCATCGAGTGTGGTAAGCAGCTTGTGAGCACGAGTGAGGACAATTCTCGCTGGTGTTCGTAAAGTCGCGCTGATGATGTTGTTTGCAAAAGCTTGCGAGTGAATCCGTGCAATTTTGAGATCACGACAGCGTTCGTAGCACGATGAGTATGCCTCAGACAAACATTTGCGCGGTGTGATTGCGATTGTTTTGTTTTGTCAGGTTAGTGAATTCACAGGATGGCTGCGCAATCAGTGCGGCAGTTTTGTGGGAGGGCAGTGATATTCACCTCGGAACAACGTGGACACTGCTGTGCAAGGAGGCCAACTGCTTGTCATGTGAAGAGGTTTGGATGTTGGTGAACTCTGTCAGACTCTGTGCTTAGCTGTGAGTACTTCCCATGGTACATCAAGCGGGTACCCAAGCAACAACTTAGCCTCTTGTTTGGTTCATTGGGGCTTATTTGATGGCAACCATGGGGTTGTTGTTGCAAACGAAGGGGTCGCCGTTGTCGATGTCTTCACGTATTGCTGGCGGCCTACCGGTAGCAGGTTTGTGTTCTCGCGAGAATGATCAGAAAGAGATGAGGATTTTGCTATGTCACAGCTGCAGAGGTTTAGCATGGACTTGATGCTGGACAATAAACGTGGACAATGAAGACGAACAACGGTGGGCGGACAATGACACTGAACAATGATGCTGCACAAAGTCGGTCGTCGAGGCAAGGCTGAGCCTAGGTATGAGCGCCTATCTTGCTGGAATATTGCATGGTCGAGGAGGACTTCACCCTCCCATTCACATTTTCCATATGCTGGTGAAGGACATGTACGTCGTACATGCGGCGAAAGGCTAAACTCCATACAGTCTTTCATACCCAGAATATGACCATCAAATATATCTGTGGTGCTTTTCCTTCTGCGGATGGTCCTCAGCAAAGATGTAACTCAGTTACCTTATGTACGCGACGAAGCTAAAAGGGGCCAACGTCAGAAAATGAGATCCGGCAAGGACGGGAACCTTTTCCGCCACACGTGGCGATGACGTAGATGTATTTGTCTTCTATGGGCATTTCCAGTTTCCACATCTCCAAGTTTATGCCCAAGTTCTCTTCATTCTCCATTCATGGCCTCTTTACACGAGCAATTCGAGGCGATTCTGGCGAGTCACCTGTCCAATGACCGATCCTCCTCCGCTAGTCAGCAAAAGATTCTGGAATCCTTTCCCGTGCCAATCGACGATGAGTATGCGAGAGTCCGGTGCAACGATCGACCAATGACCGTCTGTACGGATTTGTAGTTCCCGCACTCAGTACTGTGCACGCAGCACGACCAACTTTGACACATGGCAGAGGGAGAAGAACGGAATCTATTACCATTGAGTTCACCTCATTGCATGCCCCGTACCAAGCCACATCGTCGTCTACTGTGGCTATCATCGAAGGTTTCCAGCAGTCGAGGCAGATCATCAAAATCAACAAGCCGGTATTATGTGGTTGACCACTTCCTTCAATTTGGGTTCGCTGTCTTGACTTCTCCAGCCTCTCTGTTGCGTGGCATGACTTCAATTTTCGCAGTTCCAATGTTGTGACAGTAAGATGCAAACACCAGAAGGCGAATGGAGGCCTACAATTTCATCTCAGCGGCAGGACACCCCCGCCCAGAAACAATCGACCACTCCTGAAAACAACGTGCGAACCCCCCGACAACTGCTGCCTCGTCCTCAGGACCCTTCGACAGATGAACTATCGTCCCTTGCTCTTGACCGATACCAACGGCGCCATCGTACAAACGTCACTGTAGCTTGCGATCAGTGCAAGCTCAAGAGAGTGAAATGCAACGGCAGGAATCCTTGTTCACGATGTTCGATCAAGGCGCTGGATTGCACTTTCGAGCAAGGTACTGACGGTCGTCGAGGACGCAATTCCTCATCCGAGTTGCAAACGCTGTTAGAAAGAGTCGACAGCTATGACCGCTTCTTCCAGATTTTGCGTAGCTCTTCATCTGCTGATGCTGTTCGAATCCTCCACCACATGAGATCGCAACACAAGGATAACACATCTGATGCAGGCTCTACCGAAGATGCCGCTTTGTCGGCAACCCTGAGATTCGCCGAGTCGTTGTCATCTCAACCAGCCACTCCTAGTGGACCTCCTCCACTGTCTCCTTTAGACTGGCAACGTCACGCGACCTCTTCCGTTTCTGACACTGCCTCTGCATCTGCAATGTCTGACGCTGGCACTCAGAACCCCAGCATGCGAAGTGGCACAGGCTTGGCTGATCCGCTGCAGTCTTTCGGCGTACCGGTGAGATCTCTCAAATCGGCGAGATGTCCCCCAGAGATCATGGGAGCATCGGCCACTATTCGTGCGCAACCAAGTCGTTGTCTAACTCAGTTGGCTGTAGAATCATTTCCCCATGTCTGGCTTCGGCAGCGCTATTACAACAGCGAAATATTCTACGTAAGAAGCAATGGGTTGTTCAGCCCCTTTTTCCTTCTCATTGCAGACGCCATATCACTAACCCTGCCCAGAACCGAGAGCGAATCTCACATTGATAATGTACCGCCCAGCGGTAGCAGCGTTTCCACCACCTCACCGAAACCAAGAGAGCCTACGACAAACCCTTTTCCTTGGCTACCACGCAGCAGCACGAATTTTCGACAGGCAAACAAATGGCTACATGACGATTTGAGCCAAGCATCTTTGTGGTTGAGCAAGGAATCCGACAAGCACAGAACTCGACGAGGACGAACTCCCAAGGAACATACTTCGTCACCCATGAAAAGAAGATGAAGCGTCATTTTGAATGGCACGTCTGTGACAACGGTGGACGGCCATGGCTTGGAGTAGCTCTACGGATTGTCCAAAGAACCTGTAATTTCAGGACAGCGCTTGACAGGCGTATCACCTGACCAAAAGTTGCCTCATCGGTCAATTTGCAGAGCGGTATGAAGTCTCAAGGGCACATTTCCCACTATGGCATGTCTTGGTCGTGTCAAATGGTGACATTGGCGGTTGAATGGCGGTGATCGCCTGGAAGCTTACCGAGGTTATTGAGCTCCGGAGGCTTGAACCAGATCCCAGGCAATCCCAGAAAGGAATATTCAGGGAGCGGCAGAAGCAAAAAGTCCATGACATGGAGCACCCACGGAGCGAGGAAGATGGAGTGCCGGACTGGCTATTGGATATAACACAGATCAAATTCTGCTCAGTGCTTGACTTAGGCACATGGTAGGACAACCTGAGAGGTTTACGAACGAAAAAGTCAATAAAAAAGACCCTGAATCTCTCCCTTGTCTTCGAATGCAGGAAAGATTATATCTCATAATTGGCATCTAACCGACAATGACTCGCTGATAAACAACCATGTCATGCATGACCCAATGCGAGAACCAGCAGGTTACTGAGATTCAGTCAGACGAAAATGGCGGAAGCTCTATCCACTTCACTTTATTTAAGCCTTCGTGCCGGTAGTGGCACCGTTACCATTAGCAGCACCAGTTCCACCAAGACGCTTCTTGCTGACGAGTCTGAGTCCGGCAATCAACATGACGAGAAGCTCGAGACCGAGAATGACAGCGAGAGTGACGATGGCGCCAATGACGCCGGCAACAGCCTTGGAAATACCGTGGCTGCCGCTGGAGCTGGTGGAGCCCGAGGAGGAACTCGAATTGCTGGAAGAGTCGTCGCTGCTCAAGCCGAGGGCCTCGGAGCTGCACGAGCCGGTGGAGTTGCCGCAGGCCTTGCACCAGGCTTCCTGGGAGTTGATGGCGAATACCTCCATGCCAGACACAAATTGAGTCCATGGGAGAGGGGTGACACCGGTACCGAAGAGTGGGAACTCGGTCGGCTCGCTGGTGTTGCTGGTGGTGCCGTTGTGGAAGTAGAAGCGCACGGAGATGTCGTCGGTGGTGGGGAGCGAGGTGCTGGAGACGGTGGAGTTGGTGACCAATTCCCAGGACAAGCTGGAGGCGTAGTCGGGGACACCCTTGAAGTCGGAGCTGGCGGCAGTCAGGTTGGCAAGACCGAAGAATGACAGCATGCCGGCGTAGGCGCCGAACTGGATGTTGAGCTTGTTCTTGAAGCCTCCTGTGATGGTGTTGTTGAGGGCGGCGGTGACTTGGCTGGCGATGATGGAGCCGGTGACGGCGCGGATGGGCTCTGACTCGTTGTACGCCAGGTTCCATTCGTGCTGGTCGGCCAGGGTGCGGAGCTGGTAGAAGGTCTCAGTCGTGAGCAGGTCGGCGCTTTGGAAGTTGCTGGACGAGTTGTGGATTGAGGCCACGTTCAGGAGATCAAAGATGGTGTACGCGTTCTTGAAGGTCGTCTGGCTAGACGTGAAGGTCCGGTTGACCATGGGCTTGACGCCCTGGTAGAAGTCATAGGTCTGGTTGTACGTCGTCAGGTAGCTTGGGCTGGTGAAGTAGTCGTTGGAGCTGATGGCGGCGTTCGCGCAGCCGGTCGAACCTTGCAGCCACGCCGAGTCTTCGCTGTTGGTGCCCGAGGTGACGACCTGCAAAGGGATGAGCTGGTAGCCGTTGAGGGGCGTTGACACCGAGGTGCCGTTGCGGAGGGTGTCGGTGCCCAAGGTCTCGCCGACGGGAGGATATAGGCCCTGGAGGAAACCGCCCGCCGAGTTTTGCAGGACGTTGTCAATTGGTGCCGAGGCGGTGATTTGCGACAGCTTAACGAGGTCGGTGTTCATGCCCCAGATCTTGCGGGTCGCATCGCTGGAGATGTACCGGCCGCGGTAGTAATTGCCTGAGGTGTAGACTTCTTGGTAGCCCAGGTCTGTGAGGTTGGCGGGTGGCGTCGACTTGGCGGTACGATCGCCATGTCGGGAGAAGATGTAGACACCCAAGACGGTCTCAGCAGCGACAGCGCTGGTTGCCAACGAGGCGAGAAGTGGCAGGGTCGCGTAATGCATGTTTATTACTGTGCTTGTATTATTTCCTTTTGGCGACAGTCAGCTTCTATATCAGAAGTGGTGGGCATTCAATCGCCTCGATTGGGATCTGCCCAGTTGAAGAGCGACATACCTCTGACGGTGCGAGCAGCTTGATGTCGACTAAAGACCGTACCTTGCTACCAGGGACGATGAAGCTCTCGACGACAAAAAGAAAGGCCTCTTGCAAAAAATGGGCGGCTGCACACCATAATAAACTACTGGGGTCGATCAATAATGGGTCGTTCCTTATCGGGGGGGGGCCATGGGTGGGAAAAAAACCTGTCCGTCCCTCCACCCTCATTATTGAGAGGAAGCTCGAAAGACCCCTCTACACTTCTCTAGCCTCTCGTGGTCGTGCGAAGCGGGGATCAGCGGTCGTCTGAAGCTTCGAGGCCCTGAATTTAGTGGTCAGGGACAGCCCGGAAGATGCTTCTCACAGGATGAGGTTCCATCATACGGCTGCACTTGCCGACCATAGTGCAGCTCTCTAGCCAGTCACCTTAGCGACAGCTACGGCAAGGCACGGCAAAAAGCGGCGGAGCGGCAAATGTATGGTCCCTGGAAACGCCTTGCCATTGATGAGAATAATATCGTTACTAAGCCGGCGAAACCTTTGCAGATAAGGTGATACGGGTAATTCTCCCCGGAGAAGAGACCGACCAGTGTGGGATTCGGGACAAAAATTGGCACAAGGCAGTAGAAGAACCACCCAGAACAATCATGGTGGTGAGACGATCTTCCGTCAGGTACCTGTAAGTTACCTATGAATGAGCCTGACCTCATAACACCGAGAATGGTCATGCTTCGAAGGCCTTGTGGATGACCTTTTTGTGTCATGGCTACCACCTCTAACTCATCTCGAGGAAGATTAATATCCTTCTGTATCAGTCTCGAGCCAAAGGACCTCGACTACCGGCATTGCCTCTCTGAGGTAGTAATATTGGATCTGATCGGATCAGTATTGCCTTGATATATATATGCATGACCGCTGTCGTTAGCGAACTGCAACTGCTTCTTCGTGCTGCGATATCCGGAATTATGATTAGCATGAGAAGGTGCTTGCTGGGAATTCCCTAGGGTGAGCTTGCCGGCTCCGGCAGTATGCGCCAATGAGCAGCAGATGTTGTCAGCAAGCCTGTTTCCCCGGGGGCCGGAACCCCTCAGACTCGCCCTATAAGTCGGCTTTTTGGGGAATCAGCACGGCCATCATTGGCAATTTGGGGGTTTGACCTCGGGAATGATTTCGAGATGATGATGGCCATCTCGGAACTTGGACTTGACTCTTGTGGCGGTTTCGAGGTTGTCGTCTTCAATCCCATCCCGTCTTTATATCATGGGTAGTTTCTTGATGCAGATGCAATTGTTCTTGTGGTGAGTACCATGCATCTTGTATCAACATGAATGCACTTTCAGCGCTGCCTCGCGTTGCAGCTCGCTCTATTCAAACCTCGGTAAATGGACGCCACTGTGCCAGTCCTTTGTCATCATCATCATCATCACAACAATTAGCCCGATGGTTCTCTAGACCACAAGCACGAAGGGTGCATCAACGACGGAGAGCAACTACTTCCTCGGTTAACGCACTCAACACAAAATTCGACGTGATTGATCACGAATACGATGCTGTGATTGTAGGTGCTGGTGGTGCGGGCCTCAGGGCAGCCGTGGGGCTAGCCGAAGCTGGCCTCAATACTGCAGTTGTCACCAAGCTCTTTCCTACACGGTCACATACTGTTGCCGCTCAAGGAGGCATCAACGCCGCTTTGGCCAATATGCATGACGATGACTGGCGCTGGCACATGTATGACACTGTAAAAGGGTCAGACTGGCTTGGCGACCAGGATGCCATCCATTATATGTGCCGCGAAGCACCTCGAGCAGTCCGAGAACTCGAAGAATATGGCATGCCCTTTAGTCGGACACAGGAAGGCACCATCTACCAACGACCGCTAGGAGGCCAGTCCCTCAACTATGGCAACGGCGGCCAAGCACACCGTACTGCTTGTGTGGCTGACAGGACAGGCCACTCAATGTTGCATACGTTGTATGGCCAGGCACTCAAGCACGATTGCCAGTTCTTCATCGAATGGTTTGCGCTAGATCTTATCATGGATGGCAAGAACTGTATAGGAGTTTCGGCCCTGGATATGGAGACTGGAACGCTACATCGAGTCTTCGCACGGAACACAATCTTGGCCACTGGCGGTTATGGCCGAGCCTATTTCTCAGCTACCTCGGCTCATACTTCGACTGGTGATGGTCTGGCGATGGCTGCAAGGGCAGGTTTACCATTGCAGGACATGGAGTTCATACAGTTTCACCCATCTGGAATCTACGGAGCTGGCGTCCTCATTTCGGAAGGTGCTCGTGGCGAAGGAGGCTATCTCCTTAACGGCCAAGGAGAGCGCTTCATGGAACGTTATGCTCCGACCGCTAAAGATCTGGCCAGTCGGGACGTTGTGAGTCGAAGCATGAACATGGAGATTCGTGAAGGACGAGGATGCGGCCCGGACAAGGATCATATCTTCCTTCAATTGTCTCATCTGCCGAAAGACATCCTGTTTGAGAGGTTACCAGGTATTGCCGAGACCGCAAGCATTTTTTCAGGCGTCGACATTACCAAGCAACCTATACCTGTGATTCCGACGGTCCACTATTGCATGGGCGGAGTTCCGACAAATTGGAAAGGCCAAGTTCTAGACGTCAACCCACAGACAGGTAAAGAGAATGTTGTGGAGGGCTTGTACGCCGCTGGAGAAGTCGCTTGTGTTTCTGTACACGGCGCAAACCGCTTGGGTGCCAATGTAAGTTTTCTAACGGATCACCATCTCCTTTTCTTGCTGGATTGCACATGTTCTGACATCTCTTGCAGAGTCTCCTTGACATAGTCATCTTTGGCAGGGCGGCAGCTGGACATATCGCCGAGAATAACGAAAAAGGCATGCCAATTTTCAGGACCGGTGGTAGCGTTGCCCCCGAGACTGGAGTCGAAGGATTCATTGACCTCGAGCGCTTCCGGACAGCGGACGGCACCACACTTACTGCCGATTTGCGTTCGGACATGCAGAAGGTCATGCAAACCGACATCGCTGTCTTCAGATCCGAAGAATCACTTTCCACCGGCCTGGGAAGACTGCAGCAGGTCGAGAAAGATTTCAACACCAACGTTTTGGTCAAGGACAAAAGCTTGATCTGGAATTCTGACCTTGTGGAGACACTCGAATTAAGGAATCTACTTACCTGCGCAGCACAAACAGCCAAGAGTGCTCTGGAAAGAAAAGAGTCTCGAGGTGCGCATGCGAGAGAAGACTACAAGGAGAGAGATGACGAACAGTACATGAAGCATAGCTTGAGCTGGCAGCAGGACGTTGGTCAAGGTATCGAGATAGGGCACCGGGATGTGGTATTTGCGACACTGGACCAGAATGAGTGTCAAACAGTGCCTCCGAAGAAGAGGACGTATTAGGCTTGCCATGCCTATGTCGAAGTTGATTTGAACTATGCCTGCCTGTACAATAGCAGCAAGGATTGGTATCAAGAACAGGAAGGCTAAGATCGGAGGGTCTCGGAACGAAATGGCTTGCTCAGGAAGCTGTTTGTTGGACGGGTGTCAAAGTCATGAAGCAATCGGCGTATGCCGGTCGTAAACAATTCTTTCGGTACCTTGAAGAAAGGCGCCGTTGTCGGCAAGGAAGCAATCCCCATGGAATATCCAGGCAACTCTGAAGTTCATGAACGTTGAGAGCGAATATAACAGGAGGCAGAAGGAGTGTGAAAATAAATAGGAGCCCACGCCCAGCGGGTACGGCAGGACGCTTCAAGTGGACATACCCCACCGTATACTATTCATACTTTTCAGCATACAGTGCAATGGCGAAAGATCTTCTCGACTTTTCCCAATCATCAAATTATTTCGTCGAGTGTACTCTGGAACACTGACATTGCCCTTTTCTATTTGCGAACGGTTGTGTGCGCAAGGGCTCTTCTTGTTGTACAGATATACTCCTTTAATAATGTCCTCTCGAACATCGTCTTCGAGACGACTCGTCCTTGACCTACTACAACCCGTTCGACCACGGCCAACGTGCGAATGCATACACTCCCGATACCTGAATCGCAAATTCCCGCGACAAGCTCGCCATGTCTCTTCCGCAGCTCCTAAATTGGCCGAGATGGAGATGGACTCGGAAACGTCGCCGCGCTGGGCTGTAACACCTGAAGGAATGAAAGCTCCTGTCCGAACAAGACCGGTTCGACAGACATTGAAAATCAATACGGATCAGCGAAAGCTCGACGATGTATATGTCAAATTCTTGGGCAGAGGAGGAGATAAACTGCTGTCGGAGGAGACAAAATGGCTTGCGATCACGAGCAAGAGCTTCGACCACGGTCGCAGAGGTTTCAACGACCGCCTAGCATTTTTTGGTGAGTACGATCCCGGGCGCCTCCCAGCAATGATGGCTAACAGACCACAAGGCAAGCGAATAGTCGAATTACAATGCTGCCTAGGACTACTCAGTGTCTCAGACTCCGAGACGTTCCTGAAAGGCAAAGACCACGATCCTCACGGCCGTGTCCCTTTCCGACATCCTGCGATTGAGTCGGTGGAGTGTTTATTAGGAGGAGCACATGAATGGTTCACAAACCACAAACAGCTTTCAAATCTAGCTACACAGTACGGACTACCCGAGGTCGTGCGGTGGCATCCTAAAGATGTGAGTCTCGCATTGCTCTGATCTTGAAATCCGCGACAACTGCTAATCTATCTCAGCCTGAACGACTTGATGCTTCTGGCGCGGACCTCGTCTACTCACAATCTGTACTGGCAATCATCGGCGCGCTTGCTCTGGAACAAGGTGGCGCTGTCGCAAATCGCGTAGCAAAGGAAAGAGTGCTGTCCCCGCTGGGAATGAAGAGAGATTGGATACAGAAGATCACAACACCAGATCCCGCCGCAGCGTCATGAGCAGAGAAAGGATGGATTACCCTTTTCGTGTACAACAGATTTCGAGCCATATTATTGTACAGAATAAGAGATGTTTGGGTCCTCTGACACCGCCTGAGCAACTAAATGAATACTCAGCCAGCTCTTATGGCACCGTCATAATCGGTCTTCGCGTCGCTAAAATCGCAAAGTCTAACAACTGAATGATCATAGGATCCAGGCAGAATGCCATGAATCCGACGAGTAATGTCGCATTGCACTGTCTTTTGGGCGCGTTGTGTTTTGAAAAGAAGAGGGATCTGAGAAATTTTGTTTTAGAGACAACTCCGCAGAAAATGATATTGCTTGGCGACGCGTCGAAAAGGTTGCCGCTTAGTCCCCATCTTACCTCTACCTCTCCTTTCATTTTCTCATATGTTCGACCCTGGACACAACATCTCATCCAAAGACTGTGAATGTCAAAAGTTTGGTAGTGAGACTGCAGGACTCTCGTGTACTCGTCTGTCGTCAGCATCAGTCCTCCTCGTTGATTTGCTCTTCCTCTGCCCACAAGGTAGATAGACAATTGTGGTTTATCTGCATTTACAACAGAGATACAGGCAAAATTTGCGTGACCATCAAATAAAAAGGACGAATGCCCTCTCATACTTCTTGAATGGATACGAGCTACACCATGTGCATAACACAATTGGGAGGAAAGGCCTCCATAGTTCTATCATCGATGTCTTGCAGTCTCACAGCCTCGTCAGCCTTGCTTACATACGCGTTTGAAAGCTTGGCTCCTGCCTTGCGGAGTTGTCTCAATGGCACTTATGGCATTCGTTCATGTCCTACCTGTTGATGACACCTGAAACGGCCCATGAGCGTAATGAATTGATGATAGACTTGCGTATATTACACGATGCAGATTCTCCCCTGACCATTCATTGAGCACGTCAGTCTACGCTCAAACGAACCACAATCACTTACCCACCATGGCGTCTGCGGTGTTCTTCCTCGATCTGAAGGGCAAGGTAGGCGGACAAGATATCTGGAAATGATCTCGTGTTGACAGGGACTCAGACCCTCCTCGCTCGAAACTATCGAGGCGATATACCCATGGCCGCAGTGGAAAAGTTCCCAATTCTACTTTCCGAAGCTGAGGAGGAATCATCCGCGGTTCCTCCATGTTTCTCTGATGAAGGAATCAATGTGAGCGGAGAGTATCAAAGTACGTGTAACGATACTGATTGCTGTGCAGTATCTCTACATCCGCCATAATAACCTCTATCTTCTTGCGCTGACGAAACGAAACACCAACGCCGCTGAGATCCTCCTATTCCTGCACAAAATCGTGGAAGTCTTCACCGAATATTTCAAAGAGCTGGAGGAGGAATCAATACGAGACAATTTTGTCGTTATCTACGAACTGCTAGACGAAATGATGGATTTCGGTTACCCTCAAACGACCGAGTCCAAGATCCTGCAAGAATACATTACTCAAGAATCACACAAACTCGAGGTGCAGGCACGACCACCTATAGCCGTCACCAACGCCGTGTCATGGCGAAGCGAAGGCATAAGATATCGCAAGAACGAGGTCTTCCTCGACGTGGTCGAGTCGCTCAATCTGTTGGTGTCTTCGACCGGCAACGTGTTACGGTCGGAGATTCTGGGTGCTGTGAAGATGAAGTGCTACCTGTCTGGTATGCCAGAACTGCGACTCGGTCTCAATGACAAGGCTATGTTCGAGAGTACAGGAAGGGCCACACGAGGAAAAGCTGTCGAAATGGAAGATGTGAAATTCCACCAATGTGTAAGACTTTCGAGGTTTGAGAACGATCGAACCATCAGTTTCATTCCCCCAGATGGCGAATTCGAGCTCATGAGTTACCGCCTGAACACCGCTGTCAAGCCCTTGATTTGGGTCGAATGTGTGATCGAATCTCACTCTGGATCCCGGATCGAATACATGGTCAAGGCTAGGGCTCAGTTCAAGAGGCGTTCGACTGCCAACAACGTGGAGATCATCATACCAGTTCCGGACGACGCGGACACGCCGCGTTTTCGGACAAACGTCGGTTCCGTGCATTATGCACCCGAAAAGTCTGCGATCGTATGGAAGATCAAGCAGTTTGGAGGCGGCAAGGAGTTTCTGATGCGGGCAGAGCTTGGATTGCCTAGCGTCAAGGGCGACGATGAACGCGGCGGCGGCATGACTGGTGGGTTTGGCGGCAGTATGGGAGGTATCTCCGGAGAAGGCAAAGGGAAACGACCCATCAACGTCAAGTTTGAAATCCCTTATTTCACTACCAGTGGTATCCAGGTGAGATATCTGAAGATTATCGAACCAAAGGTATGCTTTCATCCGTGATATCGGTCAGTGGAGCAGGGTGCTTACTTTTCACAGCTTCAATACCCGTCTTTACCTTGGGTGCGCTATATCACTCAATCCGGCGACATTGCAGTCCGCCTACCTGACGTGCAAGGTTGAGACACTGCGTGACCAAAGCCGACAATAACGCCGCATCGCCCGCAAAAGCGCAATGATTGTCCACGCTTGACCGTGCTTGTCTAGTCGGCGCCTCAGCTTCGCTGTCTCGACTAATGTGAAACTGAGGAGAACTACTTCCAGCCTTCATTTGCCGACGATGGAACAATTCTCCGAACACCTCTCCGCTGAAGGATGCCGGTGTGCGCATTCCGGATGATAATTGCGAGACTTGGCAGTTTGTGCATGTGCCAGATTGACAGCGGACGTGGGACGACAAACACGTCGCGGAAATCCGGACGTTTGACAAGACCAACCTTGCTGGTCCCCGAAGGACGAAAGAAGGTACCACGCGGTCAGATGTATGGTTGATTGGGCTGAGAATCTCCTGGCCTAGCCTTTACAATGAACCAACTCTATTCGGAGTTCATATTCGAGATTCAGATTCAATGCTATGAGGTTGACGAGGTACGAAGTCATGCTGAAAATAGAGCAAAACTGCCTTGACACCTTCAAGCACTACCCCCGAAGCAGCTCCATTGCTGCAGGGCCAAGCCCGATCGACTGCTTGAGGCTTTTCTGCGGGCTACAGTAGGATCATGCGCTAAGATCAGGGTGAGTTTAGCCATTATCCGGCCTTGCGGATCGATAGATGTCACCACCCTTCTTGGAGCGTACTGAGGCCGGAAGCAGTCTGGCCAAAATCGAGCCTACGCCCAAGGCGGCCGAACACGAGCAGCCTCATGCGTCTGTGGCTGATATTGAGACTCATGGCATCGGAACGACAGACATGATCGTTCATTATTATTACGACTTTGCCATGTGACGGCTGTGGTACCGCGCGATTCTTCACTGGCATCATCTTGCTGCAGGGATTCAACGGCAAAGCAAGATTACGATCCGAACGCAATCTTGATCTCGCAGCGTCTGGTTATGCGTACTAGCGATCGTGAGCACCCCAGAATTGTGCTATGTCATCCTATGCACTGGCCCAAGAGAATTCAAGTTTCGTTCTTTTGGAGGTTGTCGCCAAGTCAGACCTTCTCTCCCCTCATTGCCATGGATAGTGACAGGTTGGCGGGGAAGGTTGGCCGTGGTCCAGAGATGTCCATTTGAATTGACTTTCCGCGGATCACGATCAGCTGCTCGCCTCACAAAGTTTAATCAAGGCAATCCCAGCCAGCAGCCCAAGAGGAAAGTAGCATATGTGCTACTCAGGAGTCAGGACCAGGGAGGCACTGGGGGGTAGGGCACCCTGACCTTCGTCCTCGGGTTTAGAGTTGATCGCGTCCTACGGGGAGTCTTTGCCTCCCGTGCCCTGGCATTCCATTGTCTACTGCTAGCCGACACTAAAAAGTTACCGGCGACTGTTGTACACGTCAAAAAAGCACACGAGAAATACTTGTCTGCTCTGGAGATCTTCTGGCAACAACTGATCTGATGAGGTCCATTGGTGATTGTTCCTTGGAGGAATAAGCCCCGTGTCTGTGCTTCATCACAACTACTGTATCTGGCCGTTGACCGGGGACTTTTGAGTGGCGCCCCGGCAATCTAAGGGGAAAGGATTCCGCAATGTACGACCTACATCGACCCTAGCACATTGTGCATGCTTGCTAAATGCCCAGAACGGCGTTGGCAAGGGCTGTCCCTGCCATATCCCGCATCAAGCCACCTTCGGATGCCTTTTGTAACGCTTCCGGAGAGGGCAAAACGCGGCTGCGGTCCTACCACGACGCCAATCACACTTGCTGCTATTTCATTGTCATTCGATGCCGCTGAGCGTCCAGAACGCGGGTACCCCACTTGCATGCGAATACCGGCAGACGGTCATTGCACAAGAGTCTTTCTTAGGCTATAAGAGCGTTTCTGGAGTCAAGCAGGTTGGGAAGGCAAAGACGACTCTCTAGAAAATTCCCCTCCAGCAGCTGTAATTGGCCGCCTGAGGTTGACACCACAACGCCCAAAATGTTGTCCCTTTCTGGCAGGTACCAAACTTGCAAAAGACCAAAGGCTCGATCTTGCGCTCCCTGGTATATTGGGCCTTCCGGCCCATCTTACATAGGCTACGCGACGTACTTCACGATTAACGTTTGAGATGCCCATCGTGATGCCAGACAGCCACAGTTGAACGTCGACTCCTCCTAAAAAGCGTGCTCAGGTATCGAATCTCGACGTCTCCAAGGGATTACAACATATTTGTCTCTACATATGCCCATTCCTGACATTTACACATCGTCTGTGTCCCTTTCGCGTGAATATGGGCGGAAGATCAGGCGCTCATGCGACGCCCAAAGATAATGGATCTGCTTTACGTCGGCCCAAGGCGCCAGTGGCATGTGTGGTGTGCAAGTCTCGCAGGATCAGGGTAAGTACACCACCACGATGAAGTCGAGGGCAAGGACACACGTCTGATGTGTCAAATATAGTGCTCAGGTACTGCGCCTTGTCAAGCTTGCATTGCGCTGAACACGGAGTGTATCATTGACGAGACGCTGGACGGTCGACGGAAGGTGGCTCTCACCCGCAAATTGGACGAGCTCATTCACCACAAATGGATCTTGGAAGGCTTGCTGATCTGTCTGCGATACTCGAGAGGGTCTGCCATGATTGACTTATTGGAAAGAGTCAATGCCGATGTACCTCTCAGATCCCTAGCAGCGGCAGTCTCTGCCGACCTCGCGAAGGCCGAGCTTCAGCCAGAGATGCAACTCAGGGCTTCTGAGATCAGGCAAGAGATTGCTTCGTACATCGTCGGGGTGGTCCAAACCGAAAACGACGTCCTGCTAAGACCATCAATGCACTCTGGCGCTTCGGACATGCTGAAATATGAGATGCACTCACCGGACGGAACTTCTGCTTTCGTGGGACTACCGGGTATCACTACTGCGCCTTACCTAAATCCCAATAACGCAGACCAGAGATTGCCCAACTTACACGAAAGATCAGATGACTTTTACCTGGGATCTGTTGTTGACTTGTCGGACGGCCGAGGTGTGTCAACAATGGGCCAGTTAGAGATTGATGTCGCTTCCTACCGACAAGGTATGGGGCTCGAAGATATCTTACAACTTTTGAGAGTAGGTCAGTCTCCACCTGTTCGGCGAACGAGCTACGACACGAGTAAGCATATCTCATTGCCATCACGACAAGGACAGCATTACTGACACTTGCCAGGTCAGAGCACGGATCAAGAATCGGAGAGCGGACTGTTGACCAGTCTTGCATCGGATCTCGATCTGCACGTTTCCAAACCTCACACTATGGTAAGGGATGTGTGCCCTATCTAAAGCCTTGGCTGACAGGATAGGATCGTCTCACCTTACACACAGAACTAGTTCCGGAAATGACCCCAAAGAGCCGCAAAAGACCACTGTCAACATCAAACACGGCGCCCAGCCGTGCAGCACCGCCTACTCCGAGTTCGACACAAAGCTTTTCTTCCCAACTACCTGCAAATGGAGCCAGCTCTCGCAGACTTTCGACTGCCTCTTCAAATGTCTGTGTCAGTTATGAGCAGTCGCCGGAGATGGACGGGGGCTTTCAACATTGGTCGGAGCTAGCCCAGCCAGCTCGACCGATCGCAATGCATCTGGCGTTGCCTCGCATCGAGCTCAATGAGACCCCGATGTCGTGCGCCATCACCAGCTATCTGGACCTCGCTCGCTCCGTGCTGTCTCAGGGAACACCGATCGAAGAAGTCTTTGGGCCGGAACTCCCCATGGTGGACCTCTTATTTCGACCTCGAAAACCAAGTGACTCGCACTCTGCTTGTCATTTTGCTGCCGAACTGTGCAAGCGCATCAAGGGGATGGAAGTGGCTTCCAGGCTCGGCATAACTGTTCTGTTCGTCCATTTACTGCGGGTAAGTGGGCTGCTTATGGTTGTTTTTCCGCGTCTTATGTACTGACAGACTTGGGAATAGTGGATGATTCTATCATCCCGCGAAAACTATCAGAAGATCCCCGAGATCTATCGACCGACGATGACACAAATCAAAATCCCTCATAGCGCGGAGATCGAATTCTGTCCTTTTCCCCAGCTACGAGACGCACTTTGCCGGAGGAATCGTGACTTCTTGCCGGCATTGGCCAGCAATGTTCGATGCAACTGGCCTCACAAGATCGAGAGCTGTATTGATCAGGATGAGACGACACGGCATGTTGTACTCACCGAGGACTTCTCAAGGCACATTTTCAACCCAGACAACTGGACCGTAAAACATGGCATGTTTGACACTTTTCCTGAGTGTCGAGGACTTTTGAAGACCACTGTACTAAGGAGTTAGGGGTGTCAGGATCATGATTCCGGACCGAATGCGACTTCCAGGTTCTTGAGTGATGGTATGCGGGATGAAATGCTGTATGATATGGTATTCGTTTAGTACCGATGACTGGAATGATCTTGTGAGCGTCTATAATCTAGGGTAATTTGTATTTGTGTGATTGTTTGATCAGGCATAGGACGATGAATTTGAGGTCGAAATGAGTCAAATGGAAATTGTTAAGAATAGAGATAGATGATTGCTGTAAACCATAAGATAGACCGCTACAAACACTCCATTGTACAAACAGTCGAGCGACGTCATTTGTAGACCACTTTTTGCACTTTCTGGGGAAACGGCCGTGGCTGCAGAAAAAAATCATGTATGTACGAGTACTCCGTACCCTTCTTGCTGTACACCACAACATTTCCTTTCCTCAAGCAACAACCACGGGTGAGTGCTACCATTCTTTTAGATCTCCCTCTGGCACACAGATTGTGCCATCTCCCCATAATGTCATCGGCACCTCTTCCCACACCGACGCCCGACGAACTCGAAGATCTCATCTACTTCTCCCGCACTGGCGACCTCGACTCCCTCAAAGACCTCATTACCACTCTATGTGCCAGCCACTCATGTCCTCCGTCCGTGATGATCGCGTCGGCCATTGACGTCGACGAGGATGGTCTCGGCTCACAGTCGTCCCTGCTTCATTACCCCGCCGCGAATGGAAACCTCGAAGTCATCCAATATCTGGTGTCGCTGCTCACGCCGTCGAATGCATTGGGCAATAGTGTCGGTGCGACCACCGCGGAGAAATCGGCGCCGCAGCTGGTGAATCACAGGAATGTCAATGGGAATACACCCATGCATTGGGCAGGGATGAACGGGCATTTGGAGGTGGTCAAAGTTTTAGTCGGGGCAGGGGCAGATCCGGGTATTGTGAATGCCGCGGGCCGGGATGCCGTGGTTGAGAGTGAGTGTAGTGCGAAAGATGGTGCGGCTGAGTGTGCGGACTGGATGTTGAAACACTGTGAGGGTCTACAAAGGGGCGTTGGTGTCAATGATACGCAAAATGGTGATGAAGAGGAGGTCGAGGCTGACGCGGCGGACGAAGATATGGAAGATGATGCCGTTGCAGGAGAGGAGGGAGCAGATGGCGTAAATGGACAACAGACGTGATGAAAATGGAGATTGCGATCATTATGACCAGTTCGGCGGTTGTACGGAAAGTGGAAAGCCATCAGCTATGCATTCGCTATGATACCGACACATCGATCCAACAACAAGGACAACAGATGTTTCTCATTGCCACTACCGCCGCCTCTTATATCCGCCTTCGACCTAACCGGCATTTGTTCACCGCGAAGGATTGTTGAGGTCCTCTCCGGCTGGCTCAATACGAGGCACACCACTCAGTCAACGATAGGCACACAACGACATCCGGCACCTTCTTTGTCCGAGACGCTGCAGAAAGAGTCTGGACATATCTGGCCAGTCTCCTGGTTGACGACGCAGGTTGAGTCTTGGCAGATCCCGACCAGCACTCGCTAAGGGTGATCATTAGCTTCTGAGCTGAAATTATGCTTCTTTTGAACAGGAGAATCGTTTTGACAGGGGAAGACTTACCTTGACGAGCTTGTCGTCTCGAATAGGACCTGAACAAGACTCCGTTGGCACAGGCGTGGCCAAAGTGGAGGGGATGAGGAGCGCAAAGCTACCGAGGAGGATGAGGAGCGCAAAGCTACCGAGGAGGATGTTGTTGAGCAGCATGTTGGATGGATCTAAAGCTTGCTGTGGAATTGAAATCAGATGCGGTCTTCGACAACAAGTCTATCCCTGATGATTTCAGCGACGCTGGTGGCTGTTGTTCCGGAACGGATTGCAAGGGAATTTCGTTCACATCTCCCGGAAAGACGCGACATGCTTTTATACACACCGAGAACTGCTCGTGTTCGCACGAGCAGCGCGGTGCTCATCACCCCTCAGACTCCATGATGACGAGGCTGGAAGCTCTGCACCGTGGTCAGCAGCTGATGGCAATGCGGTCGAAAAGACGGTTCAAATACGAATAGTCATCGAACCAAGAGTGCGGTTACGTTCTGGAGGCTGGCAGACTCGTCTACTCTTACGTTTCTTCTGCACTCATGAATCGCTCGACTGGAAGAATGGTTGTGGCTGCAGGCACGACTTCGAATGATGCCAGAGAAGCACAGCTGAGGCGCATTGCTGGTGTCACCAAAACCAGTTGGGCAGTCATTGAAACGCCAACAAAGGTTCCAGGTTTCATTGTCACATTAAGGATGCGTTACTGGACGGTCACTTGTGCGAAGCCTGGTTCTGGATTTTGATGACCCTCCCGCTCACCTCTTCGAGTCTCAGTGGAGATGAATCATGATCAGAAGGTACAGTCAACGCCAATTGATCACATGCAACAACCACGGTCGAGACGTCTGAAGGAACAAGACTCGATGGCCAGAGACGCCAGACTCGTGTGCACTCGAAGACATATGGCGCAATCGGAAAGAATTCTGGACGTGGCTTCCTACGCTGCAAAAGTTTGTGTTGGTACAGAGATGTGGCCATAAATGTTGAGAGCAAGCTTCGACTTTGGTGTGGGAACATCTCGATGCCTCGCAACTTCGCAAGCCACGGTGTTCGTTTCTGGCACTGTGCAGGGTGTCAAATGCGGGGACCCGTAGTTGGATACGAGGCTGTGAGCATGACTGATGGTAATTCTCCCGAAGTCAGATCAGCTGAGGTTTGGCTTTGGTCCAGGCTTTGAGGGAGATATGCTGACCTCGCACAAATCATGCGATGTCCAATTACGACCTGCAGCAAGCTGCAGCGAATACGAGGACAGCGGCATTTTATGACCTCTGATACTCGTACACACGTTCAGGGTGAGAGGTGGTTGGTGGTACGAGGTCTGTCATTTCTGTGAGACCTGACCTGGCGGCTTCGTTTCGTCCCCACAAATTTACTTTTACTTGAGGCCTAACGAGGACTGGCACGGGGCGATGGATGAGACCGCTGGAGGGGACTGCGCAGATGCGGTCTCGCGCCTGATCAAAGTACAGAAAGTACGATCTAGAAACTCTGCAGGGCAGGACGAGGATCGGGTATCGAGATTGCCTTCGGTGGAAAGCTTGCCGAAGCCACGGTATGGTCCGGACCAGCATGGGTATGCTTGTATGTACGCGACATCAGGACTGCGATTGTGGCATACCTAGGTACATTGCCGATGCATCGGAATAGAGTTCGTTCTGCAAGAATACCAGACGTGCATGGTGCCATGTACGTTAGGTATTCAAGGTGAAGGAAAGTAAATCCGCAAGACGAGCCAGCCGACTTCCAGGGTGCAGTGGCATCATCAGAGTTTCGGGGCCTCCTCGATGATATATTTCCTCAACAGCGATCTAAGTTTCTTCAAAGACAAGGTTATACCTTCGGTCCAGGACTCCGAAGACCCATCACATCGAAGTATAAGTCTAGGGATGTGCTGTCAAGGGCGACCCCCAACCGTGAACATGCTGCAACTTGTGTTGTCGGTGTACGCCTACTCTCCGTCAAGGCGATCCCATATCTCCTGGGACCCATGTTGGCGAAACTTGACTTGATTGTCGTCCGTGCATAGCGCGTCGTCGACGAGATCCCTGCGTGAGTCGCCATCTTCGACAGGAAGAATCATGCTCCGCTCGCAAACTCTCGATCCGCATGCCCATGCCCGAAAAGCTTCTTCACGATCAACTTCCGATCTTCGGCTAGGCGACGAAGGTCTTCCTCGCTCCGATCAACATTCACCATGCCTCCCTCCTCGACATCCTCACCCGGACATCTTTGACAGGGTTCACTGCCCCAGCACCAACCTTCCTGCCAGGATGGGTCCATTTGCCTCCGTTAGCGACGGGCACCATGTCCCATTGCATGATGATGGCCGCCGCGAAAAGGACGACCTCTCTCTCGGCAAATGTCTTGCCCTTGCACATCTGCTTACCACCGCCCCAGACCTTCATTGTGCCGTACTCGACTCTGACGTCCTCGCCGCTGCTCGCGTCTTTTTCAGCATCTTTGGCCCAGAAGCGCCGTGGGTCGAACCGCTCGGGATCGCGGAAATACTTTTCGTCGCTCTGGTGCACGCCGTGTGGAATGCAGATGAGCTCGCCCTTGCGCAGGAGGAACGACTGGCTTTCGTTCTTGCCCAGCATACGGGCATCCTGCTCGGACTCGGTCACGACAAAGTCCTCCTCGATCATCTTGTAGCTCATGCTCGCGGCCTCGAGACGCATCGTCTCGAAAAATGCGCCCTTCAGCAGTGGACATTTAGTCCACAGCGCAGCGATGTCGATGTCCAGCCGTGGCGCTTCTTTGATCGGGAGACCTGTGTCTGCGGGCTTGTTGATCTTCACATACGGCGCGACTTCCCTGCGTAGTTCTTCCAACAATCTTGGGTCTGAGTAGATGTACCATACCATCCAGAAGATGACCGGGTTGGCGTTGATGTTCATGGCCCATAGGATCGCACCGTTACCTGTGGCCCAGCCCCGTGGGGAGCTGCCTGCTTTGCGAAATTCGATGGCTCGGTCGGCAATCACGCTCGACACGTCGGACATGTCACTCCAGCGTGGTCCCGGGTCTTGGCCATCCACGTACTTGAAGTAAGCATCGTGGTGGTCCAATACGGCGTTGATGATTCTTTCGCGTGCCGTTGATGCGCTTGCCATGCCGGGAATCCAGCTCGGCGTGCCGGCCAAGAAGAGATTGAACCGCGTGTCCATCTCGAACAGGTCCTGCATGATGTCCGGGTAGTTTTCGATGAAGTTTTGTCCGAATAGGACATCTGTGGCGATGTTACCGACAAAGAATCGCAACAGTGGGAAGAGACTGGCTTCGGCAACAAAGCTGTCGTCGTTGTCGCTCTTGGAGATGATTTCGACATTGGCCAGACGTTCCCAGCTGCTCTGGTCGACTGGACTTTCGAGTCCGGAGACCAAATTCCACATTCGTTCTTCCACGCGTTTGACTGTGCCTTTGATTGCGGTCGTGACGAAGCTTTCTCGTAGCATGCCGGTGAGGGCGCTGTGGATTGCCCCCCACAGGGCGTTAGGTTCTACAGCCTTGATAGCTCCGTGGTCGTCCCAGAATGTCCTCATAATGTGGTAGACGAAGGGCTCCATGGTGATTGGGCTGTGTCTGTCGATCAGGATCTGGCGAGCTATGCTGGGTGATGTGACTACGTTGTGTGTGGAGTTCGTCATGGATAGAGCGTAGATAGAGGCGTTTGGACCGAGCGAGCGCGCCTCGCGAGTGAGGAAATCCGTTCCGCCCGAGACAAAGGATATGCCGTGACCGAGCCATGGGATCCAGTATGGGAGGATTGGGACTGTCTTTGGGCCTGTGGATGGTTGGCCTAGCTTGGAAATGGCGGAGGAGTATCTGATGCCCGAGACGATTCGCGTGTACACGCATATCAGGACCAGTACAGCCAGCAGCGACAGTAAGGGATGAATGAGGACGGTGTTGACGGTCGACTGCAGGATGGCCACCGGGCCCTGCTGCGTGATATCCATGTCTTCCGTCTAGGTGGTACGATCTGCGCCTTCAAAGTTTGTTTAACAAAGTCGCTGAAAAGCCCAAGTAGATGGCGAGAGGGGGACAAGTCGTTAAGTCATTACAGTTGCGCCAGTTTCCTAACATATGTTGACACAAAGCTGCACCTGAATTCGAATGCACTGCTGGTCATGGACAGTAAGATGAGGGGATTGGAATGCGGTTAGAAGATCACCCATCTCGGTTTCGGGTGAGATTGTGATTTGGGCGTTTGATAAAGGAATCCCGCCACAGCCGCCAGCAGCTCCGTATTGGACGCCTTAACAGGGGGCCTCACTGCCATTCACCAACCAGGCTTTCTTGATGACTTTGGCGTATCACAGTCGCAGCTCCGCCGTGCCACCGTCACACTACCTTATGGCAGGGACAGTAAACATGGATATGTATACTACTAGTAACGAAAGCACAGAGCAGGTACAACCTACGAGAACAATCTTCCCTTGTGTTACATCTTCATTCTTCGTTCATATTTGCCTGGTCTGAGATAGGTTTGTATGTGAGTAGTACCTCGTGCTGTCGGGGTACATGTAATCGAAAACTGAGTAGAATTGTCCTCCTCTTGGTATCATTCACGAGATACAGTCTCTGACTCCTTGATCAGAACTGCGTTGTAAGCACCTTCTTCAACTTTGCGCTTTCTGCCTCGTATTTCTGAATCTTGACTTGACTGCCCATGACCTTCTCCATGCACCATTGTATTCTGGGCTTCAACTCGCTCGGTGTGCCAGGTAACTCAGCCAGCGTGCTTAGTTCATTTTCATATTTCTCGACGTTCTTGTTCTCGATGCTTATGAGTTGTGTCATGATCGCCAGATCCATGCGCGCTTTGAGAACCTCGTCTTCAGTGAGTAGTGCAAAAGCGGCAGAATAGACCGGCTTGCCGGGCTTGATGCCGTTGGGTCGCCCATTGCTCGAAGTGATGGTGATCAATTCGGCTTGCTCAAGCGTTTGCAGGACCTGTTCGCCATTGGAGAACAACGAATCGAGCAACACTTCGTTATATCGAAGAACTTCATTTGCAGCCAGTTGTTTGATCAGTAGCCATGCTTGCTGGGGTGTCCACTTGCGATTGGCAGGATCGACTTCGAGAAGATACATCTTCAAAATCTCGGAGGCAGATTGCTCAATAATCTGCTGCACGGCTCCTTTGCACATTGTTAGTAAATATGAGAGGATGCTGGGCACATTGCACACTTACTAGTCGGTGACTCTCCTGTCTTGATTCTTCTGGCGAGGAATTCCAGATCTGTCAAGCGACCTCCTAGAACCTGGATCACGCTGTCGAGCTCGTCGATGTTGGTCTGCATCTGCACAGGGCTGACTTTTTCTGGGCCCTCCGCTGGCTCGCTGGGTTCAGCTTTGAGGTGCTGGAGCACCAGTTTCTTGGCTACATCCGGCGTGCAATCGCTCAGAGTGATTTGACGGAACACTCTATCTGGTAGAGCTTTGCTGAGTGACTTGGAAAAAGAGACATCCGTGGTCAGAAAGACGACGTGGGCGACGTTCTGTGTTGTCAAAGCAGCTGCCCACTCTCCCAATTTGTCGTAGACCAGACTTGTCGACCCTTCGTTGTTCTTGTGTAAGAAATTATCTATCACAACCACTGGTCGATACTCTGGATGAGCTTCCAGCCACTCGTCGTCTGCGATTTGGGCATCTTTTTCATCCTTTGTACGATGAGACAAAGCAATCTCCTTCAGTGCAGTGGTGGTATTGTTCCAAATCTTGGCCAATTGCGAGTCCAGAGTCTCGGAAAACCCAGTCTTGGTACCAATAGTTCCCATGGCAGCGAGATCGATCATGCTACTCATGTTGTTCATCCATGAAAACACTGGTTTGTACCCGACTTCAGCCGCCGCCGCAGCAATAGTCCCACTGTCTCCACGTGCTTCCTGGATTCTCTTGCAGTCAATGACGAGTATGTTGGGTCGATCTTTCAACGCCTGGTCCATGACAAGCTCCTTCTTGCCAGCTCCTCGAGGTCCTTGTACGACGATGAAAGTGTCTGCCGTCTCAATGAGCCACGTCTGCAATTGGGTGATTGCACCCTGACGATCCTCCCAAATGATCCTCAGATTTTCCGCTGCTGCATCCTGTTTTCTGAGTTTCAGGTAATCGTACCCTCGACTAAGCCACCTTTTCGCCCATCTGTAGAGCCATGAATCTTCCAAACGCAGACCGTGTGTTATGTGCATCTTGATGAAGAATGTTCTGATAGGGTCGAATACAGCCACAGATGCTGCGCCCAACAATGCAACGAGCAAAGGAAGGACGATCCTGGGATGATTCGTAATCCAACTCCATATCCAGTTCGTTTTGACCCTTGGTTCATAGCTGAGCTTGAGAAGAGTTCCGGCTTTGCCACCACCTTCCTCTGGAGGAACGGCATAGCCATGCATGACATTTTTGGCCATGGTAGCAAATCTGATATTCCTGTAGTCAATGTAGGCGTATCTTGGGAGGACCTTTGAATCAAAGGGTTGCGTGATGATCTCAGAGAGTTTGCCATATCTGCGAAACAACGAGTAGAGCGTCTCTTGTGTCAACTCGGCAGCAGATGATTCTGGCGAAGTAGGAAGAAATTCCACCTTCACCCTCGAACTGGGGATACGGTATAGATCTTCAATCCACGGTTTCCCCTGAACCAAGAATGCTCGAACACGTCGAAAGGGGTTGAACCATGGTTTGATAGGTTTCTCTTCCAGGTATGCCTTGAGTGTACTCTCTAATTCGGTTGCACTAATCCCCTGCTCGTGGGTGAACTTCACGAATGCACCTCCTTCACGCAGTCTAGGTAGGATCTTTGTGACGGTCAGAGGTAGCTTTTCGGGTAAGGCTCGTTTGATGATGCTGGAGGGATCGGCCAGAGCAAGATCTGGATGGTTGACCTTCTTAAGGGATTCTGCGAGGACCTTGTCGGGGTTGAGGAAAGGGATAAGATTGAGCCATTGCAGCCTCAATGGGAACACATCTGTTTCGTGTCAGCTGAGCATCACTCATAGAGCATGCCATACTACTAACTATCGAAAAACAATATTCCTTCATTCGGTCTGGTCTCGATGTGTCCGCTCTCGTTGTCGCCAACTTCTGAGGACTCTTTTCTTCTCCCTGCAGGCACAGCCGGCCTTATAAATCTTGGTCGGACTCCATTAGCAGAGTAAAAGTATTGTTTTCGACATTGCGCTGTCAGAGGGTGCGCCGGTCTCGTGAGGCAGCGCGGAGCACCTCTCAAGGAAATCATTTCTGAGGGAATCAAGCACTGTTGGCATTCCTGAAACAAGCAGGCTACGACCAATCCATGCTCATGCCATAACAGGCAACATTGACTGAAGTATATATCTCACTCCCTAAAGCGCGCAACTCATATTGGAAAGTTTGATAGACAAGTTCAAGTTGGTTTTGATCGCGGTTGGCACCTGATCATTCGGGTCGCGATGACGTCGGAATGTAAATCTGTGGCTGAACTTGCAGATGGTTTGACAGCTTGTGGCTTGGTTCGGGATAGACAATTTATTTTTCTGTAGCGCGGATATTCAAGGGACACTGCAAGTTCTAGAGTTTCTCTACTCTCCCGTCCAAGATCATCACGTAGAAATGGCCTGGTTCTGGGAGTCGAAGGCCCCAGCAAGTTATGAGGCTACTCCAGACACCACGGCGACGCAGTCAGAAACCGTCACGGCGCCTGCTCCTCCAGTACCGATCGCTGAAACCGTGAAGCCTATTCTGTCTCGAGAAGAACAAGCCAATCAAGAGCTCGCCGAGCTTGTAAAAGAGCTTCAAGCCCAGTCAGCAATCGAGGACCGGCGACGGAAGCAAGCGAAAGAGCAAGGAATCCTGAAACCGTCTGCACCAGTCTCCAAAGATATTTCTCCTGATTCACTATTTCCCACCGATATTTCCTGCCGGTCCGCCTTCGACTATGCAATGTTCTGCCAAAGCTTTGGTGGTCAGTTCGTCAACATATACCGCTACGGCACTTTCAGATCCTGTTCAAATCATTGGGATGACTTTTGGCTGTGTATGCGGACAAGGAATTGGAACAAGGACGATCGAGCAGCGGCTATCCAGGATCACTACCGGAAACGAGCCGTCAAATGGAAGACTGGACCAAGCAGTGAAGATGTGTGGGAAGTACGAGAGGAGCCTGTAAAGAACGCGTTCGGAGGCAACTTCGCGGAATGGGAAGAGCGGAATCCAGACGGGGCATGGCAAGACGGGGAGTTACCCTTCAATAGTACTGAAGCCAAACGATGAGACGTTGCGGACACTGCGTCTCGGTTCCAGTTGGCCAACTGGTCACATGTAGATCATGAGAGTCGACTTGGCGCGACAGACCATTCTTCGCAGCCATGTTGTTTGGAGGGTGAGGCAGAACGGCTGGATTTTTCGAGATGAGGCACTGGTGAACCTGTGGACAGCATGACTGTTCATCTGTCATTCAATTTGCCTCATCGTTTACATCCTCATCCATGCCTTCACCAAATGTCGTCTTCACGAACAACTCCGACGGCAAAGGAGCTCGCCATGGAGACCTCACTGCCACACGACCTTACGAACATCGCCCTACCTACAACTCCTCAGCAATCTTTGGACCGAGCTGAAGCAATGCTCCAACAAGCAGAGGGCTTGAGAAAAGAGGCTAGAGCTCTTCAATCGCAAATCCAAGGGTTGAATAAGCGCGCGGACACGTTGACAAAGTCAGCCTTGACCTTCCAAGCTGTTGCTGCTAGGGATCGTCAAAGCGTCCAATACACACTCGAAGGAGGCCTAGTGGTGTTCAACGAGCTGGTTGCGACCTACAAATCTCTCCCACACAATGCGACCAGGTTGCAGACGTTACAAGGACGTGTCGAAGATGGCATGGCCACGCTTCAAGATCTGCAGGACATGTTCCAAGACATACAAAGATTCTGCAAAGACACCCGCGTACTTCGGTCGCCAGCTCCAGAGCCTGAGAGCCCTCCAGAGACAGCACCTGTACCTGGATCCGAGAAAAGTAATTCACATGGGAAGACCCACAAGCGCTCATTCGCTACGATGGAGGAAGACTATACCGAACCATCTCCAGCAAGCAGGGAGGTTACCACCGCTAGCATCGAAGTGACAGCGAGCAACCTGATCACTGCAGCGAGTAGAGAGATGGCGGATGCGAGTGAGAAAATGATGACAGAGAACAAGCAGTTATCACCGGCCAGGGAGAAGACCACCACCGCTGCGAAGGAGAGCTCGAAGAAGAAGAAAAAGAAGAAGGGATCTGTGCCCCGTATGGAAGCTGAAGAGAGCAGCCAACTAGAGCAGCGCGGAACGCGTGGAAGAAACAAACCCCAATCCGAAAGAAACAACAAGCCCGAATATAACGAGAAGAAACTCAGAAAACGAAAGTATCGGACAGAAAAGTCAGACAGACCGATCAAGCAGGAAGCAGATAACTGAACTCAGCACAGCTCGAACTTGCGATTACATCCGCAGGCGAGATAGATCTTGAGAGTCATGTAAGCCTGACAAAATTGCGACAGACTTGGGAAGCGTTACTCATGCCCGCATACTCCTCTTCATCAGCGTCTGGCACGGGTTTTCTGGTTGAGCTTCAGCTTGGATCCATCGTTGCTGGAAGACATCACTCGAGACATCTTATTCCAAGATCGGCTTTGGACGCTATCAGACTGGACTCACTCCAAACTGAGTTCGTCATTATACGTTCAGCAGTCATCCACTCAAGCATGACCTTAACCTTTACCAAATCTCCCTACTCAATTCAAAATTTTGCGCTCATCTGGGTGAATGCATTACTTCTTGCTCATCATCACATGCTTCCTCATCCATCTCACAACACAGAATATTTCCTTTCCACACTCCTTCTACTGCTCGTCTTTTCATATACCACACACAATCCTATCTAGGTTGACACCATCTCCTCCCGCTCTGTCTTAAATTTGGTTGTCCAAGTGCTTCATCTGGTTCACGTCGTGCTTGATGCCACTACGCATCCAGCTCTGATTTCCACTTTCAACCATGATCACTACCGCGGTCGCGTCGTCACCGAGCGAGGCGCTGAAAGTGGAAGCGGATTTCCTGCAAGCCCAGGCGGAGCTCATTCGAGATTTCGGCAACGATGTTCACTTCGCTGCTAGTGTCATCGGATACAGAGCCGATGATTACGAGACACGAGCAGCTTGTCTTCGCAAGGCTTCATGGGACTTGAGATCGGTTAATGATATTGGCAAATGTCCACCAGAAGAAAGCCTGGATCGGTTCAGACGTGCTAAGTTGGCCGACAGCGCTGCTGAATTCATGAATGCTGTCCAGCATGTCAAGATCGGCTTGCAGACTGTAATCGAGATCGCCTACCGATCCGGTCTGCTGGAAGACACCCAGGCCATCCAAGAAGATGGAGAAAAGAGCAGTACCTTTCCAGATGTGCCCGCCGCTATTGGCTCGCTGACTGACCTCAACACCGGTTACTCTCTATCCAACACTTTCCTGAACGCTCAGGAGTCTGCACAATACGCTGCCACGTTGGGAGCTGCTGTTCAGCCGCAGATGCTGGCGGAAATCTCAGCAAGATCTGTCCCCTCAGCAGACAATTCTACGGATTTGCAGGACGAGCGAATCAAAGGAAGGTCAAAGTCAACCGATCTAACCAGCTATCCGGACATGCAAAGCGCCAAAGTTACACCCGATGAAGGTGCTGATGCTCAGTCTCCAACCCAGCCACTGAATGAGGAGAAAGTGCTCGACTGGATACCGTCCAACCTTCGTCTCTCGCGACGCAGCATCCACATAGCGGCTGATGGAGTGTATCAGTCGATGATGATGAGAGATCAAGGAAGCGAGCAGAGGAAGCGTGCTTATTAACAAGAGACTGGACATGGAGAAAGATGCTGGGAATGAGGTGGTGCTCAGGGAGAGCAGACAGCTCTTGTGCTATCTGGAGAAAGTGTGGATCTGGAAGCACGATGCATTTGGACATTATGCAGCACTATGATGCTGAATGCGTCGGCGATATTGATTGTGCATCATCTGGACACGTGAACAGATGACCGTGAGTTGATACAGGACTCAATCTTTGCAATTGCAGTATCTTAGCCAACAGACTTCACGCTACCTTGCAACATTTGTGATCCCAGTAGGGCAACTCTTGAGTGAAGGTCTCCATCATCCAGCACACCAATCAGGTCCGCATTGACACGTCGGCCACCTCGCGTATCACTTGAGGGGCACTCTGACTGGATGGGAAAACATCCTGCGTATTCGTCAAAAAGCAAGATCTTTCCCACTCGGGTGATAAGATGGCTCGATTCAGACGCTCCCCGGTGCACGAGACTACTACAGGCGCTGCTTGCACCTCAACTCTGTTCCTCTTTGTGATATTCTAGGACATTGTTGACATCGCCTGCCACCATCCTAGGTAACATGCCCAGCCCCATCAGAAACGTCGTGGTGCTTGGTGTACGTACGGCGACCACCCATCGTCCCTTTCTCTTGGATACGACACACTGACATGGAGTGCAGGCAACCGGTAACGTGGGCAAACCAGTGACAGCCGCCCTCGCTGCAGCAGGGTTTGTCGTCACAGCAGCTTCTCGCAGTCCAGGCCAGATGTTTCTGGGTCCTATCAAGGCGGCAGTGATGGACTACAGCTCAGTGGATGCGCTGGTGGACCTTTTCAAAGGACAAGACGCCGTTGTTGAGGCTTTCCCACCCCATGTCGCGCACTTACAATCCACTGTCATCGATGCGTGTCTCAGGGCCGGAACGGTCAAGCACATCATCACGCCGGACTTCAGCAACGATACATTCAATCCTTATATCATGGAGCTACCACTATTCGTCCCGAAGGTGGAAGCCCAGAAAGTGCTCGAAGAGAAGACCAGGGGGGCGCATCTCATTTGGAGCGCCGTTATTACGGGAGGATGGTATGACTGGGCGATTCCGCTGGGATTTTACTGGATCAACCCGAAGACGAATACCATCACTGTGTACGGGAGTGGGAACCAACGAAACAGCATGTGCCGAGTCACCACCGCCGCCAGAGCTGTGTGCGACGTACTGGCCGACCCGGACAGGTTCAAGAATCGTCCGATCTATGTCGCTGACTACACGGTGAGTATGAACCAGTTGATTCCGATACTGGAGGAAGTGCGGCCTGGTTGGAATATTGTCAAGGTCGATCTGGATAAGTTCGTCGCGGAGGCGCGAAGGTTGTGGGAGGAGGACTCAAAGAGAGGCGTTGAAGTGCGGCTGCTTTCACCGGCGTATAACATGTTTGGTACTTTCGGGGTGTTTGAGGAGAGTAACAGGTATAATGCGGATTTTGAGAGGTTGATTGAGCCTGGGTATGGGCATCAGAAGAGTCTGAATGAGTTGAAGGAGGAGTTGAAGGTTCTAGTTGAGGAGCAATGATTGAGGCGAGGCTGCAATACAACGAGTGTGCACTATGGCCCCTGGAGACTGTGAGCAAGCACGTCAATTAAGCATCAATGGTGTGATAGGCTTGCTTGTTATGTACTGTATAGATGACAGCCTAGTGAACCCTAGCCCTAGCAAAGCATACCCGCTTAATTTAGGAATTCATCTCACCATTCTCCTGTAATTTCTGGCTCTGCAGTACCAATGTCAGTCTGAGTTGACTTGAGTATCTCCTGCTATTACTGTGTTGCGTCCATACATGCAATCTGTAGATAGTGGCCAAGCTCAAAAACGCCAGGTATATCATGGCCTGAGTCTTTGCAAGAGGTAGGATTTCACTCTCCATTCATTGGGCTAGCCATGGCAATACCCACGATCGACCTCAGTCGAGCCACTGATCAGACACGAAGCCCGCAGCTACTCAAAGATGTACGCCATGCACTGGTCGATGTCGGCTTCCTGTACTTATCTAATCATGGTATCGAAGAGTCTACCATTGATGATCTGGTGAAGATGCTCCCAGTCCTCTTCGCGCTGCCGGAAGATGTCAAGGAATCCGCTGCACTGAGGCAATCGCCCCACTTCCTGGGATTCAGCAAGTTCGGCACAGAAATTACAGCTCGAGTCCAGGATCAAAGGGAACAATTCGAATTGGCCAATGAACTTGAAGACAAGTACAGCAAAGCAAGTGGTTTGCCATTATACACGAGGCTTCAAGGGCCAAATCAATGGCTGAAAGCAGACGCCTTACCAGAGTTTCGTGAGATCGTCGAGTCCTATATTGCTGCCCTGCAGGACGTGGCCCTCCGGTTTCTGGAGGTCGTCACCGAATCGCTGGAATTGCCACAGGACAGCCTTGTTCGTTTCACAGGGCCTCAAGACCGGCTCAAGCTGGTGCACTACCGGCCGTCGGCGGATGCTACGCTCGATGCGCAGTCTCAAGGCGTTGGCCCGCACAAAGACAGCTCGGGATGGATGACGTTTTTGCTGCAAGCTTCTGACCCATCGATCAAGGGTCTTCAAGCACTCTCGAAAGATGGAGTTTGGCTTGACGTTACACCCGTGCCAGGCACCTTGATCGTCAATATGGGCCAGGCGTTCGAGGTCGTTACCAACGGAGTGTGCAAAGCCACGACTCATCGAGTGCTGCTGCCGCCGGGTGACTATGACAGATATAGCGTGCCGTTCTTTCAAGGTGTTCGGCCAGATCTGACCAAGCGAGATCTTCAGAGTTTGTGGGGGCACTTTGACAAGGAGAAATGGAATACGAGAGAATCGGAGGAGGGTCAAAGGGTGGATAGTCCTTTTCTGCGTGGGAAGTATGAGACATGGGGAGAGGCACAGCTTCGCACCAAGATTCGGAGCCATAGAGACGTTGGGCTTAGGCATTATGCTGATGTCTTCGAGAAATATGTCAATGATGATTGATTGGATATGCTTTTAGCCAGTAAAGGAAAACTCTGTGGTTGTATTTCACTCCACGACAACGTCCTTGCTGGTGTCGAGCTCCTCAAATCTCCTCAGGTCCATTTCTCCCTCCAACAAGGGCTTTACGTAGGGGTCGAATGTCTTCCAGTAGGGGTTGTTCAGGTGATACTGCTGGCTGCTTTCTTGCTCATAGCGTTCCACGATCGTAAAGTCTCGGGGATCGTGGACTGATTGCATAACCAACCATGAGAGGGTCTCTTTATCTTTGGAATAGACCCGTGAAGCTTCGATGAGCTTGTTCTTGAGCTTCTGGATGATTTCCGGGTCGGCGGATTTGGCCCGCAGATGAACTGTGATCGTGTACACCATTGTGATAGTCTTTCCAAAGAAAGGTGGTAGTCAAGGACAGGTGTTACAGCCGACGTCAAGCTGCCACAACGTTACTGAGTAGATAATCCTGAATTCTTTGTCTCCTCTTACCACTGTACAATCCTTCTTGAAGGGTCTTTAGACGAATCATTATGAAAGAGGGACGGTTTTTGTGAGAGATTCTTTCATTGGAGAAAAGGTGCATTGTCAACGCACGTGGAGCGACACACCTCCACCTATGACGATGGTTATGGTTCTTTTCACTTTCTTATGGACGCGATGGTTCCTCGGATGAACAAAGGCTCTTCATGGCCAGACCTGTTGGTCTCTGTCATCTGTATTCTTACCCTTCTGCCGTATCAATACCTTGCCATGGACTACGGATAGTTCGCAATAGCCTGGGTGAACATTTGGCTCTAGGACATGAAGTTCGCAAAGTACGCTAGACCCAACCCCATTGCGGCACACAACTATTGCAGGAAAGCTGAACGTCTACAGGGAACTTGAGGACGAGGCCGTCCCGGAATGGAGGATCAAATACCTTGACTACAAGGCGAGTTCCTCGGAGCTCCTGCCAGAGCCGTCCACTGACTGCAAGAAGCAAGGAAAGAAGAAGATCAAAGCCGTCTCCAAAGCCCTTCGAAACCTCGAAAAGACACCCGTCCTTCCCGCTCCTCCTGCCCTCGTACCCGAGAATGAGTCGGATAGAATCCCATTCACTCAGTATGACTTCCACCGACCACGTCCTACCACCACTCAATCGTCACGGTCATTGCCCGAGATCGAAGAAATTGCGCCTGAAGATGAAAGTGACCACAATGAAAGACCACCCAATGCTGGACAAGACACACAAACCTCGTTCCATCAATCCCCTCCCATCGTCATCCCCGGGCAAGAGAGTGAGCATGGCAATTTTGCAGAACGATCACCACTACACGGTGGAGAAACATTTCCTCCCACGAGACGACAGATGAACTATGGCTCAATCATCGGCTCGCCTCCATCAGACGATACCCCGGGGAGGTTTGACGCTCTGCACCTCCCTGATCCTGCATTAAGCCCAGCGTCTCGCAATCATACACACACACAGTCAGAAGTTCCATCGCCTGAACCACTTACCAGGTTACCGCCGGCTGCTCAAGTGCCTCAAGGCCCAGATGCTTACCATGTCGGCGAAACAGTGCGAAAGCCCAGGCACAGCCTTGGAGGAAGCCTTGCAAGATCAATGTTCAAAAATCGACTACGTCCCGATATCACAAAGAGCCATTCGGTGTCTTTGCCGTCACCGTCTGATTCAAATCCACGATCTCGTCTGAGAAGGCTATTCTCCGCCCAGCCTCATGAACAGCCGGCAGTCGACGACGTCCGCCTCGGAGCATATAAAGAACTCGACGCTAGGCAATCCGAATTCTTTACATTTCTGGACAAAGAATTGGACAAGATAGAAAGCTTCTACAAGATGAAAGAAGATGAGGCGACGGCACGTCTGCAGGTACTACGGCAACAACTACACGAGATGCGGGATCGGAGGCTGGCAGAGATTTTGCAAGAACAAAACAAAAAAGGGTCCGCGGCACAGAATGGTCACCAGATTGCGCCGGCCAAGTCGAAAACATCCTTTTCCGGTCTTCGTCCAGTCAATGGAGTCGCTGCAGACTTGCTCAAAAAGCCTCTTGAGAATGCGTTCGGTCGTCGCTCTACTATCGGCAAGACCAGTCAAGCCATGGGAGAATTGAGTTCCCCTCCTGGTCCGAAAGCTCAAGAGCGTATTGGCGATGGAAAGCAAGACTATGTGCGGCGCGACCACGGTCACGACGTGCCATACAGGTTTGCAAAAAGACGACTTAAGCTGGCCTTGCAAGAGTTTTATCGAGGACTCGAACTGTTGAAATCTTATGCCATCGTAAACAGGACGGGGTTCCGAAAGATCAACAAGAAATATGACAAGGCTGTTCAAGCCCGGCCGGCACTTCGATACATGTCGGAAAAAGTCAACCATGCTTACTTTGTCAATAGCGACATCATTGACCATCATCTTGTAGCGGTCGAGGACTTGTACTCTCGCTATTTCGAACGCGGCAACCATAAGATCGCTGTCCGGAAACTCCGTTCGAAATTAGGCCCTGGTGATCAATCAGGCACGACGTTCCGCAACGGCCTCTACGTTGCAGCCGGCATCTGTTTCGGCGTGACAGGCCTCATCAATGCTGCGCAAATAATCAACGGTGCCGATCCGACCATCAGCACGCAGACGAAATATCTGCTGCAGATCTATGCCGGATATTTCCTCTCTCTGCTGTTGTTTCTCCTATTCTCCCTCGACTGCAGGATCTGGAGCATGTCCCATGTCAATTATGTCTTCATCTTTGAATACGATACCCGACACGTTCTCGACTGGCGGCAGCTGGCGGAGATCCCCTGCTTCTTCCTTTTCCTCAACGGTGTTTTCCTTTACCTCAATTTCGAGATCACCTATTCCGAATCCTTTTTCCTCTACTGGCCGGTAATACTCATATCGATCACTCTGCTGATAATGGCCCTCCCTTTCAAGATTCTGCACTACGAATCAAGGAGGTGGTGGGGCTATTCGAACTGGAGGCTGCTCTGTGCAGGCTTCTACCCTGTCGAGTTTAGGGACTTTTATTTGGGCGACATGTACTGTTCTGAGACTTATGCCATGGGTCAAATCGAGGCCTTCTTCTGTCTCTACGTCAATAACTGGAACAACCCTCCACAATGCAACTCGAGTCACTCGCGTTTGATGGGGTTCTTCAGCGCCCTGCCCGCAGTCTGGCGTGCACTTCAATGTCTTCGTCGTTACTATGATTCACGAAACTGGTTTCCTCATCTGGCCAACTGTGCCAAATATTTCTGCAACATAGTCTACTACATGACGCTGTCAATGTACCGTATCGACGTGAGCGACCGCATGAAAGCCATCTTCATAACTTTCGCCTTGGTCAATGGCGTCTACTGTTCTTTCTGGGACGTTTTCCTGGACTTCAGTTTGGGAAATCCATCCTCCAAGCACCCTTTTCTGCGCGACCAGCTGGCCTACAAGAGAGTCTGGGTGTATTACGTGGCAATGATCGCGGATGTGGTGCTACGGCAGCAGTGGATCTTCTACGCGATATTCACGTCTGACTTGCAGCACTCTAGCACGGTATCATTCTTTGTCGCTTTGGCCGAGGTCCTTCGCAGAGGCATATGGTCACTGTTCCGTGTGGAGAACGAACACTGTAACAACGTGGGCAAGTTCCGTGCTTCAAGAGACATCCCATTGCCGTACGAGATTCCCGAATCTCCAGAAGTGGCCAGCAAAGCAGCCTCGCCTACTCAGCAAAGACAGACGCCATCAACACCCGGAGACGGCCGGCCAGAATTGCATGTCACTACCGGGGCGGACGTGGAGCGTGCTTCTCCTGGCGCTTGGTCTCTACGGAACCGCAAGACCAAGACCCCAGGCGGTGGAGCGACACCTCTTACACCAGGTATGCGCGCTCTACAACGAGTTGGCTCAGTCATTGCATCTGCGCACGCACAAGATTTCGAGAAGCGCCGCAGACCGGAAGTCGAAGGCCCAGATGGTCAGGACGAGCATGCGCCCGATCGTGAAGATAGTGACGATGAGGATGATGACGATTCCGATGATGATGGCGGTGTTGATGAGGTCGAGGAGTTGCGCCGCCAGCAGCGCGAGGATGTCGACCCCGACCAAAAGGACATTACTGAAGCACAGAGGTTGATAAATAGGGCTCGGACTGGGGATGGAGGTTCAGTGTGAGCATTGTGCTTCCATGCCCGCTCCAGTACGAATAGGTTACTTCCCGCAAGGAATATTGTTGGCTAAATCTTCGTGACAAAATTCATCTACCTCCTTCTCCGAGGTGTATTGTTTAGGATTGTATGTACAATCGTGCATTCAACATACACTGCCCTTGCCGCCCCACCAAATCTGACGAGAGCTTGCAGGCAAGAAAAAGTGTCCTTTGGCGCCCGTGTCATTTGCTGACCAAACTCCCCATATCACAATGGTCTTCGATTCTTGACGACCACTGTTATGTTTTCTCTTCGGCCGCTATGGTTCATTGCAGCGTTAATTTCCATACATGCCATCTGCATCTAACGTATGGCTGTCGGCTCAACCGATGTCTACGCGCAATAGCCTTTTAACCATAGGCAACCTGTGGGTCGGGTCCGCCTGGCTCCCCTCCGCCCGGAGCCATGTAATTCGTCTTAGGGTTACCTGTTTCCTGCACAGCAGAGCAGCGAGCCATGGTCGGTGAACTGTGTAAATATCACGTTAGCATACGAATTCTTGTACAAGACTTCATCGAGAGTAACATACCTTCTTGCAATGACATCGGTCTGGTAAAAGTCCTTGATAGGATTCTTGAGCGGCTCGCCAGTCGGCTTGGCGCCCTTGTTGTGGTCGACGAGCTGGACCTTGCTCAGGCTGGACAGGGCACTCTGCTCGAGGACATCATATCGTCGAAGTGCAGGGCTGATCTCTTCCATGCGGTCCCTCAGGACCTCGAGGTCGTCGTACGGCAGGGCAACACCTAGAAACTCGGATGCGGCGCGGATGATCTTCCAGTCCGTCCTGGCGGCGCCGGGCAAGGCGACTGCTGAGCGGGTCATTTGCACGCGACCCTCGGTGTTGACGTACGTGCCTGATTTCTCAGTGTAGGCGGCGGCAGGGAGGACGACGTCTGCTAGTTGAGCACCAGCGTCACCGTGATGGCCTTGGTAGATGACGAAGGCGTCCTTGGGAATGTCTGCCTCGGTGATCTCATCGGCGCCAAGGAGCCAGACGATCTTGGGTTTCGTTTCTGCGACCTTTTTGGAAGGTGTTGTGAAACCGACTTCGTATGCGCCTGCTCTTGAGGCTGCGCGTTGTAGCACGTTGTAACCTTGCCACTCTGCTGTGTTGAAGTTTGCTTGGTTTTTGTCCACGAAGGATCCGACAGCTTCGTAGATGGCCGCCGCATCGGGGTGCTCCGCAACAACACTGCCGAGGATGATCATGGGCCTCTTCGCGCTGGACAATTTCTTGCCGAAGTCGCCGGACAGGGCCTTCTTCACGGCGGCAGCGTCTTTGCCGAGGTTGTCGTACTTGAAGGTGCTCTTGAAGTCTTCGCCAATGTAGCCGATCTCGAGAGGTGCTCGCATCCATTGCTTTCTGATCCTGGCGTTCAATACTGCCGCTTCCCATCTTGGGTTGCTGCCGATAATGAGCATAGTATCTGCGTCTTCAACACCGAAGATCTTGGAATTGAAGAGATAGTTGGGGCGGACATCGATGCCGTGAGCGATGGGAGAGCTGCCACCGGGCTGGTCGAGGGCGAGGTTTTCGGAGTTGAGTCTGTTGGCAAGGTCCTTCATTGCGACCAGTGATTCGACTTCGGTGAGATGACCGGCAATGGCCTTGAACTCGTTCTCGGCCGGCTTCAGTGTTCGCCAGGCATATCCAATCTCGGTCAGAACCTGTTCCCACGTAGCAGGCAAGAACTTGTCATCTTTCCGGACAAGAGGTGTGGTCAATCTCTGCGTCTTCAATCCATCGAGGGAGAAACGTTGCTTGTCATCGATCCACTCTTCGTTGATATCGTCGTTCAATCTAGGCAGGATTCTCTTGACTTCCACTCCTCTTGCGTCCACTCTGATGTTTGCTCCCATAGCATTGGAAACGTCGATGGATTCAAATTTGGTGAGCTCCCAAGGTCGGTAGCTGAACGCGCCTGGCTTGGTGAGAAGCGCACCCACAGGGCACAGGTCCACCACATTTCCAGACAACTCGGTATCAAGGTTCTTTTCAAGGTATGTGCCAATCTCCATTCCATTCCCTCGTCCTGTAGACCCTAGTTCTGGCGCTCCGGCAATTTCGTTGGCAAATCGAATACATCTCGTGCAGTGAATACATCTGTTCATGGAGGTTTTGACCAGAGGTCCAATGTTCTTGTCCTCGACAGCGCGCTTTCCTGTTACTTCATGAAACCGTCCTCTGTCTGCTCCGTATCTCATTGATTGATCCTGTAGATCGCACTGGCCACCTTGGTCGCAAATGGGACAATCTAGGGGATGGTTGGCGAGTAGGAATTCCATTATACCTTCTCTTGCTTTATGTGTCATGGGTGAATCGGTCTTGACGACCATGCCTGGTTGGACGGGCCATGCGCATGATGCGACGGGTTTTGGTACTCGTTCGACTTCGACAAGGCACATACGACAGTTACCCGCGATGAGGAGTTTTCTGGAGACAGCAAAGTCAACACAACTGTGGCGGTCACGGACAGCAGGTCGGGACATACTCATGGTAACAAAATCTAGGGATCGTGACGCCAGCCTTTTCACAAGCCTGGATCAAAGCTGAACCAGCCTCTATCGAGATCTTTTTGCCATCGATTGTGAGTTCGACTTCGGCGGGTCGTCTGGCTGAGGAGGTGAAGGATCGAGTTGCCGTCGAGGTCAGCGGCCTTCTGGAGCGCCCGGCGGCGCGAAGGAGCTGAGACCGCATCTTGTCTGGCCGGACTGGTCTCAGCTACAATAATCACAACAATGCAGAAGGGAGGATGGTGTTGACGAGAAGCTCATTTGAAATCTTGGGCGCAGCTTGACTGACGTCCTGGACCGAGATCCATCTCGCAAACTCCAAATACTCGACCTTTGATTGGCTGATAGTCTACTTGGCGGAAATGCCTCTCTTTACAGGTAGTAATGTCCGTAGTACACCACCACTCTCTCATATAAACATTGCAGGTCATAATCATTCTTGCGAATGCTTCTATGAGCCATAAAGATAAGTCTGCCGAGCAGATCGTGTCGAACTCCTGAGCGCCCGCTGATTGTAATACCTCCAGACTGCCATCCCCCGCTGAGCTATCTCACAACTGGCCCGCTGGATCAGCGCCTAAACAATGATCTCAAAGTCTTGCTCGATTGGCCAAGAGTCTGCCGAGAAGAAGCATAATAGTACATCATGGTCTTGACAGGCACCCAGGCCAGCCAACCCTTCTGCAGGTCGTAGCCCATCTCTTCTGCCACCATATCGACAAAGGCCACCAGGACATTGACGGCGCTATTTTCGGTACAAAGCGCATTCTTGTTCCGCAGTGTACATTGTTGGTATTTCGTCGCCCGCGGAAACATGGCCTGTTCGTAATTCTTGACAGCCTCGTCGATGTCACGGTCGCTTTTCAGGGCTACTTCCAGTGCTTCGGCCAGTTCCAGCGCGTCTTTCATTGCCTTGTTAACGCCTTCACCCGCGAACGGCGTCATGAGGCTTGCCGCGTCTCCAATCATCGTGTATCCTTTCTTGTGCTCCCAGAATTGTCCGACTGGGAGCTCAAAGAGAGGCCAAGCAACAAAGCCATGACTGGCCTGAGTCCAGCGAAGGATGTCCGGCGACCAGTCTGCGAAATTTCCGAGTATCTCCTGTTTCAGCGCGTCTTCGTCCTTGCCGTATTTGGCGACCACATCAGAAGCATACTTTTCGTCCTTCATGACCCAAGCGGCAATCCGGACGCTCTCGTCCCCCATTCTCTGCGCAGTAAAGCTCTTCCGATCCGAGTATACGAAGTAACTGCCGCGTCCTATCATCTTGGACATCTCCGGGTACTCATCGTTGACATTGTTGATGAAGCTTGTAAACCCGCATATGCCTGAATATTGCGGTTTGATGTCTGTCAAAAGTGGTCTGACTTTTGACCACGCACCGTCTGCGCCGATGACAAGATCGAATGGTCCCGCGGTCGATTGGTCCCGGAAAGTCAAGACACCTGTGTTGGGCTCGAGGGCTTGCAGGACTTTGCCCCATTGAATGATCTTGGGCTTGACACTCTGGAGGAGCATGCTTCTGAGCAGTTCACGATCAATTTCTGGGCGCGCGTATTCGCCGGTTTCGGCCTTGCTTTTCGGCTCCTCGCGGTGGTGTAATAAGACAGTAGCGTTCTTGTCCCCAATCTTGAGCTCCTCGCCGTCATAGCGAAGGTGCTTGAGAGCTTCGTCCCATAATCCTGCCTTTTTCAAGGCGGCCAGGCCTGTGTCGTTGTGCAAGTCTAATGTGCCTCCCTGGGAAGGACGTGATGTTGGTGAGACGTCCCGTTCGAAGATGGTGATGGAGACATCGATTTCAGTGACCTGCAGCAGACGAGCCAGTGTCAAGCCTGAGGGGCCTGCCCCGATGATAGCAACGCTCAATGGCATGAGCTCTTTGTGTGATGAAGAAGGGAAAACGAAATCGTGTGTTGTCGAGAGATATCAGTCAAGCAAGTAAAGATTGCCTGTGGTGTCAATGGTTCAAAGACTTGCCTTTTGGTTCCTAAGGTGCCAGTGTAAAGTATTGCAAGTTCTTGGGGCAGGCCAGCGGCAGCATCTTCTTATAGATTACAGTGGCTTGCACTATTCGTGCAATGGAAAACAGAGTTCGCGACAACCGAGGCGCGGCATCGCGACAGCCTCTCGCATTGCCATCTGTAAGCATGGTGGTTGGAATACAAGAGCAATATGGTGCGGCAAAGCTCGCGCCGCTTGCCGTAAATGGGAAAGGGGGGGCTAGGGACTAGGGGGCACGGGGGCACGGGGGGCCTTATAGCCTGGGCAGCCTCGTGGTTATAGCCGAACAGGGCTAGAACAACCAAAACAAACGCAGCTGTGCCAGCCGACGACCCAAGTCCATGCCGCGTCAACGGTGTTGTCGACAGTGAATTAAGTGGCGTCGTACGCCAGAAAGGCGTAGAGGTGAATTAGTGCGAAGCATTGGAATGATCTATCACAACATTGTAGCTTCTACTCAGTCACTCATTAAGTATACAATAGCTCTACAATTCTCAGAGTCTAGATGCAAATATGCACATCCTCTTGTTCACATGAACGGCACTATCCCGGCCATTGCAGCGAAAGCCATTTCGCCCACTTTCCCACTACGGTTCCGAATGTTCACAGCCGCATTGGAGCTGGTAGTACTCGAGCTGTCAGTAGTCGAGGTCGCTGCAGTAGCCGTTGTCGTTGTCGCCGACGGACACTGAATGCTGTTACATAGCGCCGCGAGCTGTGAGCCGGGCACAAATGTACGAATTGGCCGAGTACTGTTTTTGAGGGGATTCCCATCAGCATCGAGGCTTTCCACGATGCTCCAAGGATAGTAGCTCTTCGCAGTGAATCGCGTTTCGAACCCGGCCTTGTTTGCCTTGCCAACGAGAGAGAAAGGTCCACTTTGCGACTGACCAGAATAGATCTGCCATTGAGCCACCTTTGTCGCACCATTCCAACTCATCCAGTACGAGGTTGGAGCACTGGTATTATGCGCGTAGGTGTAGAGCGCGGGTGCGTCGAGAGGACTAGTCGTGAAGTTGTGCTTGAAAGCACGATAGTTCATGGTTCCGCTAGTGGCGAAGTGGCCTTGCTGGACCATTATGCCGTCAGATGTATATTCAGAGATGTAAGCATTCTCGCCCCAGCCTAAGAATGCATTGGATGTGTTCCACTGCGAGCCGACGAGCTGCACATTGCCTTGAGAAGCTGAGATGAATTGATAGGGCGAAACAAATTCCTGGATTAGGGAAACAGTGTTTGTGGTAAGGTCCAATTTCAAGATCTTCCCAGCAGAGTATCGAGCTGTTTGATTGTATCCGTTCGAGGCATTGTCAAACAGCGAAATGACGGTGGTGGTATCATTCTCCTCGAGAAAGCGTGCGTCGTGCTGGAAGCTGAAATTCAGTCCTGCTGCGAAGGAGAAGTCTGAGTTGCTCCCGCCCAACGTCCAAATGATGTGGCCGTCTTGCCCAGAGACTTTGTACACCGCGCATGTATGACGGGCAGAGATTAGATAATCCCCATCCGGATTCAGATCAACACTGTTGATGTGGAAATAATCCCATGGACTTGTTGGGGTCAACCCGTTTCCCGACACTTCGGTCGAGTGTGGCAACACGAAAGTTTCGTTGACACCAACGTGGTCCAGGGCAGACCACTCGAATTGTAGCTCGCCTGTATCGAGGTTGATGTGCTGGAAGTAGCAGTTTATCAACCACCCTTGACCGGAGATGTTATAGCCAGATAGATCGTAGTGCTCGGGGTTGTAAAGAGTAAATATTGCGGACTTGCCATTGTCGACGACGTTAAATTCATGTTCGTCAAAATTCGCCAGCCCACCTTGGGAGTGTATAGATGTCTGAGTGGTCAGCGTGCTGTCTAAAACAACGGCATACCCGCGAACGTAGCCATCATTTTGCGCGCCAGTAATGTAGCACAAATTGTCGGTCCCATTGATTGAGCAGACGTGGAAGTTGTGTGATGGTCCTCCGCCTGTTTGACCGAAACCACTCCAAACAAGATTCTTTGATATGTCAGTCTCGCTCTTTCAAGAACCATGGTCCGACACTAACCCCTCTATTATCGTAAATGTAGTTCGCCGCTTGAAATGTTTGGTATGGGCCGAGAAAGATATAGCCTGGAGTCACTGAGTCTTCGACAAAATGTGATATATTAAGGAAGGGCGCATAGATGTCAGGTCTCTGGATCGCATGTCAGCATGGTCGACCAAGCTCTGGACCGGGTATCGTACAGATTTGAACTGAGAGAGCGGACCGGTGCTATTTGTCGTTGTTGGAGCCAGACCCTGAGCACTCGCAGCCAGGAAAAGGTACGACGCGAAAAGCCATGCCACCAGTGTATGCAGAAGGCTTCGCATCGCGTATGGAAGATGTGGTAGGAGGGCGTACTCTGGTAAAGCTCGAGGCACACTCAGTCCCCGACAGCACCGAACCATCAACAGGCGCAAGCCACTCCCCAATTCGGCAATTGTTATTGTAGGGTGGCCATGTTTCTACAGACCGGGAGGACTGCGAACCTTGCAAAGGTTGCGCAGGCTGACTTTCAATAAAGCCTGTTGTCACATTGCGGCTAGAAGGATTTCCCCGCAAAGGTCCGATTCTTACATGTGGGATTTCACCTCGAATGACATATTGCATGCCCCAACCTTGACCAATCGCTTATTTACCGGGCGATGCTTGATTGTTCTGGGGGGCTTTTCTAGCGCATTTAGGGGTCTTTAGGCTATGCATGTCAGAGCCTCGAGTGCCTAAAGTTAGTGCAGCTGTATCCGAGACTGGGCACGCCAAATCTGTAACACGCGTCTCGCAACACGCCTTCTCCGCTCTTTATTCTTCGTATGTACAGTAGATGCGCTTCACGGAGTGGTGACCTCGACATGTGCCAGGTATGTCCACAAGAGTGTTAGATCTAATCCAGGTCATGCAATAAGCAAATTGCTTAAGTCAGTACAGCACTACAGTTCAGAATGCTTATTAGTCCTCCGCTGTCCTGAACCATCAGCTGTCCCTTCGTCTCTACACGAGTGAACACCCATGCAAGTTACATCAATGTGCTTCAATGGCATTCTCTTCTCGAGTCTTTTCATCTTTGTCCATGAACTCAGCTGCCACGATCGCAGCGCGATCCGCGACCATCACCTGAGCTTGGTGGAAGACCGCCCTGAAAGCAAACTGTCTCAGTCTGGTTATCCTCGAAGTACTACCACCGGCAATCGGGGCCCTTGATGTCATGTCATTCGTGGCTGTCCCGGTAGTCGTTCTAGTCAAGTTCCCTTTCCTCACTTAGGACGGGCTCAGGTGCGCTCTCATATATGCTGAGAAGACTGCCTGTCTGTACGGCGACACAGCGCGTATGGAATTTACAAGAGCCGTTCTCCAGGTTGATAAACAAGCATGTGCTCATGCACGAGTTCGAATGTGGCCAAGCTTCGCTCTTGTCGTCTTCCTTGTCGTCTTCGTCATCATCGTCATCATCGTCGTTGTCATCGTCCTCCGACTCGTTGTCATCGTCCTCCGACTCGTTGTCATCGTCCTCCGACTCGTTGTCATCGTCCTCCGACTCGCTGTCATCGTCCTCCGACTCGTCGTCGGCATCCTCTTCTCGTTCTTCATCGTCGTCCTCCGACTCATCCTCGGCTTTACTTTCACTATCGCCTTCGGATCCGCTACTCTCAACTTCAGAGTCTGCCAAAATAGACTCGCCGATGTCGTTCTGGCCGGTCACATCGCTTCCGTCGCCGCTGGTGGGCGTGAAGATGATGGCTTCATCGTCGCTGGATTTGGACGAATACCGATCGCTTCCTTCCTCGCCAACAGTCTCCTCCTCTTCAGAGTAATACTCCGCGTCCTCGTTGTCACTATATTCTGGATTTGCGGGCTCTTGCTGAAGAGACCTTACCGCTCGGCATATGGGCCCATTGCAGTATGTTCTGGCCGATTTCATGTTGTGCGATGTCTGGTACGTTGAAAACGTATAACAGGGTAGGGAATGTTAAGAAGTGGGATTTGTGCTGGGAATGTGTATACGGTTGTCAGTGCTTTCTCAATTCAGGTGAGCTCCCTCGACAATCTGGAGATTGATTTTGAAATTGCAAAAGGGTTTTTTTCCGTAGCGTTACTGCTATCCAGAGAACCCTGCCTTGTACCTTGTGATGGCTTCTCTGGTAGTATTTGGTGCTACGAGCGAAAACCTTCCAGAATGAACTATGTTTGCTTCTGGAGGACAGTAAGTACTGGCTTCCTCCCACAATCATACATGCAGACGATCTATGGATGCGCCACTGAGTGACTCAGTTTGCCCTTTTTGTGGTGATGAACGCCGCGTCCTGTTCCTCTCCCAGACCGACATCTTTGGGAACGTTGTCTGTTCCACTCGATGATTGTTGTGCGGACAGATTAGGTGCTTGACGAGGTTTCTCTAGTCATGCAGTGTCCCCGAAGATTACATGGGTTTGGAGGAGCTCTGGTGATGGTATTGGTGGAACCATGATATGCAAGGCTGTGTGCCCCTGATAAGTTCGTGGTGGAGTGTGTGGGCCATGGTTTCTGGTGGGTCGATGCATTTTCACATCTTGTTCGAGCAATAGCACCATACTCTTGAACTCGAACGAACCCTGCTAATCGAACCTGTGTTTGGCACTCAAATAAGGTTTGTTGCCACTGCTGGCGACCAAGGACGGTAAGCATAAGGCCGGACAACCCCTTCGCAACCTATGCCCGCGCCTGTCTACTCTGTAACGGCAGAGTGTACACTCTTGCTACGGCCACCGATGTTCACACAGTATAGTGCTTTTCATATAGAGGATCTTTATCTCCCTCTGCGACCTCTCTCCAGTCGTACTCCAGCGCTTTGGCCAATCTCCTTGCCACATCTTGCCCTCCATAATGGTGAGCGATAAAAGCCAGAGTCACATCCATTCCGGCACTGATACCAGCCGACGTCCAGATTTCGATGGGAACGGAACCCTTGGACTCAGAGGGCAGACTGCGGACCCACCTCGCAGCATGCTGCCAGTGAACCTGAGGGTTGCTTTTGGCAACGGTGTCAAAACGAGACATGTTGGTGGTCGCTCGGCGATGGTTTAGCAGGCCAGTCAGCGCGAGTGCATAGGAACCAGTACAAACTGTGATAATGGCGGTGCGAATTTGTGGCGCAATCTTCGGGACGAAGTCGATGAGGCTCTGAATGTTTGAGGTCTTGGTTCCATCAGGATGAATGCGCTCAAGCCGTGTTCCTACTCCACCTGGAATGAGCAACACATCGACAGGTGGAGGCCTGTCTGGCCCGTCGATGGCTTTGAGATATTCCGCATATGTGGTGTCTGGCTGCAGATACTGGTTGAAAGCTGTGTTGACTTTGCCTCCAGTATCTGGGTAGCCTCCCTGCAAGTCAAACGACCAGTTTACGGATCGCGGTACGATTGGCTTTGTGGGAACCGGATCCAGTGTCTCCGCGATCAGCTTGAGTGAAATCTCGAGGTTACCTGAGGAGGTGGAGTGAGTATTGAGGATATCCAAAGGTCCAGTCAAATCGAGAAGTTGGAAGCCGGGGAAAATGGGCATCAAGTAATGTACTGGAGGAGCCATGGTTGAAAGAGGTTTCTGGGGCGAGGCACTACCCTTTGGAACGAGCAGATATTCGAGCGGTTACTGTGGAGTATGTTCTGACTGTTCGAGTACTGCAGTTTCAGTTGGAAGAGTAGATTGATCACATCCAGGACATGGCCCCGTTTAATAGTTCTTTCGATCAAGAGGTGCCACAGTTGAAGGGCGTGCGATGTTTGTCTGTTTCAAATTACCGCTTTGGTCCATACTTCCAGATGGAGAGGCGGGGATTGTGAAGTAGAGGCCATGACGCCATCTGCCCGACGGGAATCAACAAGGACAGTCAGTAGTGGTAGTGGTAGTTGCAGCACTGCATAGGAGTTGATGAGGGCGCAACATTTGGGAGAGAGCACCTGGTGGACCATTGTGCATCGTAGTTGTGATATACTCTGGTAGTCCGAGACAAAAACGTCAGACATCCAAAGACTGGGAACCAAAGGGAATTGTATCCTTTCGCTGTCAGGACCTGTCAGCCTCAGATTCGAGGAACCAACCAAATGCTCTGACAGACAACCATTCATTGCAACCAATGAGACCCTTAAGTTCCACATGCTGACTTACACTTAAACTGTACTACAGTACAAGAGGAAGGTTTCCCGCTCCTTCGCCTGCGCATTTCTCGTCTACTCAATCAATAATCAATCCTCACTTTTTTAATCCCTCTTCCTTCCGCTTCCACACTTTCCACCTGACTCTTCCTGACTCTCTGACTCTTGGTCCTTTTGCGAACCAGATTCTCTCCTCAGACTTCCGCCTCTCGCCTCATGCTCAGTCTGATTTCCTGACCATACAGAATCATACACCCTGTTGGCGCCACCCTGACCACCCCTTCTGAACAAAGTCACGAGGCCACAGCAAGCGACGGTTGACCATTCAATCTGTTTGCCTGATTTTTTCTCGCCTTCCGTAGCACACCAGCAAATGACGCATGCCTGGCGGACTTCCAATGTGAACAGAAGGATTACTCTATTCTACCATCATGTTTTCTGCCTGCGCCATCGCGCCTGCGCAGTCACCTCTCTCAATGGCCGTTTTTTGCCGGCACCTATTGTTCCTCGCTCTTGTCGCCATTGAGACATCTGCCTTCAATAGCCATCAATCGGCCATGCAGCACAATATCAAGTCTTCCATTATTCATCACATCCATTGAACTGTTTATTCAAGGTTTACATTTTCATTTCCACAGAATATCCCCAGCCTGTTCCATATCTGCCATCTCTTACCAGTCCATTTACCATCATTGTTGTCCCACTCATATGCGGAACCACTGACTCCCAGATTGAGGACTCGTTCCACGAAAGAGGCCCATCCGCCCAGAACTCAGTACCGAACCAGCCCTTTACTGAGGACCTACGTCGAACTCAAAACGAGCGCGCAGCGACGGCCTACCTTAAAACCCCTTCGTTTTCGTTTACATATTATTTCACATCTTACGAAACATCCTCACCTTACCATCAGAGCAAGAGTTGCAGTCTTGACCTGAAGGTCACCATCACCAACCGCTCTCATTTCGAGGCACACACCACATACACAATGGAGCAGTTCAACACAATGCTCCCAACTCCCCCCGACGAGTATCTGAATCTAAGCAACGGGTTGTGCACTGTTGGACCTGACTTCATTGGACCTGTACCTCCACCGGGACCAGAAGATGGCAAGAAAAGACTGGTGCCCAAGGCTCCAACCTCTCCGGTGTCTGTCTCTTCCACTGTACTTTCAGCATCCTCCCTTGCGCCAACAGAGAAAGAGAGCCTCGACCGTGAGGAGGCTGCGGCAGCTATGTCCTTGTTACGCCGGGCGGCAAAGGTCAAGAATGACATGCCCAGCGGCGCTCATGACCACGACAAATACACTTCCGCCCTGCCTTTGGACAGGCTAGAGATGGACAAACTCATGGAACGTGTCAAGCAAGGCAAAACTGGAACGGAGGTGCTGGACACCGGGCTACAAAAAATCGTTCCGACTACCCAGCAGTGGATTCTCCTCCCGGAGGAACAATGGGAGAGCAAGCTCTGGCGTGCCAGAGATTCTCGTTTTGTGACCCTTGCAGACCTTGTGAACCGTGTCAAGCTTTTCCTTGATTACTACATTCCTGGGTATGAAGACATCGATGGTGGTCAACATGAAAGCCAATATGGTCGGGATACTGTCGAAACCATACTCTCCTGCACCCGTGAGCCATGGAGAAGCGCGAAACTCCTCGCATGGGCAGGCCGACTGTCAGAGATTCCGAATGACCAGATCTTGCCAAACATTCTTGACATTGTCCATAATGGTAAGCACAATAGCCTCTTTGTACAGCCCAGAGGCATGGGCACGGCCAGACGAGTTGCCAAGAAGTCCAAGAAGTCATCCATCAAGCAGGGGCCTAGCTTGCCGGTGGCCCGCATGCCAGCTAGCACGAAGCTGGCCCGCCAGGACATGGAAGTCGAGGATGTTGAAACACTAAGTCACATTGTGGAGACAAGCACAACAGTCTCCAAAGAGAAGTTCTTCACGGGCCATGGAAGGGAGGTCAAGGATGTCGAGACAAGACGTCCGATTGTGAAGGCAAGCACACCAGTCTTAAAAGAGAAGTCTCCCGCTTCTACCGCACCATCTGGAAAGCGTAAGCGCTCTGATCGCGATGGATCGGAGAGCAAAGCAACAAAGAAGAAGCGAGGCAACTTTGAGGACTCGGATCATAGTGACAAGGAACTTTTCGGCCGACACATCAAGGAAACGCTCAATGCTCGCTCGAAAAACAAGGCAGGTTACGAAGCCTTTCGTGACGCTATATTGCCGCCCAACAACAAGGTTCTAGACCCCTACGATCTCGACCCCGAAGAAGTGTCTCTGTGCGAGAAGTTGACTTGGTCGCACGACATTTACCGATGTCAAAAGGCTCGCTTCTTTCTCGGTCTTGCTATCTGGGTGGAACAGAATCGTCAAGCTATAGAGGAGGGCTGTTCAATGCCCGTCGGGGATGTGCGCAAGTCCGTCGCCCAGTTTTTCGGAAACATTGACGTCAACAAAATCAGTTCCATGTTCGGGTATTTCGAGTCACGGGGCTGGATACAGAACATACTCGTGAAGGATGAGAACAATGAGCAGCGTGTCTCTACCGACTACCTCAGACATTTCCCTTCAGATCACCGTCGGGAACTGATGCAGGAAGTGGCGGATTTCGAGGCCAACCCGCTGAATGGTATACCCCCAGAACAGCGGTATGCCAAGGTTCAGCCAAGCGATGAGTCGAAGCGGCTCGGAAGCATGAAGTAACTATGACACAAAGGCTTTGGTGGTGGTGGTCGTCGGAGATGTGGTTTTGAGGAGCCTCCAGATGAATGAGGTCGAGAAGGCCAGTGAGGGCTAAACAGACACGACAGACGATGGAGAGAGATTGCTATGTTGATCCCGAGAAGACCTCTTGTTACATCCGTGTCCATCTGTGTCCATATGATTCCATAGCCTGCCTGTTGCAATGGCAAATGGCAACCATTCCTACAGCTTACAAAATGTCTCAACAGCAATCTTCGTGTCGTCCTTCGTCTTATTAACCATATCAGCGATAGCTTTGAAGTTAGGTCTCTTCACACCGCGAATTAATTCAAACGACAGACTCTTGCTGGTTGTCACGATTGCTCCCTCCTGCGCCGACCGATTCAGTGCCACGAGGCGTTCACCCACGTTGCACCTCGATACCCCGTCCGCGAGAACGTACACTCTATGTCCCTGAGCGAGCAGGTCCACGGGCAAGGTCTCGCGTCAAGCCAAATGGTGATCGTGGCCAGCACAACTCACACAGCAGTATATGATGGATGTCATAGCGAGGATGGCAGAACGATCAGCACATGTCTCCAATGCCTATTCTCGACCTCGTGCTGTTCTGGGGCGAATCTGGCGGTAAGTCTATATTGCACGGCATCAGCCCAGGCCAGACCACCCGCCATGTCCTTTGTTCTGCTAATGTTGACATCCCTTGGGGACTTTAAGGCCCGGCGGTTGGCGAGACAAGCAGGAAAATACTGGAGGTCCTCCGGACCGTGGATGGATGTTGTGGAAAAGAGCTTCGTGTTCGTGTGAATCACGATCTCGTTTCCTCGCCGTCACCCATGCTAGTGTACAACGTGTACGCCGCCCGGGGTGGGAAAACCATATCACAAAATGTGGGAGGCCGCAGCGGGATGCAGCTGAAGGAACACCAGAGGGGAATGTAGTCGATTTGGATATCACTTCTCAGGTCGATGCAGTGACGTGGCAGGACGTTATGGTCAGGCTGTCGTCTTCAGCATGAAAGCATCGCTTACTGAATAGCGATGACCCATTAGAGTATGGGTAGCTGGGCAGTTTTCTGGGGCGTAAGTGCCGGGAAGGCTGGAGACCGGCTCGTCAGGCCGAAGATGATGTCGAAAGCAGGGTTCTATGCTGGGCACAACGGGGCTGTGCATACACCGCCCCGGGGAAGATCGCACTGCAGGTGAATGTGAACACATCGAGACCATGGCTCTTTGGCTGCGTTGAATAAATGCGTGCGGACCATGACACTAGACCATAAGCAAGCAAAGGCATAGCTAGCGACTTCTGTGCCGGACTGTCGAAGGATCACGCCCTCCATATCGGCTAGACCAGAGATTCAAGCGTTGGCTCCTCATGGTCGATACAGTATTCATATGTCAGAGAGGCGCGAAACTGCATAGTTCCTACCTTTCGCAGAAGTCCATGATCACACCGGAGAGTGCTAAGGCTTGCCGAGCCATGAAGATTTGTTGACGAGGTTCCAATGAGCCTCTGGAAGGGTTGCTGAACGGTTCAACCAGTCACATCGTCACAAGCTTGCATAAGGACAGCAAGACGAGGTTCCCCGGACATGCGTCGAAGAAAGCATCAGACTGTGCAACATCGATGTCATGAGGAGTATCGGCTAAGCTTTGCTCTTTGAACGTTGTGGCTGTCTTTCCAGCTCTGATTCGGACGGTGGTGGCCTCGACAGTCTTTGCAGCTGAAAAGGACTAGACTCGGATAGGCACTGCCATTGCCTTCTTTTGTGATGACGAGGTGTCTCTGCAGATATGTTGAAGGGGCGAAGCCTTCGTATCAGGCTGAGACAGTGGATAATCGACACAGGTGTCTGAGATTGGGAGGAGAGAGACGGGGAACCTCGCTGAGAACTGTAGCCTAATCATGCCAGAACAACGCCGGGATTAGTGGACGGCTGAATGCTAGTTGGTCAATGGGCTCGACCATTCCTGGTACGTGCACCCCCATAGGTAGGACAGCATAGTACTGGTGTAACCATGTGTATTCATGATTTCCGTCCTCTCATACTTTGCAGACTTCAAGAAAGTCTGGACCACGTGGCATAATCCGAGATACGGCGCTGCAGGCCTGCATGTGAGTAAGTAAGCGGGCGCCGAAGGGGATTCAGCATGGGCTGCACTGGCTTGTGCAAATCGTGCATTCTCGGCACGGTGGTAGAAAGGTCGCGATTCCACACAATTGATGTTCGGTCTGAAGAGATCAGCGGATCTAGTTCCAAGGTCGATCTCGGTTAGGAGGTGTGTCCGAGATCTCAAACATCGGCAAGCAGTTCCAGCTCTGAGGATGAAGAAATCTGGTTGTTGGGTCGGCCGATGATTGGCAGTCAAGCAAACTTGACATGGCGAGACATTGGCCGAGATATCCGGAATGAGCTGCAGTGACATGGGGCTCGATTATCATAGTACCGACCTAGGATGTTTGCGTCGAATTCAATGCCGCTGGACTTGCATCATTGAGCGGTTCGCAGAGGTTTGTTTGTCTGGCCTTCCAGCTGGGGCCATGGCGTACCTCTTGGGTCAAGGACTGGTACCTGTGCATTATTGGACGAGTGCGTATGGGTTTCACGCAGAGCAATGACCTTCATCGCTTGACAGACATGGGTCAGGGATGGCTGGGCCGTTGCAGATCGTTCTGCAAGTGTTTCGATGTTGTTTGTCGTTAAATGTTGTTCTTCAAGAATGTTGAATGGGGAAGTACTCGTACGAAAGTCGTACCTGCAAAAAGAGGTAGATCACGTGCATGGCTCATCACGTGCCTGACGATTGTGCTTACTCATCTCATGCGTCTCGCTTCCTCAAGTTCAAAGCAAACGACGCAGTGGCTTTCTGGCTCTTTCGCTGCGTCTCCAGATCAAACTGCAAACTGCATTTTACATTTTTCGACAGCAACCCCCGTTACTACCTTCATTTGCCCGCCCATACCTTCGAGCGTTTGCGACATTGCTGCCTCTACTCTACTGATTCCCAAAAGTGTCAAGGCGTCATCTTGGCGGGAATGTATCTCCTAAGGCCACACGGTTACGGACGTCTCACAAACCCCCCTGGTCATTGCGACAACGTGTCTTGCGGGTGAAGCGAGACCACACATCTCATTGGCAGGAAGCGCCTCGTTAAGCTGCAAATCACTTCCTCCTGTTCATACACTAAAACGGATTTGGGGTCCCTGCCGGATTGGAGCTCGTCGGTCCGCTGGCAGCTCTGATTGCTATGAAAACAAAAACCGTTGGACCTGCACCTAGACATGCTGATCCACGCCAAAATGAGCGGTCAACTATTGCCTTAGGCATGATGATGTAGATGCTGCCCGAAGCTCTACAAGCCTGCAGTACTTAACCTCAACAACCTTGACATTTGTTCTACCGGCAAAGAAGACCTCTGTGACCTTGGAAAGCAGATTTCACTGAGGCACATCTGGCTCGAAATACTCCGCCCTGAGTCCAGGGACCTCCTACCCGAGTGGCAACGCAGGTATGTTGCGCATATGACAGGCTTGCCCCGAAAATATCAGACAGGCGAGACGGCACGATCCGAGAACGGAACGACGATCCCAAGGACCACGGTAGGGCGAGGTGAGCGAACCTTCCTGAAATTACAGTCAAACAGAGTCAGGTCTTGCCCTGTTGGGAGGGATTGACTAACCCAGCACTGCCACCTCTCTTGCTAACAACGCCTCGTCTTATCCTCGTGCGTCCACGCCAGACCCTTTTCCTTGCCCTTCTGGCCTTGCCCTACCTCCCGTAGGCAGACCCCGCTCATCTCATCCCTCCACAGTCTTTGCCTACCAATTTGTCGACTTCTTATCGCGCCTCCACACGAGCTGGGTATGCGGACCTCTCATCCTGGTCGTTCGATATCCGTCTGCATGTCCCTCCTGCCTTAGCTTCCATGATTCCATCTCTGTCTCTCGAATATCAAGTACGCACCTTGCCGTAGTCAAACTTGCCAGAGTCATTTTCACTTTCTGTTTTATACTCGACTCCATTTCAGACACCAGGCAGCAATTTTTGTCGATTTCTCACATTCAGCCCGGTTTGACCGACCACCGCTACCCCTTGAGGCATCAATTCTTCCCTGACAGTTTCGTCGCTCGTTTCTCCATCACTCACGCAGGGCACAACTTGGTCGGAAAGCCTGCTCTAGTTGGACCCGAGCCTGCCTTGTCAAGTTTCTTTTCATTGACAGTCGTGACAGCTTCAGGGTCTTGTCACTCGACCTGTACTCATCCGTCCAGTGGAAGTTTGACTGGCATTCTATCACTTTGTTGCACGTTCAAGAATGACCGACTATGCGCCACGAAGCAGCCAGGATTACAATACCTTCTTTCAGAATCAGCAACTCGCCATGTCGCATTATTCCAATGGCAACGGCCTCAACTACCTCTACGGCAATGGTCAAGTTCAGTATCAGACTGTCAACGCTCCATGCCCAGCATACTCAAGCACCTTTGCCCCTACCCAGAATACCCATCCAAGTCCCATGTATATGTCTACAGTCCCTGGAATTCCATTGCATTATCCGATCCCAAGCAACAGAGTACCTACCCTACCTTCTCAGTCGCGTTCGCTTCCACCATCCTCCTACTACGCCACATCCTCGTCCAATCATCGTGCGTCAGTCCATCATCCACGACTTATACCGCCCCGAGACTACAGTCACATGGATGGCACTGAATGTCAAGACTCTCCAAATGAGGACACCATGCTTTCGGAACCAGTCCTCCCTCCCCTCGAGGGCTATCCAGACGTACACGAATTTGACGAATTGATGAAACGGTATACTTGCTTCTTCTTGGGTTGAATCTGAGGCCAAACTGACATGAGAACAGCTACGTCCATGACCTATCGCCGAAGAAACAGGACAAGGCTTTGATCAATGCCCGCAGAGCTGCCAATATCCGCCACGTCCTCATCGATAAGAAGACGACCTCAATTGAGTCTGCGCAGTTTCGGTGAGCCTTGCCATGGGAGTCCTCGGGACTTGTCAACGATTTAATGACACAGCTAACAACGTTCGGAAGGTTCTGGGTCAAGAAGATGTTTACACTGCAGCCCGCTGACGGAAAACCTCCTGAAGTAAGCATAGACCAGCCTCTCGATGGCAAATACTGATTCAACTCTGCAGCACCGAAAAATTTGTCACGAGGGTAAGCCAGTCGCAGTCCGAGAGAAGCTATTCAAAATCCTCACCAAAGCACACAAACAATGCCAACATGGGGGTCGGGACAAAACATCAGCCCAAGTTAGGCGAATTTATTCATGGTATGGGTTCTGAATGCTGTTGCCGGATGGGTTGATACTCATGTCGTTACTATAGGGTCCCGAAAGAGCTCATCTCGAGGTTTGTCAAGCTGTGTCCGACATGTCAGGTTAGAAGAGGGACTGCTCGCAATTCCCCACCAGAGTCGGTGAAGAGTGCAGACACGCGGATGAATACGCAATCACCCGACAATATCGGGGTTGCGAGCTCTAGAAAGAATTCCATGTCGAGCAGGCAATCACTGGCCAGTGTGACTTTGCCTCTACAGTCAGCAGGCTTCAATAGCAGTGCAACATTTCAACAACAGAATCGCTGGATGACACCCTTACCACCACAGCAAACCCAAATGGATATCAAGATGCCATTGCCTACATCAAGCAGCAACAGTGTCAAGATCCGGGATTCTTACAATACCATGCCACCTATACCAATGAATCATGGACACACCACGCCATCAGGATTGAGCTTTTCATCTGTGAATAGTTATACCAGCGTGTCAACACCTTCAACTGCATATACTTCGGATTCTTTGTCTCAGCCGACCCATGGTCATGTATCAACAGAGCACAACTACGATCTTAAAGCCGGTCACCACTATCTTTAGGCATGCAGATCCCTATGGGATGGGATTCGAGGTTCATTCTCGAAAAGCCAATGTACCTTCAATCTCGTCAGGGCCTTCGGCACCAGGATGCACGCATAATATACAACAGAGATGGAATTTTCGATTCGAGTGACGTGGCAGAAGCTGGCCGTTGCGCGAGAGTGGTTTCGAACAAGCACCGACGTTGGTCCTAGCAGCCTTTGATCAGCTCGTCTGGAGTTACCGCTTTTTTCTTAGGCTGGGCGGTACTGTACTCTACATCGTTGGGCGTTCAAGGTCATCCTCCATTTGAGCAAGTCATCGCTCTTTTCCAGGGGAATGCTGGGATTTCTTGTGAGAGCATGCCTTGCGAACCACATCTAATTTGATCACAACAAGTCGACCAGGCCCCAGAGTTCGACGAGATGGGGCCGGGCTCGTATTTGTGCAAGGACATCAGTGGCCTTTCCGGGACTGGAACTCAAGGGGTCAATGCTAAAGGCATTGGGAACGGAAAAAATGGCGTCGTGGTTGGTATATGGGTTTGGGAGACAGGGTAGATAAAAACAGGTGCATCCCACGAGACTTTCAAAGGTGCTCTGGTGTTGACAGATACCTAGCTAGGCCGTGTCGATTGATGTCTCTATCATCTCGCTGTGTCAAGGTTCATATCGTGTTTAGGCGCCGTCTCGCCCAAGGCTGAGCGCCCCTGAAATGCCCTTCTGGTGCTTGAGGGGTCTGCCTCACGTAATAAAGGGGGGTGCAGATTAAATTTGACGCTAGGAACACAAGCGGAAAGTGTCAATTCGCCCTGCATCTCCAAAAAAGTTGAACGTGTTGAACAGCCTGGCAGTTCGCAGTCAATCATCACTCTTTGCATTCCTGTCAACACCGTTCTTCGGATCTACTCAGCTTTACGCGTCTACACAACCGCACTCTTGCACTGGCGTTGTCAATTGATCCTCGCCATCCTTATCAATTCGCGCCGGTCGTGTCTACCACGTCCCTCCCGTTGAGCATCTTTCCCCAAGTCAGCAGCGGCCGGCTGCAAAGCTCCTGCACAAGATGAATCTCTTCAGGTTACTCGGTACGCAACTCCCGAGCGGTCTCTTCCTAGAACTGCAAGACTGACGCATCAATGACAAACAGCCGATCTGTCGCATCTCTTTTCCATCTTCATCCTCCTTCACAAGATGCGAGTCACGAACGTACGCTGCTGTCCGCCTCGATATGGTTCTGCGCCTTGCTAACACAGACCTTGAATTCAGTCGTGTTCAGGCATATCATTCAAGTCACAAGCGCTCTACTTTCTAGTATACCTGACGCGATACCTTGGTTCGTTCCGCCCACCTTGCACCGCTGAAGACCGCAAGGACACGCTTCGTCTAACCTCGCGAACACAGATCTGTTCTGGACATTTACCGACAGCGCATGGAACACCATCTTCAAGATCATCTTCCTCACATCCTCCGCCTACACGCTCTGGGTCATGCTGAATGACTACAAGCCCACGCACGATCCCAACCTCGACACCTTCCGCGTCTCCTACCTGACGGGCAGTTCAGCCGTGCTGGCCATCCTCTTTCCATACAAATGGACAATCCCGGAGATCCTGTGGGCGTTCTCGATCTGGCTGGAAAGTGTGGCCATTTTACCGCAGCTCTTCATGCTGCAGAGAACGGGCGAGGCCGAGACAATCACGACGCATTACCTCTTCGCGCTGGGCATCTACCGAACCTTGTACATCCCTAACTGGATCTACCGGTGGTTTTCGGAGGGTCACTTCGATCCCATACCCGTTGTTGCTGGGATCATCCAAACGGTGTTGTACTCGGACTTTTTCTGGGTATATTATACGAAGTGAGTTTCCCCCCAATGTTCAGGACCAAAACAGCCTGCTTACATAGAACTCAGGGTTCTCAAAGGAAAGAGCTTCAAGCTTCCTGTCTAAGGTATACGGCAATCATGCGAACATATCCTTGAATGTCGAGCCCTAAGAGAACAAGTTTTGTGTACGGAATGCGGACTTTCTTCTTCGAATTGAAACATTATAGACCGAAGCTGTATTAGCTCCGAAGTCGTGACGAGAATCAATCTCAGAGCAAGCGATTCACACGCCATATGTCAGTGTCCAATTGTGTAGCATAGCGATGCGTGGGATGGAGAAACGAAATAAAAGTCAAAATAATACTGTTTACTCCCTATTCAAGAGACCCTAAGCTTCGTCAGATTTAAGAGCACTGTAAGTCCATTGCATGAAACATTAAGATCAGAAGATATTAATTGGTGACTATGCACAGTCTCATCAAGTGGAGAACTAGTATAGAAAATATGGTAATCATGTGAAGGTCGCAAATAAAATCGTCAACGCTCGCTAAGTCGTCAAGAGAGTCAAATAGGAGATGGTCGTCCATAAATATCCATATCCACATCCCAAAAATATCCGTATGATTTAGTGTTCACCAATTCCTTTTGGTACCCAGAACAGCAAGCACGACGACCAAAATGCAGACGACAAGCCCGACAGCGCACATCCAGCGATTCAGGTTCCGCCACCAGCGTGCATGCTGCCATTTGAGTTCCGCCACGCCCGCGGTATGTCTCTCGATGCGCAGCCTGGCGAGGACGTCCATCTCTTCCCAATCCGAGAGGCCTCCCTCAGGCTGCGAAGAGTACCGCTGCGACTGACGCCGCTCTATCGCCGCTTGGCTGTACGCATTCTTCTCCAGGTCTGCGTACGATGCTGGTCGCTTTGGGAGAGGCAGGAAGGCCGCGATGAACCATGTGAATGGAACAACGAAGCCAACGGCGAAACATGCGACCTGTGCGCTGCGTAGGTCTGCTCGTCTCGAGAAGAAACCGCCCGACTGCGACATGATACTTGGGGCGGTCCAGCGGGACCTTGCATTGAATGGGAACCCAAAGCCGCGTGATGCGGAGGAGCCTGTGTTGAGTCTCTGGTCGTGGTGCAGATGTGGGGAGGCGGGCCAGCTACGCCGAATTTGGGCACCTGAATAGTGCACGACTGACATCTGAGATTCCGATGGTGTCACGCTGTAGTCGTAGCTAGGGCGGCGGTAATGGTGCTGGTGTATGGTATATGTTGACCCTGGACCAACTTCAAGCGGTTGTTCATTAATCTCAATGACACCGGCCCAGTGAGACCGTGGGTCGACTGGAGATAGAGGGGCGGAGAATGACCGGCCGTGAGTAGAGGAATGGTGCGTGGAAGGGTACGACTGTCGCCGTGTGTCGATGGCTGCTGTTGCAGGGCCGCGGAGCGGATTGGATACAAGAGGTCCTTCGCCGGGAAGGGTGTGCGATTTCCTCGCTTCAAGACGTGGGCGGGATCTGCCCTTGAAGAGAGCTTCCATGCGATCTGTCACGGCTTGATGGAAGCCGCGTCGGGTCGGACTGCCATTTGATCTCGCGGTTGTTGGTCGCGAAGGTGCTGGAAGTGTCCTTTGACCCCGACCTGTGCTGGCCAGGTTTTGCAGATTTACGTGTGAGGTGCTGGCATACAGATATTGGAATGATTCTGCATAGGCGCCCGAATAATACCGTTTCGCCCATGTTGGAAGTGGAGGCGCCGGGGCGACTGCACTGCCCGAAGAGGTAGGTCGAAGTGAAGGAGAAAGAGAACTGTTTCGTCGCAAATGCTTCGATGATCTCATAGGAGTGAGTCGTGACAGCGACGAGTCGATAGAACCGACATAGCTGCCGCTGCGTGATGTTCGAGTTGTGGGCGATTTGTACACATCGTCGCTCGAAGGTAAAGCTGACACTTCGTCTGCGGCTTCATGAGAGTCCGAGTCGTCATCTCGAACGATCCGGATCTGTGACTTGATGGATGGTGCATTGATTATATACATCGATGCTGGGGCCAATTCATCGGAGGTCAAATACTCATCGATTTCATCTAGGACCGAAGATGAGACGCTCGTCGGCCGGGTATTTGCGGCCTCGGATGGGATTGCTGATAGCCTGGATGGCAATTCCGGTCCTGCTGTCCCCGCGGAAAGAGATCTAGACAGAGATCTAGAGTTTCTTTTCGGCACCATCAGTCCAACTTGTTGGCTCCTGGGCGGTGCGCGTACGACCGGATATTGTATACGAGGCGGACTCGAGCTGAGAGCAGCTTGGAGGCTCGCATGAGACTCAGCAAGTGAATAGTCGTCAGAGCTGACTTGGTAAACTCCCAACCTTCGCACAATCGGGCTGGAATCATCGAAGGAGCCTTCCACCTGACGAATACTTTCACCTGCGGAAGATGCAAATCCCCGACTCTCGGGTGAGACGTTACTGGCTGCTGCCGAGGTGGGGATATATCGATCCACGGGTGGACTGGAGGCCAAAGGGTTCCTCGCGCCTGCCCTGTCTGCGAATGAGCCACTTTCCAGAGTATCAGAACGTTTCCGCTTCGGTGACGAGTCTGAGCTGCGACGTGTTAACGTGGTGGCAAAGTGGATGGCGGCAGGTCGTGAACCGAATGGGCTCGATGTCCCTAATTTGATCACATTTGGACTTGATGACTGCACATCGTCCTGAAACTGCTCCGTACTTGATGTGTGGGCGAGTCTGACCACATTTGGGCTCGAAGAGCTGTTTTGAACGGTGCTGATACTCGGATCCGCTGTGGATGAACCCAGGCCAGAACTATACAGATCCGCAGGTGGCCTCGGACTCGAGGTTACACCCAGAACTCGATAATTTGGACTTGAGGTAGCTGCAAACCTCTCGGCGATGGAAGTGAAAGATGCCCTTGATGACCGCCTATTCGCAAACCGTCCCCCTTGAGGCAATGTTGGCAACAACGCCAAATCGTCAGAAGAAATCTTGCGTGCATTGTCCCAAGCATAAGGCCCAGACAAACTTTCGTTTGACCCTACGGCCCTTAGTCGTGACGAATTGGCGGTGCTGGGGCGAAGAGGAGGCGACGCAGCTGTGGAAGGACGAGACGCTTCATCCGCCTGAGCCTCATATAGATCTCGCAATGCTTTGACAGACCGCTTGAGCCTAATCGTGGGTTGTGCGACCCCTCGCACAGTCCTTTGTGCTTCGTTGGTTCTTCCCGTCTCATTCGCGAATGGAGAGTCCGTGAAGACATCACCGTCGAAGTTGCGAGTGCTTTTCTTCTTCTTGATCGAGCTGGGAAGGAGAACATGTGCCGCCTTTGTGGGAAAGGGTGTGGTGTTGTATATGCTGAAGTTTTCCTGATCCGACAGAGCATCTTTGCTCAGGCGGGCCGAGATTTCGTTGGCTTGGGACTGGGTTCGTTCTCGAAGGGGCGTCCTTGCTGGAGAGGTCCGCTTCGGCGGTCTCGACTTCACCGACGAAGGGGACGATGACATTGCTATCGCATTGTAGGAGGGGGACTTGATCCGAGAGGAATCGGCTGCAACTTATGACGAAATCGCCAGAGGGTAGTCTGTTGAGTATAGAGTACAGATGGTGAGGTAATCGTTGGTATAGTAACGAGCGACTGAGGGTGAGCTGTGCAGAAACAACAAGAGTCAATGCTTGAGTAGCCAGCAGAAATGTAGTCAGTATGTGCGAGCGGGCGTCATGCCATACGATCGGCGGCCAGGGAGACTATGGGGCCGAGGTGCATATGCATGTCCCAGGCGAGTTAAATTGTTCCTTCACTGACAGTTGATGGGCGGATGGCTTGCATCTGACAGCAGACGTTGGAGATTGCGGTTGTTGATACTTGTATGGCCTTGGAATGCAGGAGATTTTGCGGCTGAAGTCGACCTCGAGCTTCACGGTAGGTTGGATCTAGTCGCCAGAGAACCGAAGACATGGTTCTCGGGCGGCTTCCTTTTGACCATTTGTGTGCCCGATCACGCGGATAAGGAAATACCCTGTAAATTCGCCATTTTCCCTCCAATCTTCAATGACGGTGGAGCCATGATTTCGGAGATGAATATCGAGCAGGGTTCTGTTGGCGAGAGGCGCAGCATCATGGCTTGTGTGTGTCAAGGAGTCGCGTCGCATCTCTGATCGCGTGGCAGATGATGGAATTCGAAATTCGCCTATTGGACAAGAGGGTGTCGCGAAATTAACGCGTCAATCTGGCTGCCAGACTGACTTGAGGCTCGCATGGCCTCACTAGGCATGACTAGGCAGGGAGTAGGGTTTGCTGAGCTGCCGAGCATTACTGGCCGTGACAGGGGCCGAGATGGAGGAAAGAAGCAAAGGGACAACGAGGTGTTGGGCGATACGATCAAGAGAAAGAAGAAAGAAGAAACATAGTCGAAAGTGCACTTGTGAACGATTAGTTACTTGTGAATGCTAACTTAAGAGAAGGAAACCTCATTAAACTTGAACTTGTACCCTTGAATTCATTCGTTATTGCTGGTATTTTCGTCATCGTAACAACAAAACCTCCCCCTTTCTCAATCCTCAAACCTCCGCCACAAAGAGCTACACCTTGTTACAAAATATCCCATCTCCATATTGTAAGCCCGGTCGCTTTGCTGGCATTTACAGCTACTTGTCACAATGATGGCACCGGTTGACCTCTACAACAAGCTCAAAACGACTTACTTTGGCCATCAAGGTTCGTCGCCTAGTCCATTGGCTCACAATCAGCCCGATACCTACCCTTGTGCCCTGAACTACCTTAGCTTCATCCCGCAAACTCTTGCGTGATCAGCTTCCCTTCCACCCCACTCCATATAGATTATACTTGTGTTTTCTGCGTCCAGGTTCCTTTATCGATACTGCATCTCGCTAACACAAGATGATGATGTTAGAAGACAAGCCCATCATATCAACCACCACGGCAGCATGTCTCTCGGTACGTAACGTGTAACACAATCGACCTCATATGATCAGTAAGTATCGTTTCGCTAATCCCACGCGACCAGGTCGTCTTCACGTTGCTCTACGTTGTACCTTTCTATCTATTCCAGGCAACCCGACCATCGCCCACACTAAATCGAGATGCACCATCAGTCATTCGAGCTCGCATTAGAACAGTAACCTTGGCCTGCGTGGTGGCTTCTTCAGCAACCCTCTATTTACTTGTTGTGACAGCCAAATTGACAGCCCTCGATGCAGCCCATCTGCTAGGATGGTGGCCGGTCCGGATGGTTGACGTGTTCAAGTCCTGTGCGCTGACCCTTCTCCTCTTTCTTGGCCCCGTCTGGGAGAAGCTCTTCATAGAGGGGCATTGGGACGACTTACGCCGAGGACGCAAACTTGTCGAGTCTTTGAAGAGTTGGCAAGGCTATCGTAACTACGTGGCCGGTCCCATCACTGAAGAAGTCATCTTCCGATCGATCCTCGTGCCATTGCATCTGCTGGCCAAAGTATCGCCAACAAAGGTCGTGTTTTTGACGCCCCTTTATTTTGGAATAGCTCATGTGCATCACTTCTACGAATTCACCTTGACGCATCCTCACACTCCGTTACTGCCAGCACTCTTGAGATCTGTCTTCCAATTCGGATATACGACCCTTTTTGGCTGGTTTGCAGCGTTCATCTATCTGCGGACGAGCTCGCTATACGCATGTGTCATCATCCACGCCTTTTGCAACTGGGTTGGTCTTCCACGATTTTGGGGCCGTGTGCAACGTAGGGAGGAATACCCTCTTCCACCAGTCGCGACAAGGGGAAAGGATGACACGGATGCGATCCAAGTACATGGCTTTGCGGGACGATTGGACGTGAAATGGACGGTGATATACTACGCGCTGTTATTGACTGGTGCATACGGCTTCTATGCTGGGCTCTGGCCCCTGACAAACTCCTCGAAGGCGTTGGCAGATTTTAGTGGAAAGCTCAAGCATAGATAGGGGTCATGCAAGGCTGAGCTCGGCTCAAAGGGTCATTTATGTCCGAGAAGTAGCGACGTAATTCCGACCTCATCATCGACTTCTCGTCAAAATAAATTACCCAGGTAAAGGACTTTCTGGAGGCGCCCATATGCTCAATCTAGATGTTCTCTAGAGTAAAGAGCTCGATGTATTGTACTATTCTTTGACGCCATGCCTCCCTTGCGGCCATCGGTCCGCCATCTCTTACGGCCCTTGAGATCTACAGTTCGCTCTTCCGCCGCATCCATCTCCTCTCGTCCTCCTCCCTTCCCGGTCGTACCGACCTGTCCAGATCCGACATGCCCTTGCTCTGCGATGCCAGAGGGGCTCGATATCGACCGGAAAAACTTTCTCAATGGGACGATGTCACCGCATGCACAGCATCTTGTCGTATCCTCAGGCCGCTCAGATTGGTCGAGCAAGATCGAAGATGAGAAGGAGACGGCTGCATGGGGCAGATTTACGGCGGACATCAAAGGTCTACTTGGACGGGGCGGAGAGTTTCATGATGTAAGTTCGCACTGAGAATTTGAGAAGAAGCTGTTTCGAAACATGGCGGCTTCCTCCAGACACCAAAGCATGGAAATGACGGCTGACTTACACCAGACCTGACATCTAGCCTTACCACAACGACGTGATGGTCAGCACCTCCTCATTCACACCCTCAGAACTGGCCAACCAGGAGTCCAGTCTAGGTACAATACCTCTGTCCAGCGCACCAGACCAAGAGATCGTTGACGCCATACTCTTTCCGGCATTCCGACACTTCCGCGGCCTTACTTTGGATCCAAAGGCAGACATCTCCAGAAAACTCGTCAAGTCCTGGCTTCTCCCGGAAGAACGAAAACTCAATCCTGTATACTGGGACCTCTCGGAATCAGAACGACGCGCAAAGTCTCGTGACCCAGCCCTTGGCGATTCGTTACTCAGTCAATCGGTCGAAGCACCCACGATCCTGATATGCAGTCACGGCCAGCGCGACAGTCGTTGCGGCATCTTAGGTCCTCTCCTCCACGCCGAGTTCACATCGTACATCAACGAACGGAAACCCATTGGTAGAGGAATAGAGCTGGAGTCCAAACCTGGCGCATTTCTAGCCAGCTCCTCGTCCACATCGGAAGAGACCATCAATGTTAACATCGGAATGATCTCGCACATAGGAGGCCACAAATGGGCCGGCAACGTGATCATGTACATCCCACCGACCTTCCAACATCTTCTCTCAGCCTCGAGAAGTCCACATCCTCTTGCCGGAATGGGGATCTGGTATGGCCGCGTCGAGCCACGCCATGTCGAGGGCATCATTGAGCAGACGCTCTTGCAGGGCAAGGTCATTCAGGATCTGTTTCGCGGCGGACTCGGTCAGGGTGGTGAGACATTGAGGCTATGAATACCGGCCTCACGGTCACTACAAACCTCGAAGCAAACCTTGAGAAGCACTCAACGTACTGGGCTTCACATTTACCACCGCCACGCACAATGACATGTGTGCACCAAGCATGTCCCGATGCCAACACATACCAAGCTCAAAGTCTGGGCCTACCGGTACTGGCGTTTCATCACGTCGGTTATCCCAGCGTGGCAGGCCACTACGTCACGGACGTGTTCACCGGGTGGCTACGGGAACAGCAACAGCTTCCTGCCGTAGCTAACAACCCATTCCAGCTCTCATCTCTGCCCCTGTACAGCAGACGCACTGTTCTATAGATCGATTTCCCTACGATAGTGAGCCAAGTCTTACTAGACATACATCACATCTCAATCTCAAGGCTTGCACATTAAGTGTTTTCAGATCATTCTTGATGTATTATGCATGCTATGCTTTCGCTTGCTTGCAAGCTGTCTCACACGAACACAAAACTCTGTACAGTTCTTCTAGCATAAACGCTTAGGATGCATCCAACGTCTATTCCCACATGCACGCTCCCACAAAACCAGCTCCGCTAAATGCACCAAAATTGCCCCTTTTAGGCATCGTAGGTCATCTTATCAGATCCATCTATGCTGCCACAAGAACGTTCTCTGTAGCACAAAATGCAGATAATTGTCACCGCCAATTGACTCGCTGCCGTCGTGGCTCCGCGAGACGTAGTTCGTCAAAATCCTCGTCCAACTCATCGCTGTCCCATTCATCCTCCTCGTCCTGCTGGGCGAGCTGGAGAAAGCGTTCCAATCCCATTGCTCGAACGGGGCCAGGCTGCATCGCGCCTCCGGGGTGGTTGCCTTGACCGGGCGCGGCCTGTGGAAGAATGAGGGGCTCATTGTTTGCTGCGGGCGCAGCCTGTGCAGGAGGTTGAGGAGCCGGTTGTCGCGCAGGAGGTGGAGCATTCTGTACAGCACGCGCCTGCTCAATTCTCACAGGCCCGTGGCGGTTTCCTCGCTGCCCACCACCCCGACGTCTCCGTCTAGGCGGGTTAGGCACGGCAGGCGGGGCCGGTTCAGGTGCCCTGGGCCGTTCGGGCAGCGCTATACGGTGCGCATTGTTCGCTCCTGGACGGGCAAAGTTGACAATTTCTATGTGCATGTTTCGTCGCTGATCGGGCGCCGGCTCCTCGTCCGATGTATCCTCCTCATCCTCGAATGGTCTTTCGCCGCGAAAGTCGTCGAAATTCTCAGGCGGAAGGTCATCATCGTCTGAGTCTTCGTCCTCAATGATCTCGTCCCATTCAGCAAGCTCAGGGTTGTGAAATGCTTGACGGTCGACCCCTTCACCATCGCCTGCTTCAAGCTCCCACAAGCGCTGGTAGCACTGGCTGGCCAGGTCGTTGAAATGGTTGTATGGATTGTCGGGCATAAGAAAAGAAGAGCACAGATAGCAGAAATGTGTCTTGCACCGGAAACAGATCATGTGATTGCAACCCATGGTCTTCTGGCACGGCGCGTTGCATGTTGGGCAAGGCGTCGAGTACTTCTGCATGTAGAGCAAAGATGCTGATTCTTCTTCATCAAGCTCTTTTTGCCGCCGAGGACTACAGTGCGCGAGTTCACCGTGCCATCCTTTCCGACAAACACAGCAAAATGCAAAATTGCAGTCCTCGCACACCGAGAGGCGGTCCGCCATCGGCAATTCTTCGAGATCGAACTTCTTCTTCCTCTTAGTGGGTTGTTGAGGCTCTTCTTCAGACTCGGAGCTCTCTTCTCCTTTCATGGGATCAACTGGTTTGGGATGTTTCTTCGACCGAGCCGCACCCTGACACCACTGTCGCGGGCAATAGATCGTATTCGGATCTGCTTCGAGTCGCTTCTTTCGCTTGAGACGGACATACCGTTGAACCAGCTCCTGTTCGATAGGGATCTGCAACAGTTCGCTAGGGTTGAGCGTCCGATCGTGTTTCCGTTTCTTCAAAGGTTTCCCATCTGGGCCAACTCTTGCGGCTTCGTCTTTTCCGCAAGTCGGAGATAAGCATTTGACATTGTCAACGTCTCCCTCTGTGATGCAACTCTTATAGAATTCTTGCAAGCATGCTGTACAGAATACGTGTCCGCATAGCATTATCTTGTGACAGTTCACACCTTTTTTCGGCTCCAGGCAAATTCCGCAATCGAATGTCCCCTTCTCAAACTCGTCACGCTTCGCCTTGAGATCGTAATCCAACAATGCCAATTTCAGTTCGCTCAAGACTTGGAAGTCGGGTGCCCCTGCGAGCCCAAATGCATTCTCCGCCTCTTGCTGAACATGGTCGATGTATGCATAAACGACTTGGTCCTTCCCTAGTTCTTCCCACAGGTTTGAACAATCTTCCTTCAATCTCTTGAGCGCCGGCCGTGGCAGCCATGGAGGGTTCACAGACACAGACACTAACGGAGGCTTCTCGGTAGGATAGCCTTCTGGCAGAGTAACCTTGAGGGAAAGAGGTGGTAGGTGTGACAACTCATGTGCATCGAGCTGTATAGCTTGAACTTGTGGCTTGAGAGGCGAGTGGCCTTCGTCTTGGTCTAAGGAAGTCGGTGGCGTTAGCAACGCGGGTGGCGCTCCAGTCTCTGCAGACTTGAAGCAGATCCGTAGAGGTTTTACAGGTGTCACCGCAAGCTCGAGAGTCGCAACGTATGGATCATCCGGATCGACGACGAGCTCTGGATATATGGCCGCGATGGAAGAAAGTTCGATTGTCCTCTCGTCCTCCGCGGCACCTGGGTCATCTTCCATGCTGTTGGTTGAGTATGGTGGCGGTGGTGTGTCAATGAGAGACGGCCGTTATGATCGACGACGCAGGAAGGCGCGACTTCTGAGGTTTCGATGCGTCAAGAGACAATTTATGTCTGTAGATGCGATTATCAATGCGTACAGTAGACTGCTAGATGTAGAACCATCGCAGAGTCACCCAAAAATGAGGCACCAATGACGCATCGCGAAGTCCGCGCAGGTGGAAATCTGGGGAAAATACCGAGAAAGGGCCAGGCTGTCGACAGGGGGCGGAATCTAATCTCCTGGCTTTTTGAGATACACTGTCCATCTTTCTTTGTTTATTGCAATATTTCCAGATGACAGGAAAGGGTGTGAGGAATATTCAGACGGACTTACATGCAATGGAGGACCCTCCTCTTGCTTCGTTGTCATTGACACATGTTCGCTATGTACGTGTTTCAGGCGTTGTCGATGGGGGCCTCCTCTGAAGCAAGGCTGATGACTCAAAGAACCCCAACGACCCGCTATCTTATGCTTCGGCCTGGCTAGCGCTTGTACCGCAAGGCCTCTGTGTCACATACGTGTCGTTGATATGGGCATCACGCGAGATCGAGATATTGCTCATGTTTGCGGGCCAGATGGCGTGTGAAGCTCTCAATTTTGTTCTCAAAAGATTGATTCGAGAAGAACGTCCAACACGTAAGGACTTCTACAGGCGTACTATTTCGTGCTAATGCTTCGGTGCAGAGATGCATGGCAAGGGCTATGGAATGCCTTCATCGCACTCCCAATTCGTGGCCTTCTTCTCGGTTTCGCTAAGCCTATGGTTACTCTTTCGGCATGTACCGACGACAGGTGAAGACTACTCTCCTTCCACCTATGCAGAAAGGTTACTCCTCTCTGTCCTCGCCTGTATGGGTGCAGCCGCTGTCGGTGCTAGCCGTGTCTATTTGAATTATCATACTCCCAAACAGGTGTTGATTGGTATGGCTGCCGGAGCTAGCTTTGCTGTCATCTGGTTTCTGTTTACGACTTCTTTGCGTCGCTATGGCTGGATTGAATGGGGACTGGACACATGGATCTCGCGGAAGTTTCGCTTTCGGGATTTGATCACGACTGAGGATATGCAGGATGGGGGCTGGGTTCGTTGGGAGTCTCGTCGAAGAGCGAAGCGACGCATTGATGTGAACGGTATGAGTAAGAAAGCTATATGAGGCTGTCAACTATACTTTGAGGACTTCAATGGTCTGTGGAGCATGCATTGTCCAAAAACCAGGCTTGATAGCTTTTCATAGAATCACCGTCTTGGTGGTGATAGCGGACATTTATAACCGGGACACACATCCTGCTTACCTAACTGTTCGTAATCAGGGGGCGTTTCTCCATTCTTCAAAAAGTCGCCTAACTTATCAATTGAGTTTGGCAGTTCCAGGGGGGAGTATGTAAACTCGTATCAGGGATCAACACCGTAACAATCTTTACTGAGTACCTGAAGATGAAAGAAAGACCTACGGTTCATTGCCTTCTTCTTTGATCAGTGAGATCTGCTTCAGACGCTTGTTGAAATAGGCACATAGAAGTTGTTGTAGTGGTGTTAATCGTACATGGTTATAGGAATCCTCGCGCTCGGCGTCTTCTGTGGCCGAAATGGTGTAATTGATTAGAATGGCTTCTGTCATTGCGTCGCCCTAATGCGTCATGAAAGGGAAAATGCTCGCATGTGCAAAAATAATAAGCAAATGATCAGCCAAGCCGGATGAGAATAGAACCAAAGTCCGGAGGAGCCTTGCGTGACTGACAGAAGTATTACTCCATGGTGTTTCATATCCGCAGTGATCCGCCCGCCTAGGCATGCCTGATGTTCCCTAAGGCAGCCTAGGGTCAACCAAAACCCCCCTGTCAGACCAGTTTCAGCCTCTCCTTAGGGGGTCGCAATCACTGGATATGGATTAGAGACTTGCCGCGTCAGTGCATAATTAGAGGATCCTCCATCCGTAGTAAAAATAATGATACACTTCCTACCCGGAAGTCCCGGCATGACAAGAAGACAAGAACAGCAAAAGGCCCTGCCTTCTTGCTTTGTCAGTCACACACACCACCGCACCATCACTACCAGGTTCCTCTCCTCCTGTGTACCTGTCTGTTTCTCTTCTCCCTCCTCATCCTACTCACTCACCGTCTCTACCACACCGACCGAGATACTGAGATACAACCAACCATGCATCTAGCACACGCGCTGGTCGCCAGTGCCCTTGCCCTCAGGGCCTCAGCCTTCCTCATCCCCCTCGAGATCTCAAAGACAGCAGAGCAGGCCAACGCTGATCTTGCGCGTCTATTTTCCAGTCCCAGCGTCGTTGCCGTTGATCTCGATTGCCCTGGCTGCCCGTACTTTGCCGGAGAAGACTCAGCGCAGCCACAATCCGATGTCGAGAACAAAATTGTAAGCACGTACTGCGACCCGGAGTCTCTACAGATTTACTGACCTTGACCGTCTGTAGCATCTTCAATTCGGCATCGACCCCGAGCACGGCTTGACCCTCAACTCCGTTCCCATCTTTCCCCATGATCCTACGAATGCGGGTATCCCATACGTCGTGTCAGCTCCTCAGATCAGAGTTGAAGATGGCTCCCAGACGGAGCCAGTGCAGCTGGAATTTGCCTACGAGAGGCTTCAACCCGTCAAATCGCAAGAAGACCCCGAAGTCACCATTCTACCACTTCGCTTCACGATCCTTGGTCTGCGAGGCTATCCTGTAAAGGTCGACACCATTGCCATTGACCTCCTCGAAACTCCCACCGAGACCGCTTTCGCCAGATACGCTCAAATTCCGTTCGAGGACACTCCCGGTGCCACCAGCTGCGACACCGCCTCGAAATGGTCACTCTGCCGCCTGAGAGCCATCATCGCTGCCCGTCTACAATCAATCATGGAAGTTGCAAAAGCACGTGCCCACGGAGAGAAAAGCTGGAAGCACGGTGGCTGCGGTGGTAGAAAGTTCGGAGGTAGGAAGTCTGGACCCAATGGCAGACACCACGGCCATGGTCACCACATGAGCGGCAAACATCACCACGGCCATCACTACCGTGCCCACCACATCGGACACATCCTACATCAAACACTTCGTTTCTTTGTCATCCCTGCTCTTCTTGGCGTCATTGGAGGCTTGATGGCCAGTGCAGTGGGCATGCTCGTCGGTCAAATGATATCCTACCTTTGGACCCGCTATTACCGTCGCGGTCAACGAGGAGACGCCAGTGTCCGGGTTGTCGAGATTGTTGTCGGCGAGGACGAGAAGACCGCATTGATGGATGACACCTCTGACCTTCCACCACCACCACCGGAGTACACAGACCTTGAGGCCGTTGCGAAGTCGTGACCGAACACAAACGGAAACGGATCACCACTATCCGGAAGGGAAGCAGACCTCGGTGTGCGACAAGTAAAGGTCGAGGTATGAGGGCCAGTATAGCCCAAAAGATCATTAAAGGCGTCAACAAGATACCCGAAGCATTGCAGGTTTTATTAGCGGTACTACTATGGGTTACGGCGGCAGCCAGCTTGGGCTGTTCAAGGATGAATTAGGGTCGTGTCGTAGGAATGCGATGCAGGAGGTCACGGCCATGAACAACGGAGGTTACAGCGTTGCGACATTGGAACGTTCCGGAGTACGTTCAGCATGCCGCCTCGCAGGGAATAATGCTACACGAAGAAGCACGAAGGACTCTGGCTATAGCGGCGAACGACGCGTTGGAAACTCATGTCAATGAGTATGGCTACAAAATGTACATTTGGGCGCGTGTGGAGCTTGACGATTGTCTCGCGGATTGTTCAATGTCCAATCCTAAATTCTATACCTACTTTTGGCATGTGTACAGGTGGAATAACCTCTGCTCTTCAACCTTTGTACTATCTCGCCGTTGTCTACCAAGAGTACCGTCCTCCATTGGCTTGTATGACCTGCACCGTGACGTCGAATCTGACTTGATCAATCCAGCGGCGTACACTCGGGACAAAGTCCCAATGCCCACTTCCTGCATAGGCTCTGGTAGTATAAGAGGAGCTGTTGACGTCGAACTTGACCGTGTCGGTGAAGTCCAAGTGCTTGGTGCTAGCATGGGCTTTGGTCGACTCGGGCAGTCGATGCCGGATCACTTCGACTGCACGCAAGGCAAAGTCTTGGTCTGGACAAGGACTGTCCACTGTAATGGTGCGTATTGATACCGATGGTGGGGCGCGATCCGAATCTGGGCAAGCTCTGGTTATGGCCACGGTCACTGTGCGCGTTGATATTGATGGCGGTGCAAAGCGATTCGATTCTTCAATGCATGAAGAAGCACTTGATGTCGAAGGTGACGAGTTGTTGGTGCGTGGTGGGTCAAATTTGAGTACGACCGGGCTCGCAGGAGCTGGACCTGTGCGTCCTGGTTGACCTTTGTACACCAGTGACGGTGCCGTGAAGGTTGACGTCCATTCCCTCGTAGACATCAACGTGCCATCATCTGCCACTTGCGGGCTATAGTCCGATATGTACAGTGGTAGAATTGCCTCCAGAGCGGCCGTGGTCACCGTGTCGGCCAGCGACACCTCATGTATTGCGATGATTGGCGACGATTCCTCCAGAGCGGACAGAGCGGGCAGGAAGGGTTCTTCTGTAATAGTGACAATAGGGTACAACGTGGAAGACACATTTGCGAAACGCTGGCAGATCGACTGGATACTCCAGGGGCCAGTAGACCATACTGCCAGAAGCCCAGACGTTAGGACAAGGGCGCAGCACAGAAGGGCTGTCAAGATGGACGGGCTGAATCTCCTCTTGCGAACATCGATCTTATTGGGAGGCACCGTGAAGAATGGCGTATCTTCACCAGATGGCGTGGGATTCCACATGTCAACATCGTCTTCGCCTCTCGTGTCATTCTCAGCATCCCGGGTTCCAGCATCTTCAGCGTCGTGGATGCCCAGCCTTGACTCTGCTTCACGAACGATCACCGGCCCATGAGCACGGACAGCCTCGGTTTCGGTATCGCACGGAGTCCAAGCACTTTCGACCACGGGGGCTTCTGAAAGCTCAGCCATCGATCTCAAGTCATCGAGGACGATGACAGGTCCATCACAATCCCTCTGTTGCTCTGTTGACGGCTCTACAACTGAGTTGGCGTCCGAGACGCCGGTGGCAACAGTCCCACAATCTGATTCACCGTGTGAAGATTCGAAGAATGATCCAATATTTGTGGAAGCCTGAGTCGTCGGATCGGAGACCTGGCGGGTAAGAGGAGAGAATGCACCGAAGACATCAAGTGAATCGCTGCTGCTTGGCCTCGGCCCGCATCCGTCAAAGGTAGTGGATGTCCTAGCTGAGGAGCTCGCAGGAGGTGTGATATGGTTATACGTTGGCGTCACTTGTTGATCGTCGCCAATAGGAGCATTTGCGGGGGCCGTCGAAGAAGCAATGCCAATTTGCTCGGCATCTGAGTCATAGCCGCTGTCTGCCGATTTCTGTGATGATATACTTCGGCTGGCGGAAGGGTCCCAAGAATGAGGTCTACCACGACGTGAGTCGGCCATGATCATGGCAGGACGTTCGTGATACAGGCTATGAGTCCTCGACGCTTGCGGTCGCCCGTGCCCGGGCAGCCTGGACAGCAAGATACGGGGCTCTCCCACCATCTCGTCCTCTCTTTGCGACTTGCGAGGCGTGCTTGCCATAGCGTCTTCGAATGCAGCTCTGTGATCTAGCCTATGTGGTGAGTTTTGCGTCGAGACGGAGGACCGCTTTCTTAGACCAGGACTTTGAGGGCTTTCCACAGCACTGCAGGAGGCTACGACAGTTGCTTTTGTTGTGTCCACGAGGAGTGGTTCCAAGCTCGTTGACATGGCACCTTCGTCTGTGTCTGGACTCTCAATACGAGCGCGCCATGCACCAGTCTCGAGCAGTGTCCCCGACTTCAGCTGAGAACGTGTTTGGGAAGATACTCCACCAGTCTTAGTAAGCGATTGTGATAGCCGGGCGCCCACACCGTCGACAGGAGACTCTGAAATCGCTGTAGTACCAGATTCGTCTTCTGCACGAGCATTCTTTTCGCCAGAATTGGTGGAGTGCGGTTTGTTTTGCGAAGAAACATGTAATACGTCAGCGCGGTCATCGTTCATGACTCCTGTGTGTAGACCATCTTGGGACTCAGTAGACGTCGATTGAAATGTGGGATGAGTGGCGTCTAAGGCCACTTCGAAGGAGTCATTCAGATCTGGGCTGAAGCTCCTTGGGACAGGCCATGACTGAGGCCGAGGCTTGTTTGACGAGACAAGTCCCGTGGGTGGCATGTGTCTGAGTGGGGTGTCGACTCCATTGGCCATGCTTTGTCGGTTAGATGGGGTTGACTCGATAGGGGATGCCATATATTCTCCCAAAGGTATGACTTCTGCGGCTGATGGCTTGAGCGGGAGCCGAAAATCATTGATGCTGATCTGATCGAGAAGTATTGGCAGACAGCGATCGTGAAAGTCCATTTGCTCCAGATCATAAACTTGCTGAGCCGATCGCAACTTCTCCATTCGCTCAACGCACCGTTTTAGTTCCGCTTTCAGACTTTCACACTCTTTCTGACAAGTTCGCATTTCCTGGGGTATGTTCTCCATCCATGCCGTCATTAAATCAAGCTGTTCCTGCAATTCCACAATTCGAGACTCATGTTGTGTGTGTTTCTGTTGGGCTTCCCTCGTTGCAGTATTGGCGAGGATAATCATTTCCTCAAGACTAGACTTTTCCTTTTCCTGGTGCCGGATTCGCTGTTGTGCTATTATCAAGGGTTCTGCACTTTTCTGGCTTTCTTCCAAAGAGGACTCGGCAATCTTCAGCAATTCTTCTTTGTGAGCCAATCTGCGAGCCATTTCATTTCGTGCGGTTGAAAGGTCCTTCTGAGACTTGGATAAATCCTTGAATAGAACCGCATTTCGTTCGTGAAGAGTGTTTGCCTCTTTGACGACGAAGTCCTTCTCCATTTTCAACATCGCGTTCTCAGCAAGCAATTTGTCCAGCCGTTCTTCCAGCTTCAGATTTTTTTCACCTTGCTGTTCAGGCTCGATTTGAACGTGCTGCTCCTCTTCGCCCTGTTGTTGGGGCCCTTTATCGCCATAGCGAGGCTGATTGTGTGTCCTCGGACTCAGCAGGAATTTCTGGTCACTTGGGTCGGATTGCCGACCGGCTTCATAGTAATCTTCAAGATTATGAGCCGATGCAAGGTCGCCTGAGGTAACGACTGGCGACCCAACGACTTGGCTTGGTAGGTGGTCAATTGACATCTCATTTTCTTCCTGACGCTTGACGATTGGTACGTTGCCGCTTGATGTGGAACGTTGATCAGACTCCGGTATATATCGAGGGAGTTTATTTTTAGCATCGGAGTGATCGTGCAGACCCAAATCGGCGAGAGCCTCAGAATGATCAGACCCTGGCGACATTATCCCTTTGGGAGTATTTCGATCTGGTCGCCAGCCAGGGGTGGGTGGTCGTTGGCGCCTCCCTGGTGAGATGACTGCTTGACGTCTTCCTGGTGAGGTGACTTGCCCAAGGCCGACCTCGGTATAGGCCTCCTGACTGGCACTTTCCTCGTCGCTGTCTTCCCCAGGAGGTTGACGATTAGGAGCGCGCAGCTCGTCCAAGGCGGCGTTCAGGGCGTCCTCCATTTCGTCCACTATGTACAAGTCTGACGAGTTCATGTACTGGACTGTGCTTTGTCGATCTTGTCCGGTAATGCGAAAAGATTCATTGAGACAAGATGGATTCAAGGGTTTGCGCTGCTGGTGCTTTTCGGGCAACGATTTTTATCGTGATATATTCACAATCAGCATAAACTGAAACCGAGTGTCGAGTCCTCGGTAGGATCTTGGTCGAATAGTCCAGAAACAAAGATCCATTGTTGAGTGGAACAAAGGCGAGTAAAGAGCCAATGATGAGTGAGGTCGAAAGAACCCGCGTCCGGAAAATGTTGTAGCTGCACACGGGCCTCTTTCACATTCCAGTCGTGATTGTACCGAGTCAACTGAACAAGAATAGGGATGCCCGTTATTGTCCTTCAGCCTTCTCTTACTCTTGCTTCAGATATCCAGTGACCGATTCCAGTGTACCGACCCGACGAGGTGCAAAGGTGACAACGAAATATACAGCTGCTGAGATGGACTTGAGATTGTTCCCAGCCTCGGCTGGAACAGTGAGCGAGATGAGTGTCAGATATCGTTCAGTCTGTCACATCGTTGACTGGAGGTCCTGGCCGACCGTTCCGCAGTATGTTGTCAACATCGACATGTACTGGCGGTCTCTTCCGCCGATCTTTGCAATCAACTTGCACGATCTCCTGCGTCCCATCACCTGACACCACCAGGGCTGTGAGTCTATCTCCCCTGACACAGCCACTGTCAAGCCCTTTGCTGTATTTGTGTATCTGCAATGCCTTCTTGGCGTCGTGTCCATATATGACTGTCATCTGCTTCTCATCGATTTTCGCTCTGCCGAAACTCTTCATCTTGGCCACGCGTTGTCGTAAAGCAAGCGAGTCTTGATATTTGTTCCATAACTGATACCATGGGACACTTCCTTTCTGTTCGTGCTGCTTTGAAGGCACGTGTGTTTCCAGGTCCAAAATCCTTATGTTCATCACGGACGATGGATCCTGTTGCTCGAGGGGGATGCCCGGGACGAGACCACCATGAACCACCACAGTCTCCCCATTAAATGCTTTCAATTCACCGACACGTAAAATGAGAGGACAAGATTTGAGCCACTTGATCTGGTCAGCGTCCAGTGACATGGCCAAGGTCCTGACTTCATCGCTAGCATCCGAGATCGCTTGGCCTCCCTTGCTTGTTTCCAATTTGGGATTTTTCTTTGAACTCAACGATGTCGAATGCAGGTCATTCACGGCCAGGAGAAGTCGATCGTCGTGGTTGCCGCGCACGCAGGAAGCTTTATAACCACGTAACAGGTCGATAACTCCTCGAGAGTCCGGACCCTTGTTGACTATATCTCCCGTTGCGATCAAGTGATCTGTGGCCGGGTCGAAATGCAACTTTTCCAATAAAGCTTCCAGCTCTTCTCTGCAGCCATGAATGTCTCCAACGAATACCAGTCTGTTCTTGTTCACAGTCCCGGCAGTCGTCTGACTTTTCGACCGTGGGAGGAGTTTAGGGTCAAGATGTTGGACTTGTATCATGCCGGGAAAGTCGGGTCGTCCGTTGCTTCCAAACACGCCTTCCGAGTCAACGACTACATTTTTGTTGGCCGAGGCCCATGTCTCTCTTTCGGCCCTGACCATTGGTGAAAGGACCTTGATCCAAAGCACTGTTGAAGTTATTGTCACAATCACAATGACCAGGAGGAGCCGTTTGAACTTCGGTGCTGTTATCACAGCGACCGTGGCCTCGACAAAGTCTTCCAAACGGTCCATGAAATCATCCGATTCGGTTCCGCGGTCCGGGGAGGATTCGGGGGAAGGAGACTTTCGCCATTCATTCGTGCAATATTCCACCAGAGGTTTTGCGAACTGGTGGTCGTCACCATATCCCAGATTATCACCATATCTCAGGTCATGCAGCAGCACCGGCGTGCGGGGCAATCTTCTTGAAGCCGAATTCATGGCTCCAGTCTGGTGCGCGAATACAAGCACAATGACGAGTCAACTGACACTCTTCACACTTGGACAAGGTGTGCGCAGGACGAGGGGACGTCAATGCCGAATCGTTGTTCGGGTTTGCTGACCAGCCAAGGTCTCGAAAGGGTCATTAGGCCTCTCACTTCGAAGTGGAGGGGTGTTTTCGGGATGAGGAAGGAAGCGATGGCGATATCATCCAATGCCTCTGGCATGGTACGGGATTCATGTTGCACCCACAGGCTTTTGACAACAAAGGCATCCTCGGAGACAAGGGACGGCAACGACAGTGCCCATATGCCTCGAGGCATGACGAAGCTTTTTTTGATGCCGCGCATACCGCGTGACGGCATAGCGCGACCTGTAGCGTGGTGGATGGAGAAAGCCAAGATAAGAGAATCAAGACCCTTTGAAGAGGCTCCCACTCCCAACTTAAATTTATCCGACGATTAGGTGTTTTACTCCTCACCACTGTTACACGACCAGTAGCAAGGTGCTACCAATTCCATCAACCCGGTTGCAAAGGAAATCCCCATGCTGGAGCAGAGGATTACCTGCATTGTGAAGCGTAGAGTGTGTGCATAGAAAACCGACTTAGGCACCAGTCACGTGACACCGTGCTCACCTTGACGCGTCAATTCTCGCGTTCCCATTTGACACGTTCTTCGTCATCGGTCAATCCTTGACCATCGTTACTTTACAATTGTCAAAGCTTGCTGTGTCAATCGCCGACTATCTAGTACATCTCGAAGGCATGGTCCACTGAACGTCGGTTGACCTGACGATGAAGACGAAACGGAACTAAGCATGGACTGATCTCAGCATCACGCTGAAGTGAGATTGAACATGGACTTCATCGACGACGAAACTGATGTGAGCGGCGAGGACGACGTCCTTGTTCCAAGCTCACAGACCGATGACAATCCTCGGTCGCGGAAACGTCGTCGAACGAGTCATCGCGGAAGTGATTCAGATGAGGTTGAATACGACCTCCCATCAAATGCTGACGGTGAAGGCGGCGAGAGCGAGAAAACCAAATCAAAGTACGAGGGCCACATCCATGTACCTCAATATGCAGACAAACCACCAGACACGTTTGTGACCCAGTTGACCCAGCAATGGTCAAGTCCCTCGAGAATCAGAGGTCCACGTTGGATGAAACCCCGCCACGGTCCCAGCCCGTCACCTGCTAGATCTGAGGCGCGAGCGGCACCCCGAGTGACGGCCGATGCCCCGAACAGCTTATCGGTTGATGATTTCGCGGACGATGATGAAGATGACATCGCGTTGTTGGCAGCGTTTGAAGCTGCTGAATCTGTCCCGTCTTTCAACGGCACTGCCCAAGAATCAAATAACGTTCTCACAGAGAAGACTCTCAATCGGCGCGATCCAATACAGAGATCCACCTCTTTCCGCCAAACAACGTTGTATGGGATGCACACCACGCAACAAGAGCCTCCCCGCACACAGACACAGCCCAGGGTGCATAACTGGCCTCTGGCAAACAAAGATGAGCCTCCTACCCACCATAGCATCCACCGCGACGCGATGAAGACCTGGATCTATCCCACGAATCTAGGCAGAATACGAGACTACCAATACAACATTGTACATAAAGGACTATATCACAATCTCCTCGTCGCACTCCCGACCGGTCTTGGAAAGACTTTTATCGCGGCTACCGTCATGCTGAATTGGTACCGATGGACGAAAGACGCTCAGATAGTCTTTGTTGCACCAACCAAGCCACTTGTGTCCCAGCAGATTGATGCATGTTTCAATATTGCTGGCATCCCTCGATCTCAGACCACCATGCTGACTGGAGAGGTGTCGCCCGGCATCCGAGCGGAAGAATGGCAAGAGAAACGCGTGTTCTTCATGACTCCACAGACTCTGATAAACGACTTGAAGAACGGCATGTGTGATCCGAAGAAGATAGTGCTTGTTGTGGTAGACGAAGCGCACAAGGCCACCGGAAACTATGCATACGTTGAAGTGGTGAAATTCCTCAGGCGATTCAATTCAAGCTTTCGTGTTCTAGCCCTCACCGCGACTCCCGGATCAAGTGTGGAGTCAGTGCAAGCAGTCATCGATGGTCTTGGGATCGCTAGAACCGAGATCAGGACCGAAGAGTCGCTCGACATCCGCGATTTTGTGCATACTCGAAACATTGAGACTCAGATCTTCGACAACTCTGAAGAGATGACTATGGCGCTCGAACTGTTCTCCGCAGCAGTACAACCGCTCATGAACAGATTGAACTCACAGAACGCATACTGGGCCAAGGATCCGCAAAGAATCACCGTGTTTGGCCTGAAACAGGCCTCCGATAAGTGGAGATTTTCTGAAACGGGGAGAAACGCAAATCATGGACTGAAAGGTATGGTCGCAGCTATTTTCCAGGTGCTAATGAGTCTTGCTCATAGCCTGGAACTACTGAAATACCATGGTATCGGCCCTTTCTACCACAAGATGAAGCTTTTTGCCGACGGAGCGACCAGTGCAAAATATGCTAAGCAGGTTGCGGAAGATGAGCACTTCAAGAAACTCATGATCCGGCTGAAAATCTGGATCAACGATCCGAGCTTTGAAGGCCACCCCAAGTTGACCTATCTGAAAGAGGTGGTGCTGAACCATTTCATGGACGCTGGAGAGGGACGTGACAGAAATGCTCAGCCTTCCAACACTCGCATTATGATCTTTGCTCACTATCGAGACAGCGCAGAAGAGATCGTCCGAGTGCTCAACCGACACGGCCCTATGATACGAGCTCACGTATTCGTAGGCCAGTCTGGCACCAAAGGTTCTGAGGGCATGGACCAAAAGACCCAACTCGACATCATCAAAAAGTTCAAGGCAGGCACGTATAACACCATCGTTGCGACGTCGATTGGTGAAGAAGGCTTGGACATTGGTGAGGTCGATCTGATCGTTTGCTACGACTGCTCCAAGTCACCTATCCGGATGCTACAACGTATGGGACGGACAGGCAGGAAGCGGGCCGGAAACATCGTACTATTGCTAATGCGCGGCAAGGAGGAAGCCGACTTTCACCAAGCCAAAGACAACTACCAAAAGATGCAGTTGAAGATCGAAAGCGGCAAAGAATTCCAGTATCATGAAGATTTATCCCCGCGAATTGTGCCCAAGGAGATTGTCCCCTCGGTTGACAAACGAGTGGTCGACATTCCAGTCGAGAACACGCAATCGGAAGCACTGCAGCCAAAGAGGCGAAGGGCAAAGAATCCAAAGAAGCCTGCCAAAAGATTCAACATGCCCGATGGTGTCGAAACGGGTTTCACATTCCTAGGCGGCAAGAAGGCTCAGCCCAAATTCACAAGCAAGGCGAAATCGAAGCCTGCATCATCGATGACAGGTAGAGACAAAGAAATCGCTGCGTTGCCTCCGCTGGAGCAAGTCCTCCTAACACCCGCTGAGGAAGAGGAGCTAGATGATCGATACGTGCTGGTAGCCGGCACAGAAGACCAGTACATCCAGCACGTAAGGGTCAATGCGTTCCCAGAACAACAGCGCCGCCTGGGCAAGACCACCGCCGTAAGGCATTCCAGAGTCACGGAAAAGATGGTGCACGCGCTCCAAGCCATGCGCGATCCGGGGCAGGATTGGGACCGACCATGGGAATGTGACGCCATGGCGATAGAGGACATTCCTCCAAGCCAGGCTTCAGATTTGGATTCGTTGGTCGGAGCTAGGCCCAAGCACTCGGCAAGGACGTCGACCAAACTGACTGCCGCAACCCACGAGCCGTCATCGGACCGATACGACGACGTCGACAGCTTCATTGATGATGGAAGCCCAGGCCGCTCCGCCCGTGGTGTGGAGTCGATGAGTGACATCGACGTGGACTTGTCGCCGCCTGAACCAACTCCCGTGGCGGAGCGACGCGTCTTGATCTCTCAAGAGAGCTTGATGGCCTTCGACGATGATGGGGACGAGGATCTGCCTGATTTGGCGTCGTTTCTGGTTGACAAGAAAACGATGTCGCACTCGGATGGAAGTGTACTCAGGTCCCAGGTCGTGAGGACCACTAAAAGGGCTCGGCGGGTTGTTGAGAGTGATGATGATGACGACGACTGAGCACTACGACAACATTAAGGCGCGAAATGGAAATGACGATTCAGGATATCATGGAAGCGCGCTTCACTCGTTGTCAGGCAAACACTATGGTCGACAGACTTATGGGTGTGTGGAAATCTTACAGTCATGATCTTGTTTGAAAGGCAGACCCGCTCTGATGGCATTAAGATACTCAAAGACAAAGCCTCCCACCCTCGCTGGCTTCTATGCTGTACAAAATCAACATGACATTCCCAACAGCTTATATGGTTTTCATGATTCGTATCGACGTCGTTCAAATGATGTATACCTAGGTGTCCGTACAGAGGGAGTGAGTCGCGACTGTGGTCCACACCCAATCTATAGCACATTCTTTCGATGTGCTTGCGGACAGGCTCGCCGTTGATATCACACCCAAATGCATGCATGCAGTGTTCAGCTGCCCGAGCCCATCATCTTGCATGTTTCAGCCCATATGATGGTGCTCAGTCCTGGTGACTGTCATGTTGTCCACGCGATATCTGGGTCCAACCAGCGCCATGGCCGGTCGCGGTAATGTTCAAGTAGCTCCGCGTGGAACGGCCGCCTGTTGTCCCTGGGATGCGGAACAGAATCATCGCTGTTTTTCCAAAGATGACGCTTCATCCGCCAAGCATCCAATGAAGTCTACTTGGGTAGCGACTTCGAGCGGCATATAAAGCCCTTGGGATCCAAGAATGGTTCAGATGCGATGGCTCAACCAAATGCCCCGTCTTCAGAAGACCTTCGGTACGCCAGGTATTCGCACCTCCACCAGCGTTCCTCTCAACCAAGTGTCGAGATCGCTCAATCCTCGTCGAAGGTCATTCCATCTGCGTTTGACCCAGTCTTCCACAGTCCGCTCTTTGTAGCCCTTCCACCTCGCCCAGAGTATAAAAGCCAGGATCAGACCAGCGTCCAACATTATTTGTCGAACAATAATCCAAGACAGCCATTTTGCGAATGCCGAGATTCGATAAAATACCTTCCTCCGCCTAGTGGTTAACGAGGGTGAAAGTGATGACGACGATAGCAGGTGATTTGCTGACAACTGTTCGCGTAATGCAGCCACCTCATTTGAAAGATGCCGCAAGAGCTCTTGCATTCGAGTCCTCCATTCCGGCTCCGATACGGGTGTCTGCGTTGTGGGCAGAGGGCCAACGAGCGCGCCGCTGTCCGGATCTACCTCTTCGCCTTCGACAACATCATCACTCGCCCTTTGAGACACGGGCGATAGCACTCTTAGCTGATTAGATGCAGACTGCAATCGTGTAAGCCCCTCACTCCCTCTGCTACTCTGGCCAGGCGGTATACTGCCAAAGCTCTGGGTTTGTCCTAGGCCTGCTCGCTCGAGTCGTCTTGTAGGGGAGTCGACATCTTCGTCCTCTGAGCTACCGCTTTGGCTCTTTATTTGGTTCCAGACGAATTCCAGCTCCGCTACCAACTCGCGCGCTTCCTGTGTCCCACTGGCATATTCTTTCATGGTTTCTATCAAGGTGCTGATGTACCGTCGTTTGGCCTCTGTTCGCGACATGCCAGCGCAGCTATGCCATGCATCCCATTTTTCAATCTCTGCTTCGGCTTCGCGCATCCTTAGGTCTCGGGAGGCATACCGATGGACGTTATTCGACTTGGAGCTGTTGGGATCGGGAGAGACCGTGGGTAAAGTTGGTCGGGGAAGGATGGACTCGACATCTCCCTCCATCGACTGCTTGTATAAGCCATAGAGTCGTAAGCGAGCCGACGGCGGCGGCCGAGACGATCCTGTGCGCGGCAAACGGCGGACTGTCGCCAAAGCGTGTACGAAGACGCGGTCTAATAGGTAGAAAGATGATAAGTACAGCGGAAAGGTGTAGGAGTAGGAGTTCAAGCGTACCAACCGAGTCCGACATCGCGCCACTGCTGCCCGAAAAGATCTGTCGAGAGGTTCGCGAGATAGACTGCCCCTCTCGAAGAGTGGGATGAGTGTCAAATTGAAGGTGTCATGGATGGCCTCGTGCCGAGGGTCAACACGCGGACAAATTGATGGATCAAGTCTGCTTAGAATGCTCCCTGGAGAGATAGATCTGAAGAAGATAAGAAAAATAACGAAGATGCAGCCATGGATGAAGACAAATGAGAAAGATATGAATGCAATAGGTATATCAAGGGTGTTGTTGAGCCATGATGGTGAGTATGGATGGGATGGCATTTGACATCTGCGGCAAACTGCAAGTCGTTCCCGACACCGCAGGCCTTAAGTTAAACATTCCAGACGCCGTCCCCGGCCGTCCAAACCTCGGCCTTGGCAACAAGGGCATCTTTAGGCGCCTATTCTCCATTTTGTAGATATCCAGGGTATGTACGGTCCGTGCAGAGATACAGCTTTTGAGCATTACTTTTTGACATGTCGCCGACTACCTCCTTATGACTTGGTAGGCTTGTTGTGGTCGGGATCTGTTCGAACACCTGATCCTCCAGTCGTCTCCGAGTTGCCACTGATATCACTGCTTTCTTTTGCAGGTCCTCCAGGCTTCTCTGGCGAAGTGTAATCAGGTTGTCGATTTCTGCTTTGACCGCCAGGCACTTCTCCCTCAGCCGAGTACTTCTTCATCTCCTTGTAGCTGACTACGTCCAGAGCCTTCTCGTGCGACGCATGGATGTGAACTTTTGGCACTGCTGAATGCGCCAGGTCGCCTTTTTGCGCCGCATCAAATGCTTCCTTCCATCGACTGGCACACAAGCACCACCTCATGCCGTCCTTCACGCCCGCTTTTTCCAGAGTGTTTCCTCTTGAATTTGTGAAATCGAGGAATTCTTTGTTGACGGTCGCTCCGACGGAGTGGTTGCCCTTGTCATCGGAGCCGGTTCTACAGTAGCCGTCTTTGTAGTAGCCGACAGGGTAGTCTTTGGTGAGCATCGCAAGCTGGCCCCCGGCCACTGAAAGGTGTTAGTCGATCTGGCTGGACACAGATGCGCGGGCAAAGACTTACCGTTCTTGTTCTTCATCATCTCCTTGCTGGACTTCATGTTGGGTTGGCCTGCCATGGTGTCGAGAGTTGTCACTTTCAGGGTGAGATACTAACAATCTGGTCTGGCTTATTGAGAGACGAGCAATGAAAAGATCCAGGCACACAAAACTCAGCTCAGCTCTCGACTTTCGCTTCAGCCAGGGGAAATGCACCAAGGCCTAAAGGAAGCAAAATCCGGGGCCATTATGAATCATGACGTGTGGCTATATTGTTACATCATGTCAAACGTCTGTTTTCGGCTTCTTGTTCAGTCGTATGAAGGACCCGGTCGTGGAACGTCTCGTGAGGCCCGGAATATGGTACCCATTAACCTACTGTGAGCCTGCAATGCAGGTTACCACGCGTGCACCAGCAAGACCCAAATTCAGAGTCGGGCGTTAAACATGGAGGGAAGGAGAATTAACTTATGTTTGCGGGGAAGATCGAGATCAGTACCTACCTAACGTTAATTTGGGTACTCCGTAAGTGAGATCTCGACTCCGGGGCTGCTTGGCCAGATCTGCCATCAGCAACCTTCAATTATCTTTTTTTCTGAGGGTGCATGTTTTTATTACGCCCTCCTCACAAAGCGCCTCTTTGCAGCATCCTTCTGAATTAAACAGAGATTGCTGCTCTTGCTATCTCTCCGAAATCTCATCTGTCACGTTTTGGGCTTATGGGATGGCGAATACTGCAACAGCCCCAGCAAAACCAATCACCATCCAGGATCCGGCGTTACAGCTTAGAGGTGAGGCACCCATAATCGAGGGAAATGACGGTGAATGAAATTCTTTACTCAGGTTCATCATCTGGGAATAAGCAACAATAGCTTTCATGGATTCTCAACTGTGCTCCAGCATACCATTGAGAATGAACAAAAGCCCCCAATTGGGTTGCGCAATGCCTTCTCGGTGAAGTGTCCGAGGTTGTGGAAAGCAAAGCAGGGGGTTTTTCACCAGTCAAAGGACAAAGCTGCTTGACAGCGGCTGTTCTCTCCTCCCACTGACGCCAATCTCCATTAATTATCCACTCCTCCACTCTTCACAGAGTCATAACAATTTTTACTTTCTATATTGCCTCCTTCTCTGTCATACTCATGGTATCCTGGACAAGGTGTTTGTACGACTCGCCCTCCTGTCGTGCGTGTTGATGGTGATGCTGGACCAACATGGCCGTACAGAAAAGAAAGAGGCCACGGGTAGTAACACCTTAATTCCTACACCCGAGAGCAACACCGAGCTGGCTCAAAGTGTGCCCATCTCAGATGATCCAACCACGACAGCGAGTTCGGGCTCGTCTGGCACCGAAGAAATCCAGTACCGCTATCTGAGCTTCGAATCAAACATTCCTTTGACTCCAGTAATTCCACCAATTGTTCAACATGATATTCCCCAATGTCCAAACCTACGCAACTACGACGACCCATTCGCGTGGTCCAAGACCAGGAAAAACCTCATGACGTATCTATCCTGTGCAATCAATGTCACTGCTTCTTACTCCGCCGGCTCCTACACTTCACCAGCTTTCCAACTCACTAAGAAGTGGGGCGTGTCTGATGTCGCCTACAATGTTGGTATAACCACGTTCACTGCCGGGTTTGGATTCGCTCCTATGGTCCTGGCACCCTTCTCAGAAATCAATGGGCGAAGGCCGGTCTTCATTTCTACAGGAATTCTCTTTGTTGTGTGCCAGATATGCTGTGCATTGACCGAATCATACGGTGGGATGCTAGCTGCTCGATTCTTTTTGGGTGTTGGAGGCTCGACCTTTTCAACCATGGTAGGTGGTATCCTCGCGGACGTCTGGGTAACAGCAGACCGCAACACGCCTATGGTGTTGTTCACGGGAGCGACCATACTTGGCACTGGACTCGGTCCTTTGGTAAGCGGCTTTGTTGCACAGAATACATCATGGCGCTGGGTGTTTTGGATTCAAGCCATCACTAGCGGAATTTTGGTATCCATGGTGACGCTCCTCTTCAAAGAGACTCGGGGAACCGTCATCTTGAGCCGAAAAGCAAAACTCCTCAACAAGTGGTACGAGCAACTGGAAGCAGCGGGGGCTTTGGGAATGGAATTCGAGTCAGGAGATCCGGAGAAACCGGGCAAGAAGTCCTGCCGCATTCGTTGGAGAGTCCAAGCAGATGAAGAACGAGCATCCATTGGAAGAATGATTGCTGTTTCATTATATCGGCCAATCCACATGCTCTTCACGGAGCCTGTGGTTTTCTTTTTCAGTTTGTGGATTGCATTCTCTTGGGGTGTTCTGTATCTCCAATTTGGCGCGATTCCTCTGGTGTTCGAAACCAACCATGGCTTTACGCTGGAACAGACCGGTGCTGTCTTCAGTGCCGTCTGCGTGGGAGGCTTGATCTCGGTGGTGCTCAGCATCTACCAAGAGAAGTGGGCTTTCAAGCATTATCCCAAGATCAGTGGCAGCCCGGAAGGACGGCTTACATTTGCCTGCGTCGAGTCGACATTCATGCCAATCGGCTTGCTGTGGTTCGGGTTTACCTGCTACTCCTCCATTCCCTGGATTGTCCCTACTATAGCAATCGCAGTGGCGACGATGGGGATCTTCAGCATATACCTTTCGGTATTCAACTACACCGCTGATGTCTATCACATCTACGCCAGCTCGGCACTTGCTGCCTCGGGACTATGTCGAAACCTGCTTGGCGGTTTCTTCCCATTGATTACGAAACAAATGTTCCAAGGACTAGGTTTCCAGGCTGCCAGTGGTTTGGTTGGCGGCATTGGATGTGTGCTGACCTTGGTTCCCTGGGTGCTGTACTTCTATGGACCGAAGATAAGAGCTCGGAGTAAGATTGCTAGTACGTTCACTTGATCAACGCAATGTAAACTATCTTCGGGGCATAGTTCTAAAGCCTCATTCACGTCAGTTTTGTGGAATGAAACTCAATACCAATGAACGATAACAGCACATTCGACCGAAGAAATTGTTCGATCATCAGAATTTTGTGTAGGATGCAAGCAGTAGAAGATATCTGGGCATGCAAATCAACCCTCCAAAACCTGTGTAACGGTTCGCTCCACCTGGATCCTGCCATGCCACTTTTGCCATCAACTCCCACACTAGGCACAGAGAAGCAGCAGTAAAACATAGCTAATACATATTGGTCTTGTGACGCCTCAAGGAGATACACACAGCCCAAGGCGCCTCCTCAGTCTTTGGGCACATCCTCAGGACGTGTCATCTCTCATTTTGCCTGCTCAGGCAAATATGCACCACCAGCAATCACCAAATTCATATTCGTAAACTTGGTCGTGTAGACGGGACTCTGCTTTGTGAGGAAAGCGCTGATCTGATCACTCGTGACGACGGCGTCTTTCCCTCGCTTCTTGTGCACACCGGCAGCGCCAACACCTGGTGCTCCGCCCGCCGTACCGCTCGTCAAGTTGAGGTTCGATGACGGCGCACTCGTACCAGCACCACCAGCACTATTCGCGCCGTCGACTTTACCGACCGTCGCGCCCGTTCCGTCAGGTTTGGCAGCCGGTGTCGCTTCCTTCGCAGGGCCAGTCACATCCCAGGCGCGGACCGTACCATCTGCACCACCAGACACCAAAACCGTCGACTCAGCGCTCCAGCTGAGCGACCAGATGCCACCCTTGCCATGCCCACGCATCTTCTTAAGCAGCCTTCCTGGGCCGAGGTCCCACAGCAGAATCACACCAGTGTCATCGGCAGATGCGAGGATCTTACCATTGCGACTGCACGCCAGCGCGGTGATGGTCGACGTGTGGCCGGTGAACATTCGTACCGGATTGCCATTGTTCAACGCCCACATGCGCACCGTTTTGTCGCACGATGCGGTAAATACATAGCTCGAATTAGGATGCCAGGCGACCACATCGACGTCGTCATCATGACCAGCCAGTAAACGCACTTGCCGTATCCGGTCGCTCAGCCAGACTCGCGCGGTCTTGTCGTGGCCTGCACTCGCAAAGTAGTGGCCGAATGGACCCCAGGAGACGGACCATACAGGCCCGACGTGCCCTTTGTACACGACCACGCAGCTGAAGACATCGAGGTTCCACAGCCGAATTGTGCTGTCGGCGCTGCACGACAAAAGCCATTTCGTGCCTATATCAGCAGAGTCTGTGGTCGGTTTGTCCGATGATGGCGCAAAAGCGACCGAATACACAGGACCGGCATGCCCGATCAGGCGTTGGGAGTTTTGCTGCTGTCCGTTGACTGAGGGGCCGAGTGCACTGCCGTCCATGGTCCATAAGCGGATATAGGATTCTTGAAAGCCGGCGGCCACGAGTTTCTGGTCACCCGAGAAATCGAGACAGCATATGCTGTCGTGGGTGTTGTGGAAGGTGTACATGACGACGCTGAGGCCTGGGCCAATGCCGCCTGTTCGAGATTCGATCTTGAGTCGATCACGGTTTTCGCGGATCTTTTGCACTTCGAGTGCGACATCGCGGGCGGTGGATGGTGGAAAGGGTATTTCGGCGCGGCTGGGTCCTTCATCTTCGTCCTCTTGCTTGATGTTGACCTGTTCATGGGTCTGGACTAGACTTTGTTGGCCTGAGTGTGGCGGGACTTGGGCGTCAAGGTCCATCAATTCCGCGCGAACGTCCTCTTCAGCATCTTTCTCCATTGGGAGTTTGCCGAGTTTCAATGTCGCGAGATTGTTGCCTACACTGGGATCTGTGGAGGAGACGGCATTGCCCGGTCGATGTCCTGGGATACCCTCGTCCTCAGCTGGCATATCCTGACCCTCAGCGCCGCGCTGGATCACAGACGCAAAGCTGAAGCGGTCATCTGCGGCGCGTTCGACTTGCCGTAGATCGAGATTCTTCTCCACAATGTCGATGAATAACTTATATCCAACCTGTGGCAGACTCTCGAGGAATTGCATAAAGTAGATAAAGGCTGAGTTGCTGATGGATAGTCTGTACTTGTTGTCACGGTACAGTTTCGCGATTTTGTCCTCGCTGTGCTCGGGAAGTGTGATGTGTTCAATGCCTCGTAAATCATATTCGTGCTCCTTTTTGAAGTCTTCGGAAAACTTCTGATAGAAGCGCACTGCCTCCTTAGGGTAAAATCGCTTCACTAGATCCAGATAGGAGTAGACGAAGATCGGCCATAGCAATCTCTTGACTTCTGGCTTGTAGATGTCAAGTGCATCGTCGGTCCACGCTCTCAGACGCGTAAACATTTCGTAGTATCGAGGAGGACCCTGCGCGGCTGGTTTTATGTCGCCATCTTTGGGAATTTCTTGGTTCGCTGATTCTGCTCGTAATGTTGCCTCCGTTCTGTGGTAGCCTTTCTTTGCGAGATAGTCGATCACCTGTTTTCGCGTCAGCGGTCATGTCACACTCGAGCTCTTCCAAAACCAAAGCTACGCTGCAGACAGACTGAAAGAGCAATCTGTATTTGCTGCCTCAAAATCGCTCCAGACAAGCTTCTCAATAAACATTCCGCGGTAATTTGCACATCAAAACTCCTCCGCTCATCGTGGCTGATCCGAAAGCAAGAAGAATCCCAGCTTTGTGACTTGACTCAAACAGGTTTCACGCGCGTGACGACCCGAAAGAGGTGGTATGAAAAGGGAACGACTCACTATTTGATTGAGATTCTGCTGGGACATACCACCAGCACCACTGGTACCTGAGGCCGCTGCAGGGGCTGGTGGCGGTCCAGGCACAGATCCACCACCCACTCCGTTTACCATCGCTGTAGAAGTCGGTGTCGCCAGCGGTCCATTTGGCCCTGTACTGGCGCTCCGCGGCGCTGGGCTGGGCGCGCTCTGCCCCGACATGGTTATTGTGCGCTCATGCACTGATTGTGTTGACCGTGCAGGTGACCGGAAACTTGGTTGATACGATATTCGTCTCGATGATCGGACATAGAGCGGTATAGAGGGTGAGAGATGTCGTGATGCTAGAAGTAAGGATATAATGAAGTGTTCAGTCTTCAACAAGAGATCGAGCGCGGAAGAAGCGCCAAGAACAGATATCCCGCCATGCCGCTTTAGCACACATCTTCGGCAAACATTCCAAGAAGCAACACCTCAGCTGCAACTTCATTGTTTTCGATGGAAGTGCACCTGTCGCAAGAGGATTCTGTGATTCTACTGCAATGAATGGGTGGTTGGAATGACTGCGCCTCGCCCCAGATATGAGTATGGACGTCGACTTGTCTGAGACGCCTCCTGCGACGCGATCATCCAACTTGACGGCGTCCGATCGCATTGCGGAGCTGAATGAGATCGATCATTCTATCGCTACTTTACTCTCTGCCGCTTCTGATGCCATCGGTATCCTGTCAAACCAATCTGTCTCACAAACGCAAGGGCAATCCCTTAAAAGCCCCCCGGCGGCTCGTGATGCATTTGCTAAGGCCACCGAGACCTATTTCTCCACATTATCTTCGATCGAAGTTCGATTGCGCCGACAAGTCTACGCCTTAGAAGAGGCCAATCTTATCAAACCTGGAGATGAGCGCGACACTAGAAGAGGACGAGCTTTGGGCGGCGACAGCGGCATCTCAAGAGTTGGTGGTGGTCCTCTGGACCCTAGCTGGCTGAATGCTCGAGCAAGTGATAAGGTAGGGGCTGGTATGAAGCGTGAGCTTTTGGCGCGAGCGCGAGCATTCGTTGAACGTGAAGAACATGGCGCGCCGCCCGGACATCTGGAGACTCGAGGGGTTGAACCGGACAAGGGATATACAAACGATGATGACGAAGATATGGGTTGAAGCATGTCATTCTACGACTGATGGCTATCACGCTGTGATCGAACGTGGTACACAACAACCGCTCATGGCTAGAAAAGCGATGCTCGACGGTGTCACGAGCTCCAGGAGGAGGCAGCCCATCACTGCGAAGGGAAGATGATGTCTAACGACACGGGCAAGCACCAAATTGCTTCAATCTTATGGCCTCACGGCCAACTGCATACCCGATGTATGCGAAGAGCATTTGTTCGTGTCTTCACCAGAGCGTGCAATAAAGTCGTCGACGTCTTACACAAGGAGCAGATGCATTATCAAGACTGGGACTATTTGATGTCGTCCTGGCTCCCTCCCGGAATGCATTGGACGGAAGCGCAATAGCCAGCGTGAATTAACACGCTGATAGCGTGAAGACGGTCCTCGAAAGGCAGGAACCATTGTTTCTGGACACTAGCACATAGTCCACATTGGCACATACCCTCGCGAGCAGCTTCCTCATGCCTCAGTGAGTTGAAGCTGCAAATTATTGGCAGTTGATGAGATGCGCTGTCACTACTCGATGCTCTTTTCTTCGGGTCACTGCCCGCTCCTTCTTGTAGTCGTATGCTCTTGTTAAGTTTAACCAAGAGTGAGGTGCAGCCACGCCCAATAAGGACGCGGCTTGGCATCGATCTCGAGGACCGACCCTGGGCAAGCGCCTCCAACATCGCTTTCCTCTGTCTCTCTCTCTCTCTTTCTCTGTTGTCCTTCCACTTTTCATTTGGCATTTCTGATCGTTGATGGGTTCCCGACACATATACTGAGGGCTCGCGTGGTACTTATGTGCATGATTTGATGGAGGATCGGCATGAATTATTGATCAACTCTCCTTTGTTCGTGTCCCGCGTCGTTGTGTTCTGATGGCCTCCGATCCACCAAATCAGGAACATTTACAACCACAACATTTATTCGTCAGAACCGATGAGGTTGATTCAGGCACCACAATATTATCACCAAGCAGAGAAGTGCCCTTAAGCGCTCTGAGTCCCGCCGATGGCGCCCCTTCAGGTACACGACCCAACGCTCCACCTCGGCCAGGTCTAAAGCGTGAGGGCACAGCACCAGCACCGCCTCCGCCGCCACCTTCGCAACCACCTCCAGCACCTCCACCGCAGCCTGATCCCACCGACTCCTTGAGTTTGCCTCAACTTAGGCAGTTAGTAGGACAATTCCCCAAAGCCGAACAGAGAGCCTATGCTTTTCAGTACAAGGATGCCGAAGACTTTGAGCCCGAGATCGACGAGTGGTTCCACTACACGGAAATCGAACAAGACCGAGACTACCTGCTAGCAGCACGCGAAGCTTTTGAGCAAAGGTGGAAACTGTTCTGTCAGCAACAGAACAGGTCCGAAGAAACGACCTGGATCAATCTGCCTCGTGATCAACAGCAGCAATTTCTGTCAGAGTTGAGGGTCCAACTTGCCGACAAAGACTATAGCTCCAGGGAAGAAGCTCTATCTTGCGTGTTTTACATCTTGACTGGTGTATGGAGTGTGACATCTGGCCTGGAATCAAGAGATGTCGCTGGAGATGGTGGACACGAATCGTTACCAGAAAATGACCATTTCAACGCTGTTCAAGTGCAGTGGATGCATAAAGGAGCAGATGCAGTCCAGCAGAGTCACATCATCACACAACTGTATGCGTGCCTTATTCAAGCCGCAAAAGCTCCCGACGATCCTCGTCCTTCACAAAACCTCGATGGCGAAGAAGTAAATGAAGGTGCTTTCGGTGAGAAGGGATACCAGGAAATCAGTCTATGCCTGTCGGCTTTCTATATCCTGATTGAGTCCGCCAGAGTCAGGATTGGAACTCCGGCGGGAAAAGCCTTACGGGATGCCATTGTCGCGCTGCAGCCTAACTTTCTAGTCTTTCTTGTCAGCATGATTTCACGATTACGATGGGACGAATCATACAATATACCCCTTATGCATGCATTGCAATTGTTTTGGAAGACATTATTGGTGGTGTTCGGCGATTTGCCGGGCTACCTGGACAAGATCAAAGGGGTCCTTCAACCTCGAGTGGACCCATTCTCGTCGGAGGCCTCTCGCCCAGTCCTTACCGCCTCACCTTTGGATTACCACCTGTTCAGACAAGAGATTACTTCGAAGTATCCCGCTTACAACCCGCCCTTACCCCTAATCCCATTGGAGATTGAACAGAAGACAATGCTACCTCCGCTACCAAGTCAGCCACGACAAGACAGCTTTCCCGCAGGTCCAGGTCCAAGTGGTTCAGCACCCAGAGGATCAATCTTTCATCAGCCTGTTCATATTGCCACCCCGGCACCCTCTCCACCACCCTCACCAATCGGTCCGGGCGGAAAAGCTGCTAAGAAACAGAATTACCAGACGAACCAAAACTTCCCCTTCCTTTATCCACCGCTTGACAGCTCGAGCAACACCATAGGTGGTAAAGGCTCCTCGGAAATTCAGGACCTGATGGTGGGAAAGAGATGGGAAGGCAGTGACGTTCCGCTGTCAATTATCGAAGCAGGAGAACTCTTTGCCAGTCGTATGAGAATGACAAGAGCAATGCGCCAGCTTTGGAAGGAACGAGATCTGTTCATGAAGTTTGAGAGAGGCTGGGGCGCTGATGAGAGCGGAAGTAGCGAGGCTAAAGGGGATGACGAGCTCGACAGTCTTGACGCCGAGCTTCGGTCTCGCATGTATGCCGTCGACGAGTTCTTCCGACAAGCTCTACCAGACCTGCAATCATTGATCATCGTAATGATGAAAGTCATGCTCACCAATGTGCAAGACATTGCCGTACGCAACGGTGGTCTTCAAGAGGCGACACAAACTGGGGGCCTCAACCGGACAAAATCAAACTCTAACATTGCTCAGAATCCGGCGCTCCCCATACCACCACCCCCACCACGTCCGGCTGAGATGGCACTCGAAGATCTGGATAATGTCCGATCCCGGGAGATCAGCCAGAAAGCTGTGTCAGGAGCAATATTTCTGTTGCTCAAATGGCTCAAAGTATCTCATGTGTTGAAGTTTGAGTACCTGACACAACTCCTGCTTGACTCGAACTACATACAATTAACGCTCAAATACTTTGCGCATCAGAACCTGGAAGATCTGGTTGCGTTCAAATATGATCGGGATGATCTAAGCATGTGGCATTACTGTCTTGTTCACTCCGACCATCCACCCCTGTCGCCAACAAGCCCGGACGAGAGATCGGAAACTTCGAGCGTTGATGAAGCCGTACCACCACCTATATCGCGACAAAGGCGGTCTCCAAGTACTAAACTCGACGATCAGACCTCTTCTGAGCAGGGCTCCGCCCAACAGGGATCAGACGGCCAGGCAAGACCATCTGTCGACGAGCTCGGTAACCCACTTGGACCGCTCCCTGCAGAACCTATCACGACATTCTCGTTCCGACAGTTCCAGACAGCTATCCACCTCCTTCGCGCGCTTCAGAAAGTCACACGTGGTAAATCTCACCGCATTTTGTTTCTGGTACAGTTCAAGTCATCTCAGATCCTACGACGAGTTCTCCGCGTCCCAGATCCCACCTTGCGCCTTTACGTGTTGAAGCTCTTCAAATCTCAGGTCCCGTACTGCGGCCGTAAATGGCGACAAAGCAACATGCGTGTCATCACGGCCATCTACTTGCACTGCCGACCGGAATTGAGAGATGAGTGGCTGGCTGGTATGCATGATGCTAATGTCGAGGGTGAGGTCGACGAGGCGGTCCCACTGGAATGGGCCCTCCGCGGTCTCACGTTCTGGTGGCAGAAACGCATGTACCCTGGAGTCATGCGAAGAGTGAAACGTGGCGGAAAGGCGAAGGGCAAGCACTCATCACTGGCATCGGCACTTGAGAAGCTGGCTGCTACCGAGGGAATGACCGAGGGGTCACATGGCAAAGAAGTCGACCTGGAAAACATCGACATCCAAATTCCTGATGAGACATTTGAGAACATAGGGGACGACGAAGAAGAGGATGAAGGCGGTCAAGAAATCGACGACGATGAGCGCGACTTTTTCCGGCGAGAACTCGATGCTATTGGCTGGGGCCTTGCCGGCGTCCGGCTGAGTGAAGGCGAGGAGGTTGCCTTTGGTGAGGAAGCAATTGGCCTTAATGGAGCAGGAGCAGGAGTGTACTCGGGCGTTAATGGCGCGACTGGGACCGGTATGGACACTTCGATGTCTTACGGTTCTATGGCAGGCGGAGGGCCTAATACCGGGACCCCGCAGACACCTGTTGCGCAGCCACAATGGATCACGGCGAACGCAGCGAGTCTGGAGAATTGGCAGAACAGTTAGGGGCTGTTAGAGGCGGTCCGTGATGCGGGTGCTCTCGATGAGCAGGCGGAAGAAGCCGAAGCGGAAGACGTCGAGGATGCTTCGTTGTGGGCTGTGCCTCCACCTAGGGTCAATCTGGATCGGTGGGAGCCGGGAGACCACGAGGACACTTTGGAACGGGACACAGGGAGAACCATGGGGCGGGATAACAGCACAAGACGAAACAGGAGCTGGCGCTGAAGACAATGGACACTCGAGTCTGGTCGTCCTATTATGCGGTATTCTGCACCGTTACGAGGACGAAAACGTATTGGCAGCTCCTGCATAGATCAGAGCACAGCGTTAAAATAAGCATCAAATAATCAATTGCATGCTTGAAGCAGTGTCTAGGTCAATCCCGCCCATAGATCTGATAATCCAATTGCTTCCTCTGTCGTAGCATTTTGGCGCCATGTATCCCTGAACGCCAAAAAATCGCCATGCCTTCGTCATAAGAAGGTGGCTATATCGCTTTTACAAATCCCAAGTATGCGCATCAAACGTCTCGTCTCTGGGGTCGTATCTACAGCTTTGACGAAGGCTGTTTTCTCTTGCCGCCGCCGACGCCAGTGACTTCGGCGCCCGAGAGGATGAAGTCGGGATACTCAAAGTCACCACCGGGCGAGCCAGAGCTTGTATGCCACGAGCCGCCATCCACAACCAGTTTGTCACCAGTCACATAGTTGGCGGCATCACTGAACAAGTACACTGTCGCATCGGCGATTTCTTTGACCAAGCCCCATCTACCCACGGGAATCTTCTTGCCAGGCGAGTCGCCTGAGAAGTGTTTCTTGGACAACCGGTCCATGCCTTCTGTGCCGGCGATGGGGCCAGGGGCGATGATGTTGGACGTCAGGCCCAGGGGTCCATACTCGATAGCGACGTTTGCGGAGAGTGCGTCGATGCCGGCTTTGGCGACGGCCACGTGCGTCTGCATGGGGAGGCCGGTATAATGGATCGTGGCGGAGACGTAGATGATGCGACCTCCTGGTCCCGCGGATGCTGATTTGGGCAGCGTTGACGTCGAGTTGTGTTTCTTCGCTGAGGCCACGAGGTGTGGGAGTGCCACTTTGGTCACGTTGTAGGAGCCCATCACGTCGATGTCCATTACTGTCTTGAAGGCGTTGGGGGAGAGTTGGGCGATGGGAGCGAGGAAGTTGCCTGCGGCGCCGGCACTTTGTATCATGTTAGCATGTGCATTTCCGTGTGTTGAGGGTGGGTTTTTGTTTTGCCATACATGAGGAAATCGATGCCGCCTAGTTCACTGACGCAGGTGTCTATTGACTTCTGTAGGCTCTCGACGCTGCGCACGTCCACGCCGCCGATGCCCAGGACTTTACTGCCGGTTCGGGCGGTTGCGATGTCCTTGGCTACACGCTCCGTCTTTTCGGTGTTGCGGCCTACGATGCAGGCGTCGGCGCCTAGGTGGACGAGGGCGCGGACCTGGCCGGAGCAGATGCTGCCGTTGCCGCCGGTGCAGAAGACGACCTTGCCGGCGAAGAGGTTGTCTTTCCAGACGCTTGAGAGGTATTCGGGCATTTTGGCTCCGGAGGAGATGGGGGACAAGGCCGCGGCGTAGGATGACAAGCAGGAATTGGACAATGGAATTGAGCAGGCCAGGTTGTAGAAGTAGACAGACTGGGGGAGGAGGCTGAAGTCTTATATTTGAAGGTGCATCAGCAACGGCCGTAAAGCATTGAAGAGGTCAGATACGAGCCCGGTTCTATGATGGAAGCGGCTCCGTGATGTTGAGGACGTTGCAAATACCGAGGTTGCCGGTTAAACTTCGTGTTTAGTATTTCGGTGAGCGAGACGCGTCTCGTTACATCTGACCGCGTATTGCAATGTACAGTATTTTCATTTGTTGAAGTCCTATGACGAGCTTTTGACAGTTCACGTGGAGGTGGATGATCTCGTATTGAGTGCATCCTCATTGTTCATGGGAAGTTGGAATGCCTTTGAAACGATGAGGACTTCCCACGAAAGGGGGATAAGACACTCTCAGCTCGATTGATATGACTACCGGTTCTACCTCCAGGTGCCCGAAGAGTCGTACGGTCCATACATCTAAAATGGAGAGGGTTTGCTCCTGCGTCTTGAATGAGGTTGCAGGGTGTATCAACTCAGTGTCGTAAGGTTCGTCACATCTACTTAGTCTTAAGCGCCTCGTTTATCGGCCTATCAATACCAATCCCTCCATCATCCCCGGACTACGCGCATTCAGACAACCCCTGATCCATATTGAGGGACTTCATGGTCTCCTACGCTAGATGTGAAATGGCCTCCAAGGCTGTTTCAACATGTGTATAGACATCCTCTGTGAGTCGCACGAACGTTTAGACCAGCATGCCTGGTAAACTCGAAGAAGTCATGGCCTTAAGCGGCCTATCTCTCCCTGTACGGCGCAGAGCCTTGCTGCCGTGAGTGATAGAGGAGAGTATAAAAGGTTGAAAGGTGCCTTGCAGTCGACGAAGTCCCAAGACCAAGCAGTGGTGCTTGCCCATATTCGTCCTCTGCTTGTCCCACTCAATACCTCAGCGATGGTGGTCATAGAATCAACCGCCTATCTCCTGACAGTCCACTTGATTGTTCCCACCGTGCAAAGCACCTACCTACTCACAAAGTATGCGTACCATGAAGTATACCAGAGATCCAAACAAAAGCATGGCCTTCAAGATCAAAGCAAAGGCTACCCCGTCTGGTTCAGCTGGCGCAAGCACTACGCTCGCTACCACCATGCAGTCCTCTACGTCGACGGTTGGAAGTATGAATTGCGCCTGTTGAACGGAGAGAATGGTCGACCTGTAGCCAGTGTGACGAGGACTAGGGGTCCATTCGATCCCGGGAATGCGGATGGCAAATTCGAGTGCTTCGTGGTTGGCTGGACGCATAAAGAACATGCCGAGATCCAGAGACTAGCAGAGACTATCATCGCCGGATGGGAATACAACGAGACCACAAGGAATTGTCAGCACTTTCTGGAGCAACTCGCCGACAGGATTCTGGAGGAACACAACAAGTATGGTCGGTACAGGATGTCGGACCACCTTTCTAAGGGCTTTGGAAAGGCCGCTCCTGGCATGTGCAGCGCGCGCTGCAGCGGATGAGAATCGTGTCAGGAGCGACGTGTTGATGGGAGTGCGCGTCGACCTCATGGCATGAGTTGATCGCGAGAAGCATGGCTGGTGGGGAGGACCGGAGTGCTTGTGGCGGAAAGGATTAGAGTCGCCACGCGATGCCGGGAATGCTTTAAGCACCTTTCGTGTCTTTGGCGGCGCCTGATGCTGAACCAAGGCAACGCGGTCAGCCATGAAGTCGAGGGTACCAGGCACTCGAGCTGGGTAATCCGCAAAGGGCAAGATCTGTACTCAAATCTTCGACTGAGCATTTCTTGCCAGGAAAGCCTCCAGCACGGGCGCTTCTTGCTCCCTGAGAGTCCACTTCAACTGGACATCATTCACTCTGCCAGCCTTGACCTGTTCTTCCGTTGCCCATACATAGCTCTGATGCTCTCCAGGGTCCAATTTGACGTCCATGGTCCCGTCTGGGCTGGTTTTGGCGTCTATCAGGAAATGAAATTTGCAAATTGTCAATCCTCTTCTGGTGACGAATATCTGAACCTCGCCGACTTGGGGTCCGATGTTAGTAGCAGTCAGTCCGGCTTCTTCCCGAAGCTCACGCGCCACTGCGTGTAGAATAGTTGGATCCTCTGGGTCAACTGCACCACCAGGGACTTCCCACAGATTCGGCATGCTGTCGGTCGAGGCGCGTTGCACCAGCAAGATGCGTTGTGGACTTGACTTGTCAAAAACCATGGCGCCGGTGGCGATGTAGTAGGTCTGGATTGTTGCACCGAATGTAGTGCTCTTGACTGGATTGTGGGCAACATAGCTTTCCAGATTGATGGCGAAAGATGAACATGATGGATGGCTTGAAAATGCGAAGCTTGGTGATTCAGGTATTGAGTCGGTCATATCGTCGTCCGTGTCTTGGAGGACCATTGATGACCTGAACGACTGATCACGACTCCAGGAGAGCGTGGAGTGATCGGCAAATCAAGCTACTTAACCCCAAGGCCTAACAGACGCTTGTCATAAACAACCCTATCGAGATGCCGAGGCTGGAGCCTGGGGCCATCCTAGCCCACGGTGGTGCCTGCTCTCTAACAATGCCACAATTTCATACCACTTCAGGCATGTGGGATGAAGTATGTCCAGTCTACATTTACATATGCTGTCCCTTGTAAGTTCCTCAGCTCCGCAAACGCCTCCGCGATCAGATAGAACCTTGCCAGCCCATACGTAAAAGCTAGCGGTGCGATCGACGCAAACTCCCACGGTAGTGGCAACTGATGCGACTACCGTCTTGCGGTCGGTGTTCTTCGTACCATACGCATCCAATGCTCTTCCAGCCCACTACGATTGAAGATGTATAGATAGATTGTCTTCCATCTGCCTAGCCGCGTCCATGACGCCGTGGTCTCAAACACCCAAAAAGCAACGGTTATGCCGAATAGGACAAGAGAGCTGACGCGCCAAAGAACGCGCTCAATGTGCGAGGGGAAGTCAAATGACCACCCAGCCACATGGATGGCAGTATATACCATCGTAGCAAAGCAGAGGAAGTACTCTTGGATACCGTAGGGATTCATGGGGAACCGATCATTCGGTATCATTTGAATGGGCCGGTTTGCAGGAATCACTGGCATCTTCATGAATGGTTGTACATTGACCGAGTATCCAGGTCCGTTCTCGTCAATGAAGTCGAGCGGCGTGAGACTCCATGGCCGATCGAGTGTCATCTCGGAGAGACTGTGCGAGGAGTGAATAGGCACCCGGCGTTTGGACATCTGCTGGCTTGTACAGCCAGATATACGCGGTCATCAACGAGCAGACGACGATTGCAAGCGCATTCAGTTCGAGCGTCGTAATCGCTAAGCCCTGGATTGCGCGAGCAACGCACTGGATGATTAGATACCCGACTTGAAAAGCTGTTATGACCTTGGTGAACGTATCTTGTTTAGACTTGTCCTCGATATCTTGCCGACTGATTCGTGGATAGGTCACAAACCGGTTTTCCACGAGCCAGTGTAGCTGCGTGGCATTGAGTGGGAAAGGAGGGCCGTCTTTGGGGTGGAGGGTGAAGCCACCCATGTCTGCGAAAAAAGCATGGCGCATATGCCAATCATCGTAGCCCAGGGCGCGAAAAGCCGCCACAGAGTGTTTCGCTCGACTCCACAGTCCTGCAGCATAGGTGAGAGGGAACTCTGGGCCTAGGATTCCCAGACACATCCATAGGAACCGGCGAAAAGTTCTCCTTAGATATGTATCCGTGGCTGCCGGAACATTGAGACATAGCATTGTGTAGGTGCTGATGAAGATGGTGACCAGGTTGGTCCAGATGATATCGAAGGTTCCTCGATAGTTGGGCTGATTCACCCATCCATTCACTCGTGTCGTTGAAGAGAAAACTTGCACGCCTGTAGGGTGCGTGCAATTGCTTGGGTTGTCGGGGTTTGGACCATGCTTCTGGGCGTCACATATGGCCACAAAAATTGTCAGAGTGAAAGTCAACCCCAGTTGGCCCCGATGTGGCATCTCGTCAGTTTGCAGCAGCTCTTGACTGGCAAGTATCAGTCTTTTGACAGAAGCTCATACGACAATCCCCGTAGGTCTCCTGCTAGGATATCCGCGAAAGGGCAAATGCTGGGAAATCGACTCTGGGAATCCTGTGTCCACGAGCTTGCGACTCTTTCGAGGGCCTCATGTTGAGCTGCATCCAAGCACAATGAAGGCAAGTACTTTATGTCCTGGATGACCACCTACCTTGAGCATGATGTCTGAGAGGCCGAAACGATGGGCGTAGCAGAAGCCTGTCTTAGGCCACACAGCCGGCATAGTGTACCTGTCCGTTTTTGGGTAAACCTGCATCGCGACATAGCTGGTCGCACAGGCTTTTACCAGCAATTTTCAAGTGTAATTGTAGCCGATGTTCCATGTTGAGACTGATGATGGTCAGGAAGGCTGTAGCCTTTGCTAAGCGCTTTAGTTCGTGGTCATGAGGATGGCGTTGGGGTCGAGTTTAGCCGCCAACGAGAGCGATACGATGCCTTGTAGTATCTACGTGCAGTAGTTCGGCAATGCTGAAACAAATTTGCTGCTTCAATTCATCACATGCAACTGGCGGCAAGACAACATGCAGCTCAAAAGTACTTTCCATTGCCGCAATTGCGCTTGTCCTAGAATTTCAGTGTCGCTGATGTTGCGTTTGAGTTGAGCAACTTCGCGTCAGCCGAATTAAAGAATAAACAATAAATAAAGATGCCGTCACTCTCGGCACTACTCAAACCTCTTGCAATCACCATAACAGCCTCCGTTGGCCTCTATCTCACGTTCCTTGGACTCCTCACAATCCAATCCCTCCAAGATCATGTAATATACCTACACCGAGTGACCTTGACCTGGTTCCAAGATGTCAATGTACCCGAACAATGGGGCTTCCTCCGAAACCAAGTCACGCCCTTCCATCTCCTAACACCTGACGGCGAGACTCTCCATGCGTGGCACGTACTGCCGCTCGAAGCGTACCGAAGAAATGAGAATGCTCTGAGAAAAGAGCCTGCGGGTCTTTGTCACGATATCACAGAAAGACTGGCCTTCAAGCTACTTAAAGACGATCCAAGTTCGCAGCTGGTCATATATCTACACGGAGCAGCTGGGACCCTTGGGTCAGGCTGGCGGCCACAGAGTTACCGCGCTATTTCTGCAGCCGCGGGAAATGTTCACATCATCGCAATTGACTATCGCGGATTCGGCTCGAGTACCGGGTGGCCCAGTGAGGCTGGGTTACTGACTGACGCCCTTACGCTTGCCGAGTTTGCTATGAAAACAGCAGGCATCCTTCCAGAACGCATTGTGCTCTTTGGACAGTCGCTTGGTACCGCAGTCAGCATATCTCTTGCACACCATCTAGCTCTACAGTCTCCTCCTGTTCTCTTCGCAGGGATTGTGCTTGTGGCACCCTTTGCGAATGTTGAGCTCCTAACCCAAACCTATAGCGTCGCTGGCACAATGCCGTTACTAGCGCCAGTAGGTAAGATTCCAGGAGCACTAGCCTTCTTCAACAGGTTCATCGTGAGCAAGTGGCCGTCAAAAGACAAACTTGCAGCGCTCATTCGTCATGTCGAGGCGCTCAAACTGCCCGAGCGGCCGACCAAGTACGACATCACGCTCATACACGCGGAAGACGACTATGACATTCCATGGGTGCATTCGGAAGTTGTGTTCTGGCACGCCGTCAACGCGACCCGTGATACCGGCAGCAGTCTGACTTTCGAGGACCTGGAAAAGGTGAAGAACGAGACAAAGTTAGGCCTCGGTGCTGGAGGGTGGGAGGTAGAGTGGTCATCTACAGGTGGAGTGGTACGAGAACAGATTGTGAAGCATGGCCTCCATGATCGGATCATGAGTTATCCAGTCGTAAGTCTGGCGGTTGCGAGGGCATTTCATAGTCAGGACAGTTCATAACCAACGGGTGATGACTACATCGATGTTAAGATGCATGGGCCGAACATACAAGTTTCCCAGGTCCATGTGATGGGGAAACCTCAATCCCGCGCAGGCTGTTGCGTCTCTTCAACGAGGGTGCCCTTGCCGAGCCGACGTTTACGTCTGGGATTTCTCCTGAACAGGCTGGTCGGTACCTGGAGGTTTGGGATGGCCGCCAACACCCATCCTCTCTTGATAATCGTTTGCCCATCGGAGCGCGACTTTCCCAATTGGACCGACCTTGCGATTGTAGCAGTCGGCTCTTGGGCATTTCTCTGAGTGCTACGAGTGTTGAAAGATGCCCACAAGCTCTAGGATCCAGAACGGGGCTTTCCACCTATTGTCGGAAGAAGCACCCTCCATCTGACCGAAAAATGTCGACTCTGGACTACATAAACTTTATAACCGTAATTGATGGCCTCGTTCGTCTTCGATCCGGAGGGTTTATTGGGTCCAGCTCGATAAGGGTAGCTGCCGTAACAGTGCTCGTGCTTTTCCATATCGTACCAGATTATGTTTCCTAGATATTATCTCTCCCTAATAACCACCCAATCCCCTTCACCTGGTCCTCTCTGTACAGCTTAGTTGACTCCAACCCCGGCAAACTTAGGAAAAAAGCGTGAGGTAGTCCTGGGTACATGTCTATCCGTGTCTCTGTCCTGTTATCTTCTCGTAAGATCTTCTCGTAGATCAACGCTTCGTCGCGCAGCGGATCCAGGCCATTGATCTGAAAGTATGTCTTGGGAAGCTGAGAATGTCCGCCGGGTGCAGCTAGCACGTTGTATAAAGGGTCTGATGCGTCCGGTTTGTAACCTTGCATGAACATGTCGATAGCCGCCGCGGGAAGCATAGGAGCGTGTTTGTTCTGCTCGCGGGAGAGCAAGAGCTCCCTGTACTTGTCGGGTATGTATGAAGGAGGGCCAATGCCGGGGATGCCGAGATACTGGCCTGTCAGGGCTGGTGAAAGCCCTTCATCTCGGGCGAGGTGGGCAAGCACAGCCGTCATTGAACCACCGGCGGATGTTCCTCCTATGATGAACCCGACAGATGGATCAGCACCCCTCAGGGTCGGCAAAGGTGTTGAACTCGGCGAAGGGATTGGCATTGCCCACTGTATCGATGCAGCCGCCCATTACGACAACCTCGGCGACTCTCGAGAATGTCTGGGGGTCGGCGATCGCAGCTTTGGCAACGTTGCTGAGTGGACCTATGGCGACTATGGTGATGCTGTCTTCCTCATGAGACTGGAGCAAGTGAAGGATCTCTTGGTCTGCAGGTCGGTCAAGGATACTGAAGCCTTTGCCACTGTCTGGCTGGCTTGCACCGGAGAAGACATCTTCCCAACCTTGTGGCGTGTATTCGGCATGGGTTTTGTGCATGCCCCCGAGACCATCTCCCCCGTGAAAATGAGCAGCATCCACAGTCTCGCTTGAAAATAAAGGCTTGTCCTGTCCACATGCTACTGGGATTGTTTTCCCATCCAGCAGACCTTGCTTGTGTGCAACGTCCAAGATTGTATAGAGATTGCAGAAGCATTGTCTCAGGGAGACGTTTCCGAAGGTCAGGGAAACCAAAAGACAGTTGATGTCTTTAGGTAGTGACAACGCGTAGAGCAGCGCTACGGCGTCGTCAACCCCAGGGTCTATTCATAGTTATGTTAGTACCTGATGCGATAGTATGGATCGCTGATGGATAGGTATAGCTTACCAGTATCGATAATGATGTTCTTCATCGTCAAGATACTTTCTTCCGGTTTGGAGAATATCGCTTCGAAAGACTGACGGTAGGCCCAGGGAATACTACTGCGGCCTCGTGATCAAGGCCAGTATTCAAGCTGAGATAACACTGCATGATCTCTATCCCCTAGGGGTACACAAGGCGATGTAGGCTACCAACACTAATTTGGTGTTAGTGAGAGTTATCATTGGGGTTACGCAGAAGACCGCTTATCAGTGTCACCCACTAACTTAAGTTAGGGGCCCAAGCTCATGCCACATATTAGGAGTTTGCCGCTCCAAAGTCTAAAATGTGGTAAAATTGAAGTGAGCAACACCGAAGTTATTTCGGACCGGCGTGAGTAGATCAAGAGGTCCGCACATGATAGTACCCTGGGTAGTGCAGTGCAAGCGGTTTGAGCGAAGATAACAACCCTGTTCTTCTGGCGAAACCTCCTGCGACACTACACCTCTGTAGTGTCCGGTGCGCTCTCGACGACCCTTGAAAATCCGCTGGAAGAAATAAGATTCGTGCCAGGTCGTACTCATCACTGCAGCAGATCTCCAAGGTGAAAAGCCTATAAGTATAGCCTATGGAACAATAGATAGGGGAAGTCGGCAAGATAGATCCAGATCCGTAACTTCGGAACACAGATTAGCTTTAGTGCTTGATACGTCTAAGCTTTAGAGAGAACCCATTAAAGTAGGGACCTACTAGTCGAGTAATTCATCGGCGGCACTTGATGTCGGAATGAGAACGCATGCTACTGTGCTGTGCATATGTCTCATCAAATGAGCAACCCAGCAGACGCTGTCAGCAATGAGTAATCAGTACAACGGCATTGTTCCAGGCGTGCTCTGAAGGGCCTGCTCCATGATGGCCAATCCCTCATTCAACTGTTCCTTGCTGACAACAATGGGCGGTGCCATTCTAAACACGCCACCAAAGCTAGCGTGGCTGCTGAGATTCGCCCAGACCCCCAGTTCATACATCTTACCGGCAACTTTGCGCGCTAGGTCGAGGGCCGGCTCTTTCGTCGCACGGTCGCCCACGATCTCCAACCCAGCCATTAACCCTCGACCACGCACATCACCGATGCACCCGTAACGCTCCTTGAGCTTGTGCAGTCCAGCATGCAGATACAATCCCATGGCTCGAGAGTGTTCTACCAGGTTGTCTCGCACGACGATCTCGAGGATTTTGTCCCCGACCGCGGCAGGTAGAGGGTCATTTACATGGGTGGTGTAGAAACAGAAATCGCGTTCGGTGCAGACACGCTCGATTTCGGAGCTCATCACCACGGCGCTCAACGGCAATCCATTACCGAGAGTCTTGCTAAGAGTGAGAATGTCAGGGACCACTTCTTCATGGTTGATGGCGAAAAGGTCACCGCACCGTCCCACCCCGGTTTGAGCCTCGTCCACAATGAGCAGCATGCCGCGCTTCTCGCAGTGCTTCTTCAATGCTCTCAGATAGCCTTGCGGCAACACGTGCATGCCCGCAGACGACTGGATGCACTCGACAATGCATGCCGCCAAAGATCCGCACGAGGCACGATCAATAAGATCCCAGCCATAGTTGAGCTCCGTCTCCCAGTCGTAGGAGCCGTCAGCCTTGCGAAAAATGGAGCGATAGGCGTTTGGTGGTGGAAGCATATGCATGCCTGGCATAAGCGGACCCTGGCCTTTCCGGCCGAAGTGGTACTGCGTTCCCAAAGCTTGTGCCGTCACACCGTGCCAACTGGCACCCAGTCCAACGATTTCGAACTTGCCTGTGTAGACTTTTGCCATCTTGATGGCTGCTTCATTTGATTCGCCGCCCGTTGAGAGGAAGAAGGCTTTGTCCAGGCCTTCAGGCAGCAAGGAGGTGAGCCGGTGAGCGAGGTTGATGACAGGCGGAGAAAGCATGCCGGAGAACAGATGGTCCAGGTTCGCCGCATGGTCATGGATTGTCGATACAATCTCTGGGTGGCCATGTCCGATGAGGCACGACATCTGACCGGATGTCCAGTCGGCTACCTTGTGGCCGTTGGCGGTGAAGACATACAGGCCTTTGCTACCTGTGATGATGTCCTTCTCGAATTTGGTGCCAAAGTTGGCCACGCAGGCGGACGCCTTGGTCTGTAGGTCTTTCTCGTTGACATCGCTATATAAAGTAGGTGTATCAAGGGATTTGGCTGCGAATGAAACGGCGTCGGGCACGGCGTCTTCGATCATTGGTGCCATGGCTGTGACTGGTCAGCGAGTCGGGATGATTTCGGTGCTTAGGTCAACTGTTTGTGTTACTTTCTCTTGCAGTCTCAATTGATTGAAGATATAGCAAGGAAGTCTTGACCCACCGTCGGGAAACTCATTGAGTCTATGGGTTGTTGAAGCTTACTTTGCAGCCAGATCTGGACAGACCGTCGGTTAGAACGAGTGATGATTGGTCACAATGTGCATTTTCATCGCGAAACTCGATCTGTGATTCGGGTGCTCGTACCTGCCTCTAGCAAGCGGGTTGTATCGGTCTGACTTGAGTATAGGATTCTTCCCGCATTAGTTGAAGTCAGTAGCATTCGTGTGGTGTCAAGCTGCCAGGTACGCCTCTTGATGAGCACCAAGCTTGACCTCCAATCAACGTACGCATTGTCCGGAGCATGTTTCAGGAGAGTTCATCTCAATAGCTGGGGTCTTCAGAAGAGGATCGGCACGTAAAGTAGAAGTTTCTTTAAACACCGTCAGCGGCACTTTTCCAAAGGTAAACTATTTGTGTCAGATCCTGAAAGGAGTCGAAATGAAGATATGAAATTGTGTTGAGGTAGAGAGGGGCTGTCACCTTAATCTCGAGGCTGAGTCATCACTATGGCACGGAAACAGACTAGCGTTCGATATGCGAATAAGGAGACGGCACGTGGTGACGGCGCACGTGACTGTCCTCAATCTGCCCCGGAGACTCTGACTCCCGAGTCAACGACTTCACCTTCGCCGAATCCAGTCACTCCTATAACGACCGCCTCGCCAAATGCACCGGCTCAGGGCTTGAAGCAGGATCACCATTCTTACGCCATGAAGACTGCTCGTCCATATCGATCACATAAATATCCGGCCTGTGTCCGCTGCCATAAGCGTCGATCACGATGTACTATTGAAGTGCCTGGGCAGGCTTGCTTACTTTGCCGCATGCACGGCGTTCCTTGCTCTTCTGCCACCACTAAGAAGGATGATCGCGTCTCGCCCAAAATCGGATTTGTTCATCGATCTTTGATTCCCGACGAAAGGTCACTGGAGGGTTTTTCACATATTGTCGGTCCGGTCATCGCACGCGATACGCAGATCTTGGACCAGTATGTTCCGCAAGTCAACGGCGCCACGGGGCCTGTCTCAATTCAACCCAGTCTCGGCCGGCGGGAGTCAACCAAAGCAATATATCATGTCCCGATCCCACCCAGGAGGCCCAGTCTGACAGACTGCAGTTGCACCAGGAATCTGCCTATGGAGCTCATGGACCAAGTTGAGCCTTATGCGGACAAATTGATGGCCAACTACTATGAGAACGTTCATCCATGCTACCCAATCTCCGATGAGGAGTGCGTGCTCTCCAGGTTGCGGGACAAAGGGTCACTGCCTCAAACATTCTACCTCAATATGGTTGCTTATGCTTTATTCTACTGGGATCTTTCACCTGCTCTGGCAGCATATCCCAGACCGGACCAGGACTTCGCCTGGCAGGCAGCCGTAGCATCAAACATTGCGGACATGCAGAAAGGGGACTTGGCCACCATATCATCACTGTGCATAAACCTTGCAGGCCGGCCCTCGCGATGTCTGGTTCACAACGTGGGAAATGTTGCTCGTGCTGTGGCGTTGTCGCACGCGATGGGTCTCAACCATGAGTGCAGCGAGTGGAAATTAGGCGACATGGAGAAAAGAATACGTTGGAAGACATGGTGGGGTGTCGTGATCCAGGACCGATGGTTCAACTTTGCTCAGGGAACACCGCCGTATATCTCCAAAGGCCACTACGACGTACCTCTTCCGACCGTGGAGCTACTGACTCAGGGACGACCAGGCTCGCTCCGGCACGTTCGTGCCGCCGAGGTCTTTATTCACCTTTGTCGCCTGACCGAGATTGTCGGCGACGTGCTCCCCCTGATCTACCACATCCGCTCGGGCAATGATAGCATCGCAGCAGAGCAGACCTCGAGATCGGAGATCGAATTGAATCGCTGGATGGAAAGCCGACCTGCATGGCTGAACCTGAGCGACTTTCAAAGCAGACCTCCTGTCCCCGGCCTTCTGAATCTGCAGCTATCCTACCTGTCTGTCCGGATGTTACTCAGGCGAATAGCGTGGCACGAGATCAGTCAGCGCGAAAGCGACCCTGCGTCCTCTTGGCTGTTAGAGTGCCAATCAGCCGCGGAGGATATGGTCCGCTTCGTCACTTCCTTGCACAAGCAGGATCTGATGGGTTTCTGGATGCCCTACAACGCCCACCACTTCACGTCTGCCGTGACGCTTCTTCTTCGCTGCGCATTGCAGACAACTTACCCTACCGTCCGGAGCCAGTGCATGACCAGCGCACGGACACTGGTCGACTGTCTGAAACGGCATCACGAAGAAAACCACTGGGATCTCGCGGAAACGGCAGTGTCACAGAGCGAGAGTGTCCTCAAGCGTATCGAAGACGCTCTGCCAAGAACACCAAATGCGAGAACGCCAGTCCTGCCAGGCCTGTCTATGCGCGACAATCAACTAGACACACGTGGCTACATGGATGAGAACATGCTAGGCGCGCCACTTCCAGAAGACGCGTTCAGCATGCAGCAGGGCCAGGGCTCGATTGAAGAGTTGTTCCCCGAGATCTTTGCAGAATTCACCGACACGGCCCTCTTTTCAGGTCCCGGGAACCTCGATTTCAACGAATGATATCTCAATTATGGAATCAAAAGAAAAGGTATTTTTACACTGTCACAAATAACAAGACTTGTTTATATCTTTGCCTGTGAAGGCGTCGGATGGTCACTACGGTGATTCATCTTGTCATTGTCCTCCGGGCCCGCTAATTCATGCCCATACGCCACCCTCTCCAGCTCGTCGAAGATTTTCAGGGGCACCGGATGGAAGAAGGGAAAGACTTGAGTGGTCACCATGCCAGCCAGGCCCGACGTCGGGTCAATCCAGTAATACAGGTTGCCCAGACCAGCCCACGCTCCGCTATTCTTCTTGCGTCCGTACGGCAAATCCTCGAGATTGAGCAGCATCCCGCACGACCAGCCGCGAGATTGGTGTGGTAATGTTGGGAAAAAGCAGCCGTTAGACGAAAGTTGTGGGATGGAGTTGCCACTCTCGCCCAGCAACGACCGGTCGATGTCTGAGGGCAGGTGGTCTGTGAAGAGGTACTCCTTGACTGTCTCAGGTTTGAGGATGGACTTGCCTGTATGCGGGCTCGTGCCATTGTTCAGCACTGTCGCCATGAGCTTCGCGTAGTCGTTGATGGTGCCCCAGAGATAGCCGCCGCCGCCATATTCTTCTGGCTCGGCTGCATTCCTTACTTCCGGGACGACAACCAGCTTGCCGTCAACTTCGAAGTGCATGTACATTCGAGGATTGTCTGCGCTCAAGTGCTCGCCAGTATCGTTCATGCCCAGTGGCTTGAGAATGTTCTCGTCAACGTAATGGGCAAGCGACGTTTTCGCAACCGCTTCAACAACCCAGCCTAGCCAGTCTATGTTGGTACCGTAAATATATTTGGTCCCTGGATCTGTGAGGAGGGGTGTATTGAAGTCCTCAAACTTTGATTCGCCGCTGTATCCTGCCGGCGGGTGGCCAGTAGATAGGCGGTACTTGAGCGTGGGTTCGTCGAAGAAGTCGTAACTGAAGCCTGTTGTATGTGTGATAAGTTGAAGTACGGTAGGCTTGGATTTAGGTGCGCGCAGAATGGGCTTGCTTGGCTCGTCGTCGGTGAAGCCTTCGAGGACCTGCATCTTGGAAATGCGTGGCTCATATTTCTCGACGGGGTCTGATAGAGACAGCTTGCCTTGCTCGACCAGCTGAAGGGCGGCAATAGAGGCAACAAGCTTGGTAGTTGAGAACATCTGCATCGTGGTGTCGACCGTATATGGCGCCGCGTTCACGTCATCCAGGTTGGTGGTGCCAAATGCTTCCTTGAGCAGGAAGTTGCCTTCGGAGTCCACCAGCACAGCGGCAATGCCTGGTACTTTCTTATCCTTCACGGCAGCTTCAAGGAGAGGCTTTATTTTGGCGTCCATGATGAATAACGCTCCCTTGCGCAGGACGTGGATAGCGCACCCTACAGTATGAACAAAAAGTGAATAAGGTTGTAAGGGAGAAGAAACCTTGACAGCTGGTCTAGACCTGGAGGCTAAATACCAATGGAAAATATATATCACAGTGGTGGGGGATTACCTCGCGGAAAGAGGAGAACCTAGGACCGAGGTACCAATAGGTTGGATGGTACGACAAAGGCCGGTGAACACCGGTCCAGTAAAGCTTAAACAGGACAGCAAGGACAGCCACAAACGTTGTTAGATGACCTGCAACCTGGGTGAGAGAACAGTGTCTCAAAATGACATGACCATGAAGCTACTCTCAATCAATCATAGCCAGTTGATGTCGAGCGAACTCAAGCGAGCATGCATGGGATACCTACATAAGCCCCAGATAAGCCATTCCATATCTGGGGTTGCTCCACCAATCTGGCCATTACATTCGTTCCAGACCAGCAGCTGGTACCAACAGCAGAATGAATCCTACATGCAGCTGACGCGGAAGGTGTCCCATGTGCATGATTGATGGATCCCGTCGATGTTATTGGCAACGTCGGGCGGAGGATGGCCGCCACTAGGTGCTTGATGAATGCCTCTGAGTGCTTGATCGCCACTAGGTGCTTGAGAGCCGGCCACAGTTAAGAGATCCTGAGGTGTCGAGACAATTGCACATTGTGCATGATCGCTTCTTGTGAGCATACATCGGTGTCCGCAATCTTTGCTAGTGTAGCGCGTCGCGACTTGGCCAGAGCGCCGTGTCGATTCGTGTGTCTGGCTGACATTGGTCCGTAAGCCACTCAAACCCCGACTCAACAGATTCGGATAAGCTGGGGTGGCGCGACACGGTCCTTGCATTGATGCTTCTCTGTGGTGTTGCAGCAAAAGAAGCCGATGGTGAACGCTACAGTCCGTTCATCGCTTCCTTTCTCGAATACCTTCGGAACCTTTGTCACTTCCAGTAGTCGTAGTTTTACCACTTCCAGAAAGGTAACTAGCGAGATCAAACCCGCCTGCGGAGCTGGCTGGGCCTCCACCCTGCATTGCTTGCGTGAGACCAGCCACGGGGCTCTTCTTTTGCATATCCTCATATTCGGCTTTCATTTCGGGATCCATGTTCTCCATCAACTTTGGCATTCCGAACGTGAATGCGAGAGCAACAGCGCCCATCAAGATCATCGGGTTCTTGAGTAAGCTTAGTGGGTTGAATCCTTCGCGTTCTTGATAGAAATTCTTCTTTGCAAGAACCTTGACAGACATCTCTAAGCGGTCTGTGGGCGCCGGCACCAACGCCACCCCACGATCTTCCCATTTCGTGCCCCGGTATGTCTCCCAGGCTCCCGTGATGATTGTAGAGGAGGAATCGGACGGCGCAATGTCGATACGGTAGGGTGCGAAGACATAATCGCGGCTATAGACTTCCAGTAGATGTGAACCAAATGTCGTGATATCGGGAAACTCGAAGTAATTTCCCTTGCGGAGGACAGCCCGTATGGGTGTTCCCGTCCCAGAAGTCAGAGTCGCATGGGTAGAAGCTGGTAGAGCATTTGGGTTCGGAAGCACGATGGAAGCGGGAATACCAACGCGAAGTGTTGCAGCAGCTGTCAGGTTCAGCAGCTGGCAGAGGAAGGCAACAGCAAGGAATAAGTAGGCCATCGCTGCTCTGAGGATCAACCTGGGGAGATGGAAAGATATGTGGGTGTATTGATAATGTCTGCAGTTCAATTCAGGCAACTTTGGACAGCGACGACATGGTCCCTGACTTGACCGGCCGCAGCCAAGAAATGCTGCGGTTGCGCATAAAGACCATCGAGTGCAGCACCACTCATTTTCACATCTCTAGACTACCCCATACTTCACTCTCTGTTGGTAATACATGACTGAGCCGTGGGCCTGAAAATCCGATTACCCGAAGGCCTTGTTCATACACAAGAGCCTCGAATGGTCGCTCTTCTACACGGTATTCCAAATCTTTATGAGACGGAACTTGATGGCTGTTTGCTCCGGCCAAATCGGGATTCCCCAAACTGCGGGCGCGAATGACATCAGACTTGCTCGTCATTTTCTGAACCATCGTCTGCCGCGGATGAGGGAGGCAAATCCTCACCATTGAGAGAGCGTATGATGGAAGATTTGTTCATTGCGATTCCCATTACTTCTCCTGCTCTTCTATATATCTCACTTGCTTTTTGCCTCCTCGTCCTTGCTTCTCGCATGCTCTTCCGACAGATATCCCGTTTGTATCGAACACCTCGACCGGCTCCTCGAATGAGACTCGCCCAGATGTCTTCGCATATTAGTAACGGCCATACTAACGGCCACACCAATGGATCGCCAAAGAACGGGCACTCCGATGCCACGGCTACTTTAGCAGATATTCCCAAATCCAACAACTTCACCTCTAAACTTCCTCCCGATCCACAGTTCCCCACGCCGAAGGACTCACATAATGCACCCCGGCAAAAGCTAGGTCCGCGTATGGTCCGAGGTGCCCTTTACACCTTTGTCAGACCGGAGCCTACAGAAGGTCCAGAGCTTCTCGGGGTCAGCAAAGCTGCATTACGAGATATTGGTTTGGCTGAAAGTGAGGCTCAGTCCGAAGAACTCAAACAAGTTGTGGCAGGAAATAAGTTTTACTGGGATGAAGAGAAGGGTGGCATTTATCCTTGGGCACAATGTTACGGCGGCTTCCAGTTCGGCTCCTGGGCTGGCCAGCTGGGCGATGGGCGAGCCATCTCCTTGTTCGAGGCCACCAACCCTAAGACTGGGACTCGATACGAGATACAGTTGAAAGGAGCCGGAAAGACTCCATATTCACGTTTCGCCGATGGCAAAGCCGTCCTGCGGTCGAGTATACGAGAGTATCTCGTCTCCGAGTACCTCAACGCAATCGGGATCCCTACCACGAGAGCCTTGTCATTGACCTTGTGCCCCACATCTACAGTTGTGCGAGAGCGACTGGAGCCTGGAGCGATTGTCTGCCGTTTCGCTCAATCCTGGCTAAGATTCGGCACATTTGACTTGTTGCGATCCCGGGGCGACAGAAATTTAATCCGCAAGGTCGCGACTTATATCGCAGAAGATGTCTTTGGCGGATGGGAGTCATTACCCGCAGCGCTGCCAGCCGACACAAAAGACGCCCATCTCGACCCTGCAAGAGACGTTCCCAAAGACGAACTCCAAGGCAAGGAAGGCGCAGAAGAGAATCGCTTCGCCAGACTATACCGTGAAATTGTCCGCCGCAATGCCAAAGTCGTCGGCATGTGGCAAGCTTACGGGTTTATGAATGGTGTGCTCAACACTGACAACACGTCTATTTTCGGTCTCTCGATGGATTATGGCCCGTTCGCGTTCATGGACAACTTCGACCCAGCATACACTCCCAACCATGACGATCACATGCTTCGATATAGCTATCGGGCCCAGCCCAGTATCATCTGGTGGAACCTTGTTCGCCTGGGAGAGACCTTGGGTGAGCTCATCGGCGCGGGTGACCGTGTGGATGACGACGTCTTCGTCGAGAAGGGGGTTGAGGAAGATTTTGCCCCTGTTCTCATCAAGCGTGCCGAAACTGTTATCGATCAGATTTCAGATGAGTACAAGGCAGTATTCCTCAGTGAATATCGACGATTAATGACCCTGCGTCTGGGCTTGAAAACGCAGAAGGACGGTGATTTCGAAACATTATTCTCGGAACTTCTTGATACCATGGAGGCATTGGAGCTCGACTTCAACCATTTCTTCCGCCGACTTTCATCAGTCAAAGTCGATGACGTCCGAACCAAAGAGAACTGCGAAGAGACAGCTGAACGGTTCTTCCACCATGAAGGAGTCACAGGTCTCAATGAGTCGAATGACTCCGGTCGCGAGAAGGTCGGCAAGTGGCTCGATTCGTGGCGGGCGCGAGTCGAGGAAGATTGGGGTACCGAATCAACTGCTGATGCAGAGAGAGAATCGGCCATGAAAGCTGTCAACCCGAACTTTGTACCTAGAGGCTGGTTGCTGGACGACATCATTGATCGCGTGCAAAACAAGAAGGAAAGAGAGATTCTCGATGGAGTCATGCAGATGAGCTTGAACCCGTTCCAGGATGACTGGAATTGGAACGAGGAGATTGAGAAGAAATTCTGTGGCGACGTGCCACGGCTTCAACGAGCAATTCAATGCAGCTGTTCGTCATAAGCAGTAGGGAGGAGCAACGAAAATTATCTCTAACAACGAGTCGATGAATGAGGATGTTTTTAGTTCACTACAATCAGAAGTGCATGGTTGTTGTCGTTGGTGGGTAAAAGTGTGTGGATATAATTTGCGGAATCCAGATATATATTCATTCCGTCTCAACATCTCCGACTGTCCTCCACCACTTCAGACACCACGAGCACGTCTGTACCAGCCAGGATCCAGGCATAGAATATGAGATCATTAATATGCTGCTAGCTTCTCATCACCTATCTGTCCCCTACCATGCCAAGTGCTAGTTAACATGAGAGAACTCATATTGTAGACTCCGCTCCAGATTGCTATCGGGCCATCTTTCAAGCGACCTCCGTGCTCATGGCACATCTACTTGGAGGGCAAAAGCGCCCACCACTACTGAGGGTTGGAGGATTGTGTAACATTTTCAGTCGTAAATGGATTAGTACAAGTCGAATAATTCGAACAGACGACTGACGGTTTGTAGTCCATTCGAATAGATCGACTAGGGATCTGATCCAGTGTGTGCCAACTAAAGGCCATTGCGCTATGCCTCTCCGAGTAATTCCGATAGCAAGTTCGAAGTCCGAGAGAGGCTTAGTGTCATTTTTTGAGCATTGAAATTACTGAACAAGGCTTAGTTCTGAAATACGGTAAGCTACTACACTAACTTTTTGAGAGTGCGGCGCGGCACCTCGAACGTGATTTACTACTAGGGATCAGATAATCATTTATCCGGCCATTCGAACAACGCTACAGCTAAAATCCAGTCGATGTATTCGGATAAACACACACAGTCTGTGACGGAAATGCTGTAACCGAGGCAAAGACAGCTTAGCATACAAATCAGCCGCTTGATCTTCTCAAATTTGCGAACGGACAACGCAGCCGCGTGGTTTGTCCTGCTCCCCACATAAACCCTGCACGTTGCGCAAAACCCCCGCGGCTTCGGCCTCGGCTATGCAGTCATACCAGGCGAACATCTACTCTGACGACAGAAGAGCTAGGTGAGGCCATGCATGGAGGGATGGAAAGTTGGGCAGGCTTATCTCGCATACGTTACAGCCAAATTGTGGCGAAACACCCTCAATCGTCCCATTCCTCAACCTCTTGAGAAATCCAAAGTGCAGTACGGGATCTATATCCCGGGCATAAAATTAGCCGCGTGCACATCTTGTCGGTTGGATACAGTATCACTCCTCTAACTCCATACAGTATATGCTTCATCCTCCAACGTTCTAACATCCCTCATATCAATATAGATACTGATCTACTATCATAACACCCACTTCGTCCATCACAATGCCTCCTCAGACCCTCAAGATTGCCATCGTTCCCGGCGATGGCATCGGCAGAGAGGTCATGCCCCACGGCGTTCGCTGCCTCAAAGCCGCAGCAAAGACCTTCGACCTGTCCCTAGAGTTCGAAGAATTCGACTTTGCCAGCTGCGACTACTATGCTAAGCACGGTGACATGCTTCCTCCGGATTGGAACGCGACCCTCTCCAAATTCGATGCCATCTACTTCGGAGCAGTGGGCATGCCAGACCAAGTTCCCGACCATGTCTCGCTGTGGGGCAGCCTCCTCAAGTTCCGGCGCGAGTTTGACCAATACATCAATTTACGGCCAGCACGGCTGATGCCTGGTGTCAAATGCCCACTGGCCGGTCGCAAACCTGGCGAGATTGATTTCTGGATCGTTCGTGAGAACACGGAGGGCGAGTACAGCAGTATCGGAGGAAAGATGTTTGAGGGTACCGATCGTGAGACAGTGATTCAGGAAACAGTCATGACGAGGATTGGCGTCGACCGCGTTGTCAAGTATGCCTTTGAACTTGCCCAGACGCGTCCGAAGAAACACCTCACAAGTGCAACTAAGTCGAACGGAATCAGCATCACCATGCCGTACTGGGACACGCGAGTCGCAGAGATGGCCAAAAAGTATCCCGACGTGAGAGTTGACAAATTTCATATCGATATTCTGACCGCGTTCTTCGTCCAGCGTCCGCACGTCTTTGATGTCATCGTCGGGAGTAATTTGTTCGGCGACATTCTCTCGGATCTAGGTCCTGCCTGCACTGGGACGATTGGGATAGCACCTTCAGGCAACATAAACCCCGAGGGTAAATTCCCTAGCTTGTTCGAGCCGGTGCACGGCAGCGCCCCAGACATTTACGGCAAAGGCATTGCGAACCCGGTCGGCATGGTTTGGGCGGGCCAGATGATGCTGGAACATTTCGGATACGCAGATGCGGCAGCCGCCATGCTCAAAGCAATCGAAAATGTCCTGGCACAGTCAGATGATACGGTTCTTACCGCTGACATGGGTGGCAAAGGTACGACGGTCAGTTTTGGCGAAGCCATTGAGACGGAGATCCTGAGTATGAGCGGATAGTCGAAGTCGAGGCATACTGCGCAAGATCCTTGTCGATGCCGATCGCCAGGTTGCTGGAATTTCGGTACCCGGCAATGTATCAGCGGTCAGTGGTTCTTCTGCAACGCCACAGCAGCCTTCTCGTATCTCCCACCTGAGGCCTTTGCCGCACAATGACGACTTCATCTCGCTGTACACGGTGTTTAGAGTGTCTTTTTGCCCAAGATTGCATGTCCATGCTGCAAAGCCATGGGCACACACAGCACTGACTCAACGCAACTTCGGCAATTCCCTTAAGCACAGACCTGTTTTGCATGGTGCATTTTCTGACAACGTGCGACCATCAGAGCCTGTCCCCTCACATGGTTCGGTACACGTACCGAGAAGTGCGTGCTCATCACATATCCAGCGCTATTGTCGGCTAGATCTCGTCTAACAAAGGCCAATCTTGCAGATCAACACAAAAGCTCCCAAGCTAGAGTAAACATGCAGACTGGGCAAATGAGAACCCATCCGCGCACTTTGCTCCTTTTCCTTGACAAGCATACCATAATCTCGATGTTGTTAGGTCGTGCTACGGTGAATGGAAAATTTCTGGGCAAGCTTTCTTCTCCACGAATGTCGGACGTGCTTGAGACACCATCAAAAAATCGACCATTCTGCATGGTAGCGGATGTCAAAGGAACGCTCCGAGAGTGAAAGGATATCATGATATCAATCAGAGGTAGATAAAGCCTATCAGACAGCAGATAGAAAGTCGAAGCGGATAACACTGCAAGGCTGAAAAGCGGACTGGAAAAGGGGGAAGCACGAATGAGATTACAAGGAGGTTGCAGTGATTGATTCGCCAGATTAGACTCGCCGTGTAACCAGACTTTGCAACAGTCAACACACCGTCATCATTTCATGGACGGGACCATCGTGGGAGTGGTGGAGGAGAATGTATGGAGATTCTCCTGAGGGTGGCAGTCGAGAGCTGATGGTCTAGCGGAGGTTCCTGTATCCTCGTTGGCCTGAGTAGAGGAAGCACGAGCAAATGGGCCAAGATGAGGACCAAGACAATCCACAAGCCCCCCCTTTCATGGTTTTAAAGATGGACCGAAGAGAGACTGATGGCAATGGAGAACAACTGCTGGCACAAATAAGACGCCGAATCTGTCAGAAAAAATCAGAAGTTGAGATTTGACGGGCGTCAAAATAGAAGTTTAGGGGGGTTTCCAAGGTGAGGAGAATAGTGTGTTTAAGCTTGAATGTTTAGGCTCACTAGGCTTGGGTTTGGCGGTCCTGACCTAGGCGTGCCTGGACTAACTTACAGTGGTTAGGCCTTCACCTGACGTCGACTCCATGACAATAACAACCTCAACCAACCTCAACGGCGCCAGATCCTGCTGACACGCTTCACTCACAACATTCATTCTCGGTAACCATGAGGGTGAAGGGTGCCATCCTTGAGACTTCCCACTCGTCATCTCACCAGACATGTACTCCACGAGCTTGCCACACTCCCTCAGTGCTCACCATGGAGCAGCCAAGGCCAGTCACACACCGAATCTGATCTCACCATCGATGCTGTCCATGGCACATCCGCATTAGGGACAATCACCCGTCCGCACGGGCGTCCGCCTGTCAAGCACTTAGTAGCCACGCCACATGATTACAACAACAGTCAAATCTCTATGGTGAAGGCTTGGAGGTGGTGGTCATGGCGGCCTTATTTGGTGTCAAAGGTGATCAGGTCGTGCACTGTCCTGCTGTGAGGCGAGTTCAGATGGTATATTTACCCAGTCGTCCTCGCCTCAACCTGTATTCATTCTTCCATCAACAAACCAGCAGCAGAACGCGCCTACCACTCTTTTAGGTCGTGAACTGTCTATAGTACACCATGTCGCTCGCTAATACCCTTCTTTTCCTGGCTGCCGCGGCGCCGGGAGTTCTTTCCACTGCCATCACCACTATTACTCCTTGCCCGGCCAACCCAACTTTGGCCGCGCCCATCACTGTCACTGAGCAATACGAAACCGTCTCAACCTGCGGTGTCTCAGTGAGCTGCAACAAGTGGAAGTCCTGCACGACCACCTACCCATTCACAACCAGCGTCTTCGTGTCCACCACCATTCCATGCTCATGGAACGGCACGGCGGCTAGCTCCACAATCGTCACCACCACTGACCAGATTGTCACTGGATCAGTTGCCAGCACCACGCTCAGCACCGTCTCAGCAGTTGAGACCTTCGGCTGGGGTGCCAAGTGGGGATGGGCCTCGGAGTCCACCAGTTATACCACCCAGTATGAGACCAGAGTCAAGGAATGGGACGCCCCATACGAGACTCTCGGCCCCATCGCTGTTTCTGGCTGGGAGGGCAGCGGTCTTTGCACTGATTGCGAGGAAGGCGACGTGAAGATTCAGACCTGGAACGTCACCGACTGCCACAACGGAAACATCGGCGGCTCATCGTACTCCGAATGTGTGAGATACGAGGAGACCTGGATCGCATACCCCAACGTTGAGTACAGCGCTCCGGCCACCGCACACTGCCAGTCCCAATTCACTGCTCCTTCGGCTGGTACTTACTACATCACTTTCCCGCAATCTGCTCCTCCCGCCACTGTCACAATCCCCGCACATGGCAGCCAACCTGAGACTGTCACCGTGGTTGCAGGCCAGAGCTGGGATGCCGTTGTCACCCGATCATGCCGTGCACCAACGATCATCGAGATTGACATCTACATCACCAAGGTTCTGATCTACATCGTCCCCGACTGGGCTCAATCGACCGCTTCATCGAGCTCCATCCCTTACACCCCAATCTGGGAGCAATGGACCTCATCCACTGGAGCCTCGTCATCCCTTGGACCTATCTCGACCTCGTACACAACTGCTTCCAGCAGCTCTGCCTCGTCGTCGCTCGGACCCATCTCCATCACTACCAGCTCATCTAGCACCTCGTACTCCAACAGCACCACCACTTCCACCACCAGCGCGTACTCCAACAGCACCACCACTTCCACCACCACTGGCACTCCTGTTGCAACAATCATGCCAGAAGGCTTGACTTTCGCACTTGAGGTCACATTCGATGGCGCTTCCGCCAAGAAGCGTGCGGTTGACAACTCGTCCCTCACCTACCTGAACTTCCAGGGTGGTGCTGACAATGCCCAGCTGAGCTCTTTCGCCGAGGCCGCCCGCTGTGTCACTGACGATGACGCCCACATTCTCAGCGAGGGCTATTACATTGGTGCCGATGGTGTCGACGAGAGCGACCCAGCCCTGCTTGAAGCCGCTGCCTCTCTCGAGACATTCAACTTCTGGATGCGCTACATTGACAGCGAGGTTGTTTTCCTCCTGAACAGAATTTTCTGCCTTGTCAACGATTACGAAGTGTCAGTCCTTCCTGAGGGCACCTACTGCGCTGAGCTCATCACCCTGAGAACCTACCCTGCGCCACCCACCACCTCCAGCTCTTCGTCCACATCCATGGTCAGCACCACTAGCGCTTTCGCCAACAGCACCACCACCAGCGCTCTCTCGACCACCACCAGCTTCGCCAACAGCACCACCAGCAGTGTCCTCTCGACCACCACCTCCTCGAGCTTCCTCAACAGCACCACCAGCAGTGCCAGCCTGTCAACGACCACCAGCTATGCCAACGCCACCAGCACGACGACTACTTCCACCAACGGCACCACCACGACATCCACCACCACCGGTGCTGCTGTTGCAACCGTGATTGCGGCTGGCGAGACCCTGCAAGCATATGCCAACGTCCCTCTCAGCAAGCACAAGCGTGCTGTCGATGCTCTGCTCTTCCTCACCTTCGACGACAACAACGTCGGTATGTTGGGCTCGGAGGCCGACGCTGCCACCATGGTTAGCAACGACGCTGGCGAGCTTGTCTTCGGCGACCTCTTCATCGGTACCAGCCCCCCTAGCCAAGACGATGCCGCATACCTTGAGGCAACCACTGGCGTGCCATCAACCAACCTCTGGTTGGTCGATGCTGAAGAGACCCTCAGCTTGTACGAGAGAATCTTCTGTCTGCTTGAGACCCTCGTCGTCGAGACTGTTGGCCCAGATGGCGACTGCGGTGATGCTACCCGATTCCAGTTCTTTGCCAAGTTCATCCACCCCAACACCACCACTACTTCGTCCAGCACCACCGCGTCTGCTACCACCACCAGCTTTGCCAACAGCACCACGAGCAGTGTGATGACCACCACCACCAGCTTTGCCAACGTCTCGACCACCACCACCTCTGGTCTCCTGAACACCACCACCACCAGCTTCCTGTCGACCACCACTGCTCCTGTCAACGTCAGCACCACCAGCACCACCTCTGCTACCAATGCTACCACCACGACCATGACCACCACTTCTGCTTCCAACGGCACCACCACCACCACCACCACGGCTTCCGGTACCGCCACGGTTGTAGCTGCCGGCCAAACTCTGACCGTCTCAGTCGATATGCCTAGCACAAAGAAGAGCAAGCGTGACACATACTATCTTGGTATCAATGACAACAACATTGCTCAATTGGGCAGCGAAGCTGATGCTGCTCTCCTCGTTACTGGTAACGACGGTATGATCCTCTACGGCATCGAGATCCTTGGCTCGTCGCCTACTGCTGATGACCAGGCTGCATTCCTTGAGGTCTTCGATTCCGAACCCGTCGACTATGTCTGGTTGATGGACTCCAATGGCGGGCTTTTCCTCTCTGGCCGACAATTCTGTGTCCTGTCTTCCTTGGAGATCGAGACTGTTGACTCCGATGGTGACAACTGCGATGGTACTATCGTGACCTTCACTGCCCAGTCTTCCAGCAACACCACAACCACGACCTCTTCCATCGCCACCTCCACCACCGCCAACAGCACCAGCTCGACCGTCTCTGCCTCCACCACCGGCACTGCTTCAAGCACCAGCACCAGCACCAGCTCTAGCAGCTCTAGCACCACCAAGACCAGCACCTCCAGCTCAGCCTCTACCACCGCCACCACCAGTGTCACCGCTACCACCACGACGACGGTCACCGTCACTACATCCACTACCTCTGCCGGCCCCACCGCCTCAGGAGGCAGCTTCCGTCGTCGATCAGTGCCTTCCAACCCCATGTGCGCTGCTTTCGGATCTACCTGCTCCCTAGGTAGCGCCGGTGTCCAGGGCTCTTGCTGCAACGGCTACTTCTGCAGTGCCGAATCCGCCGGTGCCCAAGGTGACTGCGCCATGTGTGTCTCAATCGCCTCCGTGTGCGAGTCTGACGAACAGTGCTGCTCCGGCAACTGTGTCAAGGACGACTTCCTCGGCATGTTCTCCCTCAACAAGCGCGGTATCTGCGCTTAAGCTACTCGCTCCCTGAGGGCTTACGACAAAAAAACTATGAGTTGATGGAGCTGCTGAATCAGCTTACGATACAAGACATGGAATAGGCCGCCAGCCGCTCATGGTTGGGTATGGTCTCTAGAATTGTGCAGCAGATGGAGTTTTGTGATCTTTGGAATTATTTCTTATTGTCTTTGGGTTTCATTCTATCTAACAGCATCGGTGTCCTTCTGGCATTGATGCTTTCTCTTTTCATGGATAAGGAATAATAGGAATATACGATGCTAGTACGATCCTTTCCTCTTTTGTTCCCTTTTCTTTTCCTTCTTGCCTTTTTGCTTCTTCTTTACCGGACTGAACAGCGACTCGAGCTTAGCAGCAAAGTCCTCTTGGATTCTTCGCCACCAGAAACATTTTTTGTCAGAGGGGGATGGCGGCCACTCGCACAGAAATGGGTTTGTTGACATGTCGAGATTGGATGGTCTCACCTCATTTCTGTGATCCACGCACTGACACGCCTGGCAGCACTCTCGTCAAACCTTTGTCAAACCGACAGCAGTCACGAGCCTCACGCTTAAAGTGACAGGTATCAACAAGACCGGGGTTGTCGAGATTACAGTGAGGCAACTCTTTCGTCGTTCTAGGGAAGCACATTTTCAGCTTTCATCATCCTGCCGACCGTCGTTCACTTGAAGAAATGTTCGAGCTTAGGTCTACATGTCGATTTCTTCTCGGTCAGAGTGCTCCCGAGTTCTTGACAATATTCTTCATATCGTTGTCTTCACTAACAATCTAATTGAAATGGCTCATTCGGGAGCAACACCCCCAACGGAATCCGTTTCGCTATGCCCATATTCGTGACATACAGGGTACCGAAGGATGGCTGGCGATGACGCAAACCGCCTCTTGCCACATTCACTCTCATCTCAGAAGGACAGCACCTGCAGTATCTTAACCTTCATTAGATTTAGTCCTTCTAGCGCTCATGCCGTAAGAGACTTCCTCTGTTCGTAGCAGAACCGTGATGCGTGGTGGGAAACAGTCCTGCAGCTGGGCTTCCTTGACGGCTCCTCGTTCCCCTGCCTGGAGCATCAAGTCCTGGACTCCCTGGCGGTTGCACGCTTGACCCACGAGTTTGGACACCTCGACTTCGCTTCAGTTGCCGGTTCTCCTCCTCAAGCTTTCGGAGCAGCGTATCGCGAGTCTTGAGCTCCATTTCGACCTCAGAGATCTTCGCGAGGTGTCGCTTCATACTTTCCTCGTAGTTTTTCTCCTTGAGACGCCGCTTCTCATCGCCAGCTGATTTGGTCAACTCTGCAACCTGCTCTTCCAACTCTCTTGCTTGCGTCGCAAAATCTGCAGCCTTGTTTGACGCATCCTGATATTGAGATCTGGTGAACTCGAAATCCTTGCGAGTATTTTCAAGAGACTTGTCCAGGTAGTTGTTCTTGGCCCGCAGTCCGCGTGCCTCCTCTCTCGCAGTTTCCAAGGCTGCTGCATCTCCACCACCGGCCTTTACCTCTTCACGGACAGTCGTCAATTCTGCCTGCAACTCAGTCACTCTTCTCTTCATCGTGCCATGATCGTCTGCGGCTCGGTCCTGTCTTGTCTTGTTGTTCTCAATGGTCTTCAGGAGTTTCTTGTTTGACCCCTCCAGTACATGGCATTTCGTCATTCGCTTTTCGTATCGTCGTTGCAAATCGGCATGATCTTTTCTCCATTTGTCGAGCTGCTCTTGAAGTTGGCTCCGGTCTTCTTCCGCTTTCTGCCGTGCTTCTCGTTCCGTATGCAACTCACTCTGCAATTTACTGACCATTCCTTGCAGTGTTTCGATTTGGCTGCTTGTGTCATGATTGATATTGCTGGCCTCAACAGAATCCCGCAGTGGCGTTAGGCGCTGACGCTTGTTGAGTGCGGGGAGGACATTGTCAATTTCCAACAAGCGTTTCTTTCCGGACGGCGTCCCGGCACGCGAGTTGGGAGTCCTCGAACGAGCAACAGGCTCCTTCTTCACTTGAGCCACAGGCGATACACCACTAAGTCTTGACGGGAGGTTATCCATCTCGGTCAGTTGCAGTTCCGGCATCATGCCCAAACTCCAGTAGGTGTCAAAATCTTGCGACACAGATGCTCTTGCAATCACTGCAGCGAGTCTAGCAAGTTTGCGTTCGGGACTTTTTCGCAAAGCTCGCTGCAGATCCGAAAAGTCCATGGGCCGACCTTCTGGCTCATCTGAATCGTCTGGGACATAGGTTGGTTTTCCGCCCAGATTAGGTCGAGCCTGATATGTGGCTCGCACCAAAACCTTCAGTCTAGATGGAGACGGCATATCTTTTGGCAAACATCGATCGACATGCTCCGATGAGTTGGACACGAGCAAATGAATCACTGGTAACAGCGAAGGAGGTTTCGGCGAGAAATATTGACGAATGCGCATGACCTGAGGGTCTTGCGAGTCGTATGAAGCGTCGAATGCAATCATGAGGATGGGTCGTCGAGGAAATACCACCTGATGGGTGGAAAAGGTGCTGACAAGATCAACCTGGAAGTCCCGGGGTTGCCGATCCGGAATTGGCGATCTGGACGCTGCGACATGGTCCATACGCCTCACATCGATATGCTTCATGGTCAAGTAGTGTTCAATCAAGTCCTGTATCGTGCCGGCTCGAGACATGATCACAATGGAGCACTCAACAGGCTTCAGTATGTCGACCAGATGGCCAAGTAGAGAGAATTTTGAGCTTGCATAATTTGCGTATGCGGCATGTTCCTCGGATTGGATTGAGTACTGGGTTGAAAAGCCAGGGAGGCCCAGGTCCATATGAGTAACGGTATCGTTCAGCAATTGGATCATCTCGTTCATTTCGTTTCTCTCATGTGTCCGGTTGGGAGAACCATTAGATGAACCGACAGACTCATGACGGTTGACGAAATTGAGAATAGCCTTGCGCTTTGCCTTGATGATGTCCGAATAAGTCGACTGTATCTTCCCCTCCGCCGGCAGTGCAAGTGCATACTCAGCAGGACCAAGGATCGGATAGCTTGGCAAGACCAGTCCGCCAACCTGGGGAATATCGCGCTCATTCTCGACAGATTGTTGACTGGAATTCGGTTTGGATTCGGCCGAGGACTGCTCGCCGCTGGAAGTTGGATTATCCTCTTCAATAGAATTTTGGATCGGTAGAGCACTTCCGGCCATAGCCGCATCAAAAACGGGCACGTGACGAGGATGGCTCGGAACACTTGCTGCATCACTGGCATTCTCATCATGGTTCGCCGTCCTAGGAGTTGTGACAGTCGTGATAGCAGAGGTGCCTATGTCATTTGAGGACGAGAATTGACCAAATGGAGCCTCCTTGTGTCCAGATGTCATTCCCTCATCTGGCTGTGGAGCAGTGAAAGAATGAATAGATTCCATTGGTGGTCCAGGCGAGGACGCCATCTGTCGCGAGCGGGATTTCTTTGAACGTTCTGGCGAGGAGAACGCTTCGAGCAATCGCTTCCCCCACTTTGGAGTGCCTGTGTCGGGCACCAATGTGAAGTCAACCGGACCGGATTCAGGAGGGGCTTGAGTTTGGAAGGCCCACGGGGAAGACCCAGTGCCGTTGCGATTTTGTCGCTGTGTATTCGGAGTGGGCGAATTGGTATCTGCCTTTTCGTTCGTGAGCAAAGAACTTATGCGTAGTGGATAAGAGCCTAGTTCTTTACTAGGATCGCGGGTTAGAAGAGTTTCTTGATGTGTGCTGGGGACGTATTGTGGCGTGACAAACGCACTCGAACGAGAGGATGTCGCCGAGCTTGGAATGTGTCGGGTAAGGGGTTGCTGAGGCTCTTGTTCTTCTTCGGCGCGTGCACCTGATTGTGTGTGTACGAGACGCCGTGCTGAAGTGCCGCTCCTGTCGTTGGTAATCGAATGTTGTTGTCTGTCAGTAGAGCCTGGTGTCTCCACGCTCGTCGACAGAATGATGTGGCGGTCACGGAGACCTTGTCGGCCAGAAGAAGAGCTTGGAGGAGCTGCGTAGTCTCGATCTCGAGAGGCTTGACTGAGATCAAGTTTGGGGGACGACCTGGTTAGACTTCGATCTGGATAAGGTGAATAAAGCCCCTTGAAGCCGCCGTCAGAATTGATCTGGCTAGAGTGCAAAGACTGGTATTCAGCTTTGTCAATGGAGGTGGGAGGTATTTCCACCGAGATTGACACCGGCAATACGGGCTGCGATACTTCTTCCTGCGTCTCAGCTATCTCAACAGGCGACGAGGCCGATGGTCCAGGTTGATCCTGGGATCGTCTTGAGCTGGTTTCTGTGGAAGAGTGGTTTCGGCGGCCTGGGGTAGATGGTCTCCGGGTACTTCTGATCGACTTCTGTTGAGAGCCAGTTTCACTGGAAGAGTCTGGTATTCGGCGAATCGCTTTTGCCCGTCTTATCTCTGGTTTCACGGAATGTCCATCGGAGCCGTTCTTGCTGGCTTCTTCTGAATCTCCGATCTGTAGGCCTTGCTTTCGGTTCCAATGCTTGAGCAGATCGTTTCCCACTTGGCTTTGCTGTGCAGCATCCCATTATTAGTCACTATTCATATCGCTTGCCTGCAAATGCATACCCAGGTAGGTTCAAACTTCTCGCCCGTTACTGGATGTGGCTCCCACTCGACCAGAAACTGCTTTCTCTTGTTCTTGCCAATCTTTTCTTGCAGAATAGCCAAGGCCGGCCAAGTCCCTTCGCCAGACTCGTGAAACCTCTCTGGCAGCTGCAACTGTTCTTCCCAAGGTATATGCCGAGTGGAGTAAACGGCGGCGGTATCGGTGGACTTCTTGCGCTTGGTAGACTTGTATTCCACAATATCGGAGTCGTTGCGCATGGGATTCTTCATCGTACTCCGCAACAGCTGCTGGAGGAGATCATGGTCAGTCGGCAAATCATGGCGGAAACAGATAGATCACGACCACCCTGCGTCAAGCAAGGTGCAGCCTGTATTCAGTACATACAAGGAAAGATGTTTATGGGTGTCTCGGGGGCGTTGGATGTCGGGCTGGCGGTGCCTGAGTTGGGGGCAAGTTAGCCGACCACCGGGTCTTTCGTTTACTTGTAACTGACGCAACAGTGGATGGCAGTGTCAGAATAGGTACGGCCCGGCGGAAGCGAGAACAGATCCAAATTACCAGATTCTTATCCCAGTCTGAGAATGAGAGAAAAGAAGAGAGCCTCAATTGTTGAGAAGGAGAAAGGAGGTCAAAAGGTCGGTTTCCTACAACGACAGTGAAAGTGTCTGTCTCGTGCTTACCTTAACGATGTTGTGAGGCAGGACTGAAAAGACGAGCCTCTTGCACGGTTGCACTTCACTGTGTCTTGAAGATCCTGAAGTCCCGTCCTAGTTTCACAGGACTCCAAGTTGAAAGAGACGTCTTTTCTATATGAGGTACCTCTTCATTGTGACAAACAGGTGGTCTCTGTGGTGTCTCTGTAAGTCTATGATCAGCACTTTGCTTCCCGGAACATGTCTAGATCTTTCTGTTGCGCAGTCTTCCTCCATTCATCAAAGTCAAACCCAAGTTCTTCCATCGTCCTGACCTTCAATTTGGCTTCTCCTCTTTTGGCATATGCTGCTTTGATGTTAGGAAATTGAGATCTCATCCAAACCTGGCGCTCATCCCATCTGGTCCCTAACTTTCCCTGGCCGTCATTTTCCAACCCCTCTCTCCTTCGCGCCTTCTCGGCCCATGCATAGAGCTCATTCACTTGTGCTGCATCCTGAGGGAACTTTTTGAGATGAAAGTGCTTGCCATCACCATTTTGACTAATCTTGTCAAGCTCCCACTGCTTCATCTCTAACGTCGGGGGAATGTCAAGTCGTCCACTCCAGACACGGGCGATAAGCGCACCCTCGTTCTGAGAGAGTGGGAACGGAATGACTTTCAGGTTGACAACGGGAAATGCAAGCGTGGGATGTTCGATGTGGAACAAGTCCTGATACAAGCCTCGAATCCGCAAGCCATCGGTGACGATAGGTGGCAACAGCCCTGAGAGAAAAGGGAATGTGTAGAAATATCCCGTTGCAAAGACAATTGAATCGAGGTCCTTCACTATTCTGCCACTTCGGAACCTTACGGCTCTGTTGCCTTCCTCTTGTGATAGAAAGTCGACAACTTCGTCCACATCCTCTCGCCATTCTGCTGGAGGCAGGGTACCAAATGCGGAGACCGACCGTGCAGAGAGTAGGACAGGACCCTTGCAGTATTTGGCTATCTGGGTGGCGATATCGAGACCGGAAGCCGAGTTTCCGATGACAAGGACTTTTTTGTCCTTGAAGTCCTCTGGCCTCCGATAAGCCTTTGAATGGATGATGACTTCGGGGTATGTCGCATTCCATTTGGCGATGCCTTTGATGTCGGGAACGTATGGCACAGTATAGTGACCATTAGCCACGACTACCGCATCGTAAAATGCGCTTGTGGTCTTTTTTCGCGTGAGGCCCTGCGCAACCACGTTCCATCGTTCTTGTCCGGTGGCTTGGTCAACGACCAGTCTGATGTCTGTTACAGCGGTGCTGAATCGAATCAGATGTTTCACATCTTGGGCGTATTTCTCGAGATATCTGAGGACGGCCTGGTGACTCGGAAACAGCGGATCGTCTTCCGGGAACGGCACATCAGAGAAAGCCATCAACTGCTTAGGAATATTCGTCTCTAGATAGTCGTAGAGGGGAGACTCGAATTCCAGGGAACTGTCGTCCTGCACCTTCTGGCCATATCGTGGGTCGGTCTGTGGTACCGGTATGTGCCTGGACCGTTCTGGCACAGAGAGATTCCAAATTCCACCCACGCCGTCACGCTGCTCATAAATGTCGATGGTGTCAAAGACGTTTTCAGCAAGCAAATACCTGGAGGGACTATGTCAGAGGAGGCCATTCGGTGCTCCAGGATAGCGTGAGTTGGACCTACTTGGCGCACGACACCCCTACAGGACCGGCCCCTATCACTGCGATCCTCTTGATAGAGGATGCTGACCCGGGGTCGCCCATGAATGGTGTTCTGTGCTCGGCTCAAGCACAGAAGGTGTGAAGGGCCGACCGGATGTGTTCAGAGCGGTATTGGGCACGAACACCAGCATACGCGGATCTCCGGATGGCGCGCCCGAAAATCGAGACGATCTTGCTTGGGGGAAGATGCTTCGGCTCAACACAATCGTAGCCTACAACTCAGCGACGGTACACATTATATTCTCTACGGTAGACGAGACATTATTATGTTGAGAAGCATGAATTTGATGGCGTGACAGTTTGGGCTTCGTTATCTGCCCCACTATGGGTTCGGTCTCCGCTGTAGGTTTCCACAGCCTCGTCTGCATGATAAGGCTCCGAACATTCAACACCAGGCTGAATTGGCCTATAACTGCTCCTAGATGTACTTTTAGACAACGCAGCTGAAGGCAAGGGGCACCACATCAGGGATTGACCACCAACATTTATACATGTAAGCACAAAAGGCGGCACTTATTCGGCTGGACCGACCACGGCTTTGCGACATCCGATACAACGTGCCGACCAGCATTCAACCCATATCGAGCTCAATGGCTTAGTCTCCATTCAGCAACAAAGACTGCACTGTCGAGACCCTTCAAGCACCATATATCAATCAGCTTTACCAGCAGTCCCCTTCTTCTGCTTCTTCTTCGTCCCGGACACAGCCTCTGTATGCTCTTCTTCCCCCTCCTTTTTGCCGAAGTACTTTTCGATGCCGCCCTTTTCGCGCTCTTGATGTCCTTGGGCGTCCGCGTCGACCCAGCTCCCCGCAGGCTTGTCTCCGTTCCATCTTAACGTCATGTCTTTGTGCTCTTCGTCTCTAGCCTCTACCCACCTCGCCGCAATCCTCCCAGTCTCCTTGGCCACCTCCTCAGTGGCATCCTTCCACTTCTTCCCACCTTTCAGAGTCATCCCGTGATCCGCCCCCTCCACCACAACCATCCAACTTTTCGCTTTCATCTTTTTCCTCAGCGTAGCCAGCCTGGGGAAGTCGCACATGGAATCTCCATCACCCGAGACGAACAACACATCCACATCCGACTTGATGTCAAGCAGGATCCGGTCTCGAACGGCCCCGCCAGGTCCGATGAGTGGATACGAGACCAGCACAAGCGTCTTGATCGACTCGTCCGATTGTGCCGCAAGCACCGCTGCGCGTGCACCCATACTCCGTCCACCATATGCTACTGTCATCTCGGCTTTGCGTTGTTTCTTCTCGTGATCCAACACCGTAGCGAAACTGCGTGTCCGGGCTTTGAGATTCATGTTGCCCTGGAAACAGACGACGGGTGAGCCAGTCGATGCGAAACCTCGTGCAAAGTTCATCAATGCGGGAGCAGATAGCCCACCGCCAGCGCCGTGCGTGAAAACAAGTGATATCGGTGCCGCCTCGGCGGGGTGACTGCGGATACAGGGTATTGGTTTCGAGCCCGAGGGCATTTCGAAAGACGTAAATTTGTCGTTGCTTCCAGTAGTTTGTTTTGACGACGTGTCGGGCTGAGTTGTTGTGTCATCCTGCACCTCATCAGGGCGCGCTTGGTCGTCAGAACTGACTTTAGCAGATTTACTGGTCGTTGGCGCTTTTTGCTCAGGTTCCTCCACCGACTCGCTTACTGCCTTAACTCTTTTGCTGGCTCGGGGAGCTTCGGTCTCTGGTGCGCGTGCTTTGCGCTTCTGTTTTGGTGCCATGGCCTACTTGACCTTCTGGTGCGCGATCTCCGAGGTCCTTTGGGTCCAGCACAGAGTGCCGGTAAGAGCTGTAGTGTTGACGTGTAATGTGATATCGATGCGTATGTCTGCAAACTTCTGAGGTGGAGCCGCAGTGAAGCTCTATATTTACCCTCGGAGGAGCTCCACAGGGTTTGAAAGATACTTGGCCGTGTCACTGTTGTGCAAAGTCCCAATTACACCATGTTAACGAGTTGATCAACGGCGCGTGATTTTCGCTCATTAAGTAACGACTAAGTCGGGGTTCATTACGTAAGCCGGCACTTTATAGGCCGCCAGGCATAGGGGAGTGCCCCCCGGAAAACTATATCCGCACCTAAGGAGCAGCCTAAATGATTGACCTGGCAAGAACTTTTGAGCATGAATTCACCTTTAACTTTTGGTACCGGTACTCCCCTCAGCGCAAGGCGATTGCTGGCCAACGACACATTCACTAGAGACCTTGTTCTCGTTTGTGCTCCGCACTAAAATCAAGAATTATATACTCGCTTGCTACAACCAGCACGACACCCGGCACATACTCCCTCTGGCTCGATAAACCCTCCGATCCTTAGGTAAACGTGCTTGGGTATACGTTGACACATGATTTCTCATCGCGACGGTCTGAAGGGCCCCATCACCTGCAGCATGACCGCATCGAAATAGGCTCTATCAATGACGGCTCCAAACCTGCTCCCAGGAATGTCAGTGCTAGCGCCATCCCAGGAAATCCTCAGCTTACCCATAGCATTCGACCTCGGGAAACAACATGGCTTTCATACTTGCCAGTCCATCGCGAGTCAAGTTCGGAAAATTGGGGTGCTGACGTATGCTTTGCCATGCCTCGACAGGGGTGATCTCTCCGTCCAGCCGCAGTCGATCCGCGAATTCCAGGAGACGCTCCAACTCGACTGCTGGGACGCTCCATTTGGCACCGTCCGGTAGTCCAGAACCCGGCTCTGTTGTTTGCTGCAATGGCGGGGAGCGAGACATGATCGGACTCATAAGCATCATCTCGTGACCGGTTCCTTCGACGTCGACGCTATGCACAGCGTGGTGTTCCAGACAGACTTGTTCGAGCCCGAGAACAAAGTCGACTCCGGTCTGGGCGGTCCAAAGGCCGTGGGCATGTGCCATGGGTGTGGGCTCTTGATCGGGAGCGTCACCGATACTCGTGCCTGGGAGGATTTCACTGGTTGAGAAGCTGGACTCGGAATAAAGAGGAGGTGCCCCTGATATATCAGAAGGTAGTGGGCAGACGTAGCCTGGTGCGGGAAGTTGCGCGCGTATGGTCTGCGAGCGATCGGAAAGCGTCACCAGTTCAACGGTCGCTTGGGGACTCGACACGTGCGGGCTCGATGCCAAATCAGGAGGCAAAGGGATGTTGTGATATTTAATCAACTCCCGCAAGCGACGAATCACCTGCCGGTACATTTGGCACTCTGCATCATGCGCCGCCTCTTGTGTACGCAACGTTGCAACTTCTGCCTCCAGACTTCTGACATATGTGGCTTTGCGATCTCGGTGAGTCCTGAGGAGGATGTCAGTTATTCTGGGTGAGCTCACAGAAATGTATATGAACAGGGCGCTCGTTGCACAAGGACGGAAGCGCATCATACCTTTGAGCCCTTCTGACTTGCTCGCGTCGCCGAGCCCGCGAATCTTCTTCTTCAACACTCTCCATAAGGCTGTCGGTTGCGAAGGCGCCACTATCGAAACTTGACGTGCATTAGCAAGTGATACTAATCTGGTGATGACGGACGGGATTGGCAGGACAAATGCCACCAACCCTGCAATGGATGATCCGTCACACGCGAGCCGGACGCTTAAGGCCTCAAAGCCTCGGCTTCCGGGAGAGCCACACCACTGGCAGCTTCCGAGTCCTCGAGCTAGACACAAGTTGATTATGGAAACAACAGCAGCAACGCCCAGAAAGGTATGAGTAGAAAGATAGCGCGTGGCAGTTGGGAGAAGTAGGAATGAAAAACTTAATCATGCGCTATACCCTTGCAATGGACTCACTGGCCTTGTATTCAGGAGAGCGACCGAGCGTATCTTTGTGATACGAATTGTCCATCTTATAGAGGTGTAAATATTGCGGAGGCGGAGGCTTCGTATGCACCGGTCCTTTTGCAAGACAGTAGATTTGCGACTGTGATTGGAAGACAAAGAGATGACCAAGCATTTAATAGAGTGGAGTTATGTAAGCATTGCAATGTTCTTACGGCAGCGCCGCCGTCGTATCGTTAAAGAGCAAACAAGGCCCCCCATGATCGTATCGAACGTGGAGGCTTTACCATGCTGACATGCTCCGCTGCGTGATAAACATTCGTCCACTCTGGACACACCTATCCAGGCCAGCATATCTCGTGTCGTATTTTCCGCAAGGTGCCCGCCGCATCATTGTATGTTACTCTCGTATTTTTGTCCTGACATCTCCTCTGCAACCACCATTCTCCCGTCATGCCCTGTGCCGGCCCAGAGATGATCGGTACCTCTTCAAGGAAGGTGTGCGATCCAATTGACAATTATATGCAATGTGTACAGAAGCATGGCAAGCGCACCAGTCACGAGGAATGCCTTAAGCACAACGATGGCTCGATGAATTGGACGTTGAACGGCCCACTCGTGGTCAGTTATGGGTTCTGAAAGGATACCGACACTGTTCTCGCCGACAGTAATCTCAAAAACCATTCGTCGATAGCGCAATTCGCCTCCTCGAATATCAGCCTCTGCTTGGGTTCGGTCCATCTTGTCCGTTCGAGACTTTGATCGTTATGCAGAATAGAGTGCGTTCGAGAACGGTCGTAGAAAGCGGATCCGCGTGTGATAGACGAATGCGGCGGTCGCGCTGGCTAAGGAATAGAGCTTTGCTCAATGAATGGGACGACGGTGTTCGTGAATGATTGAGTGCGCTCTGTGATGCAGCACTCGTTGTGATAAATCTGAAGGCCTTGCTAATTGTAGAGACAAGTTGCAGGAGTAGTGCTGCAGGACGAGCCTAATTTCCTCCATCAGAGGATCGGCGTGTCGGGCAGTGAACAATTCTGCCGGACATCTAGGCAGTTGGGTACTTTTCACTGAGGCAGTCAATTACCTTCAAAGTTGAGGCGGTCCGGGAATGTAATGCGCACTTGTGTCTCCTAGCGTTTCCCATAAAGTTCCAGCATGGCCTTGCGTAGTCCACCGCGGTAACGGACACTTGGAAAGGCCGTGTATGTAGTCTTGCACCTTCGCCAGCAAGCCAGAGTGCACATATGGGCCTTCATAAGAGGTTGCTGCAGAGCACTTCGTGAAGTCGCGGTCTTCATGGAAATGCCACTGACCAGAATCTTCCTCGACGTACCAGTGCCCGAGAACTTCTGCACGTGCTAGGCGCCTCGTCGTCAGGAGTTCGAGGACATCTATCATTGAGCATGTCTCCAACCAACAATTCTTCATCACCAAAGAGCGCAAGTGCTTCGCCTCCAACAGGAAAGGGTGCAAATCCTGCCAGGAGCATCGAAAGTTGCACAATGTCAAAACCTTCAAATGAGGAAGCCATAGACGGGGGAATCGATCAATGTTCGTCCTGTCGAAGAGCTCAAACGAATATTCCGCTGCCTTGCCCGAAGGAAAGGTAAGACACAATTCCTCAAGGCCGGAAGGATAATTTAGCAGCATTCTTAGTCTGCGTGCTGCCGTGTTCCTACCATGTATATATATGTCTGTACCCTCATTGCGCGATAGCCAGTCGCTATGAGGAAAGGCACTGACACTCAACTCCAGCCTGTTCAAACCGGCAAATACTCTTTCCATCAACTGGGAAGCATGATGTCCATTCACTGTCAATAGTTGGTGAGGCATATCGAGAGCTGTGAGATCGTTGGTGTCATACTCAGACATTTTCGCAGCGTCGAGTAAATTGAGAAAATGGGCGAGACAATGCTGCCGCCGATTCACAACACGCCGTCGTGGGTCAGGATCATATGGCTTCTCACTTGCGTACTCCTCCGGATTGAACGCCTCTAATTGTTCCAGAAAAATCTGAGGCTCAGCCATGAGCAGCTTAAAGCGCAACTTGGGGCAGGACTGGTGAAGCTTATTGAGCGTCCGTGTCAATAGGTCTTTCACCCGTTCCTGCGCCATCGTGGACGCTTGCTGGTCGAGATGCCAGCGATAGAGATCATACCTCTGAGGCAGATCGGTTGTGAACCGTGCTTGAAGAGTCTCGTGGAATTCCAGGTACTGGGTGCTCGTCGATCCTTTGGGCGCGAGGCTTGCTTCCCAAGTACGGCTCTTGTCGTGATATACCTGTGCTTGCCAATAACGATAATCCGCATATTCAAGTTGCACGCCAGATTCAAGGGAAACACAACTGAGCCGAGATGCTATCGAGGTGTTGGCTGCCAATTGTTCTAGCTGATACAAGCGATGACTGCTGGGATACAGGCGAAACTCCAGGTCGTGGAAAAGACATTCTTCCGCTATGATAGCAAATGCTCTGCAGGTAAGGCGCACACTGCACAGAGAAGGCTTGTCAAGAAAGCGACACAGCTGTGCTACCAGTTCAGCAGGAAGGATGTCCATGATTGTGCGCCTGTTCCTGATCAGACGAAGAACAAGAATGAGCAGTGCAACATCAACCAACAGGAATCCCTTGTAAGATAAGTTCACTGGTGCCTAGACGGTACAAATGGTGGCAGCCTGATGAAGCCACGCCGCATCAAAGACGGGCGAAAAGACCCAGCTTGCGTCTCCACCCAAGACATTGCTGGCGTCCTCACGTCTGCACTACGTGACCTGATGGCATTTCATTGCGAAGACAGGAAGGAAAATGAATGAATGATTAAAAGAGGAGGGATGGCTGATTCACGCAAGGATAGCAAGATAAGGCTGTTTCCCCTCGCGCCCTCCGCCAATGACAAGCAAGGTTCCCGAGCCGCGATTCTTGTTCCCGGGCCGGTCATAGAAGCAAACGCGGAACAGCCTCCATTGTGTTTCGGATTCAGACATACATGAATGCACAATCGGTCCTGTCATGAAATGGTCGTCTATCCGTGCTAGGCTGCCGTTGCCAAAGCCACCTGGTCGGCGCTGGCTATCGCAGAAGACGGAAGAGGTCAGACGACAAGCTCTCAAAACAGATGAGCAGGCCGGGGTGAGAAGTCGACTTGATCGATTCGTAGCACGAACACCTCGCTTCCTCCAGCCTACGGTGAGGCAAATACGACATGCTCCTGTCTCCCACACTGTGGCCTTCATCATCCTCCATGAATTGACCGCAATTGTTCCATTATTCGGTCTCGCGGGTGCTTTCCACTACGGGCATTGGCTGCCGCCATACTTTGCCGGAGGAGCTTGGGTTTCTGATGGAGTAGAGAGATTTGGGCGCTATTTCAGAAAGAAGGGGTGGATAAGTGAATCAGATGAAGTCGAGATTGAGGACAAAGCAAGAGAAGGAAAGGCAGGGAGACCAGAGGGCCAGAAAGTGTCGAAATGGTTCAACGAGGGAGAGGGCGGTACGAGACTGGTCATCGAATTCGCCACCGCGTATGCAATAGTCAAGGCACTGCTACCCGTTCGCCTGTTTGTGAGTGTCTGGGCATCTCCTTGGTTTGCAAGAGCCGCAGTCATACCGTTCCGCAATATCACCCAATCTATATTTCGACCGAGAAAGACATGAAGCAAGCATCCTGTCATCGCAGACACCACATGGCACGGAGGCAGGGACAGAGCCAGGTACATGAAAGGGACTACACATGAAAGTCCTGGTTCTTGCGTATTCTGGTAATCTATCTGTCTGCGTTCGCACATCGTTGATCATTGCGAGATGGCTACACAAGGCCGCAGAACGCGCTGGAGTCGAGGCGGCCACCAAGCCTGCACGACAAGTCATGGCATAGCGATCATGGTGCTATGGTCATCTATGGCTTCTCGTAGATCCAGTCGAACTGAGCATTCTTGTAGCTCTGAACTTCCTCAGGCTTGAACCACAAAGCGATTTCCTTCTTGGCACTCTCGACACCGTCAGAGCCGTGGCAGACGTTGCGACCGACATCGATGGCGTAGTCACCACGGATGGTGCCAGGGGCAGAGGCAAGAGGGTTGGTGGCACCAAGGATAGCTGGCAAAGTTAGTGTTGTACATATTGGGCATGGAATGTCGAGACTTACAGCGACCAGTCTTGCACGCATCACGGCCTTCCCAGACCATAGCGACGATTGGGCCACTCAGCATGTCTAGGACGCTTGTCAGTGGTGTAGGGGCAAAAAGAAGCTTGGATCCATACAGGTAACAAGGCCCTTGAAGAAAGGCTTCTCCGAAAGATCCTCGTAGTGCTTCTCAAGGTGTTCCTTGGATGGGGAGACCATCTTCAGCGCAACCAATTTGTATCTTCACCGCTTAGTTATGTTCATCTTTTTGCACCATGACTTTCGCTCACCCTCGCTTCTCAAATCGGGAGATGATATCGCCAACGAGTCCGCGCTACAATGACCATCAGCTTGAGACCGACATGGAGCTTGTACAGGACATTGACACCGTACCTGGACACCATCGGGCTTGACGGCAATGAAGCTGGCGACGCATGTTAGAAAGACCAGCAGTCCGCCATTGTAAAGACTTACGTCTGTTCGGTAGACATCTTGGAAACAGTTAATGGATATGATCGAGTGTTGCTAAGTACTTTGAAGGCGTTTGCAGGAAGAAAAGAACACTTGCGGTCAATGGATAGAGAACAAATATTTTGAGGGCCAGGCTTTTTAGAAGTGGGTTGGAGGGGCACCGTTGCCGCAGCTTAGAGGGATGCAGGGTGTCCGCTGTCCGCTTAGTGAGGATAGCGCCCGCCAATCAATGAAGCCCGGGCTCGCTTTCTCAGGGGACTCCCGTGTGCACCGATCAACCCCATATTATTTTGACTGGACGTAGAGAGGACACATTGGTCTTGATCAGTGCAGCAATTCTCTTGATCTGCCCAGAGCAGAACATCTATAGAACTGCTGCTTGCGAAGATGGCTCGATCTTCGCGGCGGGCGTCCGTGTGGACAATTTCCTGTCTGTCGTTCTTGTTTTTGATACTGTTCGTTTCTCCCGCAGGCAAGTCATCTATGTACCTACTTTAGGCCTGAGGTGCTGACACAAGACAGTCACGGTCAAACACCATGATTTCAAACGTTGCGAGCAGTCTGGCTTCTGCAAGCGGAACCGAGCACTTGCAGATTCTATGACAGAGCAAGGCAGTCCTGACTCATCTCCCTACCAGCTGGATGCGGCATCGATCAAGTTCAAGGACGGCCGATTAGAGGGATCCATAATCAAGACTGTCCAAGAGACTGGGCCAATCAAGCTGCCATTGACGATTGTGTTCCTCGACCGTGGTAATGTCCGGGTAACGATTGACGAGGAAAAGAGGAGGAAGGGTGAAATCGAGCTTCGCCATGGCAGCATTGCTCGTAAGGAGAGATACAATGAAGCGGGAGCATGGGCCTTGACCGGAGCTGGACTCCAGGCTCAGAAGACTGCCTCCATTAAAAAGGTTTCGAAAGATCTGACCGAGGTGTCATGGGGACGCAATCACGAGTTCAAGGCACTCATGCACCATGCCCCTTTTGGGGTGGAATTCTGGTCTGGTGAAGACAAGCAGGTCGTTTTCAACAGCCGCGGACTCATGAATATGGAGCATTGGCGACCCAAAGTCGAGAGACCGGCTGCCGATACGAACGACTCCCAAGAACAAACTGTTAACCCTCCTGAAGACGAGAGCACTTGGTGGGAAGAGACTTTCGGCGGCAACACAGACTCAAAACCTAAGGGTCCCGAGAGTGTTGCTTTGGACATTGCTTTTCCTGGTTATGGCCATGTGTATGGCCTTGCAGAGCATGCTGGACCACTGTCTCTGAAACAAACACGTGGCGGAGATGGCAATTACGATCAGCCCTATCGAATGTACAACAGCGACATTTTCGAGTACGAGCTTGACAGTCCGATGACTCTCTATGGATCCATCCCCTTCATGCAAGCACACAAGAAGGACTCTACAGTGGGAGTCTTCTGGCTCAATGCTGCCGAAACTTGGGTAGACATCGTCAAGTCGACGCATGGTGCCAACCCCTACACCCTTGGTCTTAGTGGAGGCACTGTCGACACCCATACCCACTGGATGTCAGAGAGTGGCCTGCTCGACGTTTTCGTCATGCTGGGACAATCTCCCGAAGGGCTGGCAAAGTCTTATGGTGAGTTGACTGGCTACACTCAACTGCCAGCAGCCTTCTCAATTGGCTATCACCAGTGCAGGTGGAACTATGTCAGCGACGAGGACGTGAAAGACGTCGATCGGAAGTTCGATAAGTTCAACATTCCGTACGATGTTATCTGGCTCGACATCGAGTATACCGACGACAAGCAATACTTCACCTGGGATCCCCTTAACTTTCCCGACCCGATATCGATGGAAAAGCAATTGGATGAGAGCGAGCGGAAGCTTGTGGCCATCATTGATCCTCACATCAAGAACAAGGGAGGATATTTCGTCGTCGATGAGATGAAGAGCAAGGACTTGGCTGTCAAGAACAAGGAGAACAATATTTTCGAGGGTTGGTGCTGGCCTGGAAGCTCATACTGGCTCGACGCATTCAATCCTGCTGCAAGAGCCTGGTGGAAGAGCTTGTTCACTTATGACAGGTTCAAAGGGACAATGCACAACGTCTGGCTCTGGAACGATATGAACGAACCGTCCGTGTTCAATGGCCCTGAGATTACAATGCCTCGAGACAACCTTCATCACGGCAAATGGGAACATCGTGATGTTCACAACATCAATGGCATGACCTTTCACAATGCCACGTATCACGCATTGCTGGAGCGTAAAAAGGGTGAAGTCCGCCGCCCATTCGTGCTTACGCGATCGTTCTACGCTGGCTCGCAGAGGACCGCTGCCATGTGGACAGGTGACAACCAGGCTAACTGGGAACACCTGGTTGCTTCGATTCCCATGATCTTGAACCAAGGCGTCAGTGGCTTTCCCTTTGCGGGAGCAGACGTGGGTGGATTCTTCGGCAATCCAAGCAAAGAGCTCCAGACTCGATGGTACCAAGCGGGTATATTTTACCCCTTCTTCCGTGGGCATGCGCATATCGACACACGCAGGCGCGAGCCATACATGTTAGGAGAGCCGTACACTAGCATCATGACCAAAGCTCTGCGATTGCGCTACATGTTACTGCCTGCGTGGTATACCGCTTTCCATGAAGCTTCGACAGACGGTTACCCGATCATCCGATCCCAGTACTATGTACATCCTGAGGACGAGAAAGGTTTTGAGCTCGATGATCAGTTTTATTTGGGATCAACCGGGCTGTTGGCAAAACCTGTGACCGTCGAAGGTGCAGAAAGCGTTGATATCTATCTTTCTGACAACGAAAACTACTATGATTATTTCGACTACACGATATACAACGGAGGCTCAAAGACCTACAAAGTCGTTGCGCCCCTTGACAAAATCCCTCTCTTGATGCAAGGAGGACATATTTTCCCCCGAAAGGACCGACCGAGGAAGAGCTCCGGATTGATGAAATGGGATCCATACACCCTCATTGTGGTACTCAACCAAAATGGGGAGGCAGAGGGAACGCTGTACGCCGATGACGGCGAAACCTTCGACTATGAACAAGGCGCTTTCATTCACCGCAGGTTTGGCCTAGAGAATGGAGAGTTGAAGAGCACCAACTTGGCCGCCAAAGGCGCAAAGACTGCAAGCTATCTCAAGACGATGAAAGATGTCAAAGTCGAGAAGATCATAGTGGTGGGTGCACCGACGGAGTGGTCTAGACTGGACGAGGTGTCCGTCACAGCCGAAGGACCCAGAGGTACAACTCCAGCAGAGTTGATCTACCATGGTGCGGCAGGAGGAAAAGCTGCTTGGGCTGTCATCAGAGGACCTGGTACAAGCATTGGTGAGGATTGGACTATCTCGTTCTCGCCGGGACAAAACCACAAAACGGAATTGTAGCATTGGGAACTGTACAACAAAAGGGAATCACCATGTAGAGAAAATCAATGAGAGTGACGAGTCTATGATTGCAGAGCCCATCGATTCCAAGACTTTGACTTACAGCAGGTAGGTATAAAACACATGTAAATACATACCTAGGTACCTGGTAGGTACTGTACAGTCAAGCAAGCTCTTTGCTCTTAGGCCGAGATATGCCCCCTGGGCGGAGACTGCGGACTGGCCACGGGCATGCGCCAATTACATGGTCAATCCCGTCCATGCTTTTTATCAATTCCGGGGAAACCTCAATCGACATCTAGGATTTAGCACATGCACACGCTCATAAACGTGCCCTTGACCATGTTCCACACGATGGCTGCCTAATACTCTCCACGAAGCTCTTGAGCCTATCGAGTCTGCAATAGCGCCCTCCAGACAAGGTGCTCCGCAACGGCGGGCAGCTGCTCAACATGTTGGGAGTTCTTTCAGTTGTTGTGGACTATTTTGCGCCTGTCTTGTGAGTAATGTGAGCAAAGTCCACGTTCACCGTATTGACAAAGTGTGCAGTCTGATCTTGTCACCCATCACGTCCTATGCCGACCAAATATTCTCGATCCATCGGAATAAGACGAGCGATGGGTTCTCTCTCGACATACCCCTGATCATGCTGGTGGCATCTATCCTTAAGTATGCGCTGTTCTACTTGGGAATACAAGATCAATAAGGACTAAGACGCGACGCAGAGTGTTCTACTGGTTCGGAGCTTATTACGACAAAGCTCTGTTAATACAAGCCTCGTTGATGATTTTGGTGCAACTTGTACTCCTCAAGGTAGCCTTGGACAACCGCGCTCCTACAGGCGCAAGAGATGGACTGCAACACACCCCTTTTCATGGATACACCGCAGGGAACGGGTTGAAGGACCTGATGTCGGGTCGACGCCCTTACAACTTTTGGCAGTGGGGCAGTTCGAAGCCGTAAGTTTATGCCTTGGACTCAATCTGACACACTGCAAGAGGCTGACAATGTGTAGATACTTTGAATTCTTGTCATACCTGGCAGGAGGACTATGCATCGTCCACGTCTTTCTCCCTTTCCTGTCGAGAACTCCTGCGTACATTGCCTTGCTTGGATATGTTGGGCTTGCAGTGGAGGCTATATTACCTATCCCACAAATTGTGAAAAATCACCAAGCACGATCTTGCAAAGGGTTTCGACTTTCTGTGATCATCAATTGGTTGGCAGGCGATGCGATGAAGATGAGCTATTTCTTCCTGAGCAAGGAGTTTATACCTTGGCCATTCCGACTTTGCGGAATCTTCCAAGCCTTTTGCGACTCCTACCTTGGGTTGCAGTTCTACATGTACGGGCGAGGGCCTGCTGGTGCGGACATTCCTATGAGCACAACAGCGAAATCCGGGATCTTCAGATGATACACGTCAACCAAGCCACAACCAGAGACGCACACGCGGACAGCAACCAAGCCATATGCTCTAAATGTTGTGGACGAGACACAAACATTAGGCTACAGGTTTGGTATTGGGAGGAGCCTGGGTTGATCCTATCCTTGTGATGAGAACGGGAACAGGCATGAGGCTCAACATTCAACCTCGCTCTTGCCCAGCACTATGTTCTTTTGTTGAAGATAAAAAACACCACCCTGAATGATCTTTTTATGGCCCATCGGATTGGCATACGAGGATTGGGACTTCGGGAATGGCGTCAACAAACGTCAGATATTGTGGCTTGTGCTTGTTGTGCCTTGGTCGCCAATTCTCATAAGAATCTCAGATCTTCCGCTTCAACGTTTTGGCGGCCAATGAATGTGTGCGACGTTGCGTCGTGGCTGTCTTGTGGCGGGCGGTGCAAGCCACGCAACAGTTCAGTTTGTCTGGGGAACCCAGGCACCATCTCCAACTTCCCTGTTTCTCTCGCTTAACGTCAGTCCACAACACTGGATCTGGTGATGCGGAATTTGGCTGTGCGTCGTCTGCTATGGGCAATTGGCATCTTCCAGAAGGCAGCCATCTTAACTTAACCATCTCTTGACACCGACAAAGCATTCCTTACCAACATCAATTCCATCACCAAAGAGAAGAGTTCATTTGACCATCACCAGCTTTCCGGCTGCTTGCGACTAGCTCAGATGCGTTGGAAATTCCACCGAAAAAGTCAGAATCGGCATTTTCGAACATTTATTTGGTCGTTGTACAACATGATAATTCCTCCACACGCTCCAAAGATTTGAGGACGCGCGAAAAAAACTCATCAACAAGAGCCAGCGTTCAGCTTCGGAGCGACAGTTATCTATATCTCTCAAAAGCACGAACTGGCAGTAAGCGACCGGCCCTTGCGACCCGCGCCTGCCACTCAATGAATGCAGAGCTGTAACTCGGCTGGCATGCCCCGTCAGAGGTCGCTTTCCAGAGCCGGCCTCCATACCTACCTGGTAATTTTCGGGCGTGCATGACGATCGGATGCATTAGTGGGTGAAAGACGAACATGGGAGGTCGGACGTCTTTCGGTGTCGGGCTATACAAAACAATTGGCGTTGACACAGGGTATTTCTTATGTGTTGAGGGCTATGGACACATGAAGGTCGCTGGTGTTAGCATTGCAACAATTGAAGCACCGTGAAACAGGTGCTTTTGGGGGCAGTTTGGTTAGGGCATGAACCGGACGCTCGAACCGGAATCGGTCCAGCGATCATGCTTCCTTCTTTTGATGGCTCATGCTGCAGACAAGATTTATGACAGAGATTGACATAGATGTATCTCACTTCGGAGAATGGTCCTAATGGCGTGGGTGATAGGACACGATGACTTTGATCTTGGCACTGAGGGCTTGTTTGAATGTACCTCAGCATACGACAGGCGTATTTTTCTGAGGAGAAATAGTTGTAATTTAATAGAGTATAAAACTGATACTTAGCCATAGCATACCTTGACGTTTTACATGTGTTGTGAGAGATTATCCTGATGATAGATGCGGCCGGCGACCATTCGGCTGTATCTGACTTGATGACTTTGTAACTTCCCCAGGAACCCGCTTGAACATTTAACCGGCCTCCAGGTTTCCTCATGCCAGCAGGATCTTGTCTCGTTCGTTGCTCTCATCATCACTCGTTGATTCTAAGCTGTTCGTGGTAGCCTTGCGTCTTGACTAAGCATCTGTGACGCTCTCTGCTCATTGACGGCCCTGCCTTGCTGCCTTGCAGGACGAACCATACCTATCACAGCTCCGACTACCTCAACATCGACTTACTCCGTACCAACACCGAGTACTATTTCCCGCATATCCGTTTCATCTTAATCGACTAGCTTCACACGGTCGTGCGCGTTGCAGGAGAGAGACATGACGTCTTCGGATCTCTCATTCTGATACCTTTCGCGGATTCTTTACTGCCACAGAGATCCGGGTGTCACGAACCTACAGTAGCTCCCAACGCCCGGTCCCCGAAACGATTGCCCGGACCCTCAGTCACCAGCGGCGTCTTGCGAGGACAGACTTCACTGATAATGAAGACTTCAGGAGTAACGCAGCACCACGAAGCTTCACGGATATAAATCAGCGTCTACCCAGACACGGTCTGGTCGTGACATGGAATCTGCGAAAAAATTTCAAGCCCATCCTTTTCAAGCTGGCCGTCCACTGCACAATCACCCTCAGCACAACAGACCTCCAAGTAAAGACTCCGGCAATCAGCACATCTGAGTACATGGTTGCAATCGCGATTACGCAGTGACATACTGCCAACGGAGATTTCCCGCGTCCATCGTTGATAGGCCTAGTCTCAACACGCGTTTCGAGTCCACAGCTACCGACTGTGACAACGAAAGATAGAGATTCCAGGCGAATGTCACGTTCGAGATCACTGCCTCTTTAAACTGAACCTCTCTTCCTCAATCCGGATCAGCCTATATCAGATCTTAGCAAGCCCGGCTTAGTCAGACTCTCTCCTGCTCCGAATCCTCATCTGGCTTACCATTCGTCGACACATTTACGCATTCGGATTGTTGACATACTGCCGCAACTCTCCGGGAGTTTGCGTAGACTCTTCATACAACCGCTCCAAAACCATAGACCTCAACATCGACACAGTCCGCTTAGCACAAATCATCATATTGGAGGCTTCGACAATTGCACAACCACCGCGACTGTTCTCGACCAGCTTGATACCAGGCATCGTCGGCGCCCAAGGTCTGTCCACCACAGTTGTGACAGATGCCTTCCAGAATAAGCGGCGCTTGTAACGGGTGCCGCACAAAGAAACAAAAGGTACGTGAGCACCGTTGAGTCGAAGCTCAACAACGAGATCTTCCGTATACGTGATGCCTTTAGCACACTCTACCTGGGAAGGTTAAAAAACCAACCTCTGTATATCGTCTTCGATGGAAGCAGGCTAATGAACTTCTCGAAAGCAGTGCAGTGGTGATAGGTACGTTATCGGCCCATTATCATGATACTATCCTGTCATCGTCATATAAGAGTCCCAATCGTTTTGGCATAAGGATTGGTGCTGGAATCAAGGCCAAGATTGTTCAAGCACCATTTCGACACCGCTTAAGTCGAGTACAAATGGCTAAACTCCTTCTCTGGCAGATCCGGGTGCTTGCAGTGTCAAGCTGTAGCCGTACAATGTACGTGGCCGGAGCAAAGAAAGCGGTGAGTTCTTTTTTCTTAGGGCTATCATAACGAATTTGTCAAACGTTCAGCTTTGCAAACTGGGGCTATACTGATTGCTGCATCAGAGGTCCTGCCAAAGGCTACATCGAAGGCCTTGAGCATCGTCTTCACGAAGCTGAATCGCTCATCCTCGCTCTCCTACCTCTTGTTAACACCGAGCAACTCAATTCTGCTGCGGATACACTGAAATCCACGTCGCCATCTGCAAATATAGCGGGCCTCAAATCCAGAGACTCGCAATCACCTGGCCCACGGAATGTCAGAAGTAGTCCACCCACGCTCAACAAGAAAACTGGCATTGAGTACTGGGAGGCCTTCCCGCTCGATACGGCCGAGAACATCCGCAAGTGGCAGCAAGATTGTACAACACACTCCTCGGGCCAGAATCCGCCGTCGTCTCGCAACTCGCTCACAGCAGAAGATTCGTTTTCGCAATCAATCCTGCATCAAAATTTCATGCCTGATTCTAAAAGTCACTCACGCGCCGGCTCAGTGGAATTCTCGAGTCACAATCATGCGCGCTCATCGTCAGCCGCGTTCCGCTCAGTGAGCAATGAATCGTATCGTAGCGAGACCAGCACCCCAGTCAATGTCCCACAACAATCTCATTCTCAACCGACGGTGCCGACGACCTCCAATTTCCAGCAACCACCGATTTCTCAGCCTCAATCATCACAGCAAAACTGGCAATCAATGTCGCTCTTCTCGGGCACAGATTCGAACACATCGACATCACAGGGTGTCGGCATCGGTGCCGAGGCTTTGCTACTCCAAAGCTTCGCCGACTCATCCTGGGCGCAGTCACAATCGCTCGATAACGGTTTGCATGATGCGAATCCCAGCATGGGAGCCAGCAATAGCATGGATATGCAGAGTGGGTTGATGGAGGTCGATACGGGGCTTTTTGCAAATGACATGCAGAAACGACTGTTCTGGTGAACAAACCCTACGGGTAGCTCGAAGCGCAGAAGCTTGGGTCATACAGGACAATAGGGAGCTCATTGACGTTGCAGGCCGCGGTTTCAGTCGGTCTTGACCTCACAGTTTATGGCATCCTCAGTAGGGTGAGTTCTCAGCCCAACGGCCGAACTCAGCATGGTTCGACAGAGACCGGATCAAACTTGGCAGTTTCCCATCGCGCGTCAGAAGAACAGCCTGATCATCGAGAAGGTACCAGACATGTCACATGGAACAATTGGAGTTCAGAATCATACTTCTTCCACGGCTAAATCACACCAATGTTATTCAAAGCCATCATGTCCGGCAGCTGAGCAGTCACGAGCTGCAAGGGTATAGAAGCAACAACATGTCCGTAGTGAGTTTTGAGAGCCATCACTATCGTACACATTCAGTAACCTCACATATAAGATCAATCATATCACACCTAATCACCACCAACACCGAGCTTGGACACGCCACAAACAACGAATGCGAGTCATACAAGCACTTTTCGCGCTCTATACTCAGCCTGACCACGACAGCCTGATATTCTGTCTGGCGCCAATGTCCATCTCAGGGTGTCCTAAGGGTCACATTTCCCACCCTCCATTCATGCCACCACCTGGGGCAAACGGACCAGTCATATTTTCCCATGTTGCCGACCCGAAAATATCGGCGACGTTATAATCCATATTGCCCCAGAACATTGGATCTGAATACTCCTGCAGATTACCGCCGTTGTTGGCATCGCTGGTCATGCCAGTGTTGTTGTTGCCAGGCAGGTTCATGTTCATGGTTGACTGGGCGAACGCCAGGTCCTGCGGTGTCGCATAGATGGCACTGCCCAGGCCTGCATCGATCTGTGGCTGCGTGGTCGGCTGGCCTCGATCCCAATTTGAGAAGTCGAAATTTGGCATAGAGCCTCCCTGATTAGTCAAGGCTGACGGATTTGAGGCATCATAACTCATAGATGCCGGCCAATTTGGTGTACTGCCGGATGTGGAGGTTTGTTGGTGTTTCAGGCGAGCATGGCCAGAGTTGGATAATTGTGGGTGCACAGGCGAACTGCTTGCGGACTCGGTCATGGATGATTTGCGAGGACTTGCATCTTCGAGGCCGGTGCGCTGGCGTTTTTTGGCAGGTTGTTGCGCTTGGTCGAGCTCTGGTGGAATGCTCTGTGGCGACTGCTCAGGCTTCGGCACCGTTAAAAAACCATTGATCGAGGCCTTCCTTGACTGAATGTTGACCAGCAACAAGTTCAGAACTTTGTGGCAATTCTGCACAGTGTACCATCTAGTGTTCATACTTTCAAGGAGGCTCAGACACGTTTGTACGTCGGAGAGGGCGCGGGCTTTGGCGTATTTGCCAAGTTGACACGCGAAAGCAATGATGAGGCCTGACATCCAGACTGCGGAGAGCAAGCCGGGTAGAAACATTGATTGCCCGTGACTTCTGTGAGACTTGAGGCCTGCTACAATGCCACGAGACGCTCGGATGCAGACTTGCAAGCCGTGCTGAAACTCTGGAGTGGACTGGTCAAGAGACAATCTCGGGCGATTGACCAGGAGGAGTAATCGATGATAGAGGACTTTGAAAAAGCTCGACAGATGTTGCTGAGGAGGGAGAAACGAGGGCGGATTTGAGGATGAAGACGTCTGTTTATTCGTGGCCCCGTTGTTCTCGCTAGGCTCGGCATCCTGGCCGGAGTGATCGCTCTCCCCAGTAAGGAATCCAGGCAAGTCGTTCCACCAGGTCTCGATGTCGCTCGTTAGTCTCAATATTTGCTCATGTTTGGGGAAACGATGGTTGATGCTCTTATGGAAGACTTCGATGATTTGCCCGGTCAGCTTGGCCCATTGTACATAGGCAGTCAATGCGGCTTCTCGCAGTCGCTTCTCCCTTGCTTCGGGTCCATCGCTGTTTTGTTGAGCTACACGCGGGTCATCTGGCACCACTCGAGGTGGTGGCATCGAATTTCCACAGTCACCATCTGGTTGAGGCACCGTCTGCTGCACGACAGCTTTGTGTAGTTCTGGCCCAGACAGGCAGACGTCGATATCATCGTCCTGGATTATGTTGGGATCCCCCAAGCTTAGGTTGCAGTGCCGGTCTAGAGCATAAGCCGACCAGAATATCCGCTTCCGGATCTCACATTCCTCGAGAGAGAGCTGGGCGTATCGTAAAGGGCAGCGATGCAGCCCGGCATGGTGTATCAGCTTAATCAAAATTCCGGCAACTGTACTGGCTTGGCGGATAGCCAACGTCGCGCATAGGTACAATTCTGCAGCCAGTATAGCTTGAATGTTGGTGATATCATGCGAAAGGGCAAGGCAGCCGGCCACGCGGCTGACATCACCGATTGACCTGATGCGAGATTCCATAGGAAGAAGAATATCGCTTCGGTCTAGCGAGGCGATGTTGATGATGAGCTGGAAGGTGAGGAGTTTTCGGAGGTCAGTAGGGGTGGGATTTTCTTTGGTCGGTTTGGACGGCCGTCGCCGTTGTTGGTATATCGTCTCCATGTCTTTTAGAAAAGTAGGACCGTGGAGGAAGGGGAATAGAGGATGCCATAAGCGGAAAAACGAGGTGACCAGTTCAAACGCGATCTTCCTCTGGGGAGGTTTTCCGAACGTTGAGGCGAGTAGTTGAGGAAACGAATCGGTCTCACTTGGTCCTTCATGCACAGGACCATTATATGAGCGCCCCTCGGCATCTTCGCCTGTGAGAATGTCTTCGCTGGCAGGGACTGCATTGGGTCCGGCGAGGTTGGATGAAGCAAAGGCGGCGGAGAATGCGCGACGGACGGTATTGACAAAGTAGACTCCAGAGGAACTCCCAAGCCATGCAGTACCGTGATTAGGTAGCTTTTTCAAGGTGCCTATCTCTGAGGTATGAGTCGGTCTCTCTTCGGGAGTGTTGTTGCTTTCGGAGCCATTGATTGCGGTTGTTGAGGTGGCTGCTGAGGGAACAGCTGGCGGAGTAGCATGACCTACACTAGGGGATGGGTTGCTCGTACTGGGCGTCATACTGGAAAATTGCCTCGATCGACGATCAGAGTCTACCTTATCGAGATTGAACGCGAGGTGTCAGCATGGTGAGAAGGGCTGAATGAGCCGAGCCCCTCGCCGCGAGAGGCGGGATTGTGTGGCTAGTTGATCAACTAGAAACGGACAGAGAAGTTTTGCCGGGGGTGTTATGGTGTTGCTAGTGAAGGCGAACGATGCTTTCGTGGGTGTATCAATGGATGTAAGAAGTGAGGCGCAATGAAAGAATGAGAGATGAAGTCGGCTGAAGCACAGAGAGAAAGAAGCTTACTTAGTCAGCCAAGTGCAGACCCCAAGACTTCAAGAGTTCGTATAAGTTTAAGAATTTAAAGTAGTCACAGCGCCTCAAACAACCTGCAAAAGTATGAGTAAAGCGTCTAAGCCGAGTCGAATTGGAGGCCGCTTTTTTCGCCGATTGCTTCCTCAAAAAGTCCTCAAACTGCTCAAACTTGTAATAGGGACACTCCGGAAGATGCCAGTACGACCCTGCATGCGATAAGTATCTGGGCCACGCTTGCTAGCCGGGTTTCCGGGCTCACTCCCATATGTTCTGACGACCATTGCTCGTGCGAAACCTCGTGCGAGCATAAACTTACGTGAATTTAAGTACTAGGAAGCATCTATGTTCAAGCTTGCACTGGATGATATACGAGTACGAGTGTATTTCACCTCGATATCCCCACGACTCCATCCCCATCTCTTACCACGGCATCAGTGCCAATGACACTGGCTGCCTTCAATACATCAACCACTCCACTCATCACTCCAGAGTCCACTCCTCTCGTGCTTTCGACAAACTTCACATCCTTCAACCATTCCCTTCCGTCTTCTTCGGAGTAGTGGCATTGTGCCTCGCCAGTGCCCAGCATCTTTATCGCTGCACTAGTGTCCTCGTTGAAGCTCTTCACTCCTTTGTCAAAGGCCTCAAATATCTCTTTGAGTGTCTCGTCTGACTCTGGATCTGGAAACGTCGACCGCGATGCAGCGATATGCCAGCTCGGCCAGGGTGTGTATATCTCACCAATCTTCTTTAGCGGCGTATCTTCACCGTGGAAGTACGGCTTCGTTGTAAAATGCTCCCACATGAAATAATCAGCTGTAGAGCTCGTCACACCGTCGCGTAAATCTTTGAACGGACCCAGAGGTGCTATCGTCAGCCCTTCTAATGTGGAAGTCTTTGTTTGATGCAGCCAGCCTTCTTGCTGCGCCAGCACGAACGCCATGACATGGCTGCCACTGCCCAGCCTACTGACTGCAACGCGGCGATGCTGCCTGAGGTCATTCACAGTATTGATGTCACTGCGGTTGCGGCCAGTGACGATAGCCCAGCGTAGCGGTGTAGACACCCACGATCCAACTATTGAATAGCCCTTCTCCTTCCCAGACTTTTTATAATTGTCGGAATTCAGCAAGCCTGCGACCCATCCCTCTGTCAGGCCGATGGCAAGGTCGATCTCGTTGGAGCGCAGCGATGTGATCATATGGCCCGTACCGGAAGGAAATGGGATGAGAGTGATCTTGATGGAGGAAGGGAAGAGGTCGTGCTTCGTGCATAGATGCAATGGGAGGAGGTAGTGTTCAGGCACGTAGCCAATTCTAACCTCGCGTGGAGACGACATGAGGTACACGGTAGTAGTGGTATGAGCCCAAGCTTACTATGCGAAGAGGGCACTTGGAAGAAACCTTTCTGTTGGAAAGTTCCTGTAGTAACGCAGTCTATCAGGTAGAAAACAAAAGTCCACCAGCGTCTTGACGCACTCGTTGACGTACCGGAACTGTCCCGGCCTAGTGAACCCAGCCCCTCCCCCGCATGGATTAAGTTAAGTTAAGGTACCGGTAATCTCTGCCGCAGATGACCCCTGAAAGAAAACCATTGTGCAGATATAGGTATGCCTAAGCGGAAGCTGATCCGTCCTCACCTTGCTAAAAAGACTGCCACTTGATACTGGAGTCATATGCTCTTGATGTACGGTAAGATCAAGGCTGCCATCGGCTCATCGGCACAAACGTACTCACTGTCCTCCACTGCTTGGGCACATCAAAACTCTCCCGAGGGCCATATCATTCCGAGACATTTGACATTCACAAATGCTGCTACAGTAGATAAATCGCCCCAAACAGGGTCCAACAGTAGACGCACAGTGAAAGCCTCATTCTTCGGGCCATGGTTGGTTGATTGTCGCTGTTGAAGTGACTCCTTCGGAATCGACTCCGCATCCTCCGCTTTCCCCATTGATCATTCCGCACAGGATGCTGCGTATGCTGAAGTGCGGAGCAGGTCAGCTTCCAAGGTCTAAGTACTAAAGCCTGGCAATTCGTGCGAAAGATCTGCTCGGCCACGGCTGCCATGGCAGAAGAATATCAATATACTCTTTACACCTATTTCCGTTCCTCCTGCTCTGCTCGGGTTCGGATCGCTGCACGCATCAAGGGTATCCGATTGGAATACAAGTACATTCACCTGGTGAAGGGCGAGCAGAATGCAGCAGAATACACGTCGCTGAATCCGAGCGAGTCCGTTCCGACACTCGTTGTCACGAACACAAAATCCGGCCAAGAGGTAGCAAAGATTCGCCAATCGATCGCCATTCTGGAATACTTTGAGGAGTCGAGGCCGGAGTTGCCCAGGCTGCTCCCACCACCAGAGAATTCGGCTTCTAGGGCCAAGGTTCGTGAGCTCGTGGACATTGTGTCATGCGACATCCAACCTGTCACCAATCTTAGAGTATTGACCTTTGTCAAACAACTCAATGTGGAGGCCAAAGTGTGGCAGCAGCACTTCATGACCCTGGGATTCCGAGCATATGAGCAACTCGCCAAAGAGTACTCCGGGAAGTACAGTGTGGGCGACCAATTGACGCTCGCGGATTGTGCCTTGGCCCCTGCTGTCGATGGTGCTTTGAGGTTCGGAGTGGATGTAGAAAGTGATTGCCCGCATGTATGGAAGGTTTGGGAGAATCTGAAGGCTGTAGAGGCTTTCAAGAAGGGCAGATGGGACAACCAGCCAGATACGCCAGCGGATCTGAGGACAAGGGAATGACATGGTCGTACTTGGGCGAAAGAAAGCATCTGGCAATGAGCCCAAACTGGTTGACCCGGGTGACCTTACCTAGGTTCCTAAGAAGCTCCTTCAGAGCCTGATGAGTTGGATGTTGATGCGTGGTACGACAAAGCCCGCATCTTCCTGTGCCATATTGATATGAATTCGGAAGAGAAGAATGGGAAACAGGACGCAAAAGTTAGGGATAATGGATGTTATCGTCGATATCGGTATCGGTGTTGTCGGCGCCTTTCCATGCCGACGACCGCTCGGTCTCCCTTCCTTATCGAACTCAACCATCACTTCACTTGCTTCTTCCTCTCTTCGACGAGCTTGTGTAAGTATAGTCGGTTCTTAGAAGTCAATGTTCTTCGTGAAAGGTTTCAATGTATGGAAGAAGCCCGAAAATATCCGAATCACAATGTCGCGTCCTGTCGCTTTGTACACGGCGGTCGCTACCACGGTGCCGCCCAGAGAAGGCCGACTCGAGAGCAGGAGCAGAACCCACCATGTAAGACTATTTCCTGGCACACGGCTTCGGTTGATAACCTGGTCGAGGTCGGGCTGTTTTTTGGGTCTTTGCTGAGAGGCTCTGCTTGAGTATCGCTCCCGCATCACCTGGCCGCGGTGACCTTCTTTGATGCCTTGAAGGTATAACGATGGCTTGGGATACCGTGACAGCAGACCAGGACTCCAGCACAGACCGGACACAGCCTCATACCTGTACACTATGCTGTGAAGATGGGAATGACTGTCGTCGAGGGGGTTTTTCCGGTGGATCCCCGGCGCACATCTATAGCCACTGCGTCGAAGGCTCGTTACAGAGAACAGGGCAAGCAAAGCTGCAGAAAGCAACGCCGACGCCGAGATCTGAAGAGGCGCGATGGCAGAGTACCACCTTGGCGTGATGTTTGAACGGCTGGCACGTATTGAATGAGTCTGTAGCCGTCGCCATAACGATGCCACAGTCACAGAAACTCTTCAGCACAATATTCTGTCCACAAACAAACAAAGCCTCTATGCTGGACTTCTTATTTCTAGGAGCATCCTTTTGTCCAAATCTGACATCGAGAACTTCAACATAAGATACTGCAGACAAAGGTTCGCACACAAACCTCAAAGAGTGAGTTGCACAAGCCTTTGTCAGGTTGTCGTCTCCCGAATACTAATTCAGCTCTGGAGAAACAGGCACCTCCTTGCAAACCTTTCTCTTCATCTAGACCTGTCCAGACACCGTCAGCGAAGTACTTGTGCTCTCTCTCACACAGGACAAGTGCCAATATATAGTCCATTGTGACCATGTCTGCACCTCGCAAATTCTACGAGCAGACGGCCACCACCACCACCACCTACCAAGACCGCGCCGAGGACGCCATCCTCGAAATGAGAGCTAGGGAGGCTGCCGCTGCGATGGAGACACCAGATGGCCAACCGCGTCGGTGCTCGTCACCAGAGAGAAAGAGGATCTTGCGGGCCATTGTGCGGTGGGAGCTCCGCAAGCTGGAACGAGAAGATGGACGTTGATGCAGTTGAAGAAGGCATCATTGCAGTTGTATGACTAGACAGGACGATGCGAGTAGCGCACGTCAGGCCAGCAAGTGGCACAATGACCGTGGTATTCATGCAGTACTTCCATCCCATAATGACTGAAACTCCTGGACTGCCTTCCATGCTCTCGCCAGCCACATCCTGAACTCATCCCATCATAAAGTGGATACACTCCCTGTTGTCAAGGGCTGTCTTCCCGCTCGATGTTAGACATGCTGTTTCCCCCTCCTTTCCAGCATGCCCATTCCAACCAGCATCCACCCCTGCGCCATTTCCTCGCACTTTCAAGCAGTCGCCTCCTCCGCCTCATCAACGTCCTCCAGATCACTTTGCTTCAATGGGCGACAGACGCCCTCTCTGGTACAGATCATGACACTGGGAACTAGATCCCGGACGACCGTCCTTCCCCAACCCCTGAGTCTTCTAAGCTGGCTGTCGCGCATGGTCATCGGGGCCACCAGCGTCTTGACGCCTACCTGCTCCATCACCATGCCCGAGAGCAAACTGACATAGAGGAACGGGTGTTGGATCATCTCCACGGCGAAGGCGTCAAGCACGGCCCGCGCGCGGCCAATGTACTCGGCCTGTTTCTCCAGCCGATACGACGACAGGTACAGCAGATTCATGCAGATGGTCCCGTTGGGGGAAGGCAGCGAGCTGTCCGTGCCTGGTTTCAGACGGATGATCTGCTGCGACGACTGTTCCGCCTGGAAGTATCCGCCTGTCGTGGACACGAAGTGCTCGTCTAGGTACTCTTGCAGTTTCACAGCCCAGTCGAGGTACGGTTGGGATAGGGTCAAATCGTACAGCACGATGTTTGCGAGTATCAAGTATGCGTAGTCGTCGACGAATGCGGTGGTGGACTCTGGCGTTCGGGAAAGTCTGCCTGTCGTCTCGTCGTACAAGGTCCTGCGGATATAGATGGCTGCTTTTTCGGCGGCTTCTTGACAGGCTCGAGCTCGGGTCTTGTCGATGGTGGCGAGAGTATTGGCTGCTTTGGCAAGGGCGGCGATGGCGAGACCGTTCCATGATGCAATCACCTTAGTGTCGACCTCTGGCTGTTCTCGCTTGGTTTTGCGGTGCTCCAGTAGCTTCGTGCGGCCAGTCTTGATGATGCGAACGATCTCTTCTTCTGCTAGGCCAAATTCTTTGGCAAGGACTGAGGGTGTGGCCTGGATGTGCAGGACGTTCTGGCTAAGAAACTCATCGTGCATGTCGTGCTCGGCAGGCACATTTCCGTGGCCTTTCACGCCGAAATGACGTGCTACGACAGATGCATCGCGGTCGCCGAGAACGGTTTGCAGCTCTTTCAAGGTCCATACGTAATATGCCCCTTCCCGCTTCTCATCTACGGCGCCATTGGCAACACTGGAAGATGATGATCGGGAGTCGGCATCTTCACTTGTATACCAGCCACCCTCGGGTCGGACGATGGGCGAATCTGGGTTCGTAAAGTACTCGACAAGATTGTAAATGGTGCCTAGGATCTCAGGATCGCGACCAAGGGCCCACGCGTCGCAGTAACAGCCAAGTAATTGTGCATTGTCGCACATCATCTTTTCGAAGTGAGGGAGATTCCAGTCCGGGGTGACACTGTAGCGGTGGAATCCATAGCCAAGGTGATCGCGTAAAGCGGAGCGAGCCATGGCGAGGAGGGTGTGCATAGAGATTGAAGCCGCCGTCAGGCAGGAGTCCTGGCCAAGAATCCCCGGAACTGGGCTGAAGAAGCCGAAACGTGTATGTGTCGAGGGTTGAGCGATGGCAGCGCCTATGCGGAGAAGGAACGTGAGGTTGGAAGGGGTCGGAAATTTAGGGGCGGTGGGAGATGCGGTGAAGCCTCCGTTGACAGAATCATAACGTGTGATGAAGTGATCCAGGGCATCGTCGAGGAGGTCGAGTTCTAATGGTTCTGGAGGTTCGGTTGTGGAGGCTCCGGTACCAGGGCTTTGGACGTTATTCGAGTGGGAATGGATGCCCTCGGCAGCGAAAGCTCGCAATTGGTTCGTAATGTCAGCGGAGGATTGTAAGCACTTCTCACGCTGTGTCGACCAGACATCTTGCATTTTGTGCAGGATATCAAGGAAGCTGACAGGAGGTTCATCATGCGTGCTTGCCTGCTTGAGATTGGTCATCGGGGCAGGACCCGGCCAGTATGTCCCGCCGAAAACGGGCTTCAAATCGGGAGTCAAGAAGACGTTTAGCGGCCAGCCACCAGAGCCTGTGGTTGCGGTAACATAATTCATGTAGATATCGTCAAGATCTGGGCGGGACTCTCTGTCAAGCTTGATGGGTATAAACGAGTTGTTGAGTATTTCGGCAACTTCTGGAGTGCTGAATGACTCGCGTTCCATAACGTGGCACCCTTTGGACTATGTTAGGTCGTGTGACATGAAATTGAAGGGTTCCTCACAATGGCATGCATTGTAGCCGATGCTTAGGAAGATCAGACGCTGATATTGTTTCGCCAAAGCAATAGTCTGATCAGACCATTCTTGCCAGGCTACAGAATTATCCTTGTGCGCCCGTAGCTGAGAGTATGAGTACATGAGGTTTCCAACGTGGTCTGTACTTACATAAGGCGACGAGCTGTTTGCCAGGGCATTCTGAAGCGAAAGATTGGGTTCCTCTTTGACCATCGAGGCTGGCGATGTACGTGTGACGGTGGGAAAATTTGACTTTGAGAGATATCAGTGTCACACTTCTGCGCGCACTTCGTGATCGATGCCGTCCAGTTGATATGCTGTTTTCAGGCTACTCTCGAGGCTCTGATTTTGAAAATTTCAGAAGGACCGTCGCTGAGCACGTGGGGCGTTTCTCCGCAAGGCTCTGCGCAAAAGGTTTGCCGCTGACAACCGGAAAGGGCCGGCTAAATGTGGGAAATCGAAAAAGCGACGATCTTTGGTCAGATAGCGAGGACTGAGTGTAACAGCACTTGATAAGTCGTCGAAGAACAACAGACGTTGCTTACGCTTTAGCAAGGCAAAGTTTTCTCTGCGCCGAAAAAAGAAGCACGAGCGCTGAATCGCAATTTGCAGGGCGCGGGAAGTGGCATGACAACCAATGGGAAGCCTGGATTTCCATATCAATATGCTTATCTAATCTGGGGCATTTTGCGCGCATTCAGCGCACTATCGATTCTTGCTGATAAGGAATGAGGAGACTCTCGAGTCTGGTCCAGATCCACAATCAGACTACGTGTAGTCGTACGGAATATTTCGTACCATGATATCCCTTCACTGTTCGTCCAGCACCATCTTCTCCAGCGTTTCTTGTTCTTCAGATTCCATCAGTGCCCGCAACTCTGCCTCTTCCTCCTCCGTCAGCATGGAGAGGTCAACCTTTGGCTCTGGTTCGTCTTCAAGCAAGTGGGGATGTTTCATTTCTTCTACTGCTCTCTGGAGGTCTGCTGGTGCAAGGCTCCACCTCCGCAGTGTCCCATCGATGCTCACGCTGATCAGCAGATCATTTGATATCGTCAAGCCTGTGACCTCTTCGTAATGTCCGCTGAATACGTGGTGGAGGTCACCCGTGGCCTTGAACCACACTCGGACTTCCTCATCTCTGCATGCGGTCAACACCCAGCCGTAATCGTCGTGCGTCACCACATCTCGAACAAAATCTGGGTGCTCTAGTGTCAATACTGCTTGCCAGTTGTCGTTTCGAGAGAGCTGTTTAGCTGTCTTGTCGGCGGAAGCTGTCCATAAGTCGCCATCATCGTCAAAGTGCAATTTGTACACACTGGTTTCGTGGGGAACAATGGGGCCGGCCAATTGTATCTGAGAGGTCTTGATCTTTGAAACTTCTGGAACTGTAATTGAAAAGATTTCTTTCTTTGACGTAGAGAACATGACGCCAGGCGAGTCAGGGTCAGAAAGGGGGTCCAGTGCAAGAGCTTCGATACCCCGACAATTGGGATTTAAGGATCCCAGAGGTTGGCCTCCTATGCTCCAGAACCGAACATCTCCATCAGCTCCTCCCGTTATCAGGATGTCTTGCTTGTCTGGAGTCTGCACCACAATCAAGCACTTGACAAAATCGCGATGGGCAGGGAATGAGGTGTAGTCAGTGACGGTCCGACCCTGCATCGTGTCTTCTGCAAAGCGAAACGTGTAATTCCATACCGACTTGTCCCAGCCGCCGGCGAATACTTGCATTGTGGTGAAAGGATCTTGAGGTGTTTTCGTGGCATGATAGGCAAGGCAGGTCAGGGGCGCCTGTGCCCCTCTGGGAATGGCCGACACTTCATTTGTCGATAACCGTAACCCACTCACCGAGCCACTGGCTTCAGCAAGGAACACCACATCGCCGCTGGGATCGAAGAAGTAATTGACTTCTACAGCCAAGATCTTTGTAGGAAACTTTACAGGGCTGCCCTTGGTGTTTGCTGCTTTGCGTTGTTTTCGATCGCTTTCAACCAATGACGTACTAAAAGAAACAGCGTCAGTAACGGCGGACCGACCAAAGCAAGGAGAAGAATGCTACATGACCTACTCTGTCTGGAAATAGTGGCCTGGGTCATGCGAGCCGATAGTTGACATTGCGAGAATGTGAGAAGAGTTGACAAGGCCTCCGCGTAAAAAGCCCAGTCAATCTACAAGTGGTAACTCACAATGCTGTTCATATCCTCCACTGGTGAGGCTCCAAGGTGGATCCCAAGGGGTGATCAAAGGCTACCGAGTTTTCTCAATATGACGCGATATGCATGTAAACTTCGCCCTAGAGGCTGATGCCAAGTCTTATACGGCGAGACAGACTGGAAATCAACCGTCATTTTTGCGCAGCTTGGACACTTTCTTGCGCTTCGTGTTGTATCTTTGCTTTGCTTCAATTTAACCCGCAACAACACTCCTCCTCCAACTCTCCTTGTACCACAATCGATCTGATCCGTTAAGGCGCGTCCGATCTCTTTTCATCCATGTATCACTAGTCCTGCTTTCTCCTCCTATACTGTCCATTCACTTTTATGGACATGGATCATTTGATAGGCCAGAGGTTCAACCTCATCTCCAAAAGTGAAATCCGGTAATGTGGCCTGGCCTTACTTCGAGCGGTATGATTCTAACATGCGCACCCTGTCAGCTATATTGGTACCCTCCACGAAATCAACCCCGAGCAGTCCACGATCGCTTTGGAAAACGTCTACTCGTTCGGTACCGAGGATCGCAAAGTCGAGAAATTCATCCCTCCTTCGCAACAAAAGTATGGCTTTATTGTCTTTCGTGGGAACGATGTCAAGGACATCAAGATCGCCGAAGATGAACAACCACAACCCTCCCCACCGCCCAACATGCCGAACGATCCTGCTATCCTGGTACGTGGAAACTCCCCTCGCTTCGAACCAAACCGTCTTTATGATGAAATATTTCGGATGTAAATTCACAGACCTGTTCTGAATGCGCAAAGCCGTGTAGATATTTCCGTTGCCTTCCTTCTGATTGACCGTTCATTCATGTTGCCATTGATCTCCCCTGATGTGGAAACACCACTGGCTAACTCTCTTGGGTTTCTCAGAACGCGTCTCAACCAGGTCCAGCACCTGGTGGTCCACCGCGTGACAATCACTTCTCTCCTCCTGGATACCCTCCACATCCTGCCTTTGGCGGCTACTATCCCCCTGGTCAGTTTGGCAGGGGATATGGGCCTCCTCCAGGAGGGTTCGGTCCAGGACCAGGATTTTCACCTTACGGTCCTCCTCCACCTGGCTATTTTGGCCCACCTGGAGGCCAGGGTTTCCCACAAGGACCTGGCCCTCAACATTTCCAACCTCCTCCCCCAATCGGTCCTCCAGGGCAGCGCAATATTCCACAACCTCAGCTGCCACCTCAATCCACTCCTGACTCTCACCCTTCCGCGCCCGCCGCACCTAGCAATCAGACATCCGAGCTACCAGTCGACAACAAAGCTCCTCAAGCGGCTTTCCCCACAGTCGGGAAAGATGCTCAAGCATCAGGCCCTCCTCAGCTCAAGCCCACACTTGCTGAAGTTGCTGCCAGAGCACAAAAACAACCGAGTGCCGGACAGGCACCTTCCGCCAAAATCGCCGCACCGGGCCCCTCGAGAACCAACAAAGTCGCACCCGCTATACCCTTCACAGTCAACCAGAAATCATTTACACCTGTTGCCGCACCTGCTGCGGACGGGCCACCAACGAATGGCGCCCCCACGAAACCCTCGAAGCCTGTCTCCTCACAAGCTGCAATGGATGAAGCTGCTCGCCAAGCGAAGGAGGCAGTCGCCGCAGCTATGGCCAAGCTGAATCCTCAGGCAGCCACGTCGCAGCAGGCAGCGCCAGCAGCTGCTGTTGATGCTTTGACGAAGAAGGTGGCAGAAATGTCAACCTCGAATGCTCCAACCGCACCAGCACGAGGCGGAAGAGGTGGGCCTAGAGGTGGGCGAGGTGGCAACTATGGCCGAGGCGGATCGAGGAAGATTGAAATCCCCCAATCCGACTTTGACTTCGAGTCTGCCAATGCCAAATTCAGTAAGGAAGATTTAATAAAAGAGGCGATTGCGACCGGTTCTCCGCCGGTTGCTGGATCCGAGGACAATATCCATACAGACGGCGCCGATACCGATGCAGCTGCTTCGAGCACTCCGCAGAGAAAAGATAGCGTGTCTACTGCCACAACCTACAACAGATCCACGTCTTTCTTTGACAACATATCTTCTGAAGCAAAGGACAGGGAAGAAGGTAGTGGCGGCAATGGCAGACAAGTTCGAAGCGAAGAGTTCAAGAAGAACGTTGAAACCTTTGGCCAGGGCAACGTGGATGGCGGTTACCGAGGACGCGGCAGAGGCGGATATGGTCGAGGCCGACAATACGGTGGCACATATCGTGGCGGCTACGGCAACCGTGGCGGATATGGATCTCGCGGACAGCGAGGTCGGGGTGGACAGGGCCAGATGCAGGGGCAGGCCCAGGCACCAGCCAGTCAAACCCCGACGCAGTCGTAGCCTTTCGGACATCTGTGGGGTCCTACCTGGGTACCACGCCTCGCCTATGATCTTGGAATGATTTGCTTTAGCGGAAGGCTAGGCGCAGTGGCACGTGTATTTTGCCTGACTCAGGTATGGTCGGCATATTTCATCTGGGCTGCATTATGTGGCATTGGCATGGTTGTCGCCAAATGGGGGTTCATGGTCATGGTATGATCAGTGAAAGGCTGCAAGCATGAATGTGTATCATCAGCGTATCGATACGCGATGCGCGATCATCGCGAAAAGAAAATGAACAAAGTCCATGGCACTGTCCAACTACTAAGCGTTCTCAGCTACTAAACGCCCTCTACTGCTGGTAGGCCATTTTCGGTGCGTGGACGCATAGACACTTCCTCTTCCAATTCAGTGGTTAACAGCAGCACAAGAGGACGAGACGGAAGCTGAGATGATCGTTATAAGCTATTAGAAGAAGCGTAAAACAGAAAGTTGCTCAAGTTGATTCTGCAGCACTTCGTGGGAAGTAGCCTTGTGGAAGAAAATGAAGACAGCTGCCAGGAAAAGAGTACTTAGATGACGAGGCTGAAGCTTAGGCTATTTCAGGCTCACAAGGCTGAACATTTCCGCCGCGTTCCCCACACGCCGCCAATGCTGCAACTGTTTCCATGCCGTATCGTCATGAGAGAGTGTTCAGGAGTGTCGTTGAATGATCCTTGAACGTATACAATCGGCTAGAGTCACACAATAAGAGACTGCTGTCACCGTCCGCGTTGCTATACACGCCATGGCCAACGAGGTCCAGTTCGATGCAGCTTTGTAAGTCTCACTGCCCTGACGATCTAGATCGGCCGGCTCTCCTTCTCTGGTCGCTCTGAATCTGTGACCACAAGTGGCTGACCAAGATATGTAGGGACCTGCTGCGGCGACTGTCACCACTCAAAGTCTCTGAAAATCTCACTGCCATCACCACTCTCGTTCCTGATCTCACCGAAGACCTGTTATCCTCTGTCGACCAGCCCCTAAATTCGGCACGTTGCAAGAAGACAGGCAGAGACTACCTGCTGTGTGACTACAATCGAGACGGAGACTCTTATCGAAGTCCTTGGAGCAATGAGTTCGAACCACCTCTGGACGATGCCACATATCCGAGCGATCGCGTGAGGAAGATGGAGGTCGAGGCCAACACAGCCTTCGACGTCTACAGACAGATGTACTACGAAGGTGGCACCGGAAGTGTCTATCTCTGGGATCTTGATGATGGGTTTGCCGGAGTGGTGTTATTGAAAAAGAATGTCGCACAAGAAGCCGGCTGGGATAGCATCCACGTCTTCGAGGTCGACGAACGAAGAGGCAGCGGAAGAACCTGTCATTATAAGCTGACGAGCACTGTTATACTTCATCTGGGACGAGAAAGTGAAGGCGTGGGCTCCTTGACCCTGGCAGGCAGCATGACCAGACAGGTCGAGGCTGACCTGGTAGTGGAAAATGTTGGCGGACAAGGCAAGGACGGAGGCCATGTCTGCAACGCTGGGCGACTTATTGAAGACATGGAGGGCAAGATGAGAAACATGCTTCAAGAAGTTTATTTCGGCAAGGCGAAAGATGTGGTGGGCGATCTACGCAGTGTGGCATCATTGACTGGGGTCAACCGAGATCGACAAGCTCAGAGAGACGTGATATCAAGCATGGGCGGCAAATGAACTTTACGACTGACGATGCTGTGAAGGGCGTCAAGGAGAAGAAAGGAGCCTCATGATAGCCAGCTCGGTGTGGCCGACTATCTGAGGACGGCCAGCCACATTGTGCAGAGCAACGAAGATGATGAATGCGGTTCGGGTGCCGTGTGCCAGTCTGGTACTATGGTGGATGCTGGACGTGTGAGAGCCTGTGTCTTGGTCGACAGAAAGAACGCGAGCAGTTGGCCAGATGCTCAATCGTGTTCCCGAGTAATGCGTCACTGGCAGCTCCTACCACATAGATGTTGTTTACGACAGATGAATGCTACAGCCTGCCAGCATGGTGGGGTTTGGAGCAAGTCCTTGTCAGCAACTTCCGTAAATGCACTAAACTTCTCCTTCTTTCTTTCCCCAGAAATATTGCGAGCTAAATTAGATGACCGGCTTCGTATTGCTAGACATGTGGCAAGCTACCATGAAATTCAAGCTAACTACACAATCTGTCATGCCACGCACCCCGGATTGACATCTACACCCGATTGCATGGAAGCAGACGACTTCATCGACTACCTTCTGAATAAATCCACCGATGGAGACACGGCGAAGCTCCATGTTGATGTTCGATGGAACCAACCTCGCCGGCTATCCCGTCTAGCATGAGCTCGCCGCCTGTCAAGAAAGCGTGCGATGCGTGTCATCGCCGTAAGGTCAAGTGTTCTGGCGAGCAACCCTGTGCGAATTGCGCTCAGACAAATCTACAATGCACGTATCTCGCGATCCCGCAGAAGAAGGGCCCAAAGGGCTCTCGAGCCAAGGTCATTTCTCAGATCCGCGACAATCAGCATCATGCGACGCCCTCTCAGTCGAGTCCATTTGACTTCAACAGTCCACCCACATCCCCTTATTCTCGGGATCCTGCGCTGCTGTCAAAGCAGACGATCGAAATTTGTGTCGACTTCTACTTCACCAATATGTACACAACAGCTTGGATTATGAATCGTGAATCGTTGCTGGATTCGATCGCTTCACAAATTGCTACCGATGCCGAGCTCTATTGTTTGACGGCATCCCTTTGTGCCTTCGTCATGGTTCAGCCCGGCACGAATTTGCCCGTGGCTCCAGGATCTCATTACCAGGGAGAATCTCCCCAAACCCGATACGGCTATGCTCAGATGCTCCTCGACGATATTGTCCGAGTCCGGAAAAGCTTCGACTACATCGAGTCGTCGTCTCTGGGCTCTGTCCAGACATCATTCTTCCTTTTTAGCTGCTATTTTACCCTTGAACGGCAGAACCTGTGCTGGTATCATCTACGAGAGGCGGTAACATTGGCGCAAATCATGGGCATGCACGAAGAGTCGTCCTACGCTACAGCAGACCATGTGGAAAACATCTACAAGAGACGGACCTACTGGCTTTTGCTAGTGACGGAAAGAGCGTACGCCTTGGAAAGACACCGCCCGTTGAGCATTCACCCAACAATTGACCTACCTACGCCTCAGGAACCAGATGAAGAAGCAGTCATAACCGGGTTTCTCCATTTGATCAGTTTGTTTCGTTGCATTGACGACGAATTCATGGGTTTATGGAACAAGGCAAAACTTAGCTGCTCAGTGGCTTGGTTGACGCAGCTGCAGCAACAGCTTACTGCCGCACTACCGGCTGATCTGAAAACGACAGAAAGCCAAGCTGCAGACATTCGCATCACCCTGCACTGGTTAAGAATAATGGTTTGGCAGCTCTCTATCACCAATGGATTCTTGTCTTCCACCTCATACCACCGATCCATGACCTTCAAATACCCGATCGAAGTGTCGAAAGATCTGGCAGAAGATATCAAAGTTTTGTCCATGGCTTCAATGGAGCTTCATGGGGTTGGTCTTATCGAGAAATTGTTCGACATCGCGTGCACTTTGACCGACGTGATTGCCTGCGTGCCTCTCACGCCAAATGCGGAATCAAGCGAGGAAGCACCGATCGAATACTTGAATGCTTTTCTGAGCCTGATATCTCGGCTCCGTGGTGGGTCATCTCGATACCTGCCTTTACTGCTCGCAAAAGTCTCGGAGACCTTGCCGAATATGGCGCGTCCTGTAGCTCCGGCGCAGATGAGCATCAAGCAAGGATATGCTGGCGCTAGCGACGACACACCAACGCCATCACCGCCGCAGACAATGCAATACATTGCCGCGCTGGGGCTGGACAGCTCAGTACCAGCAACACACCGACGAAGCCACCTTGGTGGTGCAGGCTCTGCGAGTGGTCCTAACAGTCCGGAGATGCATGGGAAGGTGGCGAAGATGCCGATCTCGCAAATATAAACTGTGCCCGGTTCGTAAAATACGTCCTCGCAGACGCAACCGCTGGGGTCCCTGGTACTCGGAGACGCTGGATACAGTATCAGGCTCACGAGCACCGCCGTTGGATGGTCGCGAAAAAGCAAAGCAATGTTGACTATAACTCGCACCAACGATATCATCAAGGCTGTTTCGGACAACCTAACATACGCTGCGCGTCCTTGCAGCCCCAACCATTGACAGGTATCGTCGAGATACTGGCCTCGACATTTGCATCCAGACATGGGTCGCAATTGAAGAGATGAAATCAGCATACAACTAAGCCTTCTAGCAACCCTTGTACCTGGACAGCCGGACGAGGTGCGACAACGGTAGAAGAAGGTAATAAAATTTTGAGCAGAATGTTTCCTCATGAGACTCGAACAGCTACTATAGCTATACTAGTCTGAAATCTGAGCCCAATGGAGAGGGATTTGATCGAATTGAGAGGAGCCTTGATACGAGCCCAAAGCAGATGTTTGTCTCGACAGCATGCTGGTCTTGGTGGCGCTAATCCATGCACATTTTTGGTCACAATTGACACAGCCCAGGATCTTGATGAATAGCAGACCATACCAGCAATGTCGAACAATAATGTAGCAATTGTTTTTTCGTCTTGCTTCCCACCTTTCGCCTTTGGACGCTCGAGTTTGTGTTCGTGATTCGTGAAGAGAGTCCAGATTACCACACCTTTCTGCTAAAGCACAACACATTCCCAACATCAGCCTTTGCACACCAAACACAATCACAAAGCGATCAAGCACCATCGCCCCAGATGCCAACCACTCCCATGGCAAATCCGACACCAGCAATCCAGCTTCGGACCTTCTGGATCTTTCTCTCCCTCGTCATCTCCATCTCGACCTTCTCACCATTGACTTGGTCCTCGCTGCCCTGTGGCTCCACTTCGATGTAGCCGCTTTCTGACCCGCCGGGGCTTGAGCCCCGAGTTGCGTTTGCTTTCCCTCTACCCGAGCGAGCACTGAGGCTAGGGAATCTTGACAGACCGTTGAAATAGTACTCGACGCCTTGGCCGCCAATGAATGAGACGAGCGCTGTCCACAGTAGGTAAGGATGGCGGCCGCGCGGGGAAGCTAGCGTGAAAGCTGTGATCAAGGATAAAGATGAGATGGATGCGAGAGTGAGGATATGTCGGGTTGATTGTGTTTGAATGGTTGCGAGCGTGCGAGAGGCAAGGGAAGCGGATGGTAGGAGAGCGAGAGATGGAAGGGTTATGTTTGTGAGGGTGTAGGATGTGCCCTGGTAGACAGTCAGACGACTTGCACTGCTTTCCCAGCTAGGAGACAACATACCGTGAGCAGTCCCAGGGAAATGGTCCCAACAAACTTGGTGATGCTTATCGGGCAAGGCATATTTGCAGCCTCAGAAGCGTACTGTTTCTGCAAGAGGGGTGGTCTTCGAGTGGCGGCGGAGCAGGGCTGTACGGATATCTTGAAGCTCGGTCAACTTTTGATCCCTGGCAAGCTGAGAGTGTGCAAGATGTGCTACTCGATCGTTGTTGACGAAGCAGCAGTATTGCAAGTGCAGTTCTTGTTTTGGGTGCGGGCAACGACTGAGGGTTGAGTGATGTGAATGAAATGCATAGAATCAGTCATAAGAAGGTCGATGATGTCGCCTATGATCTCTCTCAGTGCTGGCGCGATTCAACGGAGGCTGCTCCGCCCAAAAGACATGCAAGCTTGAGCGGGAGTAAATGCGCCGCCGTAGACCGCTTTTAGGGCAGCGCATTCGCACGGAGCTGCATCATAACACTCAGTATCAACTCGCGTCGCGATACGCTTTCGCGCTTTTCCTTGCTACCATTGTGGCTAATGGCGAAACCCCGGGTTGTACTCATGCTTTTCATACTTCCAATGGGTCTGACAACCGGCCGTGTGTTCTGGCAGCCTGAAGATCTCTTTCCTCCATATCCTCACAGTGACTGATAGATAGACATCGGCGGGGATAATGCCTGGTCACTCTGGGTGTGATTGCCACAGATTGCGGCAACACAAGAGAAGAGGTGGCGGGCTGTTCCCAGGTTCGTGGCACTGTGTGTGGCGCAGTCTGAAACTCAGCCACACTCACTTTACTTTCGGCTGGATATCAGAAGACTCGGAGGTGGAAATCGGTGCCGGTGACGTCTCACACTACTTGGCTTTCCTCCCCCGCCATCATGATGTGCTCGGGTCATTGCCTGGTAATTAGTTGTAGTATTCCATCATCTGCCTGCTTGGCTGCGATCAGGCCGCACCCTGCATAAAACAGAGCGACTTGGCCTTCAGTTATCACTATTCCGTCATTAATATCATCCTCCATCTCCCACACATCACCCTTCGACCAACAACTCTCTCTTGGTACATATAACCGCAATGTCGTATGCACCTCCCACAGGGCCACCTCCGCCTCGCGTTCCCGAAGGCTGGAAGGCGGTCTTCAACAACGAGTACAAAGAATGGTACGTGCGCACACTTTACCACACACTTCCGAGGTCTTTTGACAGTACTGACTTCCACATCACAGGTTCTTCGTAAATCTCTACACCAAACAATCTACATGGGATAAACCTACCGAACCTGCGCGTGGAGGCGACGGTGATGCCCCTCCCGGCGGTGCCCCTCCGTCATACTCAGCCGGGTCCGGCAACCCCAACGTTTCCGACAACAAGCACCCTTACACCCAAGGAGGTCCAGGTGAGACCGATGAACAATTGGCCAGGCGCCTCCAAGCTGAAGAAGATGCGCGTCTAGGCGGTACTACAGATCGTGGCGAATCCGATTCCTATTACGGTTCCGGTGGTGGTGGTGCCAACCCCTCTACCCTCCAAACCGGCTACGCAGGCGGTCAATCAGGCGCACCTGTCTCTCCACGACCAGTCAGTGCTGGCAGCGCAACCAAGAACCGTGGCTTCTTCTCAAAGATCTCGAACAAGCTCGGCGGTGGCTCTTCAGGCTATCCACAACAAGGTGGCTATCCACAACAGCCAGCTGGGTATGGCTATGGCCAACAACAAGGAGGATACGGCGGTGGCTATGGTGGCTATCCCCAACAACAAGGCTATGGCGGTTACGGTGGTCAACCACAATATGTGCAACAACAAGCTCCAAAGAGATCTGGTATGGGAGGTATGGGTGGTGCAGCCCTAGGTCTTGGTGGTGGTCTACTTGGCGGTATGTTACTTGAAGATGCGATCGATGCCGGTGACGGTGGCGGTGGCGATGGCGGCGGTGACGGCGGTGGTGACTACGGTGGTGGTGATGGTGGTGATGGCGGCGGCGGTGACTTCTAAGCACAATGCCTGCCATGTTAATGATTCGAGGTGTGCATGAAGCGACGAAACGAGATGAGAGTTGATGGCTGAAGCAGAAGCTATGGGCGACGCTTTCACAGCAGCTCACCAACATGAGATGCGCTGAATCGGGGCTCTCGACCACAAGCATACGAGATCCTGTTACCGTCTATTGAATATCTGCATCCAAGGACCTTCTACCATCCGCCGAGCAGTGTACCCTGATTTTCATATTGGGAAATGCTCTAATAGGCAAATGGTTTGTTCTCTCATTGTAGCACGACATGGTCAATGCATGGCTACAGTTTTCACTCTCCCCTGATCCTTCACGCCTTTATGCACAAATGCTGTAGATGGACCAGATGCTCCAAGCCAAACGCTAATAATCACTTTCCTGTAATCAACCGCCTGGCCTCCTGCTCGCCCACGCCCAGCGTGGTGACGAGGTACTCGGTACTGGCCTTCTCAGCTATGCGCCTCCTGACCTCAGCGAATTGTTCGTAACACGTATCTTTGACTTTGGTCCGCTTGCGTGTATCGATTGTTTTGATCCTCAGCTTGAATATGCCGCTGACAGGTCGGTGGTCGCTCGTCTGCACCTCATGCCGTCGGTACTCGAGCTGCTTCACGCGGCCAGGCCCACGGTACAGGACTCGATCACACCAAGCGGGGGCGCGCTTCTTTTCCGATGTGTCGTAATTGTCGGTGCCCACGTCGTACTTGTACGTTGGAGCGAATGTAATGGGCAATTCATTAAACAGCGCGAGTCGAAACCCAGCCACGCGACGGCGAGACACCATGATCTGGTCACGCTCCAGTAGCTTGGCGAGCTCGTTACGCTTGATCATCTGGACCACAGTGTCGCGAGGGACAGTGTCAATGCGATAGTTCAAATCGCCGTTCAAGATGCATATTTCGTGGTCGAGGACTTGCGCACCGTCGCCTCCTCCAACATACAATGAACTGCGATTGTCAAGGTCTGGTTCCGCATCCAGAGACTCAGCCTCCAGAATGCTTGCAACGTCGTTGTTGCGATGTGAGGTATGCGTCTGTCCAGCTGCGAGATGGCAGTTGACAAAGCACACGGAGCTGTCGTCGAGGACAAAGCGGGTCACTAGAGCACCTTTGTTGCCGTAACGTCCTTTCAGGCCAAGCTTGACACTCGTCGCTTGCAGATTGCGAACATGTTGCCGTTCTTCTTGCCTAATGAAAACACATTGGAAGAGTCCAATCAAGCTGGACGTCTGCAATTCAGAATAGGAGTAGTCTGCGCTCGTGTTCCGGTTAATGACTAAGCTGAGGTAGTCTCGCCACTCGCGGTAGACACGGCTTTGGTGTTGTTCGTTCTTGACTGTGTCCTTCTTCTTACCGAAGCCGAGGATGCTCTTCGCGGTCACTGCGCGGTCTTCCAAATCGACGACTTCCTGGAATCCAAAAGCCAGTATCTCAGGTGGATCTTCCGCATGAATTGCGTCGGCTATGAAGTCCTTCCGTACATCATACGGCGTTGACGCGCCAACATTCCATGTGATCACAGCGGCGCGGACTTTTCGGAAAGTGCAGTACTCGACATCGCGACTGTGCATTTCACTTTCTATCCAATCGTCTTCGAGCGCGGCATCCCATAGCCTGACATAGTTGTCATGGCCAATCGTTACGACTTGTAATCGTTGTAGGGTCCAGACGCTGCTGGGATCGAGTAGGAGCTCTGTAGCCGGGCCTTCATGAGCGCGCCAGTCTTTCTTGACCTTCCAAGGTAACGTAGACGTGTCGTATACATAAACCATCCCGGTCTTGAACGCCGCCCAGAGCCTGTCCCCAACGTAAGACATGCTGTTGATCTTATAGTCGCTGGCCTTGATGTTTCCAATAAAGGAGAAGTTTTGTGTGGAATAGATGGTAACTCTACCATCATTGTGGCCGAAGTACGCTCTTCCTCCATTCTCCTTCGAATGGGTGCCGCAAGTAACGTCTCCAGTCCCGTGCTGTGACAATGGACCCGTCAACGCCGCAAAGGAGTTTTCATTTCCTGGTTTGTAGACTCGAACTTCTTTCCCTGTCGCTAGCCAAAGCGTCCCGTCTATGACCATCGAGAATGAATGGCCTCGTTGGACTTTGTGGGAGATGTGACTATATTTCAAGCTAGGCACTCCTGTTTCATCTGCTTCCCACACAAAAAGTTTGCCATCATCATCGAGTGTCCACAAATCGCGTCCGTTCCGCAGTATAGAGACAATTTCCCGACGATTGTGCGTTAAATTGGTGGTCTTGATAGTATAGGTGGCCACTTCAAGTTCCATCAACTCGCCAGCATTTGTACCAAGCCACAACATGGCACCCTCTTGGGCCAGGTCAGCTGCAGGTTTAAATGCCACAGCAGTGACCTTGACTGTCTCGCCATGGTTGATGCTCATCACCTGTTCGCCAGAAGTCATGTCGAAGACACGAGTGACGTAGCCAGCTGTGCACAGGTATTTACCGCACACCGTCAGCGTTCTTGAGTCAGATCTAGTACCAATTTCCCACGGACTGTCTTTGCAGAAGGGAGGTCGACGGTTGGTGTTGGTAGCATCGGGGTACTCTGACCGCAACGTGCTGGGCTCTTCAGCTCGTTCCTCTGCATCGTCCGAATCGTCCCGCGAAGCTCTTGGAGCCGCTGCGGAGATCGAGGACCTGTTAGACACTTCCGTCCTAGAGTTTGCGGAGGTTGGGACCTGAACGCTATCAACACTGCCACGTTTGGGTGGTGGAGGGAAACGCGTATCCACCGCTACTGCTGGAGTCCGCGACACAGGCTGTGCTGGAATGAGCTTTCTAGCCTTGTCTGGCACTCCATGATGCTGCATTTGGGTTACAGGCTTTATTTGGTTTTTGGATTCATTGGAAGGACGGGGTGGAGGCTCGATGTTTCGTCGCGGAGGTAAATCGGGGCGTGCTTCTTCCTCAATGACGCCGACATCAGCCTGCTGTTGGCTGTTGAAACCAAGCTGTCGAGGGTCTCGTGCATGCGGAGCACGGATTGATTGTGAGTGCACCACAGGAGGCGGAGGTGTACTTCGAATCGTCTCTGACACATGACGTGGAGACGGTTTGCCAGAGACGAAGCCTAACTCTCGAGGGTCTCTGGATGGCTTCTCTGAAACTGTGTTCGCCCTTGAAGGCAGGGTTGATTGTCGACTGGGCGGTTGTGGTTCGGGAGGCGCAAACCCTATGGTCCGAGGGTCTTTTCTTTCGGTTGTTGGGGCCTTGGAGGCAAAGCCTAGAAGACGAGAATCCTTTCCTCGATCTGACAGAGCCGCAGATATAGGTTGACCCCCGATTCTGCTAGGGGCCGACGTCGGATCTGTAGGTGTGAAGCCGAGCATGGGAGCGACCGGCTCAGGACTTTGTGTAGGCGAGCTCTCGTTGCTACTTGGAGGTGTACTGAAAGGTGATATGCGTGCCTCGAATGATGGTCTGCGTGGGGCTTCAGGCCTCAGGGCGATGCCCCCGGCATTTCCAGGTGGTGGAGCAATTGTCATCGGCTTTGCAGGTATCTTCGGCTTCTCTGCCCTGTTGATAGGCGGAGGTCTACCGGGTGACCTCGGTGCCTGCGTATCTGTAGACTTTTGCTCATTTCCTGCCACTGAGGTGCCTGCCCGCTCCTGGCTTGGTGCCCGAGGCGTCGTCGGTCGTGTCGGCGGCCGGCTCGAATGTTGAGAGATGAGTTCACGCACTTTTGCGAAAGGCGTGTCATCAAAGCGTTCGGGAGACCTGGAGACACTCCGTTCGAAGTATGTACGCGGCGGTGATCTGGGCGAGTCGACCTTGACCGAGGGAGTCAATTGCGGCGATGATTGCATGAGCATCGACATGGGTCGCTTGTGGAGCGATCTCGTTGGAGATTCGCTGCCCTTGGCAGGTGTATATGATCCTACATGGCTCGCAGACCCGACGCCAGCCCATGGAGATACTGGTCGCACCAGGTCGAACGACTTCCGTGGTGCCGGTCCTGGTGATGGTACATCTACGGGCCGTAGAGGCTGTGGCGATGATGGACCGGTGCCACGTTCATCGGGTTGCAGGTGGTTTACCTTGAGTCCCTCGAAATGAGACAGTAAGGACGAAACCGGCCTTATGGGCACTGCGTCTGACTGTTTCTCTTTTTTGTCATCCATTTTCTTTTCTCATCGTCGCGTAGGCAATGCGGCGTCCCGGATGTAAAAGTCCGCCAGGGTCTTTGTGGTGCTACCGCCTCAGCATTCTGAGGACGGAAGCTGAACGCGCGAATCGTTCAGTCGTGAAATGGTTGGATGGATGGGATCTGTAGCGGGATAGTGTCAATGCTGATGACAAGGATGAGTGAGTAACGATAGATGGCTTGGAAGGGTGAGACGGAGACAGGTGGTTTGAGATATCAGGCGCCGACTATTAGGGTGGAATAACAAAGTATGTGAACGAGTGACTGGCACCGAAGAATTTCCGCTTAATGATACTTCAGGTGACTTTTCGAGGATAAGATGGTTTTTTGTGTTGTTGAAACACCGCATCTTGTCAAGCGATGTCTACGTATGCACCAACCTACGAGTAGGAACCACCAAGGCACATGAAACACAAGTGCCCTGTCAAACTAAAGCTGCGCATTTGTTGATTTGCGGAGAGAGACGCGCAGCAGCAGCGCAGTTTGACAGACACGTGACAAGCAGAAACTCCCCTCTCCCGGTCACGTGAGAGACTCCGGTCATAAGCGACTTTACCGAGAGAAATTCTCTGTGACGTTAACCATTGAAACTAGTCCCAAACACTCCTCCAATCCTCTCACAGATGCGCACGGCCTAACGATGTTTTCACAAAAGAGGAAAGGATTCTACGCGACGCGAAAGAGGTGGGACATTCTCGGAAAAGTAGAACTGCCGCTGCCATTGGTAAGAGAAGGCGTTCGGTAGTTATGAGTACTTACTCGTACACCATATATTTTGATGACGGAGATGTTATCCGTTGTAGAATGATGATATGATCTCATTATTGAGGTCTGAGAGGCGCCAAAGGACGAATGCCTCGCGCAGCTGCTACCACGGTACGAAAATGCGCATGATGTCATGATGAACACATTGCATCTCCTAAACGAAAAGGTAAGACATATATAAGAGTGAAAGTGTCCCCTAATTTCACTTCGAAGCACTTTCAAAGACGTACGGTCACCCTACCTTTCGCAATAACAGACAGATTTCCCTCACATCGTCATCATGGCCCTCTCACAAGCAGCAGCCCTGGTCGAGAAGATCATCGGCCACGGCGGTGAAGCTACGACCGAACAGAATCTCAGCAACCCCTCCAAAGATCCCTCCAAGTATGCCGATCCCTCAGGCGAGAAGATGAAGGCGCTGGTGTGGAATGGCAAGAACAGCGTCAAGATCGTTGAGACATTCAAGCCGGCAAAGATCGAAGACACCGATGTCATTGTCAAGGTGACCGGTTCGACCATCTGCGGCTCCGACCTTCACTTGTTACATGGCTCGATCGTAGAGCTGCAAAAGGGGGATATCCTTGGACACGAGTTTTGTGGTGTTGTTGACAGCGTCGGCCCCAGTATCTCCAAGGTCAAACCGGGTGACCGAGTCGTTTGCAGTTTCCAAATTGCCTGCGGCAGCTGCATGTACTGCAAGCGGAAACTCAGCAGTCAATGTGAAAAGACCAACGACAATACCATCGAGAATATCATGTACGGCGGCCGCACTGCAGGTATGCTGGGATACTCGCACTTCACTGGTGGTTATGCTGGTGGGCAAGCCGAGTATGTCAGGGTCGCATATGGCGATGTCAACCTTTTGAAGCTGCCAGATGACGTCCCTGACGAGAAGGGCCTGTATCTCTCTGATGTGCTCAGCACGTCATGGAACTGCGTCGTCGATACGGGTGTAAAGGAGGGAGACGTCGTCGCTGTCTGGGGCGCGGGTCCTATTGGTCAGATGGCTGCAGAAATGTCATTCATGAACGGTGCCAAGCGCGTCATCATCATCGACGGTGGTCCAGCTGCCTGGCGTCTCGACTTCGTCAAGTCAAAAATCCCCAAGGTCGAGACAATCGATTTCACCAACCTCGCAAAGGGCGAAACCGTGGTATCTACGCTCAAGAAGATGGAACACGGCGGTCCCGATGTTGCTCTTGAGTGCGTAGCAGGCGAGTACGCCAAGGGCTGGGCTCATTATTTTGAGATGATGCTGGGTGCGGAGACAGACACTTCCGAAATCATCAACGAAATGATCGCGAGTGTCAAGAGCTTTGGTCGTTGCGGTGTCACTGGCGTGTATGCCGGATTCACCAACCACTTCAACATTGGCTCTCTCATGGAGCGTGGTATCCGCCTGATCGGCAACGGTCAGGCCCCTGTTCACTTGTATTGGGAAGATCTGCTCAAGAAGATCCAAGATGGCAGTCTGGAACCACTGAATATGGTCACCCACCGTGTTCGTCTTGAGGAGATGGATGAGCTGTACAGACGGTTTGATGCCCGTGAAAAGGGTATCCAAAAGGTCTTTGTGGCCACCAAGTTTAGCTTCCCACCATCTCCTGGAGCGCCACAACTTACCGAGTTCGGTACTGCATAAAAGTGTAATGGAATGAACGAGCAATGAATGGTTGTGTATGCCTCGATCACCAAATATGATCATTATTGAAAATACCCTCAATACCTTATGATGAATCGAAATGCCAAACATTATTCTCATCGTAGTATCATTGGGAGAATGCTGGAAATTCACGTCAACATTCACTGGCAATACGCGGCTTCGGCCAGGGATATTTCGGCCAGCGATAATATCACCAGTTGCTAGCCATTACCATAAATCTATTTCCCAAAATGCTTCAACTCCCAATATCGTACAGGCGCATACGTCAACGCCGTGACAACGAAAGCGAACTCATTAGCGACATCACCACCATAGTCGCCAATCACCGCGGATAATGGACCGATGTACCAGGTCTCATTCATACCCATGACCCAGGCCACCACGCCTAGACTGAACGCAACCGCCGCAGCGATACCATGCGGCAATCTCGCAGGGTCATTCCAGCCCTCGAGATCGTAGTTTGCAAAATTGCGCTTGCGGAAGACAACATGCTCCGTGAAGAGAATCACGAAATAGCTCGTGCACCAGTATCCCAACAAACTCAAAAAGTCGGTCAAGTAGGTGTTGAGCTCCTCACGACCGCCCAGCGCCAGGGCCAAGATGGCTGCGAAGCAGAGGAACGTCCAGATGAAGCGGGGGACTCGGGCAAAGGGGCGCGAAAATTGCTGACACGAAATCGCAGCAGAGTAGATGGAGATGACGTTGGTGTTGACGCCGGACAGGACGAGCAGTGTGAGCAGGAACTTAGCGAATCCACGTGGGTACAGCGAGTCCTGAATGAGGAAGCCGAGCCCTTGGTTCTCGTACGCATCCTGCCACTCGGGCTTGTTGTTGAGCGCCGACGCCACGACGCAGCCGGCGACCATGCCGATCGAAGTAGGGATAGCGATGCCAAAGGTGGTCATAAAGAAGACCTTTGTGCGGGAGACATTGGCCGGATAGTGTACATAATAGTCTGATGCCATGGTGCACCAGGACGAGCTGGAGCCGTAGACGATGGCCAGCAGCGACAGGACGGTTCCGGACAACGTTGCACCAGTCAACGAAGAGGGGGTAGTATTGTCCGCATATTTTCCCGTCTCTCCAAATATGATCATGAAAATGACAAAGTAGATGAGCCAGGCATAGCGCTCGTAGACCAGAATGGCGTTCAGGCCAATAAAGGAGATGGCTAGAGCGACGACGGCAATGATGATGATGCCCACCACCAGAGAGACGTGGCCGTCAGCGACAGCATTGAGGGCAAGACCGCCCGTGATGCAGGACACCGCAGCCCAGCCGATTTGCTGAATCGAGTTCAATGCGGCGATCAGCTTATTTGGCCACCATCCAAAACTATATCGGCTCACAGATATTTGGCGAAGACCGGTGGCGGCACCGAAGGTCGCGCAGTATCCGGTCACGGCACCACCAATGATTGAGGCAAAGATGGTGATCAGGATGGACTGCTTCAAGCTAAGCCCAAACTCCCATCCTAAGAAGCCCGTAGCAAAGCACGAGGTGTTCATCGTGCCACTGGCCCAGAGCAGAGCCATGGTGAGCTGCTCGTGCCATGGCACCGGCTTCTTGTCCTCTGCACGTTTTCGGTCGATGGCCTCGGACTCGATACCAAGCTTTGCATCTAGGCGTGCCTCGACGCCGCGCAGCTTGGACACAATGCCATTGTCCTGATGGACGGGAGTGTGGTTGTAAAGGTCTGTCGGGCTGTCAGTGGCAAAGTCGGCGCTAGTGTCGTCGAAGGCCTTTGGCGGCACGTCGTGGACCGGTCCCTTTCCCGCGTCGATGATGGCCATCTTGAATGTATTGTCAGTAACAGCACACAAGGCGACGGGAATAACTGGCAGCAGCCACAAAAGCTAGAAAAATGAGTCCGTGGAATATAAGAGAAAAAGTTCGCCGCCGTTGCCGTCAGATGCGGGGATGAGAAAAGAAAGCCCTTCGGGTGACGATGCCGGTTCAGGTAGGTGGTATTCGTCTGCTATCGAGAATGTGTGCTTGTTAGGTCGCAGGCCGAATCCTTCTGGGCCAGCCCTCCATAGCTTGACCCTGTCGCATGGCAGTTGTTGAATGTCCATTGGCGGAGCCCTGCCAGAGGTTATCTAGAACCAGTGTGCTGGAAGAGATTTGAGGTGTTCACTGTGGTCAGCTGTCAGCCGGCCACGTTTAGCGGGCCGCTGGCGTGGCTGGGTAAGCCTGGAAGAGTCTTCCCGAGGTTCAAAGGCGGCTTTATCTCTGCAGGAGAAAAGCTTAGCAAAATCTTTATCGAGCATGGTGAAATTCAATTGCCATCAGCTGATTTGCTCCAAGGAGCTCTCACAGCATGGGCGCAAGGAAAATTTGAGTGGGCTCGAGCTTCACGCTATGAGAATGCCTGCTGCCCCACAAGTCTTTCATAAATTGGGGACTTCATGGATGTCGTTGAGCCTGACTGGAAGCTGTGTTGTAGGCGTTCATGGAATCTCCCTAGGTGTTGTGGTTCGCTCAACGTCGACGCACTGATGGCCCGATGTCCTAGGAACGAGCTGGACTTCAGGAGTCCATGCTGAATTTTACAGTTCCACCACGGCTGTGTCCCAAGTCGACGTTGAGAGGTGGTCTGGCTTTTATGTAGTGGTACGAGTATGTCCACCTTGATGTCTCCATTTGTGGGTTGTTGCGTAGGCATCTTCACATCCACGTCACCCATGCAAGGCTGTAGCAACCGCATTCGATGCATTTACAAGCGAAAATGGGGTTTGTTGAAGAAAGACAAACTCCATGTCTGGTAGTCTGAAGTGTCGGTCCAAATGTCCATCTTTCATCCCGAAGACGATAAGAACTTGCCAAGTTTCATGTTTCTGGTCAATCGAAGATGGTTTTGAGGGTAGTGCAGAGGTGCTATCGCGATCGCCAAACGGGAAACGCGTTGTGCTACTCATTTGAGTGCACGGATCCGGGCGACGATGGACATGGTTTAACATGTAAGAGCCGCAAACGTCACGGTTGAATGCTACAAAAGCAGGCATACGATCAGCGAGCAGTACGTAGTAGGTGCTTCATCGTCACTGAAGCCTTATCAGACGTTTTGGGAAATTGAGCATGAGGATGATTCTATTGGCACTACGAAGTTGTAGCGTCGGCCATTGTAACCCTGAACCCATTGACGTGACCTCTAGCAAAGCTCTAGTCAGCCGTGTCAGCCTTGGTACCTCGATTAGTAGGATCTTGGCTTCTATCATCATTTCATCTCTACAAGTTAAACAAGACAATCAAGATAAGGTCTCGCACACTTGCGTAACGTTTCTTTTCGTCAACGAAGAATGGAGAACACCTTGGCATCTCGTAAATGGATCTGAGATGCGAAAACTCTCATCGGGTCCATATGCTGCTTCGAGAACGTCAACACCCACCGGGGCGCTCGATGCGGCTCTCTATTTGACATTTGTCCTGGGGTTGCCTCTCGTACACGTTGGTCTCCAGACAAGCTAAGGTGTCAGCTATGGGAACGATCGGGGGATTGCGACCTTCTAACACACTTCGAGGCACGTTCTAGCTGCTTTGGTCGTCGGTGACCCCGTGAGGAAAGCTTCCCAGCGGCCCAGAGCACGATCGAAACGGAGCTATGGCGGGTCTAGTCGCAGCTGAAAGACCCACTTTTGATATGGCAACATATTGTGCCCTTATCACGCCATACAGAGCCTGCAGCGAGTAAGCCCTACCTGGCCCGACTTACACCACAAGTCTTAGCAAGAATTTTCGACAGGGATCAGTAGATAAGGCCAGGACCGAACGGGCCATTGAATCCCAGCCTGAAAACTCCCTGTCTTCTGGAATATAAGCCCATTCGGGTTCCGATCCACAACCAGGTCCTCGCTTCGCTTCAGACACTTTTCTCGCAGCCTTTCGGCTTCATTCCGACCACTGCAGGTTCCCAAAGACAACGTCCCTTACCACAATGTCGCAACCTCTGTACGACCACTCCGACGAGGAGAAGAAGGGCCAGGCCGGTGTCAACGCATACGACACGGATGGCGCCAGCTCGATCGATACCATCACTGCTTTGTACATGGAAGACAGCCAACATGACATCAAGCTGCGCACAATGTCATGGCAGAAGGCGGCCTGGCTGCTCTGCGGTGACCAAGTCTGTCTTGCCATCATGGCCCAGACATGGTCGTTGTCTGTGTTGGGCTGGGTGCCCGGTATCATCACCATGGTTGGCGCCGGTATCCTCTTCTGGATCACCTCCATGACCATGCACAAATTCATCATGAAATACCCCCAGATCAAAGACATCTGCGATTTCGGATACTACGCATTTGGCGGATCGAAGATCGCCTACGAATTCGCGGGATTCATGCTTCTCGCGAACAATATCCTGCTGATCGGTTTCCACGTCCTGACTGGTGCCAAAATCCTCAACACCCTGTCCGATCACTCTCAATGCACCGTCGTCTTCTCGGTCATTGTCACGTTGATAGGCATTATCATGTCTACCACCCGTACCCTGAAACATGTGTCGTTCATGTGCATGTTCTCGGCCTTCTTCATGGCCCTCGCTATTCTGCTCTTCCTGGTCTTTGCCGGCATCGAGGACGCCCCAGGCTACGGTTACTACGGAGACTACCCCACTGACGGTCCGGTCAACACCTACGCTTTCCCGCTCCCCGGCACTACCTGGGTCGGATGCATGAACGCAGTGCTCAACATCACATTCTTGTGGGTGCCTCAGATTCTGTTCCCGACGTTCATCTCCGAGATGGAAAAGCCCCAGGACTTCCCCAAGTCTCTGGCCGTGCTGACCGTCATCTCCGCATTCCTTTTCATCTGCCCTCCCGCCATCGGCTTCCACTACCTTGGCCAGTACTCAACAGCGCCAGCCTTTGGCAGTCTCGGCCCAGAGAAGTACAGAAAGGCTTCCTTCGCCTTCGTCATCGTACCGACCCTGGTCATCGGTTGCATCTACGCCAACGTCACCGCAAAGTTCGTCTACTTCCGCATCATGGGCAAATCGCGCCACGCGCACAGCAACACCGCCGTCGGTTGGGGCGTCTGGATCGCTGTCATGGCCTGCATCTGGGCCATCGCTTTTATTTTCGCCGAGGTCATCCCCAGCATGGGTGACTTCTTGTCCTTGTTGGGAGCGGCCTTTGACTCGTTTTTCGGCTTCATCTTCTTCGCGGTCGCCTACTACCACTTGTACAAGGGCCAATATTTCGCCGGCGCTTACAGATCCATCATGACCGTCATCCACGTCTTCGTCATGGCCGTGGGATTGTTCCTGCTCGGTCCTGGACTCTATGCGGCCTGTGAAGCCATCATCGCCGACTATGCGGGATCGACGTCACCAGCCTTCAGCTGTGCCAACATCTCCATCTAAAAGTCCAAATGGGAAGGGGAAGTGATAAAGTCGGTGCCATGGGATTGAAGTTGTATCATCTAAAATAGCAGAGATAATGGACTATACTGCTCAGTTGCTCGTCACTAGCAAATGTAATTGAATACAAACGGCCTACTCTGCCTAGTCCGAATTAGTTGCTCAGCTTACTACTCAATGGAGATCTGGCAGATCTTTGTCCTCTACGGTACCTCACATCTAGTAGTCGATATCTCGCAGTCGCTGTATATTTTCGGAAACTTTTCTCATATAGTAGCTGGGTATCGATCGGCATTATTCACTTTTACACTTTCTAACCATTATTCCCAAATGATGTCAATCCTCTCGCCGACCACTTTACTATTGAACCACTCGAGGATCTCGACCTTGTCTTTGACTGTCCTCGCACCACCCAACGCATCTGCCCTAGCCAGCCGTTCCGTGGCGCAGAACAATTCAACCGTCGCAAGGTTTCTTGCTATACACTGCCGACTGCCCAAGCCAAACGGAATGGCGTCACGAAGCATCTCTTCTGACGGCTCCGCCCATCGCTCCGGCTTGAACACGTAAGGATCCTCAAATACCTCGGGATTCAGGTGAAGAGTGTAAGGCGTAGCGCTCACCACTGTGCCCGGTGGGAAGTATGTGTTCTTGAATGTCCAGCCCGATGCAGGAACCACCCGAGGAAGACGAGATGGATTTGCCATGGACAAACGTAGTGCTTCTTTGACGACACCGCGCAGGTAGGGCAGCGATTGAAGGTCGTCGAAGGCCGGATTTGCCGAGAGGACCTCTTCACGCAGCCTCTTGTAACACTCGGGTTGACGCACGAGGTTGAACAAAATCGTGCCCATATTCATGCCTGTACTGTCGGTACCGGCGAAGATCAGGTCCTTGCATTGCGCGCGGACTTCTGAGACTGTAAAGCCCGCTTGCAGGAGTCGGGCAGGATACGATGTGAGAGGATAAGACGTCTTCTCGCTGGTCTTGGAGGCAGTGATTGCAGCGTCGGCTTGGCTGACCACGCCGTTGACGTACTCGTCCACGTGCGAGAGACTCTTGGAGACTTCCTCGCCTCCATTCCACCAAGCATCAAAGGACTCTACCATCTGGAATGCCCATGCTGGGAGGTACCAGAATCGTCCGACTGCAACAAAGCAGTCGACCATACCACTGGCGCTCATGTGTTGTTCTTGGTTGTCGGAATCTGGAGAGCCGGAGACCTCTTTTCGCACGGCTCTTTTCTCCTCACGGTGTCCGTTTTCGTCGAGAGCTCCATAACTGTTAGCCAGAAGGTAGGACGAGACGGCATCGACCGCCAGTCCTCTCGTAAGATTCAGCACATTCACAGGCTTTCCCGCATTGTCCCCGCTCTTATTTTCGAGAAGCCGGTCCACGAAGCGATCCACACATTTGTATATGACATCCTGACCTTGTCTCAAGTTGGTGGTGGAGAATAGAGCAGCCACAGCCTTTGCGCGGGGTGCACGCCTGGCAGGGTCTGTCTCTGAGAAGATTGACTTGTGACCGTCAATGTCGAAATTGGCGTAGAAGTCGGTCTTTCCAAATCCGCCTTTTTCTGTGTAAATAGATGCCAGTGCGGCGCCGTCAGCTATGTCCACGCTGTTCGGTCCTGTTCGGACAATGGGACCATATTTCTTGTGGAGAGCGTCGGTGACGGTCGCTTCATCGCCAATCCAAGCGTGATATGTCAGCCACAGGGAGGACAATCGCGGAATGAGAGGTCCAGGGACATGTGAGAGCGGATGTGAGGGAGAGGCGCGGTAGAGAAAGCGCAGGACGAGGGCAGCGATTGGTAGTAACAACAGTGACAGAATTGGAGAGGCGAGCAGTGGAGAGAGCAGAACGCCGTAGACGGCCATGTTGCCGACCGATGTAAACAACACCCCTGACAACTAACAGAAAGGATGGTGAGAAAGAGGAAGGAGCATTTCAATACACACCTGTGAGAGCCGCTGCATCTTTATCAAGTGCCTTTTATTGGCGATGACTCTGCCGCCGCAGGTTGCCAAAAAAGCTTCTGCATTGACACGTTCTTCTCCGGCGTCGCGGATGTCCAGGTTGAACCCACTCGACATCGCCCATGAACGGACAACAGCGCGCCACACGAATCGCCGTCCATCAATAGGCCAGCGACATGCGGGACCGATGACACGGGCAAGTGAACATGGCCGGCGCTCGAGACCAAGCGCCCCAAGAACACCCACATTAATATGGACGGGTTGAAGGAGATGTGAGATCTCTTGTGTTAAACGTTTGTGTAAAGTGGTGTTTCTAGAAAACTTTACACAATAAGAGTCCACCGGCCCTGTTCCACAGCTTCGAGCACTCAAAGGCTACGTCAACAGGCTTCTGGCCAGTATCAGCCATGGGTTCAATCCAACACGAGGGCGCCCGTGCGGGCCACACAGCAGACTCCAAGCGTAAGGTCATCGTGGCGGGTGCTCAGCTGGGTCCTATCGATATCGACACACCTCGATCTGAAGCTATCCAGCGTATGCTTCGATTGATGGAAGATGCACACAAGCAGAATGCTAAACTTATCGTGTACCCCGAGATCGCCCCAGTCACATTCTTCCCTCGACACATTCTCGAGGGAGATGAGCTCGAGAAATACTTTGAACTCGAGGTGGACGGAGATCCGACCAAGTCGGCCAATATCAAACCGCTGTTTGATAAGGCTCGCGAGTACAAGATGGACATGTATCTAGGTTATGCCGAGGCCACAGGAGACGAGCACTATAACACTTCGGTGTACTATTCAGGACAGGTGGACAAAGTCATCTCCAAATATCGAAAGGTGCATTTGCCCGGCACGTTTGAACCATATGAACGCAAAGACGCCACGAACCAATTGGAGAAGAGGTACTTCAAGCCTGGTAATCTGGGATTTGAAGCATTCCGAGCGCCGCAGCTGGTGCCTGAAGCCTTGACCAAGGATTCAGGGGCAAAGCCGAATGAAGTTGACACGCTGGGGCAAGGAGATCCCGTCGTTGGCATGATCATCTGCAACGACCGGCGATGGCCCGAAGCATGGCGAGTGTATGCATTACAAGGTGCTGAACTGATTCTTTGCGGGTATAACACAACAGCATGGGCGCCGGAATTGCTGGGTACGAACGAGAAGATCTCGACCAAAGAAAAGGCCAAGGCTGAGGCATTGTTCCACAACAAGCTGTGTCTCACATACAACAGTTATGCCAATGCATGCTTCAGCATCAACGTGGCCAAGTGCGGGTCAGAAGACGGGAAATATCCGCTCATCGGAGGTAGCTGTATCATCGACTGTGACGGGGAAGTGGTGGCAGAGGCATCGACCGAGGACGATGAGTTGATTGTGGCCGAGATCGACCTGGGTCAGTGTCGCCGAGGCAAAGAGAAGGTGTTTGCATTTGAAAAGCATCGGCGCATTGAACATTATGCTCGAATTGCTCAACAGACAGGAGTACAAGAACCTGATTTCTTGTGATCGACGTCGTGCCATTCTGCCTGCATTGTTGCGCGGACAGCTTTGAAATATAGCGACCTCCTGCTCGTAACATAGAAGCAAATTGACTTGGTCACGATCTGGGCTTCAACGGGAGATTTGGATAGGTCGGTTGGTTATAAATATAGCAATTCAATCGGCTGCAATGAGTTTAGACACCTCCGTCTTCCGTGGCCTTAGCCGTCCTTAGCTTCTACAAGACCCCGTGAGCCAGCCGCGCCAATAAACTGCCCCAAGGATCACTCACCATTTTAGGTAGGGGACAGGTCACTATCGATAGCCATAGGCACGCCTAAGGCTCAGTGACCATTTATTTTAGAAGGTGTCATAGATCCTTTCCCGGGAGCGAGAAACGGGCTGCTTGTTTGCATCAAAACTAGAAGGGAAATCTCTAAAAATTCTGAGTTCCTTTTCATTCTCTCAAAACACCCATCAACATATCCACTCCTCGCACTCATTTACCAAGGCATCCTTGTCCATTTTCCGCGGTTTCAGCAAACGTCGGAGAATAAAACAGGCATATTCCTAGTCCATATCATCACCACTATCGGCTTTGGTGGCACAACTCGCTTCTGGATTCAGCTGCCAGACGGAAAAAGGACCGGATTCATCCTCGCCTAGCAGTACGCAATCATGGCGGAATATCAACAGCAGCAACAGCAACAAACATCGTCGCAAACCCATCCTCTCGCTCTTCGACCCGGCGGCCCTTCACCGTCATCCACACCTCAACCCCAAGCTCAGAAAGCTCAAAATTCGATTTACGACCTCGTTTCTGACGACATGCCCCCTTATCAAAACCCTCGCACCCCTTCTGGGCCTGGGTACAACAACACCAACGGCACTCCCACCTTTTCCCCTCCTCCGCCACTATCGCCGACCTTACAGCAACAACCTCAATCATACGGCCAGGGTAGTAGCCGCTTTCCAAGCCAACTTTACCAATCGCCCCCTAATGACTCAGGACCATCATCGAATGGCCCCTACACAGATGGCCCTCGCTCACGCAGCAGTACCATGGGGCAAAACTATCCCAATTCCATGTCAAACAATCACCCACCCATGCCCAATTCACCACCACAACCAAACGTCCAACCTCTGTTTGCTCAGCACAGCGGAGGTGCCCAGTCCTCCCGCCCCGTCTCGCGCGGTGCCCCTAACATGATTCCGTCGATGCCTACCGGCGGCAGCGCCAGCGGTCCCAGCACCCGGCCGACCAGTGCCGTTGCCACCGGCACCGCCAGGTCACCTTTCTCCACCCCCATCACTTCGCCGCCACGCCAACGGCCACACCAGATTCTTCTAATCAACCCGAATTCCACACGTTCCATGACCGAAGCATGTCTCACGTCCGTCCGGCCAGTGCTCCCGCCTGGCATTGAATTGACAGGCTACACAGCACCTTACCCGGCTCCCACCGCCATAGAATCGACCACCGATGCCATCATGTCAACGGAGGCCGTTCTGCGTGACCTCGCCAAGCACGCCGCTTCTAACGGCGAGACCGTCCAGAACTTTGACGGCATGATCGTTGCATGCTTTTCCAAGCACCCGCTCATTGATGCATTACGGGAGTCGTACGATGTGCCCGTGATTGGCATCATGGAAGCCAGCCTGTACGTGGCGCGCATGATCGGGGGACGCTTCGGAATCGTTGCGACCGCCGCGCGCTCCAAGATCATGCAAGATGACGCCGTCGCGGCGTACGGCCTCTCGCATTTCTACGTCGGCAGCGAATCAACGCACCTGGGTGTGCTGGAGCTCGAAACCCGGCCACGGGAGGAGGTCGCGAAGCGCATGGGCCATGCCGCGCGTTCGCTGGCTGTCAAAGGCGCGGACACCATTCTGCTCGGTTGTGCGGGCATGACAGACTTGACGAGAGCTGCCAAGGATGCGGTACGCGACGAGGATGGCCGCAGGACGGTCAATGTCATTGACTCGGTCGAGGCCGGGGTCATGATGATGGCCAGCCTAGTCGATATGGGTATTCCCACGAGCAAGAAGGGCGTGTACAAGGGCGAGAAGGAGGGCAGAAGGACCAGAGGGCAGAATTGGTTGTGATTTACATGGTTCTAATGAACAGAAACAGCAATTGGGCGGCCGTGATGTATAATGATCTCGAAGGAGGTGGACAGCAGAGGACGTCCGATATTGAACATTTGATGCACTATTTCACGCTGTATGGGTTGCTCATGACCAGAATCACCGCGTCTTAGACGCTGACATCTGAATTGTGGCTGGATAAACAGTGATTGTTTGTCAATACAGCACGAGAATAAGGAGTAAATGCGAAATATGATGCCCATGGACGGGTATAAACTGTGATGTATTTGGACTATTTACGGAAAGGGCGTTTCAAGGGGTCAGATATGCACCAATCCAACCTTAGATCTCGAGCCCTGTAACAGCATGCGAGATCCGAATTGAGCGTGATCATAGTTCTTCTTCGCCTGGGCTTGCGACTCCAAGTGCATGACCAGGGCCTCAATGATGAGCTCCAGCCGCTCTTCGTTCCTTTCCGGAGATCAAGTAGATGCTGGCTCTCATATCAATGATAGGATCTTCACTGGGCTCGACACCGTCGACTCTCGGTACAGGATCGAAGATGATGTTGCGCTGCCTCTCGTCATTGTCGTCGGCCACGGACTCGAGATAAATCGTGCCAATCTTGACCAGTTTGCGATCTTCGGGCCAATAGACAGTTGCTGCATCAGTCTTGTCATCCTCGTTGGCAATCTGAGCCCAGAGACTCATTGATGGCTTTCCGTCAATGATGCGGGTTTGAATCTCGTTGTGCAAGAACGCCGGGTCTTTGCTTTTGGCTTCCTCGTCGGACAGGTGCGATGTTCCGGCGTCAGGCGTGATGCGCCATCGAATAAATGTGCCCTTGCCATCAAAGTCGACGAGCTTGAATGCATTTACGCCAAAGTAATTCTCAGTTGCGAAACTCGCCGGCGTGGGTTTAGGGGCTTGGACAAAGGCTGCGGCCGCAGGGTTCTGGCTCAGGAAAGTCTCGATTGGCGTAGGTTTTGGAGTGTTGGGGTCGCCGGAACCGCCAATAGCCTTGAGGAGTTCCAGGAATTCTTGACCTGTGTTCACCGGGAAGAAGGGAGTCGAATGTGCAATGATGTCGGTGTGCTGACGACGTCCATCTTTCTCCGGGAGGTTGAACCTCAGAGCGAAGCCGCGTGGGTTAGCATCATTTTCATTGTCGGGAATCTGGGGCAGCCCGGTCGAGTTCGAGAAACGGACGGTTACTGGTGTTGATTCTTGACTAAAATGTGGTGCCTTGCTGAGGGACGCGGCTTCTGATGTTGGCGTAAATTTGCCATTGATGAGTATGCCTCGGGCGTGAGCTGCGAGTACCGTGTGAGTAACAATCCGGCGGTTTGACAGCAGGGCCATCAGGCTACATACCTGGTCGGAACTCTTTTGGTGTGTTGAATGCACTTCGCAGAGTATCTACTAATTGAGCAGCAGTCTCGTTGGTCTGAACGTCGAAGGAGAGAGGCATCTTGGAATGCTTCGTATCGTTTGATTGTCAGGTTCAAGTAAGAAGTCAGCTCGGTGGAAATCTGAGCAAGTAGTTGTGCTTCATGAGAGAATCCATCGTCTCGTATGTACCCATGGGGCTGTACTTATACCAGTCATGGGCAGGCAGTAGGAAGGCAACCTCCCAGGCACACCATGCGCATGTGTCTGTCTGCTTTCGTTAAGAAAGCCCCCAGTTGCGAATTGTCAGCCCATGGTCGAGCTGGCAACCAGTCACAGAGGATTGTATGCCTTCTCACGCCTTGGGTGGCCCTTTTGCCTGTCGACCATTGGCCGCGATTGGCCTCCCTCGTATTCCAAATGCAGAGCAGTTGCTGCAAAAGCTTAGTCACTGGTGTTTTCTAAGCCTCTAGGTGGCTGTAACGGTCCAACGAAGTCTCTCTCTTATTTGATGACAATTATTGGGTTTGAGATTCGAGGACATGGGGAGCATTCAGCCGCGGGTTACCGGTCAGCAGCTGAAGGTGCATAACGGCAGTTTGTGAACGCCGCAACAGGTTCAGGCTACAAGACATGACACCTTGTCCGAGACTCTGACTGGTAGACGAGGTACGCGAGGGGGGAAAGGTTGCAAGCTTCTTTCAGCTGCGCCTAAAGGACCTTCTCAAACCTAAGGCAGCTTGGGGCACCCCTCCGTAAGTGCGTCATATCCCCTATTGTTGTGGTGGTGGCTGGACGATCTTGGGATTTATTAATCATCCTATCCTAGGCCAAGGCCTCGAACTTGCGAAAAAGGTATCTGCTCGATAATTTGAGAATCCTAAGCTTTGACTCTTAGGCAGATCGATTCCGATTCATGTTCATAGATTGAAGTGACAGTTGTCTCGTTGTGTGGAATGTCCGGCTTTCTTGTCATATGCGCGACACTATGCGACGAACATCCGCAATATGAATTCCCTTCCACAGTCACTACCATATTCACTCCACCTGGACGCGTTATTGGCACTGTTCCTGATCAGCGTGACTTCCTCTCTTGCTTACTGACCCTGCTCGCTCTGGAGGTGCTGCAGACTTGCGTGCTCTAGGTCACTCCCTTCCCTTACACAATCCGAAATGTTGCGATGATTCGAAAATTGTTCTACGAGTACTATTTCTATGGTGCAAGATATGCTGAATCCCATGGTCAAGATTGCATTGCGAGTGCTGGACGAATGCCAGATAAGGTAACCAACTGACTCGCCCAGAACTCGTGTCAATATTGCCCGAGATTGCCTGAATGGGCAGGCAAGGTCGGCCTTCTCTGCTTATCTGTCTGGGACAATCTACTTGTCGACGCCTATCTCCGGCAACGTCTTCGACCCTCAGTACGGTCAAGGCATCCATCAAACATGTTTGGTCGGAGGAATTCCGTAAATCTGCTATTACTGCACGTTACTAAATGTCTTTGAGGCTACGTGGGTGTTCCGACTGTGCCAAAGATCTCGTTACGGTGATCACGACAACTCAAAATGGGAGAACTTGGGGGAGAACTCCCAACCAGGGAGAATATTTCCAGGCTATTGGCCCACGATCATAAAGTCAAAGTGGCTGGTGTGGATGGTGATGGTATATTGAGAGGCAAAATCATGGACAAGGACAAATTCCTCTCCAGCCTAGATGATGGATTCGGATTCAGCTCAGTGCTTTATGGTTGGGATATCCATGATGTTCTCTTCGAGGTCGATCCCAAAGCGACATCAGTCCAGGATGGCTATGGAGACTTTAACGCCATCCCCGATACATCGTCTTTCAGGAGAATACCATGGGAGGACAACATACCACTCTTCCTACTGCGGTTCGAGGTCAATAAAGCTCCCGTGCCCGCTGATGGGAGGAGCATCATCCGATCGCTCTGTGAGAAGATAGGCCAGCAGGGTTTCAAGTCAATGGCAGGAGGTGAGGAGCCTTGAATCAAACTCGGTTTTGGTAGATACTGACCATCTCTATCCTAGTCGAGATGGAGTTCATGAACTTCCAAACACCCTCCCAAGACGGTTACGACGATCTGGGATCTCGTCGAAACATTGCTGCATACCTTCTAAACAACGCACCGAACAGTCTCCGCAACTTGACCTCTGGCATTTTCTCGTATAGTCTTACTCGGCCAATGGCCAACAAAGACTATTTCCATCAAATCTTCGACAGGAGCGTCGAGTTTAGGACGAACCTCGAGGGCTGGCATACCGAATTTGGTCCTGGAGTATTCGAAGCTGCCTTGAAAGTGAGCGAGATTGATGAAATGGCAGACAGGGTCACCCTGTTCAAATTGCTGGTGAAGTCGCTTGGCGTTGAATATAACATTACTCCATGCTTCATGGCGAAACCAGTATATGGCCTTGCCGGCAGCTCCGGGCACATCCACATATCGCTTGTTGATCGGGATGGCAAGAACGCGTTCGCACGGAAGACGCCAGACTCAGATGCTGCGTGGAAAGATATCGCAGAAGTTTCCGACATTGGTCGACATTTCCTTGCAGGGTTATTGACGGCGATACCTGACTTGATGCCACTTTTCGCGCCGACCATCAACTCGTACAAACGTCTGGTTGAGAACTATTGGGCACCCACGAGCCTGGGATGGGGCTTGGAAGATCGAAATACATCGATCAGACTGATTGCGCCGCCAGTGTCGAAGCCGGGAGCGACGCGATTCGAGGTACGCATCCCTGGAGCAGATTTACATCCTCATTACGCTCTTTCAGCACTGCTGGGAGCCGGATGGCGCGGGATTGAAAAGAAGCTCGATATTCCCTTTCCACCCGCGGCTATGAGAAAAGAAAAGTCCCCGCCATTACCCAACAGTCTGGATACAGCCGTCGCTCGGTTCAAAGCTCCTGAAAGCATTGCGCGAGAGATCTTCCCGGACGCCTTTGTCGATTTGTTCGCCGCATCAAGGGAACATGAGGTACGATTGTACAAGGAGGCTGTAACTGATTGGTATGATCTCCCAGGCTTTGTCCCAACCATCTCACTATGAAGCCTGTCGAAAGCCTCTCGCTAACAATAATGTCTACTGCAGGGAATTCAAACGTTACATTGAAACAGTTTGAGATGGATCTCACTGATGGCAAGGGTATTAAATCATCTAGAAGGTCGTTTCCTTCTCAAGGGAGACGGATTTCAAATACTGTGGACTTCAAACCTCCAATTTTACGAAGGGACACTCAGTCGCTTGATTTATGCTTGGGGTCCAAAGGCCCAAGACATGACCCTTGCGAATGCTTGCTTTCCATCCTCGACCTTCTCCAAACCTTTGTGCAGCTGCGCAACACCCTCAGGACTGGAATCAGCTAGATTGAGATATGACAGGTCTCGGTGGTCTAGGATGCCTTGTGCAATCTTGGCTGTCATCTCGGGGTGGCCCTGAAAGGTCAGGATTTGTCCGGAGGGAGAGGCAAAGACTTCATTGTCTTCTGCCAGTGGTTGCAATCCCGATCCTGGCTCGAGCACGATCCGTTTGTGAAATTTATGCATTCGCTACATTCTTAGCGTAAGCAATTGTCTGAGGCAATGTGCATCCGAGAGTCTTACCAGTAGTTCATATCCATCAAAGAAATTCCGGCCAGCATTGGTGAGACGAACGTCCACAACGTCAATCTATTCATGGATGAAGAATAAGCGATACACGTTCGTGCAAAACGCAACAGTGATGTCCCGGACTTACCAGAGTGCCATCTTTCCGGTATGCTATCTTGCCTCCCAAGGCATGCGATATAGCTTGATGTCCCCAGCAGATACCGAGCAGCTTGGTCTCGGGATTGCGGGAGACAGTATCCCTGATCCATCCCAGAAGTTTGGCGACCCAAGGATCAGTGTCCGGGAGGGTCAAATCATAGGTGCCACCAGTCAATATAACAAGGTCGAACCTCGATGCATCAGGGAGGTCTCCTCCTTCAAGGGGTTGGAAGTATTGAATATTGGCATCGGGCTCTGCAGCAAGGATGAGTTGGCTGAAAGAGTCGAGCATATCCTGGCCCCAGGAGCCATCCAGCAAATAGTTTCTGATGATGGCCACCCGCGGAGGGCGAGGGGCTTTGGCGATCATGTTGTTTTTCAAGGCAGCTTCAGCGTTGGGCGGCAGTCGGATGTGGGAATTGTGATGTGGTTACAGTACAAGAAGAGGAAGTTGAGGTTCTTGTCTCTTCAATCCATCCAACATGTCAACCCGATAAGGAATCGGAGTACTGCGCGTAACGATAGCCTACCTACTACATACTCCAGACTGCTGTCCACGCAGGCCTGGCATAGTGGCGATTGATGAGGTCCATAACATTGATTCCATGGTGCTCACCAGCCTTCAACGTATATGCATTTTATAGTTCGCCCCCCTCCTTTGGTGAAAGCCGATACAAACCTAATGTCCTGCGTAAACACTGAACATCAAAACATGATGCGGCATTCGGCCTAGATAAATTTATATTCAGCCGAGGTAAAGTTGAGGTCCCGTGCCTATGCCTTTCTTTTCTTCTGCTTCCACGACGCGTCCCTGCATTGTTGTTTGACTTCACTGTTCTTCTCATATCACCATCTGCAGGGGTCCTTCCAGGAGCGTAAGCAGCGGTCGGTTGGAATGGCAATATGACCAATGAAGCCCACACTCCCCCATCACCCCTTGATCATTTCAACACAATCCCATGGTGCGCAGAGTTGCTCGCTGACCCATCGTTCCACATTCTGGGCAACCTGTCACGAACAGTCACAAGTGGTGATGGGCACTCCTTGATGGCCGAAACATGGAACACGGAGAGAACGATCTCGCATCTGCTGTCATTGCACAGGCCACTCGATCCCACAGCGGGCCAGCCTGAAGAGTTGCGCAGACTCTATACCTTCGGCAGCGGGATGAATGCGCATCCCGATCTGCTTCATGGCGGTGTCATTGCTACCATTCTCGACAGCACCATGGGCAATGCTGTAGGCCAGCAAATACCAGATCTGAACTCGATCTTTACTGTCGCATTGAACATCACATACAAAAAGCCGGTCTCCACGCCAGGCACGGTGGTGGTACGCTCCTGGATCGCGAAGATCGAAGGGGCGAGGAAAGTTTGGGTCCATGGCGTGATTGAAAGCGGCGCGGGTGAAGTTCACGCCCTGGCGGATGGTATGTGGCTCATAACAAAGGCGAAACTCTGAAAGTCGGTTACGACAGCATTGCTACGAGTACGGAACAAGTCACTCAGGGGCGACCGGACACAAGAACAGGTCATACGGTTAGAGCCAACCTATCAATCATGTCCGGACTTCATGATTTGGGCAGCAGGAAAAATTATAGCACCTGTGTTGGCCCATGTAAACGAATAGACGTAGAGAGAGAGAGAGCGATGTTGAGGTGCCACGTGAAAGCAAGGAATATCACTACGAAGAGGCTGTAAAACAGACATGATTTCGCGAGTGTAAAGAGACCTTGGGATTCTGGAATCGCACTCACTTCCTGGCATTCAATCTGTACCTAGGTATGTCAATGAAAGCACGTGTGGTGGTCTTGAAACCTGACGCGGTGATATGAAGGCAGGAAACCTCATTCCTTATTGGCTCCAAGCCCCGGAGAAAGAAGTTGCCGATCAAGCCGAAGTGACTACAATGGTTCGTCGTCGACCAAGTATTGGAGGTGCGGATCCAGACGTCTTACCTTCTCCTACTCTACTATTATGTACATCAGGCGCTCCTGAATCATAGGCATGTCTTTGCGTTGCTTCATCATGTTGTACTCCTAGCGACAAAATCCCACTCGTTCCTCAATACCATTTGCGCCAACATCTTGTCTTCCCCCACTGTTCCGCAAGACCCCGCCATGGTAGCCCCAGGATATCGTGACGACGACGAGGAGAACCAAGTCCCTGCCGACCTCCATGCTCTACACGATCAAGAGCTTGACGACGAAGACGAAGAGAATGGACTTCTCCAGATCCAGTCTGCCCCCGACCCGCCGAACCGTACCCTCCCTATTCCCGTCTGGCTACGGGAATCCGCCAGTTCCTTCAAATACAGATGGGTGCCGCTGCCTGTCCGTAAGGCGTCTCGGGCGGTGGTCGATTGGGTCAAGGGACCCCTCCCTCCTCGAGTCCTGAAGATTGAGCCCATATTCCCCAAGATACAGCAGGCGCCTATAAGTTTATTGGACAAATATGCGCCCAACAGGAAACAACGAATTATACTCTTGGTCACACTCTATGCAGCCTGGTTTTTGACGTGGTCACTCATGCTCAAACATCACTCGACTGCGGGCTTCATCAAAGGCTATGGGAGACCCGAGAATGTGTGGTGTGGTGCGAGCTTCTGGAACGAAGGCAACGGTTGCGGACTCAATGGGAATCAGTGTCGACCGTTTTCCTCGGCGCACATGGCCTTCCGGTGTCCCGCAAACTGCAAAAGCACCCATCTGCTGGAAGAACGTATCGTTGGCAACCAGTCACTCCGGTACCAAGGTTTAGTCGTTGGGGGCCCAAGATTGGAAGACCCCGAGTCGATTCCCATATATCGCGGAGACAGTTTCATATGTCAGGCTGCCATCCATGCCGGGATCGTTACGGACGCGGACGGTGGCTGCGGCGTAGCAACGCTGACAGGATTCCACACAAACTTTGAGGCAAGTGAGTCCAACGGTATCAAGAGCACAGCTTTCCCTGGCACGTTTCCACGATCCTTCACCTTTCAACATCTCTCGTCCTCACAGGCGCAATGCCCGACCGACTCGAGGTGGCCACTCTTCGTAGTGACAGCAGTGGCCTTGGTGCTGTTGTCCGTGTTCACTACATCTCCTGCCATCTTCTTCTTCAGCACATTCGTCATTATGTTCCTGCACGTGGGCCTGGTCTCGGATCCGCCCAACACAGCCAACGTCTATGAAGCTATCAGCAAGCTTGTGGAAAGGTTCCTCCCTGCGGCATACATATCCTTCATCCTCTATCGGTACTGCGCTAGGTCCCTGCTGACAGGGCTGACGGCGCAGATCGAGAAGACGATCCTGTACCTCGGCTTCTGCTTCATCGGCGCATTGAACAATTACACATTTGCTCCCCTTATTCCGATCGAGAGACTCACACCGCACGATATGGAGCAGCCTGGCGCTCCGTTGGCTCTGGCCATCATCGTCGCCATCGTTTTGGCTATTATCATTTCACAGATCCATTTTATCCGCGTCTCCGGCAACATGCCCAGATATCTTGCCATCTACACTACTATGGCTCTTGGACTTATCATTCTATTGATCCTGCCGGGCGAACGCCTCAGGATACATCACTACATTTTGGCACTGTTATTCATTCCCGGAACAGCCTTTCAGATCAGACCCAGTCTGATGTACCAGGGGTTGTTACTCGGACTGTTCATTAACGGTGTGGCCCGCTGGGGGTTCGCGTCCATCATCCAAACGCCCGCGGCGCTGGGCGAGACAGGTTCTGGGAGCGATGGCAGCGGCTCGTGGTGGGGTGCCAAATCGCCCAATGTCACGGCCGTGGTCGGCCCGTACGGGTCCAATATCACCTTCAACTGGGGTCAGCTGCCCAAGGACACAGATGTGGACGGCGTCAGCATGCTCATCAACGACGTCGAGAGATGGCGTGGGTACACGGATGAGGAATTATATTGGGACCAGGAAGAAGTCACGATCCAGCGCAGGAAACAGGACGATGACGGCATGCCCGAGTTCTTTAGGTTCGCTTGGATGAATGGCGCCTCGACAGGCACGTACAGTAGAGTTGGAGTCTGGGACGAGAACGGTCTTTGGCACGGTCAAGGCCCGGTTCAGAATCATACTGCTGGATCAGAATAGATTGTACTACTGGGCTCGGGTAAGCCCAGGTACATATTTATATATATAGCTGAATGCCATTGGAAAGGAAGAGTCCGTCAAGCGTGACGCACCAGTCTCACTATATCAGCAAATCTCAGGTGCTCTATCAGAGGTATCATCATCCAAGCATGACGCGTCTTACAGTACATGCCTCTAGTGTAACCGCGATGCAAAGAGGACAAGATAAGATTACAGTTTGGCTTTGACCTTGCCTGACTTCTCGAGTTCCAGAGCCTCACTGTACAGTTGATCAAGGGTATCTCTGTACTTCTTCGCCGCGATCGGCCGCTTCAACTTCAGTGTCGGTGTGAGCAATTCATTCTCAACGGTGAACGGCTCAAGAGCCAATTTGATGTTTCGAACGCGCTCGTAGCCGGCGAACTTCTTTCTGCGACCGACCTTGTCGAGGTCTTTGACCACGGCGGCCTTGACCTTGGGTTCGCTGCATGCAGCTTTGATTGCCTCGAGATCTGTTGGCGCGATTTCTCGACCGAGCACTTTCGACGCGAATCCCGCAAAGGTGTCTGGTTGGACGCCGAAGATGGCGACGAGGAAGGTCTGCACGCTGTCTCCATGCACGAATGCTTGTGCGAGATAGGAGCAGGATGAGAGATAGACGCCCTCGATACGCTCTGGGGAGATATATTCGCCCTGAGCGAGCTTGAGGACGTTCTTGCGGCGGTCAATGACGCGGAAACGTCCCATTTCGTCGACACTACAGATATCACCGGTCTTGAACCAACCGTCCTCGGTGAAGGCTTTGGCTGTTTCTTCCTCGTTCCTGTAGTATCCTTTGAAGACAGCCGCGCCTCGCAGCAAAAGCTCACCACGAGGGTAAGGTTTATCTTCCACAGTGTATTCCATGTCCGGAACGCTAAGGAGACACGCCTCCGTGTTCGCCATAACACCACCGCAATTACCAACGGTGAAGTCGCCCTCAGCCTGGGCGAGAGCGCTAGCGTACGTTTCTGTCAAGCCATAGCCCTGGAAAACACGAGCAGAGAATGCAACTCGCAAGAACTGCTGAAGAGAAGGATCGAGAGGAGCAGAGCCAGAAACCATGGTCTTCGTGCGGTCGAGACCCATTGCGGCGGCGACTTTACGGCCCCATATCCGGTCATAGAAGGCGTGGCGATAGGTTGGAGAAGACTGGGTCGTAGGATTGGCATTTGCGAGCTTCGTCCTGACGATGTGCCGGCTCAGAGATCCCTTGACGCCAGGTTGTTCCACGGTTGATGCTTTGATCGCTCCACCGAAGCGGTTGAACAGCCTGGGGACGGAGGGAAAATTCGTCGGACGAAGAAGTTTGAGGTCATCCACCAGCTCGAGAACATTGCCGTGGAAATACCCGATTCGAGCGCCTGCCCAAAGTACGGTGTGTTCGAGCAGGCGACCGTAGATGTGTGCTAAAGGCAGATAGCTGAGGAAAACACCGTCGGGGTCTGTGGAAGCTGTCACAAGCGAGGAGGATGTTGCTGCCACTGCCATTGCGTGTGTAAGGACGACTCCCTTTGGTGGACCTGTTGTACCAGAGGTGTAATTGATCGTAATAGCATCGGTTGGCTTAGGTGGGTTGTAAGGGCGGCCGAGGGAAGCTCCCAACTTTTCTACCGCTTCCAGTGAATAAACCTTCAAGCCAACCTCGGCAGCCATTGAGTCAAGGAGACCCTGTTTGGATAATTCAGGCTTCTCATTGACGCCGGATTCTAGTGGGTCGAGCACGACGATGAATTTGAGGTTTGGAAGCCGCGGCTTCAACTTGAGGAGGGTTGGGACGTGTGGTAACGAACAGGCCACAGCGGCGAGGTTTGCATGCCGAACAATGTACTCGGTGGTCTCCGGGCCCAACGTGTCGTACAGAGAGACGGAGAAGAGAGACTGAGACATGCAAGCCAGATCGGTCAACTGCCATTCAGGTCTGTTCTGACACCATAAGCCCACGCCATATTGCGTTCCCGTTATGCCTTCTCTTGCATGGAGTTCAACCAGGCCAACGCCATAGTCTGCCCTCCTCTTTTGCACCGTCTCGTAATCCAGCCACTCAAAGGGGCCATATGTCTTTTTCGACGAGTCCCAAGATCGGTAACCCAAGCAGGGATGGTGGGCGTATTTCTGTGCCGAGTACTCAAACATGTCATGACCAGTGAGGACCGCGGCGTCCAGGGTCTCGAGGACGCCATCTCGAGTCTTGTGATGCCGATATACAGCGCTCCGCCCAGGCTGTTCGCTGTTTGGCAGAGTGATCGAGTACGGTTGGCCCTTGGGAGGTGGCTTGCGATATTCGTCTGCTTTTTGCAGGTAGGGCGGTCTAGAGGACAAAAAAGATGGCATTTTGCCAGCACCGGAGAATGGAAGGGCGTATTACCTGGTGAGGAAGGAGCGCTGAAGGTGAATAAGGAAGAAATCGTAGAATGATGTTACAAAAACACTCGCGCGTGAGAAAGCATGGAAAGGAGAGTAGAGAGACGACGAGCTGACTCTCTGAAATCGGTAATCAATACGGAGTGACGGAGTAACGTTAACTGAGCAGTGATGGCAAACAATCGGAAAAATAGTGTCATGTGGCATGCTCACATTCCAAGCAAGGTAAGCTTAACGTTGACGATGCGAGATGGTCATTGCATGCGACAGTGCGGCGCCCATGGGGCGTGTCACACATGCCATTATTGCCATCGACATTTTGCTGCCTCGGCCCTTTTTCCAGGCTTCGCGTCGAGAGAGTTGTGGCCCACTGACTGCATTTTTTTTGGCGCCAGGATCCGACAGCCCGGAGTGGAACTGTGTCAAGCCTGATCAGGATATATCTCCTGGTCCTTGTATGTCAATCAATCATGAATAATCTGATGCTGGTCGTAATAATGTACCGGATGAAAGAGACTCTCCACATAGATCCAGCCTCGAGAGCCGTCTACCACGCGATAGCCTTGCATGAAAGTATAAAGGAACACAAGATCTGTCGAGCCGGGGTTATGTGTCAAGCATGTGAAATCTAGGTAGCTAGTTGAATACCCATGAACATGGTGGTGTTCTCGTGTTAGTTGCCTAGATAGGGAGTATTGCCCCCGAGAGACACCGATTGGCTCTAGGGGTTCAACCCTTGTCTCCCTCGAAACACTCTAAAGTTCCGGCGATCCTGGGTCCGATCGGCCTTCATCCTCGCACATTGTTGAACAATACGGAGTAATGCTATGCCAGCTCAGAGATTGGGCCCTGCAAAGAACGCAAGAACCGTCAGGACATGGTCAACTCGGCTTCAAGAAAAGGGTCAAGCCAACGAAATCAGGTCGCCCCACTGAGTTTAGCATCAGCACTCGTGCTCGAATCCGCCGTCGCATTGTCCTTGTTGGCCTCGGCGTCGGGCTGCGCAGCTTCACTGGCAGCGAAGCTCTGTTCAAAGTCGTGGATGATATCATCGATATGTTCTATGCCGACCGATATTCTGATCATGTCCTCTGTTACTCCAGAATCCCGTCTTTCTTGTTCGCTAAGCTGCTCGTGGGTGGTCAACCATGGGTGAATGGCCAGAGTCTTTGCGTCGCCGACACTAAACATGCTGTTAGCTCTGGAAAATTCGTGGTATTGTGCACTCACTTTGCGAGGTTAGAGATCATCTTGAATCCATCCACGACCTGGGAGCCTGCTGCAGCGCCTCCCTTGATACCGACCGACATGACGCCTCCAAATCCGCGAGGCAGGTATTTCTTTGCAAGTTGGTGGTAAGGGTGGCTTCCCAGACCAGGATACGAGACCCAAGCAACGTTCTTGTGGCCTTCCAACCATTTGGCCAGTTTCAGCGCATTCTCAGCATGGCGTTCGCAACGCAAACTCAATGTCTCGACGCCCAGAATAAATTCGTGCGCATTATAGGGGCTCATGCAAGAGCCCAAGTCGCGCAGGATCTCAACCCGCAGGCGGATGGCAAAGGCCAGAGCCCCGAAAGTGTCGACGAATTTCAAGCCGTGGTAACCCGGTGCTGGATCATTGAATTGAGGGAATCTCTTTGCGTTGGCCTTCCAATCGAATTTGCCCGAGTCGACGATTACACCGCCAATTGAAGTGCCGTGGCCACCAATCCACTTGGTGGTGCTGTGCACGACGATATCCGCGCCGTGCTTGATGGGCTGGCAAAAGTAGCCACCTGCACCGAAGGTGTTGTCAACAACGAGAGGGACACCCTTGGCCTTGCAAACTTTGGCAATGGCCTCAAAGTCTGGCACGTTGTATCTGGGATTGCCAATCGTCTCTACATACACGGCTTTTGTCTTGTCATCGATGGCCTTTTCAAGGTCGTCCGGTTTATCAGAAGTCAAAAACTTTGTCTCGATGCCGAGACGAGGGAACATGACTTTGAACTGGTTGTATGTACCGCCATACAGGTTTGAGGTCGAGACAATATTGTCCCCAGCATGGGCCAAGGCGAGAATAGCCATGAACTGGGCCGACTGACCGGACGAAGCTGCCACTGCAGCAACGCCACCTTCCAGCGCCGCAATTCTCTTCTCTAGCACATCGACGGTGGGGTTCATGATCCTGCTGTAGATATTTCCAAACTCTTTCAGGCCAAATAACCTGGCGCCATGAGCAGAATCGTTGAAGGTGAAGGAGGTAGTCTGGTAGATGGGCACGGCGCGAGACTTGGTGGCTGGATCCGGCTCCTGACCGGCATGGATCTGGAGGGTCTCAAACTTCTGGACATAGTCCTCGGAAGCCATCGTGAAGGTAGTGAGTCGGAATTGATCGAAACGACTGAGGGAGCTTGTCTGTAAGAATGAAGTAGTATGGTGATTGCCGATTCCGACGCCCTCGACAGCTTCAAGACTCTCTGGATGTGGGACTTTGAATAGTGACAGAATCTATCGTTTCTTCCCCAGGAATGGTTGCAATGAGAAAGGAAGAGCTGGAAGTACCTTACCTTATGATGAGCGACACCGGTGCGAGATGGTGTCAAGATTTCCCCGCACTATGGACGGTTTACGAGAATTGCGTGATCAGGACCGAGTCCCGGTACCACGGCCGGTCATCCATCAGCGGACGGCTCTGAAACGAGGATGCCGCAGACAGGTACGAAACAACCGTGATGGAATGAGAAGCATTTGTCCATGGCTGGCCGTCAAAGATAACGCGAACATGGGCGAAAAGGAGAAGCAAATTGTTAGGTGAACTCGAGACGCGGGGAAGGCGCGACGTAAGAATACAGGGACGGGCAGACACAGAAAAGAGGTTGAAAGATGAGGAATCATGGCAGTATCACGTTATCAGCATGATGATCGATCGATACTCTGTCTCACCTGCCAGGACACTGGAATTGCAATGCCCACCACCGAGAAAAAGGCATTGGGATGCTTTCACCTGGTTGAGCCCTTCCCTGCATCTCCCCATGTTGCTAGCTACCTATACCTACTACAATATGCGATGGTACCTTATTATCGTCAAAGGTGGGGGTGCCCGCCGAGCCGCGAGCCGCTGCTGGTTAAATCCGCAACGCCGGAGGCTAGGCTGGAGATGATCGGACCCAAGCAATCCAGGTACCCTTGCTGAATCATGACATGATGCCTCCATTTTTGCAACCCTATTTGCTGAAGGGTAGAACTGTTCCCAATTTCCATCGAATTGACTACAATTTATCTTGCAATGTCCGTATAACTCAACAAACCCGATCCCATCTTCCGTCTGAGTCGGTCCTCCACGACCCTCACAGGAGGCGTGGAAATCATGAAATGGAGGCTCAAGAAAGACGCGTCGAATCGCGTTGGCCGTAATCGCGGCTCGAAACCCATGCTTCTCGAGTATCGTTCCTCGAAGACGTTCATTATCTTTGCCATGTGCTGGTGTGTCTTCACTGTAAGCCAATTGCTTTATTGGGCCTGGAAAGCTTGCTGATTCGTGCGCAGGATGTCTTTCTGTATGGAATCATCGTTCCGGTCATCCCATTCGCCTTGCAAAACCGGGTACATGTAGCCCATGCCGATACACAGCATTGGGTCTCTGTCCTACTTGCCGTATATGCGGCGGCATTGCTCTTTTTCTCGCCAATCTTTGGTGTCCTGGCCGACTGGCTGAATTCCCGACGCACCACCTTGCTTGCAGGCCTTGTCATCCTGACCGGCTCAACTCTTATGCTATGCTTGGGAAGGACCATCCCGGTCCTCGTGGTGGGCAGAATGTTGCAAGGTGCTTCGGCATCTGTTGTCTGGGTGGTCGCCCTAGCCTTGATGGCAGACACGGTCAGTGAGGAGGAATCAGGCAAAGCCATGGGCTATGTCGGCCTTGCCACCTCGTTGGGCGTCCTGGTGGCACCACTGATTGGTGGTGTTGTCTACAAGAGGGTGGGATACTATGCTGTGTTTGGGGTAACATTTGCTGTTATTGCCGTTGACGTCGTGCTACGCCTTGCACTCATCGAGAAAAAGGTTGCCCAAAAGTGGTTGGAGCCGGACGCATCTACCAGCACTCTATCAGCACAACCCAGTGACGTCCCGCTACAAGTTGTCGTCGATGAGTCTCAAACGATTGCAGAGAAGAATGCTGCCGGCAACAACACCGAGCCTCCCGTGCAGCCAGCCAAGCGAAAGCTACCGACGATCCTCATCCTTCTCAAGTCCCGTCGGATTCTCGTGGCTTTCTGGGGTAGTATGGTTGTTGCCATGACCATGACGGCCATCGACGCAACACTGCCCCTTTTTGTGAATCAGATTTTCGGGTGGGACTCCCTGGGGGCCGGCCTTGTCTTCCTCGCCTTGATCGCGCCCAGCTTTGTAGGTCCTGTGGTCGGACATTATACTGACAAGTACGGCCCTCGATGGATCGCCGCGTCTGGTCTCTTGTTGTCCGTTCCTTTCTGGGTCTTGCTCAGGTTCATCGAGCACGACAACACTGGTCAAAAAGTCCTTCTATGTGTTCTCTTGGTGCTCCTCGGAGGGGCCATCACCCTGGTCATGATTTCGCTCATGGCGGAATTCAGTAAGGTCTGTGACGCCAAGGTGCGACAGGAGCCCAATTTGTTCGCTGGCAAGTCGGTGTATGCTCAATCCTACAGTATATTCAATTCGGCCTGTAAGTTCTAAGTTTCCTCCCGAAAGACTGTGGCATTGAAGCACCACCTATTCGGTTCATTTCGGTTTTCACCGACACAACTTGCTGACGATTTCTAGGGAGTTGTGGCTCGTTGCTTGGACCTTTGATAGCTGCAGCAATCAGGTCTGGAGCAGGCTGGAAAACCATGACGTGGACCATGGCCATTTTCTCTGCGGTGGGAATCCTCCCTACATTTCTGTACTCGGGAGGTGTGATAACGAGAAGCAAGAGAGCTCATCGCAATGGTGAGGGTATGGTCGGTGATGGGGACGCATGAAATTTGAGCTTGTCGAGTTGAATTGGCGAGCCGGCATCCAGAAAAAGTGGCAACGCCTTACGGCTACAGGTCTCCAGACTCGGAGCGACGAGACTCCTTTAAATCTGTCCGAGAGCCTCGTAGGTAGCGTTATAGCATTCATGCTTAACGTAACAGACGTCGTCTGCTCATGAGTAAGACTTTGGCTATCCCCTGGAAAGGCCCCGGATTGCCTTGAACCTGGTGGAAATCATAATGGTATTTTCGATATGCGGAGCTCTCCCAGAGACGGTGCCGCATTCATTGGGAACAGGCTCGATGATTCCAGGGCTCCGTAGACCAGGGTCGAAATAGACCAGGGTCGAAATAGACATACTGTGAACAAGGCATCATTTCCTGTGTTGCAGCCCGAACAAGTGTAACATCCAGATGGACTTTGACTGATATGGTGCTCCGTCGTCCAATCAAAGAGGTTGCAACCCTCAGCCTTGAAACAAGCCATGACAAAAGTCTCAGCCTCGGCTGTTTGTTTCCCTCCAGAGTGTTTCATCTGTTTGCAATCGTACATCGCCAATATCAAACATAATCTTTCTTCTCGTCTGTCATGGTCAGCCAACGGTCGGCGTTGCCACAGGTGCTCTTAATTGAATCCCAAACGGTCCGTCTTGCGCGCGTGCATATTGTGACCCTAGTACCTCAAAATCGTGCATTTGTCTGGGCGGCCATGAACACGAAAGGCTTCTTTGTCTCCGCGTGTGTTCGCGACATCATACATACGAAAAGTTCGCCTCTCCTGGCTCGCGGCGTTCACTGTTGATTGTGTTGTTACCTGCATGTTGATTTCTCATTATATCCACGAAGATAAAATCCGTCTCATTCCCGGCAGGAGCATTGAGAGTTCCTTACTACTAGGACAGACCGCGCCTTCCACACGTCTCAATCTCCTCTACGTAATCGAACCCTTCACCACAGCACCACACACACTCACACCACTTTGCAGCAATGCATTCCAACCCGATCTTGATTCTCCGCGGCCTCCAAGGAATTCTGGCTTTTGTCGCCATGGCCCTGGGGGCAACCGGTAAGTCCTGCTCAAAAGCCGTAGCGCGTTGCTGACATTCTGCTCTAGTTGCAAATGTACTCAACACTCACCATCCCGCAGCCTCTGTTCCAAGTGCTGTCATCTTCTTCGCCTTTACCGCGGTCTTCACCCTGCTCGTCACCGTACCATACACAATTCTGACCCCTCGCTACTTCCCGGTCCTAGCTTATCCGCCTGCAATGCTTGCCGCCGAAGCCATCACCTCCGTCCTGTGGCTCGCAGGCTTCGCGGCTGTGGCAGAACTTTTGCGAAGGTCCAACATCTGCGAGATTGGAGCATGTGCTTCAGCAAGGGGAAGCGTCGTGGTCGGCGTGTTCGAGTGGTCAGTATTATGAACGTTGATCCCCTTCGTGGTGGTCTAACGTTTGGACAGGATCCTGTTTGCAGGCACAACCTATTTCGCCTTTTCCCATGTCTTCCTTGATGGTAAATTCGCCGGCGGAAAGAACACCGACAACAAGCAGTCAGAAGGGCAGAGATCGTGGTCAGGCGCGGAGCCGGTGTGAAAGTTTCATGGGATTGACTTATTGATATCGCACCGGAGACGCAGACTGATCATGAAGGTCGTGGTATGGTCAAAAGTCGGAAAAGTTGGAGAGAGAACTCGCGTGCCCAGCCATGCGGTGTGCGTCCCTAGTTTGCGCCAGACTGCCTTCCGTTGTATGCAAGCTCTTGCAAATATTAAAGGCTACCAGGTCCATCGTGTCTTCAACTGCGTACGCATCAAGCGTCTGCCGAACAACTCGTCTTACGAGGACAGATATTCTCACACATGATCATCCGATGACCCTGTTTCGGAGCTCTGGCTGCTTTCGAACAGCAACTGTGACAACGATGAGATTTGCGAAGCTCCTCTCCTGTGTTGTCCGATCCTGAACTTTGTCGCCCTCCAACAAATTTCCCATTCATCAGCTAGATGGTCATGCCAGTAAAACTTGCGCATGTTCACTTCCAGACTCTCCCAAGATCTGCCTTCCGACACGCGAGATACGAGTCTATCAAGTATGACGTGATTCTGTGGTGACGCGTCAATCTGTGTATCCCACGCACTTGCGATGACCGTGGAAGACCAGAGAAGACAACGTTGAAGCCAGTGATTCCGTGGAATCTCATGATGTTCGTTGAATGCCTCTAGGATGGGACGCAGCGGTCTGGCCAGAGGAATTCGGAACGACAATTGATTGTACAGGTGTAGAAGGAAGGCAAGCAAGCCCCTAGCCATCTGGGCCTCGATTGCCGTCAATGGCAAGGCCGAAAGACACTGCAGGTCGTAGATGGCTCGCTGCATAGTCATTTCTGGTCGAGTGGTTGATGCGTCTTCATCTGGAGCCGACGAGATATAGTCGATCAACTCTGTCAGCTTGACCAGGAAGCTTATGATTTCTATGGCTATACTTCTGCTCAAGGCGACCTCGCTGAATCCTTCGGGCAGTTTTGCGACAACTGTGCAAAGGTCCGCAGGGAAAGGAAGGCCTGGGTATGTCAGCGTACTGATACGATGACCTGGCTCATTGATCCGAGTTGCATAGCTGGGCTGCTGGGCATGTAAGAAGGAGGCAAGCACCCCAAAGCTAGTGCACCGTTGTCAGCCTCGTTGTCTATGGAAGCCGCTTGAACTTACGCCAACACACGCCCTCGCACAAAACTCCGGAGTGGACTGTCCTCAGCAGCCTCATACGACTTCAGCATATTCTCCAGAGCACGGAGATGGACCTCGAAAGAATCCATGTCGTTGATCATGTACTGTGATTTGTCAGACGCTCTGGTTTCAGCCTCAAAGTTCGCAACTCACATTCAAGGTCAAAAGCGTGGACATGGTCAGCAATATGAGGTCTGAACGAGACCTTCCGGTCTCGACAAGGGCATTTCTCAGCTCGAGCATTGCCGCTCCTCGATGCCGGAGCAGCATCTTATCCGCAAAGGGCTCAGACCCTCTCCTCAGAATCCACGCCGCTCTGGTCATCGCGATGGTCGCTGCAAACAGCATCGAGTTCTGCATAGCCAATGGCAGGACGACCGTCAACAGTGCATTGCCTCCGTGTTGCAGGCTGACGGCTTGCGCTTGTTGCGGAGCCCACACTTGAATGTCTTGAGCAAGCTTCAGCGTGTTTCTTGAACCAGAACTCGGACAGCGTGGTAGTCACTCACAATAGTCGGTCATGAACTTGACACCTCTGGACGCTCTGGGAACGGGATATCGCAAGAAGGGATCTATGCGGTACCCGTCATCGACAGTGAGCAGTGGTGATGGACATCGGCTGTTCTCAGAGTCATCATCCGTGTTCGGACTTCTACTATGCCTGGAGTTCCGCCTTGACAGTAGGAGGGCATGACCACCTCCTCTGGTAAGATCTCCTGCCCGGTTGTTCATGACACGAACTCAACCCTCAGCTGAGCTTGAATCATCGTCTGCTAAAGGCGACGACCAGGGCCCCGAACATGGACGGAAGGTGCTTTTCAGGAGTATTCGAACAGTGTCGTGCCGGGACAGGTCGACGTCACAGCGTGCCGAAGTACGAAAGTCTGCATAGAGGGCAGAGCTTTCGCGGCGCATTCATTCCCTTCTCTGGCCGTCGACAGCGCCACCATTTCTGTCCGAGCCTGGTCACTCGCCCCTGTTGGTTCATGATTGACCACTGAACCTGAGATCAAGCTGGACGATTGCCGAAAGCCAATACGAGCACCATACTTCCAATCAGATACGGTGTTTCAACCTTAGCGTTGCTGCACGGTTTGTCAGCTTTCTGGGTGATGGACCTTTACGTGAGGGCATGAACATCACCAATTTGGCTGAGAGTAATGTCCGAATTGGCAGGAAAAGTTGGCAAATGCGCACACGGAAGCTGTTGTCAGTCGTTAGACTCCCGCCAGAAGGGATGGCTGTCGCAATCTCCACGGGCACAATGTTAAACGATCCAAGTGGAGGATGACATGGATGACTAAGGAAATAAATATTCCATAGCTAAACCAGGTTTCTAGAACATACGGCGCTGTTGACCACAATGGAAGAGCGCTGCCCCCGGCCTTGAAAGGGGCAGATGTTTCGAGTGCAATGTCTTTCTCTGCCCGTCTTGTTCTCATTAAGAATAACACCCTCGCGCGCTTAAGATCGATTTTCCATTTGGCGTCGTGGCCATAAACCTCGCTGAATCGAAAGTTGCAAATGCGGAGAACTGAGACTGTACATTTCAGCGTCGTCTACGTCCGCAGGAAAGTGCACAGCATTTTCAGTGTGTCAATCGTCTTTGCCACCTGGGTCCCATCCGACTAGGATCGGAATGTAAGGTAATCAGCGGCCTGCAAGCTGTTAAATCACTGCAGCATAGTTCACTTTTGGGGGCATCTCACCTTGTCAATGTTGTAATCAAACTTTTCCAAAGCATCCAGACTCTCTTCTCGTGTCCATCCCATTGCTGTCAGCCGCTTCAGAATGGGGTCGTCGTGCTCCGTGCCCGTACTGAGTGCCCGCCCGAGTTCAGGCCGCTGCAATTTTGAACCTTGAGCGGCGGCGCTGTGGATTGCCGGCGGAGGCGATGTGGACGTCACTGTCGGCTGTTGCGCTGCTGGTGTCGTAGGCGCATGAATCCCCACAGTATCTTGTACCGGCTGTGCGGACGACTGAACTGATGGGGAATCTGTGCTTGTGTTCAGCGGAGCAAAGAGCGCATCCCAGTCGTGCGACACGGCTGGAACGGGAGAAGCTGGCCCTGCGTATGAATTGGTTGGGGCTGTGCCGTTTGAGCCGAATAAGGTCTCTCCCACAGGTCCTGGTGTGCCGTTCGTCACGGATGCATAGGCCGATGCGTGGGGAGCAGTTGAAGGTTTGGTTTGTGGTGGTGAGTCAAATGTTGGGTCGAAATCAGCTGCGTTTTTGGCTGGAGTAAAAACCTCCCCTTCCTCCTCATCTTCGTTGTCGTCCTCTACAGGAGCGGAACCCATTCCAGAAAAGGCACTGTCAAAGTCAAAGGGTGCTGCTTTCGTTGGTGGAGGCGCAGTAGCCGCCTGACCATCTGAGGCGCTCCGGGCCTGAGCTTCAGGACCATATGCGGGCGGATTTCCCATTGGTGGCGATGCTGGATGTGTCGAGCCGCCAGCCGTTGGAGTTGGCGAAGTAGGATCTTCTCTTTCTGGGAGGAGTCCTTTAAACTCGGGAGGGAAATGCGAGGGATTGTCTTCTGGCACAACCTCACCATACGATGGAGGGGATTTCTGTTGATCCACTCCCGGCAACGATGTCGCTGTGGAAGACATTGCACCTAGTGGAGGTCGCGTGGATGCGACGTCGTCGTGTGGTTCGATCACTTCGGGTTGTTTTCCAGTCCTTGTCGTAGCATCGGGTGCCGTGGGTTGTGGAGGAGACCGGGTATTGAAATCATCCTCAAACTTCATAGGTGTACTCTCGCTGTAATCGCTGCTGTCATCTTCGACATATTCCTGAATGTCGGGGAATTCTTTGCCTGCATTACTCTGCTCACCATTAACAGCCATGCTCTGCGACATGCCGGCGAAAGCAGAATCAAAGTCAGCTGCCTTTTGCGAGGCGGTGCGCTGGTGGGAAGGGCCGCCGAAGTATTCATCAAAGGTTTGCCCTGCGTTCGCCGATGATTCTTCATGATTGGTTCCATGTGCGTTAGAGCCGTCTCGGACTTCGTTTGCAGCGGTCGGATTGAGTCCCTGTGCGGGTGTCTGTGCTCCTGACGTTGAAGGGAACGCCCCAGGGATATCACTTTCCTCGGGGGAGGGCTTCCCAAAAGCATCCTCGGCAGAGTCCATGGACGATGTGGGCCGAGGCAGAGTTCTTTTGACCGACTCCTGCTCTTCATCTGGCGGGGCAGCTGTGAATGGGTCATTATGTAGCTCTCTCTGCCCCCACGGGCTTGACGTAGAGGTAGTTGGTGTCAAAGCACGGGGGGTGTCAGAAGGACTCAATCGACTAGCTGGTGGGGCGACCTGGACGGAGGAACTGATCGAGTCCTCTCTACCTAAGGGTCTGCGAAACGGCAGCGCAGCAGAAGTCAATTGACGGGACTGGGGCGGTGCAGGAGGTTCAGCAGTATCCCGAGGTGTCGAGGATGCTGCTGTTGACTCTTCCAGAGTAGCATTCGATGAAGAAGACGGCACAGAGGACTGGCCCGTGAAGGAAACGGATGGTGCAGGCGCAGCGGCAGCACCGAAGGAGGGACCAAAGATGTTGTCAAAGGCGCTGTGATGGTCTTTCGTCTCCTCTCGAGACACGGGTGGGGAGGTTGGAGTCTCAGTAGTGCGCCTGAAGAACGGGTTCGAACTTGTCGAGGGTGCTGGGCTCGCGACGGTAGGGGGACTCCTGACGGCGGGAACCGGGACTGACGGGACAGGGATGCTTCGAGCCTCTTCCAATTCTTTCTTCGAAGCCTCCAATTCCCGTGCCGACTCCTCCGCCTCCTTTTGAGCATCTTCGACCTGCTTTTGCGCGGCGGCAATTTCGGCTTTGATTCTGTCTCGTTCCACCTCATTAGTAGCAAGCTGCTTCTTGTTGATAGCCACAAGTCCTTTCTGTTGTCTTGCGTCGGACCTCAATTTCTCAAGCTGAGGTCTGAGCAGCTCGGTCTCCTGGTTCGTTTGTCGAATGCGCTCTTTCAGTGACGCGTTTTCGCGCTGATCATTCTCCAGCTGGGCACGAAGCTGTTGGTGTTGAGTGGACAAATCTTGATGAGTACCGTCGATCATTGCCATATCTTGCTGCAATCTCTTAGTTTCATTCTTCGATGTCGTCAATTGTTCCTGCAGAGCTTTGACTTCTTGAACCTCCTTTTCGTAGAGGGATCTCAGCTGAGCCAGTCGGCCTTCGAATGCTCGTTTCTGTGCCGTCACATTGGACAGCTCTTGCTCCGTCTGCTTTCTGGTTCCTTGCAGTTCCGTTGTCTGGTTGGATAAAGTGCTAACCTGGTTTGATAGATTGCCGAGTTCGCTCGTTTCATTAGTAAGCTTTGAGCTGATTTCGGGATCGGCATCTCCAAGTAGATCATCGTTTGGTGCCGGTAGAGATCTGGCCTGAGGAGCTGGGGAGCCGGTAGATTGAGGGATGATGCTTTGCCCGAACGAGCTGGAAGGAATAAAGGGTTTAAAAGTCGTCGAGGTGGTTTGTGGTGAAAGAGCCGAGGGATAGCTTCCCGGCGGGTTGGCGAAAGGTCCTGCATCTGTACCTCCGGTCGATTGCGGAGCTTGCGCTGGTGCTGGGACTGGAGCTGGGGCGGATGGGGCTGGCCCGAATGCATCGAGACCAAAAAGATCATCAGCAGCCGAACGAGGCTTAGTGACGGGTGCGTTTTCGAAGGACGGCGCAGTTGGTTGTGAAGGGGGTGCCTGTTGCTTCCGCATGCTCGGCGGAATCAGGGCTGGAGGCAAGGTGGATGGAAGATTGCCGCGTCCATCTTTCGTTCCTCGCTGTTGTCGGATCAGATACATAGCCACAGCAAACTCATCTTTATTCAATCTCCCTTCTGAGTTGATGTCGGCCAAATCCCAGATTTGAGCGAGCACTTCTTCTGGTAATCTAGCATTGCCAAAGAATTCTACGGCCTGTTCTCCTGTGATATAGCCCAGACCCTGGCGGTCAACCGTTGAAAATATCGAGTCGAATCGAGCTTTGTCGGCTGGCGCGACCACCCAGCCATCCCCGGTCGATTGGGCGGATAATGGCGTGCTGACCTGTTGTCTGGTGACTGGGCTCTGTGGGCGAGCAGTGAACCCGGTGAGCTGCGGAGGAACTGCACTTAGGGCACTCGAGCCAGGACGCGAGTTACTTCCCATTCGGACAGGCGGCCGACGATTCGCAGCATCATAAAGACCAGGTGGTAAAGTGTTGGGAACACCGCGCATCTGTCCGGATTTGTAGGAGGCCAGAAGGTGCATGGCAATAACGAATTCCGTGACGTTCAAGGATCCTCGGCCTTGTGTGTCGGACAGAGCCCATATTCTTCCAAGTACTTCATTGGGTAATCTTGCTCTTTCGAATATCTGTTTGGCTATCAGCCCTGGTAGGTATCCATTTTCTGCACCAGATTTCTCAAACAGCCCCGAATACTCTGCGACTTTGTCGGGAGTCAAGGCAGGAACGCGGATCGGAGGAGGCGCTATTGCGGTTGGACTCGCTGGAGCTCCGGTAGGCTGTTGTGAGATGGTACCAGTGGACTGCTGGGGGATGGTCCCCGTTGGCTGCTGGGGTACAGAATGAGGTTGCTCTGCCAGCGCAGCATTGTCGAACCGAGGAAGGGGCGCGGCTGTAACAAGTCAGTTTTGTAAGCGTGTAGGTGATAATTCGAGTAGTACCTTGTGGTGCAATTTGAGCTGATGGTGATCTACCAGCTTGCGCATGACCGATCAATCGCAGCGCCACGCCGAATCCTGCTGGTGTCAGAAAGCCTCGATTTTCCGTATCCGCAATCTGCCAGATCTGCGAGTGTGTCAATCCGAGCTCTCAGGGTCGTAAAGACGACATCCTAACCTGTCCGAGCACATCTGGGGGGAGCTTTGTTCGCTCGAAGAATCTGACAGCGACATCGCCAGATACAGCTCCGAACCCGTCAGGGTCAGCTTCTTTCAGCAGTTGCCCGTAGACTCTTTGCTCCTCGGTGTTGAGGTTGAGGTTGGGGTGACCTGGCACTCGTCAGGAGATCTGAAGAATGACTGCTGACGCCATGACACAAGGTGAACTAACCTGAAGCTTTTGAACCGATAGTTTCCGCCATACCAGAAAATGATCTGTGAGGTTTCGGTCGCGACGGATTGGTCGGGTAAGCCTAGAGGAGTCGCGTACAGTAGAGTAACATGAGAGTGAGACGATGCGCGTGGGCGAGTTTGCAGTAACCAAGGGATCTATCGCATGCAGCAGCAGACATGAAAGACAACGGGATGGATCTTGAAGCCCGGCTATTATTAAGGAATGGCTGGAGTTTATGCCTGGAGATGGGGAGACTGCGATGACGAACGAGGAGTTGCCCGCCAAGCTGAAAGCTTGCCAGGCAGTGAGGTACCTATAGCTCCAACGTGCCACAGTCCAACCACCGAGTGGAGCTTACCGTAGAATGCCTTTTTTAGAAAAGGTGGCATTGTTTACATATAGGTAGGTAGCCTTAGAGCACACCGATTACAGGCTCATTGAAAGCATGATCACTTTCCCAACGGTGTTGTCACTTTAGGGGTTGCAATGTTCATGTTATGGGGTTATGTTCGTCTCACAGAGACGTGCTTAACGTAGGGATGACGAGTTCCTGCTCTAGGATTCAACAATGAAATGATCCTGGCTCCTGCACGCCACGCATACTCTTCGAAAATGACATGTCGAGCATCCAACAAGGTGTCTAATGCTCCAACTCAGAACCATCACCCTCCTCGATCGAGTCGCTGGCGACCTCTTCGTAATCTCTCTCCAAAGCAGCAAGATCCTCACGAGCTTCAGAAAACTCTCCCTCTTCCATACCCTCACCAACATACCAGTGAACAAAGGCACGTTTCGAGTACATCAGATCGAACTTGTGAGATAGGGCAGACCAGGCTTCGGCAATGGCGGTAGTGTTGGAAAGCATGCAACTGTGACTGTCAGCAACGTTCATTTCACCAAAATGGCTTTTGGGAGCTTACACTGCCCGGTTGACCTTGGCAAGGTCTCCATTCGGCACCATCTGTGGTGGTTGGTAGCAGATACCAATCTTGAAACCAGTAGGGCACCAATCGACGAATTGAATAGTACGTTTAGTCTTGAGCGTGGCGACAGCTTGGTGAACATCGTTAGGCACAACATCACCGCGGTACAACAAGCAAGTAGCCATGTATTTGCCATTGCGAGGATCGCACTTGACCATCTGGTTGTTGGGCTCAAAGCACGACATGGAGATCTCTTGAACAGAGTGGGCCTCGTGTCCTGCCTTCGCGGCAGAGACCACTGGAGCGTATGCCACTAGAGGGAAATGGATGCGTGGGTAGGGGACGAGGTTGGTTTGGAATTCTGCAAGATCGACATTGAGAGAGCCGTCGAATCTGAGAGAGGCGGTGATAGATGACACAACTAACACGTATGGTTAGCATCCAAAGCCAGCCAGACTGTTCTCTTCTCACCTTGTGCGATGAGACGGTTCAGGTTCTCGTAATTGGGACGTTCGATTCCGAGGTTGCGTCTGCAGATGTCGTAGATGGCTTCGTTGTCCACCATGAAACTGCAGTCCGAATGCTCCAATGTAGTATGGGTTGTGAGGATGGAGTTGTATGGTTCGACAACAGCGGTAGAAACTTGCGGTGCCGGGTAAACGCAGAACTCGAGTTTGCACTTCTTGCCGTAATCAACAGAGAGGCGTTCCATCAACAAGGCGCCAAAACCAGAACCAGTACCGCCGCCGAACGAGTGGAAGACGAGAAAGCCTTGGAGACCACTGCAGTTGTCTGCGACACGTCGAACTTTGTCAAGCACCTGATCGATGAGCTCTTTTCCAACGGTGTAGTGCCCTCGAGCATAGTTGTTGGAGGCATCCTCTTTCCCTGTGATCATCTGCTCTGGATGAAACAGGCTTCGATACGTGCCAGTGCGAACTTCGTCGACAACATTCGGTTCGAGATCGGCGTAGATGGTTCGTGGGACGTATTTGCCGTTTCCTTTGGTATCGTGAGCGGATGAACTCTAAGGGGGATCGTGTAGAAGGCCTACCTGTCTCGGAGAAGAAAGTGCTGAAACCTTGATCAGGATCTGCGGCTTTGCGTTCCTCTGTGAGATATCCGTCGGGCTAGGAGAGTTGTGTCAATGATTGGGTCAGCGATTAGGATGCTATCCTTACCTGGATGCCATGCTCCAAGCAGTAAAGCTGCAATGTTGGGTCAATGGAAGGATAGAACCGAGGGTGAGATGAGATGTACCTCCCAGCACGAGTTGGCGATTTGACAGCCAGCCTGGCCGACTATAAGACGACAAGTCAGCTCAATGCTGGCGTGATGCAAACTTGAAGATTGACCAGGGGCTTCAGGGTCTAGAGACGACGCGTGTTCGACATACCGTTCAAACTGATGACCTCTCTCATTGTTAAGGTGAAATTGTAAGGAATGGACGAGGTGGATGGAGAGGCAAAGCGTGACACCTAGCTGTAACACTCAACACCTGATGTTCAGGAAGATCTGAACGGTTGTTGATTGCAGCTGCGGTGGTTATGATTGTGGGGGGGTTTTGAGCGGTGGACTTGATTGCCGGCGGATCAATTTGTTGACAAGTGCGCGCCTGCGCCTTCACCGCCTGTCTGTATCAATTGAGCCAATAATAAATTCTCCCTGATTAGCGCGTTTCTGGACCCAGTCACGTGTAAGGCTTCGTTAGACACTTCGAATGACTAAGCCAACTACTGCGTAAATCTGTCTACACTCGACTCTCCATGGTCATCAACATCATTGCTGCCCTGTGATGAAGCAGGCTGCCACAAGCAAGTATGAAGCTTGTGTCGATTATCCTTTTCGTGCTTTTGCAACATGCAGCGGCCAACGTAGAGAAGACGATCTTCATCTCGCCTCAAGCCCAGCCACCCCCCAAGGATGCCAGTATCGACAATCTCCTGCTTGTTCCTCTTTCAGAGGGGCTTTCTACGTTGCGGACTGAGCTGGAAGCAAGCTTTCCAACTGAAAGCGAGCCACACGGAACAATTCATTGGTTTCTTCTGGAGGGACTGCAACCAACCTCGCGTTACGAAGTACGCATCTGCTGGATGGCCACACAACCTACTTCCTTCTCGCTGATTGCCTACGATGTGGACACAGCATTTGCGCATTCTGGACTGCTGACGTCCTTGAGTGACTACTCTTACAAACGACATGAGAAGCTTACTGAAGCTGACGAACAACTCCTTCATCAGCGAAAAGCTTCCCCCACCGAAAACTCGACCTTTCTCTTCCTCCAGATCCTTGCCGCAGCGGACTATTATAGTCTGAACGACACTTTGATGACAACGCCACCTCCCGTTGCGGTCGACATCATCTTAGACCGGTACATCTTGAATGTCTTTCCTGAGTCCTTGCTTCCAACCGGACTGTATCTAACGCTGCTTGCCGCTGGAGCATGGTTCCTGTCTCGTTGGATATCAGCTCTACTCGTGAGACCATCGAGTGTGGAGGAGGTTTCAAAGAAGACAAATTAGAGCAACATGGCTCGTTGTTGGAATTCTTTGCCGCTCAACGTTCAAGCTCACTCCATCGGAGATTGATTATGTTAGTCTGCTCACCGCAGGCGTAGGGCTCTTTCATGGGAATGGACCCGCGACGACTGTGCCAATCAAGTCCCGGTCATGCTGAATGGATCCGGCAGCTGGTCAAACTCGGTCATCAAAGAAAAGAGTGGAAACTCCTCAGCATACGATGACAGGCTCGGGATCCCTGAACCATCTGGCGAGAAGTTATCTGCTCCAGGCAAGTGTCCAAATTCTGCCCGTGGCAGTGCTGGGAGAGCTTCTCCAGAGTCCTCGTCATTGTAGGCCAACGCGCCAGAAGTCGTTAGCACCGGCCCACGACTCTCCGGTGGCATGTCAAATCGCAGCTGCCAGGGTGGTGCTGGACCCTGGGCGGGTTCCGAAACATTGAAGCCCTCCAAGCCGCTGTTTTGAGCGGGCGTCTCGGGCATTGCAGTCTCAGATGGAGTATGGCTGCCTGTGTTCGGCCTCGTCGACTTTGCACTGTTGTTCTTATTGATGGGATCCCCGAAGATGTTGTGAATGTCTTGGCGACGCTTCTGCATTTGCAGCTGATCCCGTCTCTTGATATGTTCAATGGCGGCTAGATGCAAAGACCGGGTAATCTCATCCTGCCGACGTGCGGACAAGTCATCCTTCGCCATGAGTGTCAAGATGGACTCCGCTTGAGCAATGCTGCTGAGCAAAGGAAAAGACTTGTCAAAGTCCCCAAATATTGCGAAGCCGATTACTATGGCGGAGATGAAAACGCTGTTGGTGATCATGAAGAGTCTTTTTGGGACGCCCAGAGTGTGGACGAGGTCCGTTGCAATCTCGATACCTCTCAATGCCGCGTCGATGCAAGCTTCACTCAGCGTCATGGTCACCGAATTTCCGGCCCCATCTTCCTCGTCTGCGCGGCCTTTGATTTTCGACGAAACCTTGAAGATAAGGAAAGGCCTCGTCAATAGAATGATTGACCAATAGTATGCGCCCTTGAGATGAGCAATCCCGATGGTCTGCCGCAGTGTTGGTGCAGTGGAACCGGCCTTTTGGTCCAGACTATCAGCTTGCAGGCCTGCCGGTAACTGTATCGTCCAATCTCGATATTGCCTAGATATGCTTTCGACGAGTTGTACCGAAACCTCGCGGCGACAGTAGACCTCGTTCAATATTCGTTCGAAGATGAAGCAGATCCTTAATGTGGCCGAGGTATTGCGCCCGTTCATCTGGATGCCTTCATAGTCTCTGGTAGACTTGTTCCACGACACGCTCCCACCGTCCACTTCCGAAGTCGCTGGCGGTCGGCCAAGCGAGCCACTCATGTACAAATCGAGCACACGCAGGCTTTTCCATACCCGTTCGCGGGCCAGTCTTTCTCGGGGCTCAAAGAGCTTCGAGATGTCACTTCTGTGCAGGCCCAGGGCGTACGCTGCCCGAACAGCTATTCCAAGCAACATGAAGGCGCCATTCCGGCGAGTGGCAGTCAACATGTAAAAGGCGATCAAAGCATAAGCCTGAATGGTCAGGACACTGGGATCCTCCAGGAAACTAGAAACGCCAATTTCTCGACCACGCAAAAAGTAGAATTCGGCCTGATCCAGGTCGTCAGCAGTGCGTGTCAAGGCCCCAACTGCCATTATTAGATAGTAAATTGAACTGTTGAAGTCGGTCTCGGTAGCTGGCTCACGGGTCCAGGCGCAGAGATGATCTGTGATCTCGTCCGGGTCGAAAAGATCTATCACGCCACTGGATGCCAGCAAATAGTGTTTGACAAGTTCTCGTGCTTCGGCTTCATCCGGTTTCGGCTGCTGGGTCTGGGATAGCGAGGGAGTCTTGTGAGGCGGTATGACCTCGCACATGGCATGGCGTAAAGGATCCGAGGTCATTTGGCATTCTCCAATCTCCATCTTCACGAGGCGCCGGATGTTCTGTACGAATGCCAAGTTGCTGGAATCTCCGACAAAGATGAATTTGCCACGGCCGTCACGTAGGAGCCTGGCGAGTTTTGGTACCGGCGCTCTCGAGATTAGATCGTCTTGATATTTGTCATATTGCGGCGACTTTGGGGCGCTTCTTGACCCGGACAACGTCAGCAGTGACTCTATGGCGATCTCTGCATCGTTGGAGTCGTTCAGTGCGTCCATAAGAGTCATGGGTTGCGACAGGGACGACCTGTCCTTGCGATGTGACCCTCTTCGGGAAGATTCCTCCGAGAAGACACACTCAGGCTCTCGGCCTCGTCGCTTACATAAAAGGCATGGTTGCTGGCCATCGCACTTTTCCTTACGCCTCTTGCAGGTGTCACAAGCACGTGCTACTCGCTTCCGGTCTTCGTCCTTGACCCGGGGGCGAGGCATTACATCAAAGAACCTAGAGACTGTGCGCTATTGGTTCTCGCTGGTGTGTTGCCGATACTTTCAGACAGTGTAGCCGGAAAAAGGGTTGTCGTGGTCAAACCGGATGTAGCACCTTGCTGAGGCTGGGTGAAATTGGGGAAAGTCTGGTGGTTACCTGGAGTGCCTGGAGAACTTCGGAAGTGGGCAGTTCTTTAAAATGGTTTGTGGGGAATCATAATACTATGGGAATCAAAACGACTGGGCCTTCTTAGCCCCCGGCCTTGGTCTTGCCGGCTCGAATTTGGACGTGGCTCAGCCGAGGTTCGAACCACAACAACGCGTAAGCGCTGATTGAGAAAAGATACAGCGCGCACAAGCTTCGCACAAACACCATCACTTCTACGACAACTGCAGGCACCAACTACCGGCATCTACAACGATACTGGACTCTCGCTCAGAACAGAGGGCCTGTTCCCGCTGTAGCCAATCCATTCTCTGGACCAGACTCTCCTTTCTCACCAATTGGCGCCATCAGAATATCATATTTCAGCTCGTGCGTGGCCTTGTCATCATTCTTTCGTGGCACAAAGTCGACTATCAGTGAGTCTTTGACAGCAAACACCGAGTCATCGTCAAGGTATTTGCTGTCTTTGTCGAAGATTTGGGTGGTGATGGGCTTGTACCCGTCAATCAGGACCTGTTTATGATCAGCCAGTACACCGCCCCATATCATGGCCAGATACTCACAATCAGATGGATGTGCGCCGGCCGGTATGGATGCCTATCGAGCAGTTGCAGCAACTTACCAGCAGGCCCATCATAAGGTACTGGGTATGGGGTCGGCCTCAGGCAATAAAAGGCGTACTCCCCGTTCGCATCAGTGATGAACTTCCCACGCAAGTTGGAATCGACTTGGTTCTCGTCTTGCTGCTCATACAGGCCTGCATGAATAAGATCAGTGTGTGTGCGTACTTCCTTGATGGTTTATATAACCAACCATTCGTCGAAGCCTCCCAAATGTCAATGGTGGCATTGGCCAGGGGCTGCTTGGTCTTCGCGTCCAAAACCTGACCGTACATGTACACTGGTGTGGCGTCTTCCGGAGTATTGAATGAAATGGTTGCACCTTTCTCTCGGACGGGGTGGTCATATCTGAAGAAAGGCCCAAGGATAGCACTCTGGGTCACCAAGTCGGAGGCTTCTGATGCCTTCTTGTAAGTGATTTCATCCACGAGTCTATGATGGTGAGAATCATGATAACACCATTGTCGGGATCAGGAGTGACTCACGACTCCAGGCCAACCACATCGCAAAGCAGCTGGCCTTCATTTCTTTGATCCGTGCTCATCTGACCGGCCCAATTGATCAGCTTAACACCCTCCATCCATTCGTCGACCGTCAATTCCACCTCGCGGGCAAAGTCGTGCAAATGCCGTGTTAGGCTGGTCATGACTTCGCGCATCCGCGGTGTGGTCATGGGTCCCATGGCATCGATGACATGTTGGGTGAAGTTGGGATCGAAGCGTGCCGCTCCTTTTTTGGCTTCACCGTTCATGTCGTAAGGGCGTATAGGATTTTTTGGTTGGATTTGTTAAGTATTTCTTCGTCCCAGACTGAGGCCAAATGCTTACTGGATATTACGGCGGCGAAATCAGGTCGAGTCATAGCCGTCGGAGCATCCGACATCCGGTGACAAGCCTCTTCAAATAGATGTTAGCATCCCTGTCAGGTGTTTCGTGGAGAGCGGGATCATATTGCGGGATGGTGTCTGGCCCGCCTGATGGCATTACAGGATAGAGTGAACTTACCCCGCCTCGAGGCGTCCGGGGACTGGGGCCGTCCATGCCCAGTCTCGTACCGGATCGGGGCTATCAACGGCCAGCCAATATCGTCTCTCGTTCTCCATTTGTTATTACATCGTCTGGTTTGTTGGGTTCGGTGTGTTGATATCTGTAAGCATCCGTCGGATGATCGAACCCAATACTGAAAGCTCTGGAAGTTTTCGAAATACGCGAACTCGCCGAAATGTTGCAGAGACTCTGGAGGACTCTCAAAGATGAGGTGCTGGTCCATCACACCACGCAGCCTCGGGTCGCACGTTCGGTCCTGATTGATTACACGCATGCAGCCGACTTAAGAAGCTGTCAGCCCGCTCTTTCGCCAGCGGAAAGGCGCATCTTCACATGTTCCTGGAGCATTCCTGTTGACATATGATTCTTCACCCCAAAGGCCAATCAGGGTTATACTACAAGTGGCATTGTCTGACTCTTGGAGCCTGTCAGATCCGTTTAGTGCGTAATTAACTCGATAAGTCCCTGGAGCTCTTCCCATACAGGATTGCTACACAGGAGGCCATGAGCTCTTTGAGGTAGTCTAGCGATATGCTGTTGAGGCATCTCCTGCCGTCAAGCTATTGGGATTCATGTCTACAACGTCGACGTTCTCTCCGTCAGCAAAAGCCACCTTCCTGCAAAGAGGCTTGAACGTTTGGCAGGCAATCCTGTTATCAAATATTGACCCCTGCGTCGTCCTACTATGGGTTGCGATAACGGTTCGTTCATGCTGCATCTATCCCATGCAAGATGAGTTACCAAACAGTTTTGAATCGGTTGCATCCATGGGAAAGACCCGGATCGACCTTGCACAGCCCTTGCAGCACCCTCCGGCCCATGACCTGCCAGTCACTATAACACTGCATATGCATCAGACCCTTGGCTCGTGGCACTCGGACATGACACTGCTGTTACCTTCAACTCATGGCCTGGCCGGTTTGTACTCCCAAGACGCGTCGATCATAAGTCGAATCGTCGTCGCATACCGTGCCTTTCAGCCAGTATTCCATGGCTATGGAATTTGGAGTCAGTCCATCTCAGTTTCCCATCTTGTCGCGAAGAAAGCCCTGAAGCCCGTGTTGGGTGGCTGATCCTCAGAAGGCACCGCGACGTTTGCTGACGGACGACCCGAGCGCCTCTCGACGCAGTGCCCTGTGCAGCAGGCTTTCTGAAGCCCTCGTCGATAGACTCGAAAATCGTTGTTAGCGCTCGCATGCCGTTTGAAAGACCGACATCATTGAAGTCATCGGCACTGCCACAACCGCCAATAATGCCATCGCCATGTACACCACCCCAACGTCCGCCGCGACCGAAAATTTCCTTACCAAACATGCGACCTACTATTGTTCTGTCACCACTGGCGATTCCAGCATGTATCTATCGACTGCCTCCTTCGACCCAATCAATCACAGCCATCGAGGACTCGTTCGTGCGAGAAGTGCTTGCGGCCTGGTCACACCATGTGGAGATGCAGAGTCTGTCGATGAAGCCATCATCTCCAACAGGACCACACCTTTCCTCTTCGCAAGCACCAACCAAACACGCCTTTGCGTGCAACCGCACTGTGTCCCTTGACGATCGAAGCGTGGTCACCAGCAAAACAGCTCAGTCCGGTTCGACGTGCATGGGCTCAGCGTGGACGTGCCATGTCAAGGGGCGGAACGGCGGGGGATGCACATCAGATATGGAGTGTGTGCAGAGGTATATCGACACGTGTCCTCTGTCATGGCTGGGCAGGAATCGTAGATTGATTTGGATGTTGGCAACATTATGCTTCGTGGTGGTCTCAGCTGCCGCCATTGCAGGTGGGATCATATGGAGGTTAACAGTCATACACTGATCGACCATAGGGCTATTGCCCGAAGCTTAAGCTTGCTGATCATCCGCATCGATTTCTGTCGAAGTTTTGCACATTCCATTTCTCAGGAGGCTGAGGACAATGCTATGTATTAGTCCGACGACGCCTATAACGATCCAAAGTGACGACTCATTCCCAGCTCGTCAAAATTCAGACTCTTTTGATGCCGGTTTCGTGATTCATATAATTCCAGTCCTCAGTGCTTTCTACTCTTGGACTTCCCGTTTTTCTGCTTGATTGCGGGACCATCTGCTCCATTATCTGTTGGCTTATTGCCGGCTTTCCGGTCCGCAGCTTTTGGATCCAGACCTCTAGCCTTGAGCCACTTTTTCTCGGCCTTATCGATGATCTTTTTGTCCTCTTCATCGTCAAAGCCACCAAAGTCGTCATTGGGAGCGATTGATGCCTCGTCGCTGGTATTGCCATTAATTGGAGCCTTGTCGCCGTTGACGATTGAAGACTTTGAACTGGTGTCGGCTGAGCCGTTCACCTGCCCACCACTCTTTGGAGTAGGTCCAATCTTTCTCAACTTGCAAACAAAGAAGCCATCCACGTTCTCACGATGTGGGAAATATCGTCTGGTCAAAGGCATTTTGTCGTCAAATCTCTTGTTCATATAGCTCTTGAACCCTTCGGACCCAAAACTTCCCAAGCCGGTGTCGACAATCTTCACATTGGGGCGTTTATTCAGTACATACTGGACCACCCCTTCGTTTTCCTCAACCGTAACGGAACAGGTCGAGTACACAATGTATCCACCGGTTTTGCTTTTGTGATCCACAGAGTCAATGGCGGCCAGAAGAAGCTGCTTTTGCATGTGCGGTAAAGCCAAGAAGTCGCGTTCATTCTTCGATGTCTTGACACTGGGATCCTTACCGATGACACCCGTGCCAGAGCAAGGTGCATCGAGCAAGACGCGGTCGAATCCACCAAGCACCTTGGGAAAGGCCTTTTGGGCGTCGTAGTGGCAGACAATGACATTCTTGCATCCTAGACGGTGGACGTTACCTATCAAACCCTTTGCACGCTGACGATTTGCATCGTTGGCGAACACAGCGCCAGTGTTGCGCATGAGGGCTGAGATGTAGGTGGTCTTGCCACCTGGAGCAGCAGCCATGTCGAGGACACGTTCATTCGCTTGAGGTGCGAGAGCCATCACAGGCAGAAATGAGGAGGCGGCTTGGAGTATATAGTGGCCTGCGAGATATTCTGGAGTTGCGCCCAGCGGCACTGGGGATTCGAAAACCTGTAATCCGACTTTGGACCATTTCCCAACCGGCTCAAGGACAACACCACGATTGATCAACGCCTGAGCGAGAGTGCGGCGGTTGGTGCGGAGAGTGTTTGTTCGCAACACCACCGGACGTGGAGTTTCGTTTGCTTCGAAAAATGCAAAAGCTTCTGCAGGGGTGAAGAGGGAGAACAGCTTCTCTGCCAGATACGGCGTGTAGCCGTAATAAGTGCAGATGTCTGAAAGCAATTGATTGGTGTAGTCTGTCCGAGACTTTGCCTTGTCCGCCAACTTTGAGAAACTGCCTAGAATGCGAATGGTCTCGGTGATTCGACCGCGCACAACAGCCAGATCTGGTGCCAAACCCTGCGCAGCAACAGCATCCAAGACACCTTCATCTTTGGCGATATTGGTCTGCAAAGCTGCATCTTCCAACTCCTGTTCTGCTTCTGCGTCGACCTCGGCTTGCTCCCTGTCCAATCTCCGAGACAAGCCTTCAATATTTGCAGCGGTCAATTTTGCTTCAGCATCGGACTCGTCTTCGTCTTCAGAGAACATGCGTCTAGGTTGCTCGTCTGGATCGGAGTCGAAAACGGAATCACCCGATCCTTCTTGCTCCAGTTCTTCTTGTGCCAACTCGTCATCCTCGCTGGCAGACAAAAATGCCTCTTCCAACGGAATCCCAGCAGACTCGTTCTCTTCTCCGTCGGTCTCATCCGCAGGTTCGGGTATCGAGGCAAATGACGGAGGGATGGTTATTTGGGCATCGTTGTTCATGAGCTTTTGCGTCTTCTTACGATCTCGCCGATCCACTTGCTTGACTGCGGACGGGTGTTCGACACGTAAAGCTCGATCAAGGTTGACCAGCTTCTTCGCATTGTCCTCGTCTTGGTCTGATTGTCTTCTCTTTTTCTTCGCCGGTTCTTTGGATGTTTCGGGGTTCGATTTCCGTTTCAAATTGATACCCAGCTCTTCCAAGGTGGCGGGCGCACCCTGTTTCTTCATGCGACGTCCAGGGCCCATCGTAGTAAGCAGAGAATGGCCGAGGCAGTGATGTCCTCTGTGCATGTAATTTTCAGAGCGTTGAATGCTGGCGCTCAAAAAATTATAGTCCGCATGGACTAAAACAGGTTAGTGGAATTTATTTTCTAATTCTTACGTCGAAGGGCTCCACGAAATAATCTGATCGCCTAAACACGGGCGCGCGGCTTGCTTCCGCAGCCTCGATAATCCATGTGACGGGGCAGAATGGGTGGACTATGTTTCGTATGAAGCTTTGTTGTCAATCGGTCTACCAAAGCCAACACGCTCGGTCAAAGAACTTCGACAATGTCTACGGCAGAGGGGCAACAAGCCATCAGAGGATGAGGGCGTAATTAATTGTGTCAATTGGTTTTTGATCGGCTTAGAGCCCTCCGCGATGTTTGGACGGAAAAATGCACATAGTTGATACATCAAGATCCTGTTATCGAACAAGTTGCCGGACACGTTCTTGGTTGGAAATGTCCACTCCACTTCAGATGATTACTTCGCCGCTCGGAATTTTGCTGCGCCTTTTGATGATGGTAATAACCTCTTCTTCCAGTGCCTGGTGCAACTCAGCTGACGTTCCTGTCCCCTTCACAATGTGAGATATCCAATCTCGCTACATCCTGACTACCCAGTAAGTCCTCTTCACGAACCGTTCCCGTTCATGCCACCGACAAGTGGCGCGGGAGAGTTGGCCTCAGAGCCTTTCTTGGACTTGAGCGTCAGGGGAAAAGGGTAGTCTTCCGGTTCGTCTTCCTCACTAGAAACAGAGTTAGTATTGGCCCAACACAGCCCCGGAATCACTTACGGTAACCGCCAGGCAATGTAGTCCTCTGTGCTGAGACCCTCTTTGCCTTCCTGCAATGATGCAAAGTCTCCAGGTGTCATCATACCAGATCGATCTCTGGGCGATCCAGGGACCGACAAAGGTCGGGAGATCTTCTGCTCAGTGCCCCCAATGATGTCGTCAAATTCATCAGCATCTTCAAAGGAGTCTGGATAGGCGCGTCGAAGAGCCAATTGTCTGGCTTTGACGTACTCCATGCCCATGCGCTTCCAATCAAGAAGGTCACTTAGACGCTCTGTACGATTACGCTGATTGATGCGTTGTCTTCGACTTTTGTTGGCGAAATCGTACATGTAATCTGTTAATTGGTTGACCGAGTCATCCACCCCCTTGTTTCTCCGATCCACAATGTAAATGCCATAATCGGATGAGTTCTCAATCAGCTCTTCCATATAGCAACCAAAACCTGAGAGATTGGTAGTGATGGAGGGGACGCCCATGACAGTACACTCTGCTGGTGTGTATCCCCAGGGCTCATAGTATGAAGCGAAGATCCCGAGGTGAGTACCTCTGACGAAATCGTCATAGTCCAACGATAGGACTGGGTTGGCTGAGTTCAGGAATTCGGGGTGGAAGACGACCTTGACACGATCAGAGGAATGGTTGAACAATTGAACGCGGCGCAACTGATTCAAAACAGGGTCCTCTGAGTCATTGACCATGTTGTGCGTGACAATTGGTGGCAACTGGTGTCTTTTCATGGCAAAGAGTCGACGTCGAAGCATGACCCGATCGGCCGGCGTGATGAGCTCCTTGTCATCCGGCATGCCATCTCCTTCTTTCCAGTGCACAGATCTTTCGAACAGTCTCCGGCCGATGCCGCGTTCGATGTTGGAGACAGTGTCGGCCAGCGCTTTTGTGACAGCTTGACCTTTCAAAGAGTCTACGGACAGCGAGGTCGTCTGTGCCGGCATGATCATGAATGCAACAACGGTCGTCTTACTGCCTGTAACCTTGAGTCTGTGATTCAGCCGTGCCAAGGACTCAATGAACATGTCAACGCCCTTGTTTCGGTATTCATATCTTCCAGCTGTGAAGAAGTACAAGGTGTTGTCCAAGTCGAAGTCCAAGTGCCCATAGAAGTGACCTCGCACGAAATCGTGTATCTTCTCTTTCTGTACAGAGTGAAGATTCTGAAATTCGTGAACTGCCGAGAATTTCTTGACATTCAGCCCATTGGGCAAGACACCGTCCGGCTTTCGCTTTAGGAGATGCTCACTTTCGAAGGCGGTAATGTGTGAAACAGTGGTGAAGACGTCGCAAGAATGGGTCGCGGCTCTTTCGACGCAGTATCTGTGGTAGATCCCTCGCTTTCCAGCTTCTGCATCGACATCAAACCATTGAAGGTTGTTATAGAAATCCACAGAACCAGCACACAAGTAACGACCAAGTAGCGTAGCGTGCGTTGTGAAGATAGTAGTCAAATCCATCTGACGCTTCTTGGTCAGGGGAAGGGCGACACCAGCAAGCCACTCGTGAAAGTGGGCAATTATGGCACGGCTCGTCTCGCGGGAGAGAAACTGCAGAATGTTAGCATACGTGTAGAGTTTCGTCTTTCACAAGTACACACTTCACCAAGGAACCAGGCGACAAGGTAACCAAATACAATGGCCTCATTTGTCTCATGATCACCAACAGGCGAAGGGATTCCCGCTGCTGACCAGAGGTCTGCCTTCCATTCGTCAAGCCAGCGGTAGCCCGTTCCGGTATTGATGAGCAGAACTCTTGGAGCGCCTTCGATCAGCCATCGTCCATACATGACCTCGATTCCTCGCTCTTGCATAGATGCGATGGTCTCGCGTAAGGGGCCGGCAGGAGGTTCGAGTTCTTCAACTTCGACAGCGGCCTGGACCTGTCAATTCGTGTTTCGCAAGACGAGGAGGAAGCTCATACCGAATTCTTATTCAGAGGCCCGATAAGCGTATATCTTTCGCCATATTCCGCCGTGGTCACAGGAGCCTTTGACTTGAGTACGGAGTAGATACCACCCACTGGCCGAAGTTAGCACATGGGAATGAGGTTGCCGGACAGGACCTGTACCTCGATTCGCGACTTCGGTTGCGATCTCGAACAGCAGATGGTTCTTGATATCTCGTTTCCCCGTATCTCCGTTCATCTCGACGGTCTGAAGTTGTCGTGAAGAAAACGGTAGGCGAGCTTCGTAGGAAGAGGGAAGGGTTGCGATGCTCGGAGCAGCTCCCCCGCAAAATGTCACAGCGCAGGTCGTTTGGAAAGCTCAATGATGTGATGGTCCAACACGACGGGGAGAACTTCGAGCTTGGAATCTTGCCGTAGAAGCAGTGTCTGAGAATGAATGAAAGTCGACACACTAATTATGAGAGAGAAACGGTGAGACTGTAGCTTGGGGGAGAAATCGAGGCAGGCTGGGCCGAAATGCAGAAAGCGATCTATGGGGCGGGTTCGTTTGGTGGAAAGAGGAGTCGAAGTGGAAAGACAATAAGGATCCACTGAAGGACAAGGGCAAGATTGTTCTCGACACTTGCAACGAGCCACACGCCGATATTTACTGCGGTGATTGCTAAACCAATGGCACGCTTCCTGATATGTGAGGAACACCAAAGATCTATCAACTTCTATTTCACCGTTGAAGAAAGCGCCGGTCTTTTCTTCGCAGAAAATAATACCTGGTAGCTGTTAATGTACGGTCTTAAGCTAATAAAAAGGTAAAACCGCAGCCATCGGATGGGTACCGGTGATGCAATGGTGGTCTGCTTTCCATTTCCAAAGCTCTGCTCTGGAGAAGCTTCGCCTGCAATGGGCCTGTAATGCCACGCATGACAGCATGTGCCCACTTGAACCTCCAACGACGTCCTCAACGTCATTTTTTGCCTCGGGGCTCCCACATCGAGTAAAGTACCGCTGGACTCCAGGCTGTGGGATAGCCACTCGCTGGCTCTCATTTGTGTGGTACCTATCCGGGCCTTTTTTTCCATTGGGTCAAAACCTGCACGTCCTGAGGGGCGGCAGCGAGTCGCTGCCAGATTGTGATTGACGAACCAGCAACAAGCATCCCCAAACACCATGTTGCGATACCGGGGTCCCGCATTCATGTTCTTTCCATGCGAGCGGCCAGTGCATACTGTGCGTGCTTCTCCGCAGCATGTCCATGTGCAGAAATACGATGAGCTTGATTCCAGCAAAGTGGCATTGTTTGACACGGAGCACGTTCGATATCCAGCAGATAAAAAAAGTCGGTACCGTGACAGCAAACCGGTGATTATACTGTTAGATCCGATCACACTCGCCATGGCAAGGCCAAGCGGTAGTACGTTGGGCGCGCAGGACTCGGTATAGAAAACGAGGCACAAGATCTGTTTGGATGTGAAGACCTACTGCACAACGTTGAGAGTGTGCTACTTTCGCTGGAAGCCGGCTCGACGTGTTTCGTTGCTGAGCTTGGATGCACACACGAGGTTCTGCTAACGACTCTGAGACTGTGTTGCTTCATGCAAAACGGACGACATGAATCAAGGTTCTCATGTTCTACTTGCTCCGCTTGTAGATTTTGGCCAAAAATACCTCGAAGACGCCTTTCCTCAACCCCTCGCTTTCATCAAGTGCCGCAATCATTTGTCGAATCTCGCCAACACGCTTCTCCTCATAGTCGTGGTATCTTTTTTCCAGTTCCAATTCATTGTACAGTTCCTTGACCTTTGCCTCCGTTGCGTCGTCCTTCTGACCATAGTTTTCGTTCAACACTTGCCTCTGCGCAGGCGTGCATATCAAGAGCGCTTGGTTGACCAACCACCCACACTTGTTATCTTTGATATCTGTTCCAATCTTTCCAATCACGGCAGGATCCCCAAATGCATCGAGATAGTCGTCCTGTATCTGGAAGTACTCTCCGAGAGGGATGAGGATGTCATGTGCTTGCTTCAGGTTTTGCGGAGTCGCCAACCGAAGGTAGTGTAGTGCAAGAGCGACAGGCAAGTAGAAGGAGTAATATGCTGTCTTGTAAATCACGATGAAGGTGTATTTTTGCATGCTGAAGTTATTCAAATCGACATGGTCCTCAGGGGCTGTGATCAAGTCGCAGAGTTGGCCAAGCTCAGTTTGCCAGGTAATTTCATGAAACAATTCCATCAGATCGAGGTATGCAGGATGCGATCGAAAGTGTTTCTTGAGAATTAGGTATATTGCAGACTCCAGCATGAAAGCGTCGTTGATGGCGATCATCCCAACCCCAGGTTGTCGATACCAACATGGCTCTCCCCGACGTGTGATGCTTGCATCCATAATGTCATCGCTGACCAAGAAGAAGGCCTGCAGCAGCTCGGTCAGCCACCCAAGCGTGGCAAGGTCTTTGAATTCTTCGGAGGAAAGCGATCGTTCAAGGAGTTGGGATGCGGTATCTGGTACTGACATGCCTCTGTTCAGCTTGCCACCAGGTGTATTCGCATTGAGCGACTGCCCATGTAAGTCAGTCACATTTCATCTGCAACATTCAGATAACCAACCTTTTCAAACCATTGTACCGCATTGTCAGGCAAGTTGAACTTTTTGGCTTCGCCCAGGACATCCTTGACCAGGGCAGGAAAGACTTGTTCAAAGTCTGCACGTGGAGTCTTTGTCGCCATGGTTGGAAAAGAGGCAGACACCACTCAGAGACGGAGGATTAGCTTGTGTTATTGTTGTTGGCGCATGGGTTGTGAGTGTGAGATGCCAGCTGCATTATTGAGAAACCCGTGAAACTTCTGACCGCTGTTGCTGCCACCACGGAGACATCATACACCGAGTGGCGCTAGATGCAAGTAAAGTCAGGCACAGTTCGTTCTAAGCGAATCATTTTCCGAACGTCATCTTGCCGGCGCAGCCTTCAGTTTGCACGCCTGCACCAGATCTCTTTCTCCGCACTTGCGCTTTAAACCCTCCAGCCTTTCCATCCTTCAATTCCTGGAAAATTGCCATTCAAAAGTCTGTCGCGTGGCGGATCGAGTGCTTCCTTCCTCGACCTCATCAACTTTTACGACTGTTCAAGCGTGTAATCATGTCGGTGCGACCGTCGACGCCGCCCCGGCAGAGTGGCGAATCTCATGCGGCTTCACCATTGACCCCGGAACAGGTGAGGAGGATAGAGATCAACCGGCTGAAGGCAAAAGCCCTTCGCGAACAAAGAGAAGCCGAAGCTGCCACAAAACTAAACCCCCGAAGGTCAGATACCTCAGCAACGGGTCAGAAACGAACATTTGATGTCTTTGCTGGCGCTCCTGCTACCCAGCGAAACGCAAGTACGCAAGCGGATGCTGTCCGGCCGCTCGAGGCGATTCAGCCTGCGCGAAACCTCGCAAAGTATATCGAGTATGATTTCAGTAAGATGACGGATACGAAGGGCGGGTTTCTGACCGCAGACGATGACCCTCACAATAAGGCGATGCACTCAAACGAATTGGAGGCAAAACCTTCCAACGTGACCCAGAGAGAATGGGAAAGACAGCAACTCCTGAGGTCGCTGAGAAATCAAAAAGCAGGGCCATTTGAACCTGGAATCAGCGCTTCTAATGATCAAAAAATCAGCTCGTGCCGCGAGTGTGGCACCCTTGAAGTGGATTGGAAATGGCTCGATGTGTTCGACCTTGCGGTTTGTAATGCTTGCAAAGAGAAGTTTCCGGAGAAATACAGCTTGCTCACAAAGACCGAGGCGAGGGAGGACTATCTCCTGACTGAACCCGAACTAAAGGACGAAAACCTACTTCCTCATCTCGAGAGACCCAACCCGCACAAGTCGACTTGGCATAACATGTTTCTCTACCTCCGCTGTCAGGTGGAAGAGTATGCTTTCTCGGAAAAGAGATGGGGCTCTGCGGAAGTGCTCGATGCCGAGTTTGAGAAGAGGGAGACAGAGAAAAAGAGACGCAAGGAGAACAAATTCAAGTCAAGACTGGCTGACCTGAAAAAGAGGACTAGAGTTGAAGCGCATCAGCGTAGTCGCAAAGGTGGAGGAGGCGGTAATTTTGGCGACGACCTTGGTGACGGAAAACACGCTCACGAGTTCGGTCGGCCGGTGGACAACCCAGACACCGGAATGCCGGTCAAGAAGTGTATCATCTGTGGTTTGGAGGTTGAAGAACTGGAGTTATGAGTGTTTTGGTTACTCGAAGCATTGATTCTCGATACCCAATTCCACTGTCGCGATATTTGCCGTTGTATTGCCTTCAGTCCCTATCCAAACCACTTCATCTCTCTCACGAGATAATACGGTCATTTTAAAACGGTGCAGTAATTCTTCGCAGTTGAAAAGGTATGAGTATGTGCATGGTTCGTGATTGAGGTACTGTACGTAAACCTTACTGTAAATCTGGAGGCGTCCGTGACGGAGCCGTGTCTGGCGCTAAATTTCCTTGCCTGCGGCCAAACACGAACGACACTGCCACCTCTCATGCCGACGACTAGCAAAGCGACATCTTTTCCCAATGCGCCAGCACTCGCACCAATAACTTTCCGTCCGTTGTTCGACCATTGTTCTGCTTTCTCACTTGATATCCAGCCCCCATAACTCCTGTCCACGTCAAACCACCTTGATCGAAGCCAGCTCGCCCACTCTTCACATTTGTCCATATTCTACCACCATGGCTAGATGAGACGCTCATACCTGCAGAAGCGCCCGGAAGCGCAATATGGCGTGGCAGTCCGGGGCCGGTGGGAGCAGCGTCGGAGGGATGGCCACTGGAGAGCCAAATGGCGTCCAGGCATACACGCTGCAGGGTAAATGCTTCTTGTCATTCAGCAGACTCCTCCCTAACCTGTGCGATAGGTGTCATGCGGTTTCTACAGACGGAATGGCACAGACACGAACGAGACCGGAATGCCTGGGAAATTGAGCGCGAAGAGATGAAGAACCGAGTTGCGATTCTTGAAGGCGAAACGAGAACAAGCAAAGGCATACGGACGTCGCTTGAAAGACACGTGAAACTCCTTGAAGTCGCTCTGAAGAGAGAACGCGAACGAGCGCGTAGTGTGGTCAAGGGCGAAGAGGTTGAATCACAAAAAGGCGCCGAAGAGCTTGCGCGTGACAAGCTCAAGGCAGTCGGAAAAGGTAGGAGAACTCTTTGTGCTCGTGTGATCTTTCAGGACTAACGCGGGAGGACAGATTCATCTCTCAACAGCGTCGGCCATTTTGACCAAGAGATCGATGCCGAAAGTCACTTGATTCAGGGCGTACGGCAAGAGAAAGAGCGTGACAAGTCCAAAAGCTATCTGTCCAAATGTTCCTCCGAGATCACGTATCATGTTTTGCCGACGAACCATGTACCTCCCGAACTCAACGATCCCTCATTGTCGGCCAACGCAACCAATGTCTTCCCGGGACGGCAGCCGAGCCAGCAAGAGCTCCAAGAAGCGTACCTGCAGCTGCAACAGGTGAAGCAGCAGCAGCACCGCAATATCGCCATGGTTAGGGAAAGTGCTGCACCTCAACAGCAAACCTTTGCCGAATCGACTGCGCTCTCGCGGAACAACACGCAAATAAATGCCGAAGGCACCCAAAGAGGTGACACAGAGGGCCGAATACCTGAACAGATGATCCAACCGGTGCCGGCTGTGGATTCGAGGAAGATTTTTTACAACGAACAACTGCATATCCCTGAAGAACAAGTCGAGTCCATCTCCCACAGTTTTGATGCTTACGGACGCGAAATCCAGTTGAACGACCAGACCGAGCTGCGGTCAGTGGAAGACCATAAGCAGGAGATTTCAGACGCCTGGGACTTCGACGATGGGCCTTCGCATCAGGAGAAGACGGAGCCAACAGCACAGCACAGGCCTGATGTCGAGGTTTTCCCGAGCGCAAACCTGACTCCTTCAAAATCTCCCCCTCGTGCGCCAGGCTCCTATCGCAGGAAGAGCTCTGGAGCAAGAAGACGAAGCGAGGGTAGCAACGATGCTCGGGAGTTGGCAGCAACAAAATCAGACGCTTCACAATTCAAGGTGCGGTTTGCTATGCGAGGGCATTTGGACGTGGTCCGTGCGGTCATCTTCACTGGAGGTGGAAGTCCTTCAGAACCCGAATTTTGTACGGCAAGTGATGATGGAGGCGTGAAGAGATGGCATATTCCCGCTTCCTACCCACATAATGTGGCTCTAGGCGACGATCTTGATCGCACCGCTCACTTCACCCATCGAGGTCACATCGGTGCAGTCTGCTCTCTGGCAGCATGTTCGGCATCTCCCAATTTCTCCAGTGGTGGCCGAGCAGCCGGTGATGGTTGGATCTTTTCAGGCGGTGAAGACGGCACGGTCAAAGTGTGGGAGCGGGGTCGAGTTGACGCGAAAGCGACCCTCGAAGGCCATAAAGATGCAGTGTGGGCGTTGTGTTGTCTTCCTGGAACGACAGGAAGCATTCTTGGCGACCGCTGTTCGCAATTCGGTGGACCAGACCGTGTTCTCCTCGTTGCTGGTGGCTCTGATGGAACCATCATGGTCTGGGCTGTGAGCACGCCTCCACAATTAAGTTCACCGCCTGCCGGGAGTCGATCAGCCAGGGGAAGCCGACGGGCAAACTCCATTTCGGCAGGCTCCAACTTTCCCAGCTCGCCTCAGCCGAGTATTGCCACTACTACACCTTTCAATTACAGCTTGGTGCATCGCATCGAACGAACACAGCATCCAGCGCCGACGTCCATCTCACCGTTAGGACCCCACGGGGAGAGTTTCGTGGTCAGCTACAATGACGCAAGCGCCCTGATATTTGACACGCGGACAGGCGAGGAGATCGTTGGAATGGCCAGCCAAGAGACCTATGACGGAACTCCGGACACGGGCATCAATGCAGTTGTCGCTAGCAGCACAGGATTTGATACTCGCGATTCGGTTGCCCCAGGTCGGCGCGGCTCGATGGGCGAAGATGATGTTGTCCATGGCGCCACGGGCTCAGAAGGTGGCGTTGAAGGTGTTGTCATTGCCGGCTACGAGGACCGATACATCCGCTTCTTCGATGCTAACAGTGGTATGTTATCCGCCCTGGTTCTGACAAGTATCGTGCTGACATTTGCTAGGGCAATGCACATACACTATGCTTGCGCATCCTTCTGCAATCTCGTCGCTGTCCTTGAGCCCGGATGGCAAGGAGTTGGTATCAGGTGGGCATGATGCAAGTTTACGATTTTGGTCCCTTGAGAAGAGGAGTTGTACACAGGAGATATCAAGTCACAGAATCATGCGGGGTGAAGGAGTCTGCAGTGTTGTTTGGAGTCCTGATGGCCGATGGGTCATTAGTTGTGGCGGCGATGGTGCTGTCAAAGTATTTTCCAGGAGTTAACCTGACAGTGATTGTTCGGGCATCAGGTCGACAAATTATCTGTTCGAATGGATCGAAAACAGTCAGCTTCAGCTTCTAAACATGAATCAATCACTAAGACTTGAAGATTGGTTTCATTTCGATCCATCCGCTCCGCCTCACTCAGTCTTGCGAAAAGTTCCCTGTAACTTGGGGGTGGCCAGCCGAGCATTCGCGCGCATGACAGCCGGATGAAGTGACGGCGCCGGGTTCACCAACGCATCTCAACTATGTTTGATCGCGCCGTGTCTGTGGGTGGCCAATGCTTCTCTGAATACCGACAGCATCCTGCATTCAAGCGGCAGGACTGCCCACCTGTCCCAGGACGTCGACAGGCCGCGGCGTCACCCAATGATCCACAGATCAGAAATCCCCGATGCGGAATCTGTGAAACCGCACGTAGAACCAATCATGTTCAACCTCCAATGACCACACCGTTGGGAAGCTTCAGTCCTACGGGCAATCCATGAATATATCCAGCGGCGAAGTCTTCACCTCTTTGTTCTGCTAATGCCTCTTCGATGTCCTTGTACATATCATAGCTGTGCATCGATGTCAGTTGAACGGAAATCCGCAAGAGTCCTGCTTGGAGATAATGACATACGCATTCATTTCTTCAATGGTCAACACCTTCTGCGGATCCTCCACTCGGTATGTTGCAATGTCCTTGTTAACTGAAAATCCTGCCTATTGTCAGATCCTCCCCATATCCTATAAGTGCACCACAAGACTTACCAATTCGTTCATTGATATTGTAGGCAGCCTTAGCAGCGGCTGCTTGGACTCTTGTCGCTCGTGGCAATCGAACTTGCTCGTAAACCGCAAGCGCCTCCGAAACGTTTCTGAAGTACTTCTTGCTGAAAAGAATGCCCAATGCGGCTGCGTCCTCGATAGCCATGCAAGCACCTTGACTTTGATGTGGCATCATCTACATTATGTCAGCTTTCTTTCCAAATCGCCAGTGTAGGACATACTGGATGGCCTGCGTCGCCTAGGAGACACACCATGCTGCGGTGTATATAGGGATAAGGTTGACTGCATCATGTTAGCTTGATGTTGACGGGCATCAGAGGTCAACCTACTGCACCCAAAGACGCCAGGGTTGGATGTCTTTGCCGATTTTCAGGTGTGCCAGCACTTGGGAGTCCAAGTTGGGGAACGGTTTCAGGAGTTCCTCCACCGGACGATCCTCGCTGCCCCATGTATGGTTGGTATAGTCACCCATGGTCCGTGGAAAAAAGCAGTAATAGGAAAGTAGCTTTCCGCCATTACACGGAGAGAGCACAATCTTATCCCACTTCCCCTCTTGGCCGCCCCAGTACTCGAGCGCGCTGTCCTGAGAGTAGTCGACAAGCCCAGCTTTGACGGCTTCTTCGGTATCAATATTGGCGTGCAGGCAGCTTTGGTCGGAAGGGGTCTTATCTGGCTGAATGCCGATCACCCCTCGAACAACCGACCCAATACCGTCTGCACCAATGATCAAATCATGCTGTGCGGACGTACCATTCCTGAAAGTAATGACTCCGGTTTGTAGATCGATGTGGTGACACTATATCCTCCGTGTCAGAAACCAGACGAAGTTGAAACGGACGCCTTCAATAGTCCTTACCTGATGATTCACCAGCAGTTTCACAGGAGTTCCATCACCCTCCTGCTGTAAGGCCGTGTCCTTGAGCATGTGATGCATATATTGCCTGTGGAACATGTTGTAGACAAAGCCCCACCGCTTCTCATAGTTATCGAGGTCGTCTGCTTGTTGTCAGAAGATGGAGTAGAAAGTAGAACCATGGGAGGTTCCATAATACATCAGGTGGAAGACACTTACAGACACTCACTGGTTCCCCTGTTCTCCAGTCACGATTGATGAGCTTCTTCAATACCACAGGATCGCCTTGGGCGACATCGACATTCCATTCATGTAGCCATCGGGTGCCGTTGGCCGCGCAAGAAACTGAAGCGCCCACTTCGCCGGCGAAGTTGGCTCGCTCATAGACGGTCACGTCGTGCCCTGCTCGACGTAAAGCGATGGCAGCAGACAGGCCGCCAATGCCCCCTCCTATGACAGCCACACTGAGCTTGTGCCATTCTTGCTGTAATGAGCCCATCTTATGTATCGAGAATACGACTGTATGAAGTGAAGTGTATGATGCGGTCCTCAACTCCAGCCAGCAATCGACAATTTGACAATATGGTCAAGGGCATAGGAGAAGACACAGCCTTTTAAGCTTTATCTGCCTGCGAGATTGATATCAAGCCTGCGGTAAGCTCATCAGCCATTCTTCCGACCCTGCTAGCCACAATTGGAGAGCGATAGGTACCGCAGATAGACCATCATACAGATGCAGCCATCGCGGTTGGCCATGATAGGCGGATGAGGGAATAAGTGTGACATCCGCTGCCGTCGGAATGTTAAGATGTCCATGCGGTGGGCCATATCTCCAAGTGATTTAGCCGCCACGAGCGGCTAAAGCACCGTCTGGATTCTTTCTCCCTTCCACATTTCAATATTTCATGACTTTCCTCAACCCACTGGATGCTTAAAGGCCAACAAACTGAGGCGACGAATCGGAAGCTACGGTTGATGCAGTCCCCAGTATCATCGGTCTGCACCTGTGGCGGGTATCTCCAGGGTCATGCACCAAGCGGCAGAGACGATAACCGCCGCAGGCTCGTTGGAGGCGGCTGCTTTCATGGAGATGATCTGAGCTTGATGGTATGACTTCGAAGACATCAATATCGAAAACTGATAGGCTTGGTTGGAAACATCATATACGTTTCGGTCTATATTTCCATATGTATTTCTACATTTGGCTATTGGGAGCTCAGTGCTGACACATTCGGTCTCGTGTCTGCGATCTTGTTATCTACGCCTGCTGCGGGTGTCGACTCGATGGTCTCTCCGTCGTTCGAAGGATCCTGCTGCGGCTGTTGCTTCTCTTGCAACTCCTGTTTCTCTTCGTTGGCCGCTGCCGCTTCTGCAGTCTTCGCCTGCTCCCGCTCCTCCGGTCGCTGCAGCCCACGATCTTTGATAAACAGACAAAGCACAAGACAAAGGCCCATCATTGGCGCTGAAACAATGAAAACAGTCCGAATAGCAGCCATATATGCGTTTCTCACCGCGTCTTCATCCGCAGAATCTAAAATCGGAAAGGCGTAGGTGTCATGCGCCAGGCTAGCAAGTCGAGGTGGCAAATTATTGCGAAGTGAGCTTTGCAAGACTTGTGCTGAGATAGAGAGTCCAACTGCACCTCCCGAACTGCGTAGGAAATTGCGGTTGGATATGACAGCTGCCCGTTGCGCTTTTGAGCAGTGTGCTTGCAAGGCTATCAGAACCGGTTGGAAAATGCAGCCAGCTCCAATACCAGAGATTGAGAGTATGACAGCAATAGCAGCAGGATGCATTGTTCGCGTGAAGCTGCAGATTAGTCCAGCCCCGAGTGTCCAAATGATGAACCCCGTCCATATCACGATTCCATAACGCTTGTAGCGGGAGATGAAAATACCAGATAACGTACTGACAATCGACTGTGGAGCGTTGATTGCGACGAGGAAAGCGCCCGAAATAATCGGATCCCAACCTCGGACATTTTGGATATACAGTGGAATGTAGTACAGATTCGAGTAGTAGACCATTCCAAAGAAGAAATTTTGCGCCAAGACTGCTGCGACAGGTGCGTTGGTATACATGTTTAGCGGCATCATGGGTAGGGTTGCTATCTTCCATTCGACGAAAAGGAAGGCCAAAAAGGACAGACCACCGATGACAAACATTGAAATGACCATCGGCGAAGACCAATCGAAGTATGAGCCACCGCCAGAAAGCGGAATCAAGATCAGCACAATAGCAATGGTGGCAGTGATGATTCCAGCCCAGTCAATGAGCTTGAATTGGTGTTTCGCGTTCCCCTTCGGCATCGTTGAGGGAAGATAGAACCATCCAATGGCACCTGCAATGGCACCACAAGGGGCAAGAAACCAAAAAAAGGCGCGCCACGTCTGATGCAACGCAAAAGCAGCAGAAAGCAGCGGTCCCACCGCATTGCCACCTCCAATGCCAGCACCCAAGAAACCTTGCCATCTTCCTCGCTCTTCGAGCGTCACGATGTCAGAGACGATCATCATAGTCAAGGAATTGATACCAGCACCCGCAATGCCACCCAGTGCACGGAACACGTAAAAGCTGGGCGCATCCGGCGCAACTCCGCAGAGGATGTCTGCCAACACTAGCATGCCTACTGAGAAAAGGAACACCGGTTTCCGTCCGTAGATGTCTGAGATGCGCGCATACATGACTTGCGTGACAGTGTTGGCGATGAGGGAGGATGTACCTGCCCATGAGATTGTATCTAGGGCCTTGAAATCTCGCGCGACTGTGGGGAGAATGGTTCCAATGCCATTTTGGTCAGCATAGCAGATGAACAGCGCCGAGGCCAGGGACGAAAAAACGATGAAGAGTTGTTTCTTCCGAAGCAGATTTGTTTGATCGTGGAGACCTGATTCCGCGGCGCGTTGGCGCAGGGCGGCTGCTGAGGGCATGTTGGAGAGAACCAGGGCATGTGGGACCGTGGTAAGAGGAACTTGCAAATCAGCTCAAGGTCGGCAGTGTCTTGCGTATTTCTGGTGAGCACTGCATCGTATCGCAAAGTAGAACGCAGAAGACCAGTGTGTTGATAACGACGAGAAAAGATCTGGAATTAAATCAAAGCGAACGATGGCGTGCCGTCTTTTCCGATGACGGAGAGCATTGAGAGATTTTGAGTGCGTCATGGACGGAATTGTGCCGGCGAGGCTGTGATAAATGCCGAAGCCAAAGCAGGGGAAGATTTTAGAGATAAATACGGTAGATCATAAAATCACATAGCGCAAGAGAGCCAAAAGACACGCGCTATCCAGCGAGCCTATTTCCCACAAAAGTGGCACCGTTTGACCGTGGTATCTATTCATGTCCGACTAGATATCCTTGATTATGTCTAAACTGGAGTGCTTCGCACACAACGATATACTGTCACCTTTGCTGCAGATCCTCAGATCTTCGCTACATATCCAGTCCAAGTTCGCATACGTGGTTATGAACACTTAGGTAAAATGAAAAAAAGTTGATAATCATTTTTGATAGACAGCTAATCTGGCGTAGTCAAGGTCGCTATCAGAACGTGAGCAGACCTCGACAGCGACTCTCCCCTCATCTCATTGGGATTCACACATCATCTTAACCAGTAAGGTGATGGTTGGTCGTACTGGGAAGCAGCCCATGGATGCACTTCGTTGTGTGGACCGACTGCAGGAAGTTTCTAAGATTTTCTGATTTTGCATGGCCGTTTGCACAAGAGGAGGGGCCCATTTCTTTACGGAATTTGGTCTCCATCTCTCTTCTGAATCCCACAGCTGAAGAAGTTGCATCGAATTCAACATCGGCCCAGCTTAGCCTTTGGTCTTTCTTGAGGTCGGTGTTCAAAACGAACCCATGAGCCAGACCTATCGGCAAGCCTTCGATTGCCAAGGAGTCGGCTGAAGTCATCAACTTTCCGTACACCGTAAACCCGCCCTCTCCATCAAGCATTTCCCCAGCTTTGAGATCTCTTTCAGCAGTGGCAACAACATCGGCGGCCCACATCTCCTTTTGTCCAGTAGGCTCCCCTCGACACATAATGCTTGCTACGGAAACTCCCAGCTCAAGCCCGATGAGGTGGTATGGTTTGAATTAGACTGCATATCTGCCTGGGGAATCGGTTTGGAGCCCGTACTGCTTGAAGCAGTCTTTTTGATACTGGCTAGGTGCTGTTTTTGATCAGCTGTATGTTTCAGTAGCGGTTTTCTGATTGATCTCACCCTCAATAATAACGTAAACACCCCAGCGAAGGTCATTGAAGACTGGCCTGCCATCAAGTTCGAGGCAAGAGACCACTTCAACGGTTCCCTTTCTCTCTAGCTGGCCACCGTCAGACCTTGGTTTCAGCACTTCTGGAAGATCGTGCGCCCCGCATGGTGGGAATCTAAGACCGTGATTTGGTGGTTTCAATCCACAGCCATTTGCAACAGCTGCCATCTCCAAAGCTGATTTCGTTCCGTCCAGGAAGGAGTTGAACATCTGAGGATTGAAATCACCCGTCGCAAGTTGTTCTCTTGTAAACCCGTAGTAGTCCCAGACAGTATCCGGTGTCGAATAATGATATTCTGGAAGGTGCTTTGTTCCTTTTCCAGCACAGACAACATCGCTACCTCCATGTTAGCGCACCCATGCAGTTACGGTATCGTCGAGTGCCAGTATACATACGATCCTGCCGTCCTTGCCCAATCTACCAGCTCGGCTATCAGAGCAGGTTGATCTCCGTATGCCATAGAATATTTAATACCTGCTTCCTTCGCTTTCCGCGTGAGTAGAGGTCCAGCTAGGACACCGGCTTCGACGTTGATCATGACAATATGCTTCTTGTGTTCACAGCACTGGCCGGTGTCAACAAGCCGCTTTCACGGATGTGCAAGGAGTGTACCAGAAGCGCATGCTTAACACCTGCTACTGGGTTACCAGTCATTTCCAATACTACATCGATTCCAGGGCTTGCGATCATTGCGGAGGCATCTTTTGTGATGATGGTCTGACCACATTCGATGCCTTCCTTGATTGATTTGGTTAGGGTAGCATCATATCGCTCTTCGGGATATCCTGTCCGCTCTAGAGCTGCCAGCGCCCGCTCGGGTGACAAATCTGCGATAGCTGCTATTCTCATACCAGCCGTACGATGCGACTGCGAGCTGCTGAAGCGAAAATCAGATGCAAGTATGCAACAAAGACACCACGACTTACAACATCGACCCGAACTTTCCTGCCCCAATAATGGCAATTTGGATAGGTTTACCATCATCCTCTAGCTGAGCTAGTTTACTTGAAAGATTCGTCATGTTTGATCTTGACAACGACAGAGAAAGTCTTTCAGCGGAAGTGGAAAATTTGAGTAGTTCAAAAGATGGACAAGATTATTGCGCATGCAGCTAATATCTTTGGGATCCGAAACACGTATTTTGTCTTCAACTAAAGTCCACCCAAGCCCCTAATGGACTCAGAGTGTAGACAGGGATATCGTCAGAGAGGGAACAGAAGAGCGGGGCTTCCTTAAAGACCTCAGGAGTGGCGTCATTTTGCTTAGGATCGTTGTAATACCGAGACTCGACTGCCGGATACAGTTTAGCTGGAAGATCAGTCAAATTCCTGTTCTCACGTCGATAGTATACCGAGCTCGAGGTAGTTCAGGAACATTGTACTGCTCCCGGCAAGCCATGTTCCAAGGAAAATGGCACCGTTTGACGGAGAGTACACCGACGGTACAAACTCGAAGTCCAACAGGTTCGCCACGGCGAGTGCCTTGACTATATGCTAGTATGACTATACGATGGAGCCAGCGTTGGTAGGAGCCGGCTCCTAAAAAGACGGCTCCCTAGGGATCCGTCTCCTGACGGCCGTCTCCTTGATATCGCCAGGGAGCCGTTTCCCACCGTCTCCTCATACTATCGTTAGTTCCTTGGCATGCCCTTGGCACTGTTTGGATGCGCGAAACACGCGATCGAGTACCTGTACACGTAAAATTGTTAGTAAACTAACTCACAGGATATCCGACAACATACTTGCAAGTGTTGAAACATCCTCCTCACCTACCTCTAGTACTCGTAGGGCCACCGTATTCGATAGCCTCCTAGAGCGACGATACTCATACGTAATTAGACCCTATGATCAATACCAATAAACGCCATTAGGAAATAGAATATAGGCAAAACTCGCCTATAGTTATTCCTAAAAGGCCTGAGTTGATTTTATCTAGCTTTATCTCTCGCAGTATAAAATCAATAGGGTAGCACGACCAAGACGACGATTTTAATCGATATATAAAAGTCGAGCTATTAAAGATAATAAAGTAAAAGAAAGAGAATATCTTTCGATAGTAAATAAATTACTTCTATCTTAAACTTCGTTAGTAAGCTTTCGATACGCTATCGATACCTACAATATCCGCAGAGCTTAAGCGGGTGTTTAGCCAGGCGAAGAGGACGATTATAACCGATCGCAACCGACTGTCGGCGTCAAGTTTCGAGGCGATATAGTGTTTGAAGTATTGGCTCGACCAGGGCATATATACGATTACCTAATTAGGCAGGAGACGGCTCAGGAGACGGCTCCCGTCTCCTAGGGGGGCCCTCCTAGGAGCCGGAGACGTGGGAGACGGCTCCTACCAACGCTGGATGGAGCTGAGGGCCTTCCTCCTGCCACTCATCTTCTGCTTCATGAGATCTTATCTGACGCCTCCGAACGAGGATTCTTGTGGGCTAACATTCGAGCACCGAGGGTATTTATATCATGACTCCCACCATGGTTTCTGGCGTCTACATCTTGATGGCTTTTGCCAGAAGGCAGACTCCGCTGTCAATCACATTTTGGGCTTCTTTTGTGTTGGGGGGACCATATCAAGCCATGAAAAGTCCTGTTTAGGGTAAGTATTTGGCCACAGAAAGCAATCTGAGTCGCTGGAGGAACAACCAAACTCACCATGGGCAAATCAGACTGAGGATCAATAATGACATTGACCACCACAGGTACTCGAGCCTCGAAGCCTATCTTTGTAGCTTCTTTCAATTCGTCGGGTGTGCGAGCCTCAGTTCCTATACCACCAGCCATTTTGGCAATCTTGTGATAATTAGTTTGGTATCCGAGAGATCAAGCTGTAAGACCTTTGCCCTCGGTAGTGGTTCCAGCAACAGTATTTCTTTGGCGTTCAGCATATTTCTCGGCTGAATCTGTGTCTCCTCGATATAAACCACTGTTATTCATCACAAAGATCAAGACGTCCATCTGGAATCGTGCCATGCTTTCGACTTCCACCGCAGAGAAGCCGAAGGCACTATCACCTTCAATGGCCACGATCTTCTTCCGGCCTGGGCTGCCAGCTAATCCTTCAGGCTCTGGAAAGTTATATGCGGCGTAAGCCGCGATCGCATAGCCCAACCCAACACCCATAGTGGCATACGTGCCAGCATCCAGCCGCGTCCGAGGATGCTCCATGGTGGATATCGACCGGGAAATATCCATGGCGTTGGCTCCTTCGGAGACGTAAACGATATCACCGTTTTCAGGGACTGACAGGCTGTTCAAGGTGGATTTGATGATACCGGAGGCTCGCTCAAATGGCATAGGGATCTTGTTGACTGAGGCCTTTTTCGCCGCCTTCTCCTCATTCCTGGACTTGGCAGCTTGAAGCTCGCGAAAGAACGCCGAAGACTGTCCTTGCCAGCGCCATCCTCCCAGCTCGGAGATAATCTGATCAACTACCAGGCCAACATCTCCGACAAGGCTCAGTGCTGGATCACCTCCATTCTTTCCGAGCTCGTCAGCAACCAGGTCTACCTGAATGACCTTTGCAGCTGGATTCCACTTGGGAGCCAGTCCGAAGGAAAGTATCCAGTTCAACTTTGCGCCGAGAACCAAGACAACGTCAGCACCCTTGAGTGCGGTTGACCTGGCAGCAGAAACGTTGTACACGCTCGAATCAGGCACAATAACTTTTCCCATGGGTGTTGGGACAAAACGTATGCCGGTGCTACAGAAAGAGAATTAGGCAATGCTTCTTTCCATTGGAAGGAAATGATCATAGTCTTACTGTTCGATCAGATTCCGGATCTGTTGCTCAGCACGTGCGTACGCTGCTCCTTTGCCCAGAATCACCAAAGGTGCTTTGGCTGTCTTGAGAGCTTCCACAACGTCTTTTATCTTATTATCTGGCGCAATTGACTTGGGTGCTTCGATCAATGGCGATAGTTGTTGTCTTGGGATATCAAAGTCTCCCAAGATTAGATTCGCGGGCAGGTCAACAAATGCAGGACCAGGGCGACCGAACATCGCTGCACGATAGGCATCCTTGATGAATGTCGGTAACATGTCAGGATATGGAGGACGTAGTGCGACCTTTGCGTGCGGCGTTAGCAGCGAGATAGCATCAACTTCTTGGAATGCCATTTTGTTCGCATTATGGGTCTCGCTGGAGCCTGCGAGCACCAACAAAGGCCATGAGTTGGCGGCCGCATGTGGTATCTATCACGACTTCGACATTCCGCTTCGTTCTCAAGAGGAGATTGGTCAGGGTGGTGGACTGAGCGGCAGTATCCGAAACTTCACGTCGGCTATCGCGGTAGCAGTATACACTGCAACGCTGAGCAATCGCTTGTTGACAACAATTCCGCAAGAGGTCTACCCAGTGGCTCGCAGACTCGGGCTACCGGAAAGATCTCTGGCTGCTCTCGCTAGCGCACTCAAAGGCGCAAGTTCCTACGACAGTGTACCGGGCTTGACACCTGCGATCAAAGCCGCCGTCCAAGCCCCATTTCGACTCGCCTTCAAGAACGCGGCCAGCACAGTATTCTTAGTGATCCTAGCATTCTCAGGCACTGCCATCATCCTGGCATTCTTCACCACAAACAGTGATAAGAGCACAGAGCACTATGTTGCAGGAGGCCTTCACGGAACGAAAGACGAGAAGAAATACCTGGAAGAGTTAAAGCATGAGCAACACGCCTCCTTGACGCCACCGAAGTAAGGTCGTATGGGTTTGCGCCAAAGATAGATGATGGCGGTAGCTAAGCATCTAAATCTAAACGCCGTCGTCCTCTTCGATTCTGCATTTGTGGACATGAGCTTAACAACCACATATAAGAAGGACTGTCTTTCAGCTAGTACTGACAGCCCAGGTCCCGAGAAAGAAGAGTTCACCCCCAACCTTGAACAAACGACGTGAATCTGAATGTTCGTCCCCTTATCGCTGCAGGTCGACGGACGATTTGTATAGTTTAGACATAGGGTTTCGAGCATGTAAGAGATGGCATTTCAGGTACAGCAGTTTACATTCCTCGCCTGGCAGGAATAACATTATCTGAAGCAACGCGCTGAAGACACAGACATTTTTGTTGGGTGTGCGAGTCTCTAGAAACTGTCCAGATACTTTCCCAACCCTGCATCCGTGCATTTGAACCTCCCAGGTTGGAAAGGTAAGCTTTACCCTCGTGCTGGAAGAAGCTTCGGTGCAGATGGGCAAACAGTTCCCGGATATAGAACTTTACACGGCTAAGTGACATCGCTGGGGCGGTTTCTGCTGCCTGGGTCTTTCAACATATGAACCGAGCCTTTGGCATTTTACATAATCATGCTTTGAGGATGCTCAATATATCTTGTCCTGATTGCCAATGGTGACTGACTTGATGACCTGGTACTCGTCCATCCCGTACAGACTTCCTTCGCGGCCGTACCCACTTTCCTTCACACCACCAAAAGGAGCTTCTGAGGCCGATATCTTGCCTGTGTTGGCGCCGACCATGCCAACTTGAAGCTTTTGAGAGACTCTCATGATTCTGTTGACGTCTCTGGAGAAGAAATAACCAGCCAGTCCGAATTCCGTCGCATTGGCCAGCTCAACCGCCTCCGCCTCGGTTTCAAATGCGAATATTGGCGCTAGCGGTCCAAAGGTCTCCTCTCGTGCGACTAGCATAGAGTCCGTGACTCCCGTAAGAACAGTTGGCTCGAAGAAAAACCCGTCACCAGACCCTGGCTTGCCCCCGATTGCGATACGAGCGCCCTTCCCAACGGCATCTTCCACGTGCTCGGCAACCTTGTCAACAGCTGATTTGTTGACTAGCGGACCCTGCGTCGTTTGCTTGTCTAAGCCAGGGCCTGTCTTGAGTGCTGCAACCTTTTCCGCCAACTTCTTAGCGAACTCTTCAACCACACCTTTTTGCACAAGCATTCGGTTTGCACTTTAGGCTGTTAGTGATACCTAACAGTATTGATGGTTGAGGTGACTTACCAGACACATGTCTGTCCAGTGCATCGGAACTTGCAAAACATGGCACCTTCCACAGCCAAGTCCAGATCCGCGTCGTCAAAGACGATAAACGGAGCGTTACCTCCAAGCTCTAGACTTAGCTTCTTGAGAGTTCCGGCAGCAAGCTTTGCCAACATCTTTCCCACACCGGTCGATCCGGTGAAGCTGATCTTGCGTATTTGTGGGTTAGTTGCGAGCTCGGTCGCCGCTTGGCGATCTTTTGTAGGACAGACTTGGATGACTTTCGGTGCAATACCAGCCTCAACGGCAAGCTTCGTCAGCGCCAAACACGTGAACGGCGTTTCACTTGGTGGTTTGATGACCACTGCGCAACCTGCAGCCAGGGCGGGAGCAATCTTTCTGGTGATCATGGCTGCGGGGAAATTCCATGGTGTGATGATGCCACAAACGCCGACGGGCTCTTTCAGTGTGAGAAGAGTAGTGTAAGGGGTGGACGAGGGAATGGTGACACCATATGCCCTCGTTGCTTCTTCTGCAAACCATGAGACAAAACTAGCCGCATAGATGACCTCTCCCTCTGCTTCCGCGTAGGTCTTGCCATTTTCCAGGCTGAGAATGGTAGCAACTTTCAGAGTTTAGTCAATAAGGATAGATATATAATCAGGATACATACTGTCTTGCTTGTTAGCAAGTATCAGATCGTTCCAGCGTCGTAGAGCTGCGCCTCTCTGCGCAGCGGTGGTACTGGCGTAATATTTCGGTTGTGCCTTGTAGGCATCATCGATGGCAGCTTTGAAGTCGCTCAAGTCGCAGTTTGCAACATATCCGAGGGTTTTGGCAGTCGAAGGTTCTGAGTTCTTCGTAAGCATTGATTTGCTAGACGCCTGGAGAGCATATACCAGTCACGGGAAACTTCTTCTCTTTGCTGACCCACTGGCCTCCGATGAAAGCATCGGAGATGAAAAGGTCAGGATTGCTGAGCTGAAAAATCCAGGTCAATCAACACCCTCATATGAGGAGTTTATCGTTACTTACTCGTCCGATCGCCTCCTCGGAGTAGGTTTGCGCAATGCTACCCATATTGAAATATGTATTCAAAAAAGTTGCTTTCACTTGTTTGGTCTTATTAGAGTATAATATTATTGCACGCAGCGATCAGAGACTTGCGGGGTTATGCAGGAACTACATCTCTCTTATTCGAGCACTGGAGGTAAATACATGGGTAGTTGGGGTATGTCCGGTTTTACCCGGGGCATTCGGTGCATTCACCCTTGTTGGCGCGTTGCCGCCGGGGTTCGTGTGCGCATGGAAACTTACCCCAATACGAGGCAACGTCCACCAGTTTGTCCTTACTTGGAGAAGTACGCCAGATCGGCACGAAAGCTCAAAGGCTCAAAGCAACAATTCAGCCCCTGGTATCGCGTGTGTCTTGTTGCATAACATTTCGATGAACGTCGTCCGCGCACCATTCGAGTTCATACCCACACAGGTGCCACCTCCCTGTTTCCCACGAAACCACGAGAACCAGATTCCAAGTGCCAGAATCTCCGCTTTCGTGGGGTGGTTCAAGAAAGACAGCTCGGCATCCAACGGGATGGCTACCGTAAGCGGAACCGTAAAGACCAGTGTGACCCTTCTTGCAACGATGCTTAGGTCGTACTTCAGATAACACTGAATCAATCTCGTTTTGGGCAAGGAGGAAAATTCCTGTGATCATTCATGGAGAGAACCAACCCTAGTGCCCCCTCCACCCCATCTCGCCACGCCTACCAACCCTTGGAGAGGGGACCTGCGGGGTAAAAATATGTGCGTGACCGTGAACTCAGCACGTGGTTTCACGGTACCGATATATTCTAGGTGTGGCCAAAGAGGTGCACAAAGGTGTACTGTAACACGAAGCGTCAAATAGTACGATTTTCACACCAAAACTTATGCTTTCGTTCGACAAATATACCCTTCCATTGATTGTTTTCTGTCCAGGCTAGGCCATTCACAGCTTCACGATTTCAAATCCGTCAAAGTTCGGTAGTACGTTCCGAATTTCCTGACTGTAATTATACATACCCCCTGCATAGCAAGTATGCTCAAAGGCTTTCCCTGGCATGCTTCCGCCCATGTAACTATCACGCACAGTTTAGCATCCTTACAGCACACATCAGCAACAACTTGGAAGATGACTTACGTGCTCTTCGTGGTCGGGAACAAAGATTTGTCGCTCAGATCGTTAATCTTCTTCTTCCATGCTTTGCTTGCAGAGTCTGAGGGGTTGATGTACTTAATGCCTTGTTTTTCCATGTGTTTGATAGCATCGGTAATCCATCTGCCCTGGATTTCGACAGAGGTTGGTCCGTTACTCAGTACTGCAGATAGTCAGATCATTGGTTGTGCCGGGGTGGGAAGTGACAAGCGTGAAAGAGGTGGCAAATGTAGACTTAGGGAAATGGACAATACTCACACGTCGGTCCTTGTGGGCCGTAGAGATGAAACATGTTTGGATACCCTGGAACAGTGGTCCCAAGATATGTTACGGCGGATTGCTTCCACTCATCTTCGAGTGTTCTGCCATTGATGTTCTGCAGGCCCATAGCTGTCATGCCGCCTGTGACAACGTCGAAGCCAGTGGCAATGCAAATGATGTCGAAATCGTACTGCGTGCCGTCTTGGAGTTTTATACCTGTCTCATTAAATTCGGCGATCGGGTTATTCTTGATGTTAACGACATCGACATTAGGTCGGTTGAATTGCTCAAGATACCTATATTCAAGGCATGGGCGTTTCACACCCCATGGATGAGGCGGCTCCACAGGCGTAAGAATGTCACGGTGTCGCTGATCCTTGAGCCTTTCGCGCTGCTTCTTCTGCCAGAAATCATAGACTGCACGATTGGCCTTGGGGTCGAAGAGATAATCCTTATAGTTGCCAAGCCAGTAACGGAAGCCACCGTCAGACCAGAGTTGTTCGAAGAAGCGCTCACGCTCTTCCGGGCTGTCTTCGAAAGTATTCTTCTCAGAGAAGGTGTAGAGAAAGCCGCCGAAACAGCTTTCACGCAGGTGGAAGAGCTCTTTGTACCATTTCTTGCCGGCCCATTGTTCCTCGGCAGTGAGAGAACGAAGGCGCATGGGTACTGTCAAGTTTGGCGTACGCTGGAAGACTTTCAGCTCACCGGCAACAGGCCCCCATGCTTGCGTGATCTGAACCCCAGATGCACCGGTGCCGATGATAGCACACTTCTTGTTCTTGACATCGATCTCCTCATCTGGCCAGAAGGATGAGTGATGAAGAACACCTTTGAACTTTTCGATACCTGGCCAGTTGGGTACATAACGCTTGGCAGCGAATCCTGCTGCGATGACCAGATACTTAGCTTTGGCCGTGCGGCCGTCGGCTGTTTTGACGTGCCAGCGACCTTCGTCCGTATTGAATTGGGCTCCGGTGACAACACTTTCAAAGGCAGTGTTGCTCTTAATGTCGAGAACATTGTCGCAATGATCAAAGTAATCTCGGAGTTCTTTGTATGTTGGATAGTTCGATGGCCAGTTGTACCTTGACGAGATCAGTCTTTGATATAATCTTGGATCAGAGGATCGTACGTCTTCCAGGTCTCTTCGATTGATAGTTGGTACTCTGGGACTTCGGAGTCCACCATGGCTCCAGCTTTTTGGTGGTCAGCTATAGTAACCCATATCAGATAGTGAAGAAGACTCACGATAGCAATTCCATCTCCAGGTGCCACCGAGGTCGGTACCAGCCTCATAAATGACTGTGTTCAATCCTGCCTTGCGGAGAGAATAAAAACAGAAAACTCCGCCGAAGCCACCACCAACGACAAGAGCGTCGACCTCTAGATTGTCGACGTATGGACCATCCGTCCTCCTGCGATTACCGTACTCCCAGAGCTTGGTCTTGAGCTTAGGGTTAGTCATCTCGCCAGGGTCGCCCATTTTGGTTAAGCGTACTAGAAACTAGCAACGTAATTGTGATATGGTCAACAGGAAAGGATGTGAGCAATTGTTGTATCTGAGCATCCACTCCCGTATATGTGCTGTGTTCTTATAGCCAGAGCAAACCCCCAGACTGTCCTTTCAGGCTTGGTTCTCCTCAGGGCGCTGTCGTTTATGCATATGGCCCTAGTCTCCAACAAGCACTTTTCAGGCCGAGACTTTGTGCGGACCCGCATGCTGACCAACGCGCACCACATGTCCATCTCTTGCTCGTGTGTGAAGAGACCTTGTGCGGATCCGGAATCCGGATAATGATGATCTCCCCGCAGCATCAGAACATGTCGTTGGCTAGGTCTGATGCCGGCTAATGAGAAAGAATTCTGGAATGCTGGCCTTACCAGGAACCACGAACAACACTAGCGGATCCGCATCTTTACTGACCTGTCAACTGAAAAGTGTGGCTTGGGGAAGGGAAAGAGACCGCGGAGAAGAAACGCGGGGAACTCCAGGTAACCACTCACCTCAGAACTGACAAGGCTCGTGGCATTTCTGTTCGTATCTTTACACAGGTCGAGTTGTTCTTGATATCGGTGCTACCACATCATCACAAGTAATCCGCGTTACCAAATCTCTGCTGGACATATTGTGATGGCGCTCTCCAGTGAAGCAGTCGCTCAAGTCAAGTCGGCCTTCCAGGCGGCCTGTGATGACACAGATAAAGGTGTACCGGGTCTCGTTGGGATAGCAGTTGGCAAAGATGGCCAGGAGCTGTTTGCTCACGCTGCCGGCAAGCGTGGTTTTGGTTCCAAGGAGCCGATGACCCTTGACAATATCTTTTGGATCGCCTCTTGCACGAAAATGATCACCGGTGTGGCTTGTATGCAGTTAGTAGAGCAAGGCAAATTGTCGCTGGACGATGCGGAACAGGTTGCAAAGCTGTGTCCAGAGATCAAGAATCCAAGCATTTTACAGCCTGACGGAACTCTGCAACCAGCAAAGAAGCGCATCACCCTGAGAATGCTGCTTTCCCATACAGGTCAAGAACCTATCACTGCTTGGAGCAATCGTCTTGCTGACAAGTTCACAGCCGGCTTTGGCTACACCTTCTTCCACCAGGGTCTCCGCGACTACAGCAAACCTGTTGGATATGATGAGTTTTCAGGACATTTGAAGGATATGGTGCAACCTCTAGTGCATGAGCCCGGAGAAGGTTGGCAATATGGGGCATGTCCAATCCTATGATCTTGTTGTCTTGTGCTAATCTAGTGGTCAGCTCAATATTGACTGGGCTGGGTTCTGTGTCGAACGTACCACAAATATGACATTGAACGAATACTTTCAACGCCACATATTTCAGCCTCTCAATATCAAGAATATTTCCATGTTTCCCAACAATGAGATGAAGACGAAGCTCGCGTACATGAATGCTCGTACTCTTGATGGCCAACTACATCCACGAGATCATCTTCTACACGCTCCTTTGGTTGTAGAGACCGAGCAAGAAATGGCAGCATGCGTCAACAGCGGAGGGGCAGGTGCGTTCGCCTCGCCGCGGGAATACTGCCGTAAGTTATCCTTATTGACTTGCAAATGTCTTGCTGATCAGGACAAAGAGATCCTTGCCACTTTACTCAACGATGGAACTTCGCCAAACACGGGCGCCAGGATTCTGAAAAAGGAAACGGTCGATATGATGTTCGATAACCAGATTCCAGACTTCCCCAACTTTGGAAAACAGGGCATTCCTGATGCAAAGAGTGACTTGACCAATGCTATACCAGACCTATATCCAGGATCCCAGCAGGGCTGGGGACTGTGAGTGCCTCCTATCACCTTCAAATCTTCATCTGGGGACTTGAACTCTTGTGATTCGTGTTCCAGTCGTTCATGCTGACGCCTCTATCTAGTACTTTCATGCTAAGCGACGGACCGACTGGAAGATCATCCGGTACAGGGCATTGGGCAGGGCTGCCGAATTTGTACTGGTGGTGCGATCGTGCGCAAGGTGTTGCGGGGATGATATGCTCCCAGATCCTGCCCTTTGCGGACCCTAAAGTGCTTGGGCTCTGGGTTGAACTAGAATCTGGAGTGTATAGTGGCTTGGGCAAGAAAAGCTAGGTGGGAGTCAACTGTGCTCTCGGAACGTGGCACACCGAACATAAGTTCAACACAGGACACAGGTAAGTTATGTTTGCAAGGAAGGAATTAGTCTTTCAGATCTTCGTAGTGATGATAATCTTGCTTCAACCTGGCAGATATGTTCCCCGTGTCGATCCTTGTCCGGCTGGTTTGAGTCTAGACCCGTCGATCGGGTGCACAGCTGTAGATGTGGAAGAAACAGGATCACAATTCAGCAGGGTAGTAATGCTAGCCAAGTTAGGTCAAGATGGTTGGGCTGCATGCAATTCCCCTCGATACCCCGCAGCAAGAGCGGCAGAGATACTTTGCGGGGAAGCCCAATACAAAGGAGCAGGCCCCAAGAGAACATATAACACTTCCACAAGATTCATGTCTCGTAGTCATGACGTCTTCGAAGCACCTTTGATGCGCGACTGATACCGTTTGTGGAACACTTTCAAAGCATGGCTCACCCACAACAAGCCGCTTTTCAACGCCGTCAGAATAAAAGTTGCGACCAATGTCGAGCTGGCAAGCGTCGTTGCGACGTCAACCTTCAGCACATCCCCGAAGCCGAACTCTCCGATCTTTCGCCCAGCAATCTCCACCAAAATTCGACGCTTTTCTCCCCTTCGCCTTGCACGAACTGTAAGAAATGGAAAAAATGGTGCACAATAGATTGGGTCATATCACATCAAAACAGTCAGAGAGCGCCGTCGAGACGCGAGCGAGGATCGAAGAGATTGCCCAGCATATCTTCCGAATCGGTCAATGAAAGATTATGGCATGAATGGCCTCTGGATACACCAATCCTGAATGCAACAGTTGTGGACCACAACTTTGTCAGTCTTTCAGCACCAAATGACACTTCAACTCTACCAGATTGCCTGAATACGAGCCCATCGCTTGCCAGCTTCCATGATATCTTTGCCTTCCGGCAGGACGACAACTTTGTTTGCACAGACGCACAGAACTATCAATATGTGCCTGAAATTCCAATCAATGTCGATCCGCAAGGACAGCCATATGGAAGTGGCGAGTTTGCACTTCCATCCATGGTTGGTCAGGAATATATTGCTGGCTCGCAGTTATCCCCGCCAGTCACCTTCCAAGAGCCGAGCTCCTGGGATCTCCGGACGACCGACCTCGATCTTTTTTCTGATGAAGAAGAGCACGACTCAATACTACAGCGACGACGAGCCTCAAATCGGTACTTTGGCCGTTCGGTCAACACAAGTGCATCGCCTTTCGATTCGGGTAATCTAGCAGAAGCTCACAATCGGTATGATATCAGGAAGGGTTTGCTCAAGATTTACCATGATTCCCTCGAGGGCGCATTGAGCTGTTGGTTGATTGAACGAAATTGTCCATACGCCTCTAGCGCCTTTGTTGACAAGAGTGATGTGTGGAGTTCGAACTGGTCTAACAGGATGATGGCTCGGATACGTGCTTTGGACAAGACCTACTCAAGTCTGGGCCTTGTTTCTAGGAGTGACCAGAAGCAGTCGTCGAAGGTTCTTAGCCTCATAATCATGGCCTTCGCCGTACAATGGGCTCAGACTGCATATGGGAAGCACGAAGATCTGAGGGCGCAACTTCCCGAACATGGACTTTTTGGACGCAACATGCAGAAAACGCTATGGCATGAAGCCAACCTGGCTCTGGGGCAGGCTTCCAGCAATCCATCCTTTAAAGTGATTTTTGCTGGCATCATATTCTCACTCACCCAACGTCCAATGGAGTCTGCAGAAAGCCTATTTGACCCAGAGAAACAACGCAGCAGCAATTCAATCTCGTTGAGAAAGATTCTCAATGATGATGGTGGGCCAATCTTCCTCGACGTCGCCGTTCGCAAACTGCATGATCATCGGAGAAGGCTCAAAGATGCCAAATGCTCCTATCTTAACAACTCACTGGCACAAGATGCTACCATTGTCTTGGCCGAACAGGACAAGGAAACATTTGAGCTTACATTTTGGTTGGCCATCATGTTCGACACTATTTCCGCAGCCATGAACCGTCGCTCCTTCACGTTGGACGATCGTGAGACTCGTATTGATGACGACGAGCATCGCTCAAGGGGGCCGCCCTGTGACAATGCATTCACCTGTGACTTGGATGCTTTTACAGGCTTCTACGACAAGACCGCTTCAGACCTTGTTGAGGAGTCCCAGATATGGGGTGACTACTTTCTGCGACAACAGTCTCGGATTGGAGAAATGCGTAAGCAGACAGTGCGTTGGCCGTGCTCTTATGATGACGCTGCGGCATGCCTGGCGGATGCAGCTCCTGTCAAAGTACTGGTGTTCCGTAGACTCGGGCATCTCCAAGATCTTTTCTACCAGCGAGCGCCAGCCGAGGACATCGAAACGGCCATCACCGCCACGTTGGAGGTTTACAATCATTGGGAGAATACATACGGACTTTTCATTGCCGATTGTATCGCCCACCATGAGTATTTGCCAGCCCGTATTCAATCATGGTACATACTTCTGGCAAGCCACTGGCATTTGGCTATCTTCTTGCTTGCGGACCTCGTAGAGAAGTTGGACGATCTCAACATGTGCTTGCCGGCAAATCGGACAGCCAGGCAGACTACAGATTTCGTTGCTACTCTACGAGTCCGCTCAGCAATCACGGTGTCCGACCTTGGTCGTTGCTCCCGATTTCGCAATCGCGAGGACTTATCGTTCTCGCAGTCCCCGTTCTTTCATCATGCCGTGAACAAGGCGGCACTGCTTACGGAACCTTGGACGGTGGTTCTTGTGCGTTCTTTTGCGTATGCAGGAGAGCAGCTCCTTAAATTGGTGCTACCACGTCGAGGTGTTGAACCTATGTTGGAGTTCTGTAATATATTGGAAGGAAAAAATCGTTTGATTGATTGTATTCAAGCGCTATGGCTACTGGGCAGGAAAAGTGATATGGCATTATGCGCTGCAAAAGTTCTGCAGGGAGCATTTGACCAGGGCGTGAGCTGGAGCTAATTTTGAGGGAAAAGCCATACACAAAACGATCGGCCCCTGTTGGGCTGTTAATTGATGCTTAATCGATGGAATGTTTCCGCTTCTACCACTCAATCATTACAAACTCTAGGTTTATATTGATGAATTAATAGCTTACACGGATTCGATGTTTTCACCGAATATAGTTCATAACAAGATCAGATTGGCTCAGCTCCAGCCTCCAGATGAATTATAAGTGCTAGGTACTGCGCTATTAGGTGAAACTTCGCAGAACAAGAAGAGAAGAGATCTTACCACGATCTTCATGGCCTCTTGTAATTTGGCTTCCTTTAGAGATCTCTCTTCAAGCCACCGATCCCGGTGGAACTCTAGGGCTCATCACCATAGATATTTTGTTATTGGTCGAAGACTAGACATTACGTCCGAGATAGGTCTCCTAATTACGCGTAAGCTTTGACCATGATTCAAGAACAGGAAAGGATAACACTGACTCCTATAGGCAAATATAGGCATGACTATTGAAGATATGCTCGACTATCATGCTAACTGCTGCTCGCACTCTACAAGATCAAGGGCTCCATCGTGATTCGTGTCGAACTTAATCAAAGTATTCCACTGCCACAAGGTAAGTTTCCGGGATCTCCCATAGACTCTCGTCGAAAGTTGGCGATACCAAAGCCCAGCCGGCGATGAGTTCATCGATGGTAATTCGACCGTCACCATTTGAGTCGAGCAAGTCAAACAAGGTCTGCACACAATCGCTGTTGGTGACTGCAATAGGACACGTCAAAGATGGTGTCGAGTGTTGTATGTCCGTCCAAGGTAGCTCGCGTTTGCCTGCTGCAGGTGTGTCTGGGCAGTGGTCAAATTGTATACAGCCATCATCACAGTTGCAGCAAAAGATGTTGCATGATCCCACACCGCAGCATCGAAAATCCTGTCGCTGAGCGGTAGACGTGCACCATCCTCCGCCATGATTTCTTCCAAAACAGTCAACTCCACCGCAACAATCTTCGTCAGTTAGTCAGTGGCGAGCAGCAAGTGTTCACGGCCACTAACGCGTTGGGCGTGGGCTTCCTATTATCTGCCTGAGTTCCTGCTCCAGCGATCGCACCTTTTGCTCTAAGGTCTCGACATAGCTAGAGCATCATTCTGTCAGCTTGATCTTGGCCTGGAATGAATGCATTGCTTACCCTCTGAACTTCGCTCAACGTTGAATCGAAAGGCCGACCGCACCACAACCCCAAACGCCAACGACGTCGCCTTCACCCACTTCCGCCAGCTCGCACCCGTGCCATGCAGTCGGTGTCACGTCCGCCAGACCAACCAATTTCTTGGCTGCCACATCCTTCGGAGCCTTAACACAGACCAGATCCGCATTAGGGACGCGGCAGTACTCAGCCTGGTCACCAGGGTAGCCTCCCGTGGCCTTGGAATAGCCAAAGATGCCCGATGACCGATGCCCGTACATCTGCTCCAATTCCTCAGACGGATTGGTCCGGTCGCACAGAGAAAATTCTTTGCGCCTGCAGTAGAAACATTCTCCGCAAGCAATGACCGGCAAGATGATCACACGGTCTCCTGCCTTCAAGTTCCTGACCTTAGGCCCAACTTCCTCGACGATGCCGATGGCCTCGTGGCCCATGATCAACCCCCTTTCCATGACCTTGTTCATACTGCCATCATACATATGTAGATCTGAGCCACATATGGTGCAGTGGGCGATGTGCACAATTGCGTCCTTAGGTGCGGTAATCATGGGCCTAGGTACCTCACCCCGCTCGATCGATTTCTTGCCCGTCCAGAGAGCTGCCTTCATCTTCTCACTAGCATGAGGCTTGTACGCCGTGGTATACACGGGCCTTTGGGCTCACGTGAGACTTGGTGATTGATATGCAGATGAAGATAAGAGACTCACTTTGCTACTTGTACCATTGTACAGTGCTGATATTGTTCTGAACGGTGATGAGGTGATTGTCGTTTACCAAGTTGATTGGGTGGAGTTTAGTTGTATGCTCAGACGACGCTTTTAACGGCGATCTAAACAAACGTTCAGAGTGCCTTTGTGTTGAGTGACAGTCCGACTTTATAGCCAGCGGACATCGCATTAGTCTTTGTCGAGTCTGATAATTCGACTCTAGGAGTCGAATCTCTGACGGATTCGCTAAAATGGAGTCGAATCCCTCCAACACTGTCCCGAGACCTCTCCAAGTTTCCAGCAAGG